ATCGATATTTATCGATCGATGCTATATTGCATTATGTTTAGTTTAATGTTTAGTTTGCCTAATACTTTATTATATAACCATAACCAATACCAATTATATTTGTCAAATATTATATTTGTATCTCAAAACAAATCAAATTTCTGTATTAAAAAATATTAGCATCACTCTCAAATAGGTGTCTTTTTTCAATTTTTAGGCTTAAATAACTTATGAATATATTTTTAGAATTGGAAAAATAATCTTAAAATAAGTGAAAAAAACACAACTTTACTAACCGTTTTCAACTTATTTAAACATAATTAAAACTATAATATTAAATTTTATGAAAAATGAAAAAAATATATATATTAATGAAAAAAAAGGAACAATTTTTTTAAAATTTATAATTACAATTATGAAAATTTGAAATAAATAAACGATTTCTATTCGATTTGATGCTTTTATATTTTTCGCTACTTTTTGGCACTTTTCACTTCAAATAAAAAGATATATTGAAAAGAACTCCATGAGCAGTACTAACTTAAAATGCAAAGTTTTTTCTAATGGTTTGTTTTTCTATTCGAAAATGATGCTATTATTTTTATCGCAACTGTATATCTTCGTAACGATGTTTAAAATTAGCTCTCCACTTTGAAGTAGAACATTTCAAATAATCTTTAAAATATTCTTCATTAAAAAGAGAATAAATGAATAGCAAAAGCTTGGCTATTTCATAGCTATCCATTAAAATATATTAATCTATTCATTTGAGGAATACTGAACACTGAAAGCATGTGAAAATCTTTTAAGCTGCAAACACTGTTAATACTGTCTATATGAAATAGCTAAAACTGCCTATATGTATTTATAAATTACCAACTATTTTTGTGTGTAAGAGTTTTAAAGCATTTGACCAGAAGCTGGCGCCGGCAGCAAGGCAACGCCAAAGAGCCAAATAAGCGAAAGCTTAAAAGCAGCCAGCAACAACAACAACAACAAGAACAACAACAAGAGCAAACGAGACGCTTTCAAGTTTTAACGCCAGCTACAAGACAGGCTAAAGCCCAAGTGAATTTGGCACGACGATGAAGAAGCAGAACATGTGGCAAAGCCAGCAAACGGCTCCACAGCCAGCCATTTTGTTGGGTGTTCCCCGCAACGCCCAGACCCAGTAATAACATTTGCTGTTGCTGCTGTTGTTTTTGTTGTTGTGGTTGTTGCTGCTGCTGTTTGTGCTGTGTAAAGTATGTGGGCGAACTTTACCGCACCGCCCATTCGTTCTTGTTGTTGTTGTTGCTGTTGTATTTGTCTTTGGTATGTTGCGATTATGCAACAAGCTAACAGCGTGTCCAGTTCTAAATGCTATTTTTTGGCAATATGAATTTTTGAACATTTCCTTAACACAGCACAGATAAGCAAGCATGGGATTGAGAGAGAAAGAGAGAGAGAGAGAGAGAGAGATCTGCTAAGACACACACAGACAGACAGAGAGATACAAAAGCTGCAGCCGCAGCCTTTGGCCATTGGGCTCCTGAAAATGTAATCCCTGCTTTGGAGCACATTTCACGGCTGCCTTTCAGGTTTCTAACATATTTAAGCCCAAACGCCCCCCCGCCCCCCGCACTGCCTACTCCAAGCTCTGTCTCTGAAGCTGTCTCTAAGCTTAAATCTACGCGCACACACACACACACACTTACGTACTTATGCTTACACAAATGTGCGTGTTTCTCTTTGTGTGTGTATGTGTGTGTGTGCTTAAGCATTCGCTGTCTACATTTCTACATAAATTTCAACGCCTTCGATTGCAGCCATATGGGTCTTACCTGCCTGCCTGTCGGGATAACATTCGAATTAAATTCGTTTACGATTGTTTTTCTTTTGTCTGGCGCCCCAAAGTATACCACACACAAATTTCTAATATAAGCAAAACCCCAAAAGGATGGCGCTATATTTAAATCGATAAGTATGTGTTGCTGCAATTTCTGTAACATTCATAAAGCCCAATTGTCACTCAGCGTGGTGTGAAAATGAGGTTAAGTCGCGCATATAATTTTATATATTTTTGTGGCATTGCAAGTGTCATAAAAACACCTAAAATTGTCAGACTAAAGCGTCGGCGATTGCCAGTTTGCCAGTTGCCAGTTACCAGTATTTTATGGTATTTATACAACTACAACATCAGTCAGTCAGTCAGTCAGTTGATCAGCTTGGCGACCAGACGCAAAAATTTAACAGCTTTAAGGTCAGTTTACAGTTAAACAATGGTACAACAACAGTACACATATCATAACAACAATAAGGCAATGGCAGCCAAGTGCTGTTTGACTGTGTGTATGTGTATTTGTGTCTGCGTGTGTGTGTGTGCATTTATGTATATATGTATTTTTAGTACACGTACAAATTCGCAACACTGGATGCAGACATAGAAAAGGAGAAGAGAGTGAGTAGGAGAGCGAGAGAGAGCGAGAGAGAGTGAGAGCGAGAACGATAGAGTGAATGTAAGATAGCAAGCAAGAGTAAGCGAAAAAAGCTGAAAAAGCTTTGAGACCACTCCCCGAAAAGTTCAGGCGACGGCGCAACGTCGACGCACACAAAACAACCAATCCCAGGCATAAATACACACAAAAAAAAAAACACACACACACACATACAAGGCGAAAAACTGAAAAATACACGCATACAAACACAGAGACAGATAGAGGCAAAAGCAATGTGTTACAATGCAATTTCCCCGCCAGAGTTGTTGTTGTATTTGTTGTTGTTGTTGTTGGTGGGCGACCAACCCAAACTCAATTGTTCTGGCGAAAAGACAAAAAGGCTAGCTTGGAAAACTGGCACAGTCAAAAAATATGAGCAAGCAACAATAACGTAACTAACAGCACAGGGTGCAGCAACAGCAGCAGCAGCAGCAGCAGCAACAGCAGCAGCAGTTTTCCAATTGGAAGTGCAGTCTGATTTCTAAGGGTTGGGCTGTGATTATGTCAGCAATACATGTGTGTGTGTGTGTGTGTATGTGTGTATGTGTTTATTCCACCTTCACCCACCACTAGAAGCAGCAACATATGACTGCAAAGCAAAAGCAAAAGCAAAGCAGCGGTTCGTCAGTTGCTTTCCAAGCGCCGACGCCGCCGCACTTGCTACACGAGCGCTCGCTCGCTCGTCATTCGTGCGACGCATTTCAAACTAAGCTAAACTTTCCGGTAACGGTAAAAAGAGAAAAAACAAATATACAAGAAAAAAAAAAGAAAACGTTGTCGCCGTTGCCGTCGGCCAATGGCCATGCGCCATCCTCGCACGGAAAGTGTACAAATCGAAATCTCAAAAAGAATGTGACCAATGCAAGCAAATAATTGTGAAAGTGTGTGCAACATTTATTGAAGTAAATCTAGAGTCCCCAATAGATTTATATATGTATATATCTATGCAAACGTGATCCTGGCCAGCATCTTTAGCCTACTCGCAGAGCGCGCTCAGGCATGGAACTCTTGAAGCTAATGATGTTCAAAAGTGACTTTCTGTCCAATGGCAAATGTGACGATCGCGTACCGCCCATTAATCTAAGTCAATTGCCAGAGTTTCTATTGTGTAAGTGGTCTTTAACTAAAAACAAATACACCCCAATCACCCCAATCAAAAAAAAAACTAAGAGCACAGACATACTTAAAAAGTCCACTTGAATCCAAGAGATTGGAGCGCAAATATTGAATATTATCAACTCCTTATTAAAAAAGTTAAGATATCACTTTTAGCCAGTGAAATTGTATAATCATTACTATAAATTATATAAATATCTGTATTATTCATACATATAAATATTTTTTTTATATAAATATAGAATTGGAAAAGAGATGAGGCACAAATGTAGAATATTATTAACTTCTTATTTAAAAATCACCTTTGGCTACTAAAGCCTTATAAACATTACTATAAATAATAGAAATATCAGTAATATTTATATATATATAACTATTTTTTAAAGAACTATAGAATTAGAGAAGAGATTGAGACACAAATTTAGATCCTTTAAGATACCTCCTTGGGCTACCAAAGCCTTATAAGTATTGCTATAAATAATATAAACTCAGCTCATGCAAAGCTAAACTTTTCTTATAGAAATTCAGAATTGGATCAATTAAAGCATAAATAATGCAATATCCATAAAGCTAAGATATCAAAGCTGCTTGAGATATCTTACTATTGACTGTAAACTGTAGAATTAATTGTCTATATATCTACATATCTATCATTTCCAGCTCATAGCGCACTTTTTGCAGTTTTTCCTAAAACCAATACATGCAAAAAGTATGCAATGTTATTATGCGAAAATGTGTTTATTTGTTGAACTTACTTCTGAAAAAAGTTGAGAATAACAAACTTAACTCTTAAACAATTCAAATTGAAAACATAATACAAGTATTGAATTTCAGTTGAAATACCAATTATATTTCTACACTCCAACCAATAGATCAAAGTGCTTTTGAAAAATGTATTCCTTGCAGAATTTTGTTGATTCATCGTTTTGTATATTAATGGGAATCTGCAATTGCATTTCATATGTCTTTCAATAATGTTGATACCAACTATCTGCAAAAATAATAGCTGTATAATGCAGATGAAGTACGATTATTAATTTTCGATAATTCTGTAATGCAAATACAAACAAAATTAAAGAAAGTTTTATACTTTTTCATAAATGAAAATGAATTGCTTACTTTGTCGAAAAATAATAAGGAAATTAACTGAGAAGTAGAAAATGTAGTTATTTCGTAGACTTTATTTTACAATTCTCATAATGACAGTTTTTAAGTAGACGACAGTTCAGATTTCGATTCAAATTACAAAACAAGTAGCTCAATTAAAATTCCATTCATTTTAAATTGTTTTACGAGAATCGAAAAACGAACAAAAACCAAAAAACGAATTTGGCATAGAAAAAAGCCAAGAAACGAAAATGGGTAAATGAATTGATATTTTTGGGATGTGGTAATTAATGATGTCCACTTTGTGTTGTGCACTTGCAGCGACGATACCAAAGTGTGGCGGCTGCCACGAGCTGATCCTGGATCGGTTCATACTGAAGGTGCTGGAGCGGACCTGGCATGCCAAGTGTCTGCAGTGCAGCGAATGCCACTCGCAGCTGAATGACAAGTGTTTCGCCCGTAATGGTCAGCTCTTCTGCAAGGAGGACTTCTTCAAGTAAGTAAATTTCTTAAATGGGACCATCGGTCGCAAGGCGTGTTGCCAACACATTTTTTTTTTGGTTATCGTTGGTTGGTTTAATGAAAATCTCCCGTTGCCCCGTTGCCAATGTTTGGGTCGAACAGACGTTATGGTACGAAATGTTCCGCTTGTGATATGGGCATACCACCCACTCAGGTGGTGCGTCGCGCCCAGGACAATGTCTATCATCTGCAGTGCTTCCTCTGCGCCATGTGCTCGCGTACACTCAACACCGGCGATGAGTTCTATCTGATGGAGGATCGCAAGCTCATCTGCAAGCGTGACTACGAGGAGGCCAAGGCGAAGGGTGAGCATAACATCATCTATCATCTACATAGGATTCCCAAATTAATGCCAGCCCCAATTGCAGGTCTCTACTTGGATGGCTCGCTGGATGGGGATCAGCCGAATAAGCGACCTCGTACCACGATTACCGCCAAGCAGCTGGAGACACTGAAAACCGCATATAACAACAGTCCGAAACCCGCCCGACACGTACGCGAGCAGCTGTCGCAGGACACGGGCCTGGATATGCGGGTGGTGCAGGTCTGGTTCCAGAACAGGTCAGCCAACAAGCCAACTGACCAATCTATACCCCTTACTAACTATTCGCTTCTTTCTTTTTTTGGGTTGCCTTAGACGAGCCAAGGAGAAGCGACTGAAAAAGGATGCAGGACGGACGCGCTGGAGCCAATATTTCCGCTCCATGAAGGGCAACTGCTCGCCTCGCACTGACAAATTCCTCGACAAGGATGAGCTAAAGGTGGACTACGACAGCTTCAGTCATCATGGTATGTCTTGGCAACAATATTCTAGTTACAAGTACAAGTGGCATAGATATCCCAGCTATATTGAAAATCATTCTTGATTTTAAAATTGAATTTTAGTTTCAAAGTTTCAAAATTCGCACTTTACTTCTTAATTAAATCGTATTAATATTATTATTTATCATTTATTAATTGAACAATTTGAGTAATTAAAATAAGTAAATATTATTATGTTATACTTTATTCCAAATTTCCCCTGTTTAACATAATCTTTTATATGTATTGTTCGGCACACAGATCTGAGCAACGACAGCTACAGCACCGTCAATTTGGGATTGGATGAGGGGGCATCGCCGCACAGCATTCGAGGTTCCTACATGCATGGCAGCTCGAGTCCATCGCAGTATCCGCCGAGCAGTCGCTCGCCGCCAGCCGTGGGTCAAACGCATACGTTCGGCTCCTATCCCGACAATATTGTGTACACGAATATTGGTAAGCATATATTTCTGGCTTGCCTTGCGATACGATGCGAGAATAGATTTTCAAGAGTTTTGGTTCCTTTCAGATCATGGTGTGGGTTCGAGTCTGCATCCAAGCAAATCACATCATCGCCTGCATAGTAGCAATAATGTATCGGATTTGAGCAACGATTCTAGTCCCGATCAGGGATATCCTGACTTTCCGCCAAGTCCCGACTCCTGGCTCGGTGACTCCGGCAGCACCAATAATACCAGCACCAACAACAATGCGAATACCAACAATAATAACAATACTAACAGCAACAACAACAACAACAATAATAATAATAACAGCAGTGGCAGTGGCAGTGGGCCCTCGTCCAATACAAATGCCACACCGAATCCGAATCCTGCAACTCCTGGCGTACATTACTGATACTCAAAAATACTTTTGCGTTATTTTGAGATGCAGTCGCGCAATTTGCTGCTCGCGGCTGCCCAACAACAGAAGCATACTTCGCCGCAGTAGCGACGCCATTTTGAAAGCTCTCAAGCACTTAACAGTGCTGCAAGCAACCAAGGAAGCAAAAAGAAAACCAGAGACACAACAGAAAAGCTTAACAGTTAACAGCGCCGCTATTCGCAAGCTTTCACTTTTTGACTGCATTTCGGTAAATGCACTCATTTTCTTACTTTTAACTAATGTAACACAATTTGCTCAAGATTCTGTAATTGATTTTCATTTAGTTAACACACACATATTCGATTTAATGATTAAAGTACGAGAGTAACTTGAGTGTACATGGAGTGTACAATGTACATAGAAATGTGGTAATGTGCCCATGGCTTAAATGAATGATACTTAACGTTATGATGACGTCACTTCCTTAATCGCTTTTGTTTTGTATTATTATATTGTATGTATATTGTTTAGCTTTGATATTTTAGTGTATGTAAATATTGTATATTTGTGTATAGTAAACAACAAAATGAAGAACTACATTTTAAATTAAATTAAGTCTGTATAGGGTCATCGAAATGTGGGGTCAATGCACAAGATTAATTAAGCCAAGCCCCCCAAAAAAAAAACAAGTTATTTATTGCTTTATATAGGAATACAAGAATTGCATAGGAGAAATATCAATTACGAAAAAGTGATGTCGTATATACATACATATATCTAAAGTAATACCAAAAAAAAACAAAAAACAAAAAACCAAAACAAAATGATTTCAAACCAATAGAAATTTCAGTAAAATGCAAAACTACGTAAAACAAATGATAACGAATTTTTAAATTTATTGTGTATTACAATAAGTTTAAATTAATTCAAATAAATGCGATACAATTAATTACTATTTGACATGTAAGAATAAATGATACAACAATTGTTAAAAAATACGAGTTTTATATTATCTAAAAACAGTAATCAGAAGAGATGCTGCTCCTAAAAAATAGAAAATGGAACAACAATATGCATGGTAAGGAAATTCGCAGAATATTATTCACAATATTATTTTTGTCAAATTATTCGATATGTTTGAGTATTTGATAGAACTTAGATATTTCCAAACGCCGTTGAGAGTCAAAGCTCAGTGCTTTCTTTCAATTTCAATTGCAATTGCTCTCTCCCTCTCTCTCTCTTAGTCTCTCTATCGTACGCTCCTTCTACTATTTCATTCATAGCAGTGAGCGCAGTGAGTGTGTGGTGCGATGATGATCTGACATGTCGTCTTCTGTTTTTTGTCTCAGTCTCTTTTTCAACGTTCGCGCAACGACATCTCTCCTACCGAGAAAGCTTTTGATGCGCATAGGCGCCTAAACTTACCAATTAGTTTATTACAATTATATAAATAATAGAAAAAATCAAAACAAAATGAATCAATAATGTTTTATCAGCAATATTTTGCAGTAATTAAAAGCCACATCAAATCGACGGTGCGTTCGAGTTCGAGTTCGAAAATTCGATATCTATAAAAAGCGCTAAGCACTCTCAAAATCCAATTCAATTTTTTGTTTTTGTTATCTATGTGTGCATGTGCGAATATTATATATACATATATATATATATATATATATATATATATATGTGTGTGTGTGTGTGTGACAGAAAATGTGCTGCCAAATATCGAAATACAAATGTCGTAAAATGTTCTATTTTTATTTTGCAGTAAACTACAGCAAGCGCAGCTACAGCAATTTCAATTGTTGCTGTTGTTGTTGTTGTCGTATGCCACCAGTCTGAGTGTGTGTGTGTGTGTGTGAGATGCAAATGTGTAATATGTTTTTGTTTTTGTTGCGACGCCAAATTACATTTGCGGCCGATACGCCGCTCGATCCTTAAGAAGAGCCTTCCTCCACACACACAACATCATCATCATCATCATCGGATATCCAGCAACAGCAGAACTTTTCAAATAGTGGCCAATTCCGGAATTAACAAACAAAATAATAATAATAATAACGGACGTGTCCGCTCCGTGCATTTTCCAATAATGCAAATTCAATGTATGCCAATATTGAAAGTAATTTTCGTGCTCTCAACAATTGTCTCAGTCACAGGTAAAAAAAAAGAAAAAGAAATGCGCTCAAATGAAAACACGGCAACACAGCGTTGCCATATCTCGCAACAAACTGCAGCTGTTCCACTCACCACTCTCTCGATCTCTCTCTCTCCCCCTCTCTCTATCTCTCTCCGTCTGTCTCTTTACGCTACTCTCTCGTCCTGATTGCAAAAAGATTGTTGTTCGAGCCGAATTTTACTGTTTCGCCAGCATACACTTCAAATTGAGGAGCATGTAGTCCAATTGGTTAATCCAATGGAACTGCAGCAGCAATTCAATGTCGACGGCTTGACCTCGGCGACGGACATGTTCAGCGATACGGCGCAAATGTTACAATTATCGCCGCATCTCAGTTTCGATGGCGAATTGGCAGCACTTGCGACAACGGAGCGTGACAGAGGCCCGGAGCTTTGGTCCACCAACGAAGAAGAGGAAATGACGACAACAACGAAAAGAGCAACTACGCCAACACCAACAACGCTGATTACAACAACAACAACGCTAATTACAGCAACAAACACAATGGCAACAGGCGAACCACCGCCCGATGACAGTTCAACGCCGCGACTCTCTATTGACGCCGCCAACTCAGAGCGGAATGAAGAATCTGTTTCGACAACAACACCTGCAATAACAACAACGATGGCATCGACAACGGGCAAAAGCAGAAGTCCAAAGTTAACGGAAGACCTAAACTTTAAGCTTCCCTGCAGCGATGAATATATCAAGTACTTTTGCCTAAATGGCGGCAATTGCTTTCGCTGGGCGAATGCGAACAGCTTTAGCTATTGCGTGTGCGCCGTTGGCTACGTGGGCGAACGCTGCGATTCAAAGACTGAAAATGGTAAGCACCTGCTCGCACCATATACATATATATATATATATAATTATAAAGCTTTCAAAAATGTCAATTACCTTTGCAGGCGTTTATGTACCGTTACGACCGGCGACGCCCGACCCCCAGCTGAAGACGGCTCACATTGTCTTCTCGTTTCCCATGCTTGTCCTGCTCTCAACAATCTACGTTGTGTTTGGCGCTATTTTTATGCTGCGCAACGTTTCGGCGCAGCGACGCAAACAGCAACAGCTGCATTTGCACAAGCAGCGCTTTTTTGTCAGTTGTTGAAAAAATCACAATGGGGCTGCCAACTTGATTTTGTTTTGTTGCTTTCAATTTTGTTTAGGAGACGAACCTAATAACTAACGTTTTTTTTTGATTTGATCTGATTTGATTTGGAAACGCCATTTTGTTTCAACGCCAAATTTGTTATAAAATGCCAGCCAAGTTGGGCATTTGTCTATGATAATTTCTTTCTCTTTACGTTGCGCAACGCTTTAATTTATTTAATTACATATAATTCTTTTTTTTCTGTAAATTCATTGTATTTAGTTTTGCAAAATAAGAGCGCTCTTTGCTTTAGAAGCTTAGAATTTAAGCTTAGTAGATTTGTTTTGTAGTAACATTTTGTTACGCTATTTAGTATGTATTTAATATTTAAATTTAGCGTTTATCACTGTTATTATTAATATTTTTGTAACACTTTGTTACGCAACAAAAAAAAATCGAACAAAGATTGTAATTTATAAACAAATTCTTTTTGTAATGCAATAATCAAAAAAAAATATATATATGTGTACGGGACTCAAAAGTTTATAAAACTTGAAATGTTGCATGCGTTATTATTTTATTCATCTATTGTTTTTTGTTTTTTTTTTTTGTGAGAGAAGGCAGTTTTGGGTTTTTGTTGCTCTTCGTACCATAATTTCCAATATCAAAGCTCAAGATCAGTTTTAGTGGAGCACACTTGCGTTTTATATTTTATAATATATATTTATCCAATATTTCGTCCAAAAATTCTTTACAAATTTCTTAGAACTTACAGTTAAATGTATAGTAGAAATTATTCAAAAAATTCTTACTTTCATCATTTCATCGATGATTTGTTTTCTTTTTCTTTTGTTTTTCTTTTATCATGATCATCAATATGACAATGGTATGTATGCGTGTGTGTGTATGTTCGTTTGTGTGTGTGTGTGTACTTATAAATGCGTGTTGATGGATTATACGAATATACGTGTGAAAGAGAAAACGCCAGCATCAAAATTCAGTTGCAACCAAACACATCGAAACAGTTTCCTCAACTTTTGGTGGGTGTCGGTTTGGAGGTGGTGTTGTTTGTTGTTGTTGTTGTTCTTGGTGGTGGTAGTGGTGGTCAATGTATGTGTGTGTTGCTGTGTGTGTTGGTGTTTCCGTATATTCTGTCGATTTGTATGTATTTGATTTGTTTTTTGTTTTTCTTGAATATATGCTCATGTAATCTTGGATTAGGGATATGAAATTCGTACAAAAATGATTAAAATATGTAAATGTTAAAAATGTATTTTGCTTTTTTTTGCTCTCGTGTTTATCATTTAATTGTTGGTTTTTTTACGTTGCGTTGTTTTCTTATTTGTTTTTATCGTTTTTTTTTCTTGTTTTTTTTTTTTTGTTTTTTTGTTTTTAATAATATGTAATATATATAATAATTATTAGTATTATTCGCATGTCACGGGCAGGTCCTGTGTTGTAACATCTGCCGCGGCGTTCTTCTCCTTTAGATCCTTAGCGATATCCTAAAATAAAACATGCGAAAAACAAACAAAACGTAAATTAATTTACATTTCAGACGACTTTCAAATTTAAACGAAAAAAAAAATGATATTAAGCACGGGAGGAGAGAATAAGAGAACACAGAGCGATAGATAAGCAACTTAGAGCACAACAACAACAATTAAAGATAAAATGGCAATGACCTTTGCCAACGTAACAAATATAAAAAAAACAACAATGATACAAAAAAAATTAAAGAATGAAGAATGCGAATTATGTAAATTTTAATTCAATGGAGTTTTTTTTCTTTCTTTTTTTTAACAGAGTACAGTTGTATAGTCAGCGGCCAAACAGAGTTGTTAGAGCAGCTGTGCGTGTATATGTGTGTATGTATGTGTGTATGTGTGTGTGTGTTTATGTTTGTATTTGTGTGACGAGTGCAAGAATTAGAATGGGTAAAAGTTAGGCGTCAGTTTGGTTTTGTTGTTAATATACAAATGCAGGCGACGAGCTCAAGTAGTAGTAGTACATTAGATGCTGGGACAGTTTCGCGTTGTTTTATTTTTTAGTAGCATTCCATTTGATTTACATTCACATAAGAGATAAGAGATCATGCAGTTAGTCAACAGTAAAACAAGGGAACCAGCCAATTAACATTACGATTAACGTTAACAGAATATTGAAGCCGAGCGAGACACACACAGACGGGACGACCAACCATTTACGTTTAACATTTACGGTAACATAACAGACTACCAACTGCTGCAACCCATAACACAACAGAGTTGCACTGCTTTGTTCTCGTTCGTTACGATACGATACAAAAATTAAAAATAAAAAAAAACAAACAATCAAACTGATGCACATACGAGAAAAGCACAGAAAGAGAGCGAAGAGGAGCAGGAGATGGAAAACAGCGATAGAGAGGTGGAGCCCAACGCAGGATTGTTTGATAAATGGAAGTTATATATTTTTTATGGCGCATTATTTATTTTTTTTTCTTTGTGGTGGATTTTTGTCGAGTGAGGCGAGCAAGCGAGCGACGAGTGTTAAAAATTCGTTACGAATGTGTGTCTATGGGAAAGTGTGGTGAAGTAGAGTTGAGAGCGAATCGATTGGTATTCACCTCGTGATGAACAGCAGCTGCTTCTTCAATGTCCGCAATTGCGCCCAGCTTTGTTATGCTGCTATCGCTGCTGTTGATAATGTTATCGTTATCGATATTGATATCCATTTGCTGCACAACAGCTGGTGCATCATCAACAACTGTGATGACTTTCTCATCGTTCCCTCTTGAGCTGTGCTCATCTTCAGCTTCGAGAATGATATCCGTTATAAGGTCCTTCTTCTGGACAAGCATCTCGGGCTCGTCGATAATTTTCTCCACCATGCTGATCACCTCTGGTTCAATTTTATTATCGTTGTTATCGATATCATCATCGACATCGGTTATAATTCTATCGACTGCGCTTGAAACCTGCTGTTCCTCAACTAAATCATCTTCAATTGTGGGCAACACTTGCTTATCCTGCTCCGTTACAATATCTGCCGCCTGCTCGGTAATTTCCTCAACAATGGCCTGCGCCTGATGCTCAATATCGGTCAACAATAGATCTGTTGGTGGTGGTGTGGCTGTTTCTGCTGCAATCTCCTCCTGCTTTTGCTCATCCTGAACAAACTTAGCATCGTCGTTGTTGTCTTCATCATCGTTGTCTGTAGTTAATGCAAATGCCGAAACACGCGAGGGTGGTGGGGACTTGGGCAGTGGTGGCGGTTGACTGGACTCAACACAAGGCACAACCACATCAACATCATCAGCTGCTTCAACAACGGAAACTGGGTCGATTTGTGAGTGAGTAGTTTCGGATACGGATTTAAGTTCTGATTCGATTTCTAGACGGGGCACAGGGGAGGAGGATACAGCCGCAATCAAAACCGTTTCCGGTTCGACTTCATCAACGGACTCAGTGGTTTCAGTCTGAGGTGCAATTACAACAAAACTTTCGGACTCAGAGATCTCGCTAACTGCCGCAATAATGGCAGCAACCACTTGTTCTTCTTCTTCCTTGGCGGCATTGGCGTTGACGAGCCCTTCTTCTTCTTGCTGCGCTTGGACAGTAGTGTTGGGAAGTTGGACGGAATTGTCGGTGGTTGTGGTATTGGTTGTGGTGTTGGTTGTGGTATTGGCTGTGTTAGGTATTGTGTTATTTTGGATTGTGGTTTGGGTCTGAACTAACTCTGCGGCTGCAATTGTCTCGGTCTCAGTGGTTGTGGTTGTTGTTGTTTTTTCAGTTGTTGTGATTGTGGTGTTGTTGTTCTCTGTAGCTGTTGTTGTTGTGGTACTCGTATTTACAGTATTGTTGTTGTTGTTGTTTGTGGTGGTGGTGTCTATTTGTTTTACCTCGATTTGCGACTTGTTCTTAATTTGCTCGGCCTCGGACTCGACAGCGACGACAACAGGTGTGGTGGTGGCAGTAGTCTCCTCGTTCTTCTCACCAACTCCATTTGTGCCGTTCTGATGATGTGGCTCATCAACATTGTTGGTGGTTGTTGCTGCTGGTGGTGCCGCCTCTGGCTCAGTTGGGGATTCGGCCAAACCATTCTTCTCGCCATTGGTCAACAACACAGGCTCAGCAGCAGCGCCATGACCATTGGTAACAACTTCAGTGGTGGTGTCGGGCTCCTGCACCACAGCAGCACTCAATGACTCAACAATAGCTGGTGGCTCAACATTCGTCTTCGATTCGTTGGTGGTGGTGGCGCTGCTGCTTGTGCTAGTCGCTGTGATTGTCTCCGGCTTGGTTGCCTCCTCCATAACGTTAACTGTTGGCGCTGCTGACTTCTGCTCATCACCATTCACTTGTTGTTGTTGCTCCTGTTGTTGCTTTTCCTGTTCGCTGGCTGCTCCATTTTCGGTGGGTTTCGATTCAACATTGGCTGTCGCATCGGCAACTGCTTTATCCGCGGTTTGCTGCAAAGATTAAATTGGACATTTAATTGGAGGCAGGCACAAATACAATATTAGATTGCCAGCTTTACCTCAGCTTTGTCCGCGTTAGATGCTGCTGCTGCAGTTGCTCCTCCTTCGGCTGCTGCTCCCTCTGCTGCTGGCTGCTCCGCTTCGCCATTCGTTGACGCCGCTGCTACTGCTGCTGCTGCTGTTGGGGAGGCTGGCTCCTCGGCCTTCGCTGGCTTCTGTTTGTCCTTTTTGCCAAACGAGATGCTGCGGAATGACCATTTCTTTTTCACCTTATCCTTCTTGGACTTGGACTTGATGCTCTCATCGGCCAACGGTGAGATCTCCTCGGCGCCACTGCCCTCTTTGGGCGAGCCAGTTGCTGTTGCTGCCTCATCCTTTGCAGCAGTCTCAACAACAGCAGCCGCTGCATCACCATCAGCACCCTTTGGTGACGACGACGCCGCTGCAGCCGCTTCGGCAGCACTCTTCTCGGTGGTTAGATCTTTGTCATTCTCCGAGTTCTCTTCGCCCTTCTGCAAAAGCAAAAACATAAATTGATGTCACATTGAATTTACTCCCCTTTGTTGCAATTTACCTCGCCGCCAGCAGCAGCTGCTGACGCTGCATCCTCGCTCTTTTCCTTTGGCGTCGATGCATCGCCGTTTAATGCGGGCGGCGCTTGATCGACATCGACATCAATTTTCTCGACTTTGCCGGCGACTTCGTCGCCCTCGCCAACCTTCTTCGGATCGGTGGTGATATCAATTGAACGCTTGCTCTGTGCTTTACCCATTTTTGCTGGTCCTCCTCTTTTTTATTTGTATATATATATATTTTTTTTTTTTTGTTAATTGCTAATTGGTTCTGCTATATCTGGTTCTGCAAAAGCAAATAAAATGCGGGTTTCGGATGGTTTGTAAATAATTGCAAATTAATTGTTTCTCCTCTTCTTACGTTTCTATATATTTACTTGATACTATATGTTATGCTCGGGTATACATTTAAACGATTGCCTGTGGTGTGCACATGTTTTATTGAGTATCGTGAAATGGCAGCAACGCACTTTTCTAAAGTGAACTTGCCATTTTATTTATACATTTGACATTTTACTGCACGCCAACTTCTTCTACTAAAACAACAATAAAAATGACAACAACAAAAACAACAACACCAACAACATTTGCAATTTATACAACATCGCAATAGAAATTTGTAGTCGGCAGTGTGTGTTCTGTGATAAGGCAGGCATTGCGTTTTAGAGATCAGCAGCATGTAGCAAAAATATACATGTACTATATACGCATTACTGTGGTGATAAGATTCACATATATTTAGCGCCTAGTGTATTTGTATTTGTCGATCTGTCAATGTCAGGAAAATGTTTGGACACACAGAAAAAAATCATATTTTCCCATTTCTTTGTTTGGAAAGAAAACCAGTCGATGTCAGAGACTATCACAGTTAGATTTTAAATACGGAATATAAATTCTTGTACATCTCATACACATCATGTATTTTTATACAAATCGATTTCTGATAGCAATACAAACTACAATTTAAAAGATACATCATCTCTTTTTCGGTTACACATTAAATTGATCATCTAAATTTTTATCAACATTGAAATACAGAAGAACATTTTATATGTATATTTATCAAATTATACAGCAGAAAGAACAAGCATTTTCTGCATACATAAAAATAACATACACAAAAGAAAAAACACACACACAGTGATTAAAAGAAGTAAACGCGACTTTTGATAATTAAAAGTCTTAGATTCAGGGCATCTTTAAATCGTGCTCTCTCTTTGTTTATTTGCATTTATTTAATTATTTTGTGTGATGTTGCCAGAACTCAATCAGTAATCAGAGTTAACTTGTCTGCGCCTAACAACCACATACATGTGTATGTATGTATGTGAATGTGTGTGTGAATGGATGAGCAGGCGGCAACTCATTAAATTGCTCGTTAAGAAAGCAATTTATTTGGCTTTGAATGAAGAACGCAAAGTGTGACTGAATAAACATTTCAAATTGCAACAATCAACTATGAAAGTGGGGAAAAACACGAGTGGAAAGGCGAAAAGAATCAAATGTGTTTTTCAGAATCAAGTTGACTGATTTAAAGTTGCCATATTTAAAGTAAAATTCAAATATTGATATATAATCATGCATTGTCAGAGTGTACAGCAAATGCAGGCAACTCTATTTATTGCCGGCGTTTAATAAAAAAAAAAAGGCAGTGTAAACAGCAGCTTATCAGGCATAGCCATAACAAGACAAGAAATATATATTAAATAAATGAATAATGCTAAAGGTAGGCGGCAATTGTGAAATGGTTTTAGCTGCGTCAAGTGAATCATCAAATTTAGGAAATTTGTACGAAGCAACAAATGACACACACACATAGAGAGAGAGAGAGAGAGAGAGAGAGAGAGAGAGGGAGATGAAAGACGGGCGAGGCACTAAACCGCTCCCATCCCCTCCAGGCTGTTAGTCGTCTTCTTGTTGCTACTACTATGCGTCACTTTGAAAATCGAATTACTCGACGCGACTCGGTAAATGAAACAGAAACCGTACCAAATAAATTTAAATAACAGCAGGGAATAGGCAGGAGAGAGGGGGGAGGAGGTGAGAGTATCGGGCGCAGAAAATTAAAAAGCGAAAAGTTTCGTCTTATTTAGGGGTGGCTAAGAACAACAACAAACATCCAATTTACACACAGAGGAGCGGCCAAAGCGGACCTCATTTGAAAAAGCTGTCGCAAAGCCAGCATTTGTGTGAATGTAATATATTATGTACACATATATATGTTTGTGTATGTGCAATCTTTGCATGCATTTTTCGCGGTCTGAGAACAGCTGCGATATAACAGCTGTTTGCATTGTTTCCAAGCCAATGAGCGACTTTTTTTTTTTTTTTTTTTAATTGTGAACCTTCAAGCTTAACTACTCAAATTGAAAAAAATACCAATTTCATTTCATATAAATACACTATGCTAACACCAATATCAATAATATGAATAAATCAAAATACAGGCAACAAATGTTGCATCATTCTGCATTTAAAAATACCCCTAAAATTTCACAAGTCATATAAATATTTCATATTTTCTTAATTTTAAGTTTAAAATTAAATCTAATTTTTAATTTAATCTATTTCTTACCTTATGTGATTTATTTATTTCTTTTCATTTCATATAAATATTCTAAATAGTTAACACCAATACCAATCCATGCAACAAATATTACATTTTTTTGCATTCCCAAAAATCTTATGAATGACTGATAAATATGTCTTATTTTTTTATTAACCAACTAATATTAAATTTATTATTTGTAATTTAATCTAATTTGTACTTTTTGTATTTTTTAAGTAAATAAATAAATAATCGAATGCAAAGTTCGTCTTATAAAGTGTTCACTGTATTTACACGATACACGTGTATCCATAAAAATTGTGTTATTAAACACGAACGAAAACGAAACGTGAAAACATCACGTTTCAACAAAGTTTCTCAACCGATTCAAACGTTCAATGAACCCCCCAAAAAAAAAAAATCAAATTCACCAAACACCTCAAAAAGAAAATAATAAACCAACGATGGCAGCAACAAAGCGAATGCCGCCCGCCTCTGCTTACATTATTTTGGATCAGCCAGCCACAAGATTAATCGAACTAAATCTAAAGCAAATTTGTCGACAAGAGGCAAAAAAAATACAAAGAACAAAAAAAACAATGTACAAGAAACAAGAACAACAAATAGAAAGTGAGGTGTCCAGCAATTAATTTGATCTCGTCGAATTTCAAATGTGAAATATCCAGTGATTTTTTGTATGGACAAACTGAAATTTGGACTGACTGACTGTATGCAGAATGAATGTATGCTTGATGAGTAATCGCAAAAATATGCCGACACACACACACAAGTGAACACAGGTGTAGCCGACGTAATACAACCCTTACTAAAATAGACAGCACAATAACCAACTGTGCGCGCACAGAGAAAAAGAAAGAGAAGAGAACAACAATAAAAAGCGCAAGTAAAATTGCGGTATGACGCATCAGGCGAGGCAAAAAGGACAAGCAAACAAGGACAGCAGCAGAGGGTTGCCGCCGGCCGGCATTTAATTTCTATTACAACTACTATGACGTTTACTACTACCAAATACTACTACTACTACTACTACACTTACGCAACTCGCACGTACAGCAACAACAAAAATTACGACGACGACGACGGTCATTGCCCGTCGTTGCCATGGCAACGAGCAGTCGACGCTAACGCTAACGCTGACGTCGCTGCGTCACAGCAGCAATATTTGGAGGGGGCGGCGTGTGAAAATATTTGAGCGCCACTGGGGCCCACATACATACATACAAACGACAACAGGCGATGCATTAAAATTGTGACAACGTTGCCAGACCGACGACGGCAGAAATTGCATGTCAAAGCTTTTACAGGAGATTAGCATTAGCAAGAGTTTTACAACATTCACACATAAGTAACATTTGCATCAGTCAGTCAGCTTGACTGACGAAAATTGATTGTTCTATTAAAATTACATTTTTTGGGGGCTTTTATTAGTTAAATTTAATTTAAACTTGACCTTTGATACACACACATACACTTACAATAGAAATGCCACTGGTCACTTCTCTCACGCCTCTTTGCTTTTAAAGCCGCGCCTTTGTGCCGCACTCAGTAAAAGAAAATTTATAAACGAAGGGAGGACAAAGGAACGCAGCAATGAGGAGGGGGAGGGGAGAGTGGCGGTCTCTGTCGTCTATAAATAAAAGCGCATTTATCAACAATGGAAACATGTTCGAAATGCAACAACAGCTCCACACAAAGAGCGAGCAACGTATGCATGTGTGTATGTGTACGTGTGCATATGGGGTGTGTATGTGTGTGTTCAATTGTCTGCTCTCTATCAATTTTGACACTTTAAGCTGCTGTTGCTGCTGCGGCTGCGCTTTCAATTTGACGCCTGCTTCTATTACTCCACTCCTCTCACTCTCTTTCTCACTCTCTATCTCTCTCTTTGTCTTCCCTTTTGCTTTTTCACTGGAAGATCCAAGCGCTATGAGAGTGCAGACGATACGTAAATTAAATTGATTGTGCTGGAATGCGTACAGCACAACACTGGAGCCGGGGCCGGCCGGCCAACTGGACAAACATTAATTTCATGTCATGTTATACACATATATATATATATATATATAGATTCCAGTTGGAAGTTGCATTGTTGTACAAATAAATTGTGTAGGGCCATTTATAATAGAGTAGCATTTATAGCACTGAGATATTGCTAAGTGCACGCGCACTCAAAAGCCGCGCGAAGTAGACGTAATTGAACTTTTATAAACTAATCAAACGAACGCCCACAGACTCAAGTCTCAGTCGCCGTCTCAGACTCCCTTCTTTTTTATTCGAATTTTGTTCATTCCACTGCACACGCACTTGACAGCCGACAGACACACTCACACACACACATACAATGCATCTCAGCTCATTTCTTTCAATTTCTTCAATCAGCCGCCAGGCGGCGACAGTCGCAAAATGTGCAAATAAATGCCGAGTATAATAATAAGTAAAGCTGGGAGAGAGAGCGAGAGAGTGAACAATAAAATATGTTGATACACATGTTGACACACACACACTTATACACACAAACATACAAGTGCAGGCAATGCATATTTGCATATTTGTCACATTGTTTGCTATTTGAGACACACACACACACACATAAACTGCTGCTGCAGATAAGCCACGCCTAAATATAACACACAACAAAACCCAATCAGTAATCAATTTCATATGTAATAAATATGCACACACACAAGCACATATAAAGTGCACTTAAATGCATTACACACATATACACACTCACGGACACGCTCAAACAGCAATTGTCAAATGGGAAATATATGGCAACATTTTTTTTTTTTGTGGCCCACGCAGCCAAAGGAATTGAGGGAAGAGAGCACTTTTCAAAATTGTCTGTGCAAAAAGCAAACAGCAACGAGAAAGAGAAGAACAAGAAGAAGAGCAGCAGTCAGTTTCAGGGAATGTCTCAAGTAACCGGATATAATTGGTTGGCGCTGTGTTGTTGTTGTTGTTGCTGTTGTAGTCTTATGAGTTGAGCGACAATATGAAAAGGATACGTAAAATGAGTGCCATAATTAGTTACGAGCTGGAAATACAAATGTATTGAAGTATTTGAGTATGTAAAATGAAGAAAACTGTTTTCAATTATCATTTCCGGTCAGTAGTTGTAGTTGTTTTCGACAAACGGATCTTTCTTTCTTTCTATGGCATTCTTCACAATTATTGTTATAGAGTACTCAACGAACATAGCCCAAAATATAAGCAGATATTCATATATTCATTGACATAACGGTACCTTCAACGTCGTCATCGTCGATATCTGAATGAACCCCCGCAGCAGCAAATGATAAACAGTTTATATACATAAATATATTTATATATATATATATAAGTAGTGTATGTGTTATAAAAAAAAATAAAATACATAAATAGAGAGAGAGGAAGTGTCTTTAGTAGGCGACGCATTCACAATTGATAAATGCGAATGAGGCACAAAGCAACTTGGCTATCAATTGCATTGAATGGGGTAATTCTAAATTAATTTTTATGTGTGTATTTTTTTTTTAAAGAATTATGTCTGATTCACAGTTTTTCAACTTAACAATAGAAATACGGCGTTTTTCCTTATATTTTTCTTCTGAATCTATGTATATATGATATACATATATATAAGTTGGGCGCTACGTGATTTGGTGTATAAAAATAAATGTATGATGTGTTTGTGTTCAAGTCGAGATATCTGTGTTACTGCAGTCAACAACATATCAAAATGATAAGCGCAAAAGAAAGCAGCGATCTGCGCAAACATTAAAAATACTTTTTTTACGGGCTTAACCAAGTAGATAAACACAACTAGCAGATTGTAGAGAATCTTAATTTTTTTTTAAGAAATTAAAGTCATTATCAATTTATATGCATAGTTTTGAGCACGTGAAAAGATTTTGCGTTGTTTTTTTTTTGGTTCTTTTTTTTTTGTTAAAAGCGAAGCATATAAATTTTTAATATATGCATAAATAAATGGGAGAATAGCCACTTAAAGCTAGCTTTTACTTTTATGGTCGGTTATTTTAGTTTAACAAGGTCTACAATAATCAACTAACAGCAAAAAAAAAAAGAAAATGTTATTTGCGATCCCCGATTTTAAGGCCAAAAAGAAAAGCAGCTATTAAATGGCGGCACTCGAACAACAATAAGAAACACTCGTAAAACAAAAAATCACAAAATCTGAGTCTGCGCAGCTGGAAGAGGAGACAGCTAGCTAGCTAGCTTTCCAACGCGAGCCAGATTAAACCAGCCCACTCATTCCACATACACACACACACAAACAAACACATTTACAACTATGTAAGTGTGGCCAGAAAACTTGAAAAAGCAGTCGCAAAATATTGTCGAAGGATGCGGATGCAAGTAGAAAGCGTAGCTGGCAAAAAAAAAAAATATATATATATATATATTTAAAAAAAAGTGGGCTGCAACCGTTGCGCTGGCTTAACCGGTTGGGCGCTTTGCCATTCTTGTTCTCTGCCTCCTCCTCCTCTACTATGTTGTGGTTGTTCTTTGGTTTTTGCGGCTAATTAAAACACAAGAGCTATGCATGCATTAGTAGTAGTAATTTAATGAAAAGTAGTAGTAATAAAGGTAGTGATAGTAGTAGTAGTAGCAGAAACAAAGACAAATGCCAATTAGTCAGCAACGAACCAAAGCGGGAATTGAAATTGAGTTGTGAGTTGTCATCAAGTGGCAAGTGGCGCGCGCGCGAACGCCTCGCTTATGCAGTCTGATTAGAAATTCAAAGCGCTACGTCCGGATTTATACGCCGGACCACTTTGGTATTGGTATTGTTGTAAACGGCATTTTAATACAAGCCACATAAATAATTCATAAGACGACAATTGGCAAAGAAAACAAAAATTGACGCACGCTTTCTGTTCTGTTCTTGCTGCTGCTGCTAAGACACATTACAAATGTTTGCATTATTTCCGGTACTTACTTTACTCTTGTGTCTCCGCTGCGCGGGTGGTCACACTGAACAATATTTTGTAGAAATGTCAAAAGCGTGCTAACGCTAATTTTTAGGTGACGAAGAAGAGGCACTTTCACTAATCACAACGCACAAAATGCACTGCAGGAGTAGTAGTAAGTATAACTAACTAGTTAGCTACTCGATTTGTAAAGTTAATAGTCGTCGCACAAAAACAAATCTATCGCACACACAACAAAACCGTTCAAGTCAAACAACAAACGGCGACTGCGACGATCACAGCGACGACGACAACTGAAGAAAAACAGAAGTAGAAGCAGAAGCAACAACAGAAAAGAACAAACGCAAAAAGAAACTTCTACTTCAGCGCTTGGCAGCACTGCAAGCAGAGCAGCGCAGCAAGCAGCGCAGTGCAGAGCTAGAAGCAGGCAGAAAAACAAAGAGAGAAAGGCCGGAAGCGTCAGCAGCAGCGTCAACAGCTGAAATGCGGGCAGAGGCAACAACAATATTGCATTGCATTGAGTGACCATCAGTAGCAGCAGCAGCTATCAATAAAAGCGATAGTGATATTATTATTGTTGTTGTTATAACTTCTTGTTGCTGCCGCATGCAATGCGTAAGGAGTCAATAACAAAACTAATGAGCCTTGACGGTGGCAACGATACATTTACATATACAAACACACACATACACGTGCATACATATGCAGGGGCCTTCTTTATTGCTTCATTTTGCCATTCATGCTTCACACAATGACCCCACATGGCAGCAAGCGGGCGCTGCGCAGCCAGCAGAGTAGCAGTAACAACTTTAAATAAACAATGACAAAGAGGAGTGAAAGGGATGGATAGCAAGAAGAGAGCGAAATTCTTGATGACTTTTTTTGTGCTGCTATTGACTTGAGTTGAATTCTGTCTCGTTAATTGCACAAGCTTAAGCTGATTATTGTATTCTTGCACTTATCATTTAATTAAAATTGAATTTTGTTGACGACAATTATCGATCAATGCATCAAAAATGTTGTGTATGAAATAAATTTATCACAGCTTGCAAATGTCAGCCAAAGTGTTGACATGACTCGTCAGTGTCACCCCTCTCTCCGGCTCCCCCTCACAAACGCACTGGAACATGTGTATAAAAGATGTTGCTTGAGCAGAACAGCCGCCATTGCCATTTCTACGCTTGTGTGCGTATGTGTGTGTTGCGGTTTGTTGCTTTGAATATATATGTATGTATGTGTATACTCGTATTTTTTTCTCCACAAAGGCAGCACATTTTCTTGCCACTCCAACAAACCGGCAACCGCTAAAAAAAATCAATCCTAACCACTTGAAATTCGACTAACAAGTACTTGCATACTTTACACACACACACACATACATAGGTATATTTGTTTATTTATAGCAATCGGTGGCGCGCATTTCATATTGTTATTAATGCTAATTCAACAAAAAACAGCAGCAACATCTCATATAAAAAAAAAAAATAAATATGCCACATTTAAAAATATTCGTAGGCCAAACAAGAAATCAATCCGCAACAATAACAAACAAAGCAGGCAGCAGCAGCAGTTGAGAGAAGCAGATGAGACGAGTAACAAGAAGAAGAAATGAAAGAGAAATGGACGGACTTCTTCACAGGCCGGCCGGTCGGTCGCTGCTCGCTACCCAGATAAGAACGAACGACGATGTTGCCTGATCGGCATAAATTGCGTTCTTTGAGAAAATCATTTTTGTTTTGTTATTGTTGTCGTCCGTCTCGCGATTGCAAGGGAAATAATGGCGATGTAACAAACTGATTGCTAACGTATTTCCTCCTTTCCTACATTTTCTATTGATCACTAACAGTGGTTGAAATTGACATTATTTAAAACATAATTTATACTTCTAAAAAATAATTTATTTTTGTAAAATATTTTTATTATTTAATTTTGTAATGTTTTTTTCTTTTTAATAATTAATCAATGTTGAAATAGAATGCAAAATTTGTAATTTGTATTGTTTAAATTTCTTAAGTGGATTATTGTGATTAAATCGCAGCTGTAGCATATTCAACTTACAAATAAATTCAAAATACACTTGAACTTGACAGCTGGAATATTGAAAAATTAATAGATTTTTTCTGGCAAAATATACGAAAAAATTGTTTTATAATAGAAACTGTTTTTCAGTGATATTTTATATTTTTAGCTTAGGTTTTTCTAATGCAAACCACAAATTGCACTTGGCGTAAAGCACGTAACGGTATCGCAAGCATTTTGCCACACACAGACTTGGGGCTGTAACCGCAGTCACAACAACAACAATAACAATTTTATACCAATAAACAATAACAAACGTTTGCCAAGACTGCGCCCCCTTCCTCAAATGCATTCAATATGAAACTTGAAACGACTTCAAATGCATGCAACCCCGAAAAGCTGAGCTCTAAACTGCAATTCAGATTATGGCAAAAGCGAATAATAATTTATGGGAAAGGACAAAATAAGAAATATTCTATGAAAATCAAATACGAAAATATAAATTATGCATTTTTTATTCCAAATTTGAGTGTTTTTAAATATCTAAATGCAGACTGCACACCATTCACCAGTGTTTCCGACGTACTTGCTGCATACATACATATATATATTTATATATAAATATATATGTATGTATATATGTACATACACAGGCACAGGCACGTAAGCGACGGCGACGCCAGTTAGGGCGGTGGCTGGTCTGGCAGCAGGCTGTGCTGTGGTGCGCCAGGCGGCTAACTACTCTCATCATATACTTTGTTGTTGTAGCCTTCACTTCCAACTAGCTATAAAAATTGCGACGCAATATTTTTTTTTTTTTTATAGCAAAAGTGGTTTTCTCTCTCTTCGCAACGATCCTCAGGCAGCTACCAACACTTGGCTTACGAGTAAAAGTAAAAGCCGCCCACAGGAAAGAGAGAGAGAGATAGAGAGAGAAAAGTAAATACGCACACATATTGTGTTGAGTATTAAAGAAGGATATTTTTAGCAAACAAGTTCAAACGTGCTGGCAAGTGTAATCAGGCGTAGAATGCTCAAACACAAAGACAAGACGACAACAACGACAACGACAATGAAAAATAAGTCAAGTCAGGCATCTGAAACGACGACGAACAAGGCAACAGCAGCAACAGACAACAACGTACACTCACACACACACACACGCATATACATATGAGTGTGTATGTCTGTGTATGTGTGTACGCACTCACAAAAGAAGAGGCAAGTCAGGCAAGCAAGGAGCGTACGAGTGACAGCACAAAGCATAAAAAAGGATAAATGAAGCACGCAAGGGAAGAATGTTGATAAGCAAGCGTAGAGCACAAGACAGAGAGTGAGAGAGAGTTAGCTAGATGGGCAGACAGCAGGAGAGATACATAGAGAGAGAGAGAGAGAGAGAGCGAGGGAGAGAGCCGAACGGATACAAAGCCAGCCACCGGCAGCGACGCCGGCAGCGGCGACATAGTGGCAACGCCAACGCAATTGCAGGCGGCACACCCAAAATTTGAGAAAAGGCTGCAAAGAACGCAAAAAAAAACTACGAACAGCAACAGCCCAAAAGCAGCACTAACGAAAAGCCGGCTATGCATTTATTTTTTGTTCAATATTCGTGTTAAAGCTGCTCAAATTCTCTGTCAACGCGCCCAGCCCACACACACACATACACATGTACACATATAGACACGCATACACTAACAATAGTATGGCGTCCTTTTTGAATTCTGTATGCTTGAAGCGCTGTCTGTCTGCGGCACTAGAAATACTTGAATAAATAATTATTTCAGCACTCGTTGTAATTATTATATTTTAAAGTCATAATTCACAAAAGTCTCGTCCTACACTCGCATTCACACACTATTAAAACATGTACAAAGCGTTATACAGAATTTCAACAGCAACACTAACACACACACAAACAGACACGCACACAAAGGCACTCAGACAGCTTGGCTTGGTTTTTCAAATTTTGTGTTTGCCATTTTTTTTCTTCTTTGGTTGCGTTTTGAATGAAATTATGAATATTGTAATTAGCATTTACCTGTCTCGTTACGTGTATATTATTACGGACGCGCACTTTATACTTAGATTCTGTGGTTTTTTTTTTCGAATATAAACCGCAGTTCGAACTTCTTTCTTTAAACTACTTTCTGTCTCTCGTTGAGCTGTCAAACAAACCGAATGCGTTCAAGCACAGTGTATGTGTGTGAATAAATGGGCACATTTTTTTCTGCTTCATTTTCTTTCTTTGAACCCTAAGTGAATGCTGATAACTATCGATAATTTGGCAGGCTGGCTAGCGAATGAAGCGGAGCGAGTTGAACGATGTTCAATTCAAACTCAATTCACAATTTTAGCTATTTGACATAACTTAATTGACTCAAAGACCTGTTTGCTAAACATATTTAATTAAATGCAATAATATTAGCTGTGCAACTCTTTAGAGGTTTGTGGAACAAGTAATAAAATTGAAATGAATTTTCGAATTTGCGCTTAAGGATGGGGAGCAATATATCAATTGTCGAATACAGCCGATAGTATATGTAGATATCGATGGAGTTGACTATGGTGAATTGAAACTGCGTTTTTGGGATTTTCGATTAATCGGCATGTGGTCGCACACACAACAAAAAATTGACGCAAAGTCGGCGGGAAAAACTAGGAATCAATGAAATACACTTAACAATTTAAGAGTTAACGAAATAAGACTGCCAAATACAGAATTGCGATGCCGCCAAAGCCAAAGGGTACATCGCCCACCGTACGCAAACGCTACTGCGGCCTGGGCAATCATCATCTGCGTCCGCCGCTTAAAACGATCAGCGACGAAAGAATACTCCGTTTTGCCAGACACATAAATAACGAAATACGGAGGGCAACGCCGGTCTGCGGCAGCTGCTACGACACGTTGGTTAGTATCTACCACATCAAGGTGAGCCACGCGATCGATCTGCAAAAGGGCAAGAGGCGAGCGGCGGCGGCCAATACTAATTCCATTTCGGATGTGAGCAATAGTCAACAGTTGCCAACCACATCGGCCCCGCTGCATTCGTCGTCGAGTTCTGTTTCCGCTTATTCGACCACAGACACCACAGACAGCAGCAATCTGCCCTCCACTTCGACGGCGAAGCGTAAGCGACACGAGCCACAGCCAACAAATCCTGTCCAGCAATCCACCTCCTCTGACGATGATGAGCAACTTTTAAGTCTGAATGCTGTAAATGGAACCCGTTTGCCAAATGTTCAACCGATTCCCAAGCGACGACAATTTGTGAGTCTGAACAAGGATGTTATGGATATTTATTTAAACGGCACCACGGGCGGATAAATTTCCTATTTAATTTGTAGTCAAAATAGAAAAAGAAAAACATAAGTTGAACTTAATTATTAAATTAAAACATTTAGTGTTTAGTTCGTTTATCGCAAGCTCGCTTTACTCTATTTAGTTATTTAGTTAAAAGCATACTTAATTCAAGTCATTCCAATGACAATAAAACAAAGTTGAAGTCACTTTTGAAAATGATTTTTGCAAGAAAATTTAAATGAAAATAATAACTTTTAAAACAAAATGTAATTTTAGCCATTTGCAAACAACAAGCTAATATTTATATATGTATTACAATTTAAAAAAATATTAAATGAGATTTAGCAAAGAATTTCATAAAATCACATGAAATGTTCACAATTTTTAATGGTAATTCTTAAGTATGAATGTAAAACAGTAATCTTAATATTTTATAATGACCGTCAATAATTTAAATTTACCTTTTTTAAAACTATAACGATTTATTTTGTTGAATTGAGTTCATGAATAAATTAATGTACTGCATCAAAATGTTAACTTATAATTTAAGCAGTTTCGATAAGTGTTGACAAACAGCTGTTGCTGCTAAAACGCATTTATCCAACTTTTTGCATGGCCTTAGCAATTGTTTAATTTTAAAATATAACTAATTAGTGCTCTTATAGCACTTTGTGTAGTCACAATTAGACGGCGACAACAAAATATTTACAAAAATTACGTTTTTGATACCGGCTTAAAACTTAATAAAACAACGCCTTGATTAAAAAAAAACGTTTGTCGAGTGTTTTTCAGTCTAAGATAACATAACATTGTTGCTCGCTGTTGTTAACAGTCTGCAAAATGTGAAGTTAACAGACAAACGCAAAAACAGCAATTTGGCAAAAAACAAAACAAAAATATTGCAAATAAATACGAAATATTATTGTCAAAGAGGATTTTATTGCTAAATAGACGAACAAACAGCCAACTAAGATGGAAACAACAATGGAGACGTGCTTGTAGGGCCGATCGAAATTTATTTCACATACGCAGTTTCCATGATAGACACCAAAATTTGGCCAGGTGAAGAATTGTTGGCAATAACTCTTTTGGTGCATGTTGCTTAATATTGTTAATTGCAGAGCGTCATGGGCTGCATAACGAGCACCAATAAGCTAAACGAGCTGCGACAGGAGAATGTGTTCCGCGTACGTGTCGCCCACTTGCAGCCCAGTGGACCCGAGGCGCCCATCATACGCAGCGGCTACTTGGAATTAACGCCACGCGAGCTAATTTTTCTGACGCCCGGCTGCGAACCGATTGTGTGGGCACTGCAGCATCTGCGACGCTATGGCCTGAACGGGGATCTGTTCTCGTTTGAGGCGGGCAGACGTTGCATGTCCGGTCCGGGCATCTACACCTTTCGCATCCACAATGCCGAGCAACTTTATCCGATGTTCCAGCGTTACATCAACGCTGTCAATACGGATGCCTTTGCCCAGGTCGAGAGGGAACGGGAACGTGTAAATTCCACGCATTCGGTATCGGTGCTGATGGGACGCAGTGATCTCCAGCCGCACAGCAACAACTACTTGGAACCGGCACCGTTGTTGGCCCGGAATGCTCTGCAATCCTCCTCCCAGCAGCAGCAGCAGCTATCGCAGCACCAGCTGCTCCAGCAGCCAAATGATATGCTGGTGGCTGCCAGCGATTCACCTGACTCTTTGCCAAATCTGCAGCTGATGGGATCAGCGGATGCGGGCGTCGATGGCGATGTGGGCGCACTGCAATCGCCAATTACGCCAGGCGCCTACATCAGCACCAGCACAAATCTGTACTTCGATCAGCCGTTGCACCGATTGCTTCTCGAGCAGCAGAGCAGCAGCAATTCGCCGACAGATGGCACGTCCACTGGAACCAATTTGGTGGATATGCCGCCACAGGAATCGGCACCGATGATACTCAATGATGCGTTGCGTCTGTATGCCAATGTGGATCGTTTGCTTTGCGATGAGCGTTGCTATGAGAATATCAATCGTTTGGATTTGCCACTGCTGCCTCGCGATAGCTCTCAACAATCGATGGCATCCACAGCACAACAGCAACAGCAACAAACCCAACAACAATCGCAAGCACAACAACAGCAGCAGGCACAACAACAACAACCAGTGACGCCAACGAGCCTAACTGGTGTCAACTACATCGTGCTCGACTTGGATCAGCCACGCAGTCCCGCGCAGTGTTCGCCCAATGGCTTTGGCAGCGGTCAATCTTTGATTGCCGCCGCGCCCGTTACACCGGATGGGCTTAAGGCGAGCACAGATGCTACAACGGCAGCGACGATATCGACGCTGAAGCGTAGTCCCAAAGCAACAGCAACTGCCACAACGGGTGCAACAGCAACAACTGCGGCAGCGGATAAGGTCGCTGGCTACTCGACAATTGATTTTATACGCACGTACGCCTTGAACAAGTCATCGACGGCAACGGGACACGACGGCGAACTGGCGGCTGCGATGGGACAACACATGCAGGATCATCCGCACGAGGAGGGAGAGTTGCGGATAACGCGGCACAGCAAGGGTATGCGAAAGGCCTACTCAATCAGCGAGTAACGAGTAATGAATAGAACATAGATCGTCTTCTACTCGCTAATAGTTGAGTCAAGTAACGAGTAGCACAAGCAGAGGCGAGTAACGAGTTGCACAAGCAGAGGCGAGTAACGAGTTGCACAAGCAGAGGCGAGTAGCGAGTAGCAAGGGGAACATCTTTTACTCGTCAGCAAGCGTCTAAATATTGCGCAAATGAATTAAGAAACAAGTGGCATAAGCACAGGCGAGTAACGAATAGAAAATTTAGCTTCTTCTAGTCGCTAGCAAGCGCCCAACGATTGATTCAGATGAGTCAAATAACGAGTAGCATAAGCAGAGGCAAGTCACGAGTAGCAAGAGCATAGACGAGTAACGAATAATAAATTGAAAGTCTTCTACTCGCCAGCAAGCGCCTATCAATTGAGTCGAGTAACGAGTGGCATTATCAGATGCGAGAAACTAGTCATTTACTCAATAGCAAACGAACCGCTATGCGAAAGATGGGTCAAATAACGAATAGCATAAGCAGGGCCGAATAACGAGTAGAAAATAAAGCGTCTTCTACTCGTCAACAAGCGCTTAGAGTCAAGTAATGAGTAGCACAAACAGATGCGAGTAGCGAATAGAAAATAAAGCGTCTTCTACTCGTCAGCAAGCGCCTAGGGGCAAGCAACGAGTAGCACAAGCAGAAGCGAGTAACAAGTAGCAGATAGAGCGTCTTCTACTCGCCAGCAAGCTCTCAACTATTGGGCAGATGATCAAGTAACGAGTAGTTGAAGCAGCACAACGAATTTACCAAAAAAAAAAAAAAAAAAAGACGGGTTAAAGTTACGACTCGTTCTATATTTTACTATAAGGTTTATAATTGCTTGCTTGCGTCGTGGGTAACCAATTGAAGAATCAACCTCAAATTCTTTGCCCGGAACGCAATCAGGAGACCCAACAAAAAAATCCCAGTCACAAATCAGGTTGTTTCAATGCATGTACTTACATATACATAAATACATACATTTAATTGTGCACATATATATACATATATATATATATATATATATATATATATATATATTATAATATATATTATAATATTTGTATACTTAAGTATTTTTAGTGCTAGTCTCGTTTTGAAATGTTGTGCAAATCAATTTGTTGTTTCGTTTATTTATTAGTGAAAATGCAACATGAAAGGCTTTTAAATTGTACATTATGTAATTGATGTACATAATGTACTCGTTAGTAGTTAAGCACCCATATATATATATATATATATACATATATAAATATAAGAAAATCTAGTTTGTTGTTGGAATTGCCGAGCAAAATACACTTTTGTGGAGCGATTGCTTTTGTATTTGATTTGTTGGCAGCTTTCAGTAAACCGCCCGGTGTAATTTTAAGTTTTATATTGCTTTATTGTTATCCACAAATTGTTAGGAATTTGAACATACACACAAATATGCATAAATATGTACTTATTATTACTGTTAGTGTCTAAGGCAAAAAAGTGCAATAAAACTTGAAAGCAACTTTAATCAAGAGTCGTTCTTTCTGTACAAAATTGTCTTTTAAAAAGTACTGAATTATGTTGTTGTTTTTTTTTTTTACTATAATGCACTTTATTGTAAAGCATAATTATTTAATGGACTTTATATACACCTAATTGAATACTGTAAAAATTAAATTGCAATTCAATTAAATTTATTAACTGTGTTAAATTTATCTCACTCCACAGGCTCAGAGATTTGCCCATCTTTTCTTTATTTTTTTGTGTCTCAATCTTTAGCTGTCTCTTTCTCAATTTTAATTGAATTTAGTTCGTAACTTTACTTTTAAATTTAATTTAAAATTTGTTGTTATTCAAATATCTTTTATAAACTGTACCGTATTTAGGCCACCTTAAATATACATTCATTATTAGCATTAATATTATTAGCCGGAAATAAAAACAAATATATTTTAACTGATAACCTAAAATGAGACCCAAATCAACTTTAACCCATACAAACTAATTACAAACTTGGAACTCTCATTATTCGGCGTGTGCTAAAGCGAAAATCAGTTTTAAAATATTAGAAGCAGAGGACCCTATAAGGTAAATATAGTTATCATAAGGATTAATAGTCGAGTTGAACTAAAAGCGTATCCCGATCGAAGTTTATTTACTAAGGCGTGCTCCGCATTAAAATCTATTAATAAAATTAAACCAATTATTAGCAGCCTTTTTGACCTTCTAAATCTATATCAGGGCAGTTAGATGCGGTTGGCCTCTCAATCGTCGTATTATTCGAATAATAATATAATTTATATAATCATTTTTAAGAGAGACTTTCACACACATTCAAATATATGCTACAATTTTTGATAACAATCGAATTATCGACAATAAATAGACTTAAGTCCGTCCAGTGTGTACACCAATTACGGAGTGATAATACCGGTGTGTTGTATTTACCGTTTGAAACTCAAATTGAACAGAGCGACTTGAAGAAAGAACGAGCAAAACGAGAGCAGGCTGATAAGAAGACCAAGCAATAGTAAATGAAATTCAATTTACGCACAGTTGCAGTCTGCTCATTTCTCTACATACATCTACAGCAGCAGCTTAAGCGATCAAGTTCATTATCAACAAATAGAGAGAGAGAAAAAGAGAGCAAATCGCAGAGGCATTGTCAGTGCTAGTTTTGCCGTTGACATTAATTGTCATGGCGGGCAATCTCAGTGTTTTCCACATATTGTGGATCTTGGCCTTGGTTGGCTCTTCGGTTCATTGCCATTTTGGGCCGGAGCTGGTTGCGCGTGTGGCGCCACAAGTATCGCCAGATGTCCAGGAGGAAGCAGTTCGCCAGCTTATGCAACGTGTGCTGGGCGATCGGGCCTCAAATCTATTCGAGGTGGAGGTGAACAAGGCTCTCGAATTGCGCAGCTATCAAGTGAGAAAATATTCAATATAATTTGTTCAATTTGCTACAGTTGCAAATTAAATATATATATAAATATATATATTTAGGGAGTGAATCAAGAATGAAGATGCAATTATGCATAATGTTCATCTAATTGATGTAGTTGCACTCATATCAGATTGTACAGTGATTGTCACTTAACTAGATACACTCAATATTATGGTGTATGTTTTCTTTATTTATTGTATTTTATTATTTAAATTTACAGCTATTTATTTAATTACAGTTAGATTTAGCTCTACACTTAGAACAATTGCTCTGAAATTTAGAAAATCGCCATTAAATTAGATAGATTAGAATTATATACTATATAAAATCTTAAAAAACTAATGTTTAATAATAATAAAGGTTACAAAAAGGCGAATATTAATATTATTCTATCCGTTGTACACACATGTAATATATATTTTTTTATAAATATTAGAAAAATCAAACGAAATAAAAAAAAAAATCTTGGTTTTTAGTAATTTATTTTCTGAATAATAATAATAAGATGAGTGATAAATAATTAGCCAGCATTTAAGATTTGAACTTTAAATATATCCATTAACTACTATTTTCTATTTGTGTGAACAACACTGTATGTGAATGACCTTATATAGAAAGAGAAATTATGAGATTGATTATGTTGCTATTAAATATATGTATATATTTGCAGTTCCGTCAGCTGGATAATGGCAAAGTGCTGATAGTCGGCTGGGATGGGGTCTCCGTGTGCAAGGGTTTCCATTACTATCTGAAGTATGTGTTGAACATGGATCTGGATTGGTTTAAGACGCACATCGAGCTGCCCGCGCAACTGCAGCCCAAGAATGTGACGCACAGCTCAGAGTCGGCCAGTTGGTTTATTTATTATCAAAATGTTTGCACATGGAGCTACAGTTTTGTGTGGTGGAATTTTGGACAGTGGCGCCGACACATCGATTGGATGGCTATGATGGGCATTAATCTGTCGCTGGCGCCCAATCAGGAGGCCATCTGGCAGGAGGTGTACACAGAGACCGGCCTGAATGCCGATGAAATTGATGCCCATTTCGCGGGGCCGGCATTCCAGGCGTGGCAACGCATGGGCAACATTCGTGGCTGGGGCGGACCTTTGCCACCGGCACATCGGCGACTCCAGCAGCTGCTGCAGCAGCGCATTGTGCAGGCACAACGTGACCTGGGCATGAGTGTCGCCCTGCCGGCATTCGCTGGCCATGTGCCGACGGGGCTGCCACGCATCTTTCCCACTGCGAATTTCACAAGCGTCGAGCGCTGGAATCAATTTCCCGATCCCTACTGTTGTGCTCTGTTCATTGAGCCGAGCGATCCACTCTTTCAACTGGTGGGCGCACAGTTTCTGCGTCGTGTCATCCAAATCTATGGCAGCAATCACATCTACTTCAGCGATCCCTTCAACGAAATGCAGCCGCGCATCGCTGAACCGGGATACATAAGTTCCACGGCCAGGGCCATCTATAACTCCATGCGAATGGTGGACAAAGATCCGGTGTGGCTGCTACAGGGCTGGATGTTTCTGGACAATGCCTACTGGTCGGACGAGCTTATCGAGGCATTCCTCACGGCTGTGCCGCGTGGTCGAATGCTGGTCTTGGATCTGCAGAGTGAACAGTTTCCGCAATATCAGCGAACCTTCTCGTATTACGGCCAACCGTTTGTGTGGTGCATGTTGAACAATTTCGGGGGCACGCTCGGCATGTTTGGGTCAGCGCATCTGATTAACGCTGGCATTATGGCGGCACGCTCCATGCCCAACAGCAGCATGGTGGGCGTGGGCATAACACCGGAGGGAATAGGCCAGAACTATGCACTCTTCGCACTCACTTTGGAGCAGGGCTGGAGTGGATCGAAACTGGAGCTAAGCGATTGGTTCGATCAGTTCACTTTGACCCGCTATGGCGTCAATGATACGGATCTAATCCTCGCCTGGCAACTGCTGCGCGGCAGTGTTTATCATTTCCATGGCTTGCAACGCATGCGCGGCAAATATGCGCTAAACAAACGACCCAGTTTCAACTTGAAGCCATGGATCTGGTACAATGCGTCCAGTGTCGTTGAGGCCTGGCAACTGTTACTGGCGGCCAATCAAACTATTCCTGTGGAGGACGACCGATATGCCCTCTATAAGCATGATCTTGTGGACATAACACGCCAATTCCTTCAACAAAGCTTCGATCAGGTCTACGTGAATCTCAAGTCAGCTTATCGCAAATCGCAACTGGCTCGATTTGAATATTTGGCTGCTAAGCTGCTGGAACTGTTGGCGGATATGGAGCGAATACTGGCGAGTGGTGAACACTATCTATTGGGCAACTGGTTAGAGGCGGCCAAAGAATTGGCGCCCAGCGCTGATCAGCGGCACATCTATGAGTTCAATGCACGCAATCAGCTGACTGCCTGGGGACCCAGCAATCAAATACTGGATTATGCAACGAAACAATGGTCCGGCCTGATGCAGGATTATTATACGCCACGTTGGAGCATGTTCCTCGACGCCGTCACACTGGCCATGCACTCCAAGAGGCCATTCAATGCCACCGCCTTCAGGCAGCGTGTTGCCAACGAGATTGAGCTGCCCTTCAGCAACCTGACCAAGGTGTATCCCACAGAGCCCGTGGGCAGCACTTGGCTCATCTCACAGGAAATCCACGACAAGTGGCAATCGTATGCGAAAGACACACAATTTCTACACCATTGTCGAGTTGCGGTCAAGTTGCTCGAGGGCAACAGCTCAATTGCTTAACAATGCCACTCATCCAACACAATAAATGAACACATATAAATAGATATTAATATAAATTATACATTTGTCGAAGAGGTTTTTCGTTTTTTAGCAGAGACCAGAAATGATTTGTGTGAATTCTTGGAATATTTATCATACAAAATAAATTAGAAACATTAGTTTAGCGTTTTATTAATTAAAAAATATTATAATTTTGCAATTAAAAGTATAAATACATGTGTAAAAAATAGTTTAAATAATAATAAAAAAAATGAAACAAATTTTCAGTTATTAAATCTTTCTGTTGGAAAAACCTTTATCAATAATAATCATTCATTTTGGGGTTCCTGCTAAAAAAAACACACGCCTTTTACAAATGAACATAGAGCTATTATGTTGTTGTGTTTTTAATTGATTTTTATTTAAATTAATGTACAAACTAATTTAAATGTACAAATTTAAACATCTTCAATCAATCAATCATACGCATACGAATTTCTATGGTTATTTTTTTGTTTTTTGTTTTTTTTTGTTGTTTTTTTGCAAGGTGTGTATATGTGTGTGTGTGTGTGAGTGTGTTGTGTGTATGTTTTCGTTTTGTGTTACAGTTTCTAAAACGCACATGACATCCATGTACATATTTATTTTATTGAGTTTATGCAAATGTATACATAGAATTAATTATTAATTTCTTTTTTTTTTGTTTGTTTGTTTTGTTTTGCTTTTTGTATGTCTGGGAAAATTAAAATTAAATTCACTTTTAAAATAATTTGTTTCTGTTTCGTTTTGCTTGGTGTTGCATGTGAAAAGGAAAGTATGGAGAGGGCGGGGCTGTGAAGAGTTCGCTTGTTTTTCTCATTCATATACGATATTTCTACATTTATACTCATTTAAAAATTTCAAACAAACATTATTATTATTATCATTATTATTATATTATTATAAGTTTCTTTTCTTTTAGTATTTTTATGTATATGTATAAAGTTTGCATCTTTCGTTTGCTTTTTAATGTAGACGACGATGTTTTACAGCTAAATTTTGGGTGGAGGTATAGGGAAAGGGGGAGGGGTGTGGGGATGGGTCGGGAGTGCGTGGTTCTGTTCTTGGTATGTTGGCAGGTGAGTGCGCAAAAATATGTTAATCATATTAATGTATGCAATTGCGCACATTAACACCGCTTGCTCTCACTTAACTCTCTTAAATAAATCCAACTGCCAGCATGTAGATGCGCTTGTGTGTGTATGTGTTGCGTGTGTGTGTGTGTGCGGGTGTGTGTGTTTTTTGTTTTTATATTTATAACGTTTATACTCATATTCACTCAATCAAACAATCATTTATACTCTTTCTCCAAACGAGAAAACACTCATCCATCATTCTCAATTATCAATCAATCATCAATCATCAATCGTTCATTATTATCAGCATTCTCAAGCTTCAATTAACATGCAAGCACAGCAAGGCGGCATATAAATTTTATTCATCCTGCATATCCTCTGGCAATTCGTGTGGATTCAACATGCCCGGAATATTACGTTGCATTTGACGTTTATTGGACTGCTCCTTGGCCAACGCTGCCTCACGCTCCTCCAGATACAGATCGGAGTCATCCTCACCGGTTGCCTCCTGTGTAACGTCATATAATAATATAAAAATGTTTGCAAATCGCAAAAGCAATTCAATTCAATTGTAAATTTTAACTCACGCGTATCTGTATGAGAAAATCTCTCAAATGATCCTTAAATGCTTGTATATTCTCATCCAAATTGAAAAGGCCAGTCACAAAGACTTTGATCTGATTATCTGATAAATGATTAAATGCTGACTTTAGCAATGAGGCCACATATTCCTGTATGAATATCATATTGTCCGGTATGGGGCCCAAATCAACGGTGATCTTTCGATTCTCCACCAGCGAGAACATATAGGCCAATATGATAGCATGATTGGGCAGGCCAGCCGTATGCGAAGTGTCAGTGACAACTGAGAAGATTTGCATGAGAATATCAGTAAAATAGGTCTGATAGAAACTCTGCGCCGCATTCGGATGTTGTTCAAGATTCTGCAGCATCTGTAAACAGAACAAAATAAACCATTTTTTTGTATATAAAAAACTGAAATGAATAAATGCAAGTTTTACACTCACCTTATAAAGTATATTCAAGCCCAGATCGGCCACGTTGCGCATGGTGTGCTTGAATGCCCATACGACAGAGTCGAAGACCAGTTTAAACTGTGCCGGCGGTATGGTGAGGAACGCCTTGAAGCAATGCGCATTCACTGCCTGCAGCAGATCATAAAAACTGAAGCGATGCTGCGGAAAATCTTCGAAATTCTTATTGATCATGTCCAGCGTGCATTCAAATACAGCATCGAATATTTTTGGTACTTCATCCGTGATATGCTGGCGCAGTTTGTTCACAATCATAGCCATTGCGCTCAGTACTTTTGGCTCACGCGCCGACGGAACTTTACACCGCTGCAAAAACATATAAATAATTATATATTATTTGTTGAATCTTATTTAAATAGGTAGTTGAAATCTCAAAGCCAAACTAATTTCCTCATCGTTTTTTGTTATGTAAGAAGTCTATTAGTTTGGCTGCGACAATTTTGACGAGCCAAATGAAAAATGATAAGCACCTGGTAATCCAATAAGATGGCATCCAGCAAGGGCGGTATAAAGTTATCCATAACTAATTGATTGTCACTGGAGCGCGATATCCATTCGGCTATCAAGTTGAGCGTCTCCTTCTTCACAACATGCATTGATTTAATCAGCGGCTGATTGTTCACATTGACACCATTCACCTCAATGGCCTGAATGATGTTCTCCGAGGTGATCTTGTACACGTTAAGCATATCCAAATAGATTCGACCCAATTGAATGACATAAGCATGGCCCAGTGCCTTGCAGGCGGCCACATTTGTCTTCAGTATGCTGCCAAGTTGCCTAACCGCAGTCATGTTTTTCAGAAAGTCAACATTTTTCGATGCCCGCGATATAATATCGTCCCAGACCTGATTCGGCAGCAGCATATAACGTTCAATGAGCGCATTCTGCTGTACCTGATCCACCTGTGCCGAGATCATATAACCCACCGCCTCATAGAACGTATGAACCTTGAAACAGAAGCAGTAGCAAGAAAAACAGAAAATGTTTTTGTTTCAAAATAGGAAAAGGAATTTTGATTGATTTGCAGACTTACCTGTTGTGGCTGCAGATCACATATTATGCTGCTCATTGTGCTCAGGATCTCGTCAATGAAGGTGCACGCCTCGTTTGGCTGTATTGTGACAAAATAGCGACGACACTTGATGGCTATTTTGATGAACGTGTCACAGGCCATGTCCTGAACGCCGTCGTGCGTTTCATGCATAAATTCAAATAGTTTGTTCACCACCGTCTTTAGGAATTTCCAATGGGCGCGCAGAAAACGTGGATACTGTCCGACCACATACATAATATTCGATGCAATGATCGCCTTATTGTCCTTGCCCTTCTTCTGCTCGCACAGCCCAAGCAGATCCTTGATGACAGTGACCAGAAATCGTTTCTCATCTTCCTCACAAAAGGCACCTGCGGCATAAGTAAATAAATGGAAATATTTTTAATTGATTTCAATTGAAATTGTAAAACAGATAACTCGAAAATATTCTCATTTATTCTCGATCGTTTTCATTTTCGATTGAGCATTTTTTATGCTCAAAAACTCACCCGATATCGAACCAATGGCCCAGCATAGAGTATTGAGATTTTTCCAGGAGAATTCACTACCATTGACCTGATTCAGCAATTTGAGGGTCATAATGCGATCAGTGTCCGCACAATCCAAATGGGTGAGGAATACTAAAGTCTCTCTCATATTTTTGTACAAGTTTATCGAATTGGTATCCTTCATGAATTCGCGCACCACTTCACCATTCTCGTTCTCGACCACAAGTACCTCCTCGGGCTTGGCCATGCGTGATATCATGATAAAGCGAACCTTGGACAGAATGGCTGCGTAGAAACGGCGCCTGGGATAAACTTGTTGTCGCTTCGACGATTCGAGTGTGGGATGAAAGAATTCGGTATTGTACAGATTCTCGACAAGGCTATTCCAGTATTCCAAACAGATCTTAAATACTTCGACATCATCCACTTCACTGATCATCACCAGATACATGAGGGCCTGATTCAGATAATCAACATACTTGGCATCCTCAACGATTTTGCCATGTTCTTTGAGGAAGGTGCACAGGAACATTGCCAGATTGAGGACTAGCTCCTGTTCCGTATCATCGCCGCACTGGAACACATGATTCATATTCATATTCTGGCCAATTATCTGATCCAACTGCACCATTGTGTCCTTGAATAGCGTGGCAAAATTATCGTTGTAATTGGCCGCCGAGAGGCCGGCAATTTCGGACAGGCACTTTAGGGTCACATTGCGAAACACATGCACGCTGAGAAACTTAAAGATCAGCGTCTCAATGAGCGGCGTCTCGAATATGTAGCCCAATGGTATCCAGTTAAGGAAACGTAGCAGCGTCTCCAGCGTCACCTGTATCAGGGCCGCATTCATCGAGTTCTCCAGCACAAACGAGCAGAGCGTGAATATTTGCGAAAATTCCGAGCACATCGTATCCTTCAAATGTTTGGCCTTCGTCTGCGTTATCTGCCCGAGCGAGAAATCGAAGACCTCTTCGCTTAGATTCTTCAGTATAACCATATTGTTCATGCACAGGCTCTCATTTGTTTTCGACGCACCGACAATATCGCTGATGAATGTCTCCCAGTTGCGGGGCCATTCACGCTTCAATATCTGCACCAGAATCATGTTCAGCTTATTCAAATAGACTTTGTTCTGCTCCATGATGGCCGGATCTGAGGATGTTTTGATGATCAGGCTGACGACATACTTTTTAATGCCCTCGCATTGATTGCGCGGCAGAACCTTCCAGCGCGTCTTGATCACCTCCTCGAGTATTTGGAGTGCATAGAATTTAGTTTGCTGATTCTGTGAATATTCGAGTATGCTGTCGACACGTGTCCATGCCTCCGGATGCTCCTTCAGTGTGGTGAGTATATCCTGCGCCAAACGCAGCTGCTCACCCTGCGTCGAGTACAGGGCCTCAACGATCTTATCGAGCAGATTAATGTCCAGCTTCTGATTGAAATCGAGCAGCTTGCTCGCATCATCGGAGCTCATCATCGCCATCGCTTTATAGTGAAAGCAGCGTTCGCGTCTCCGTCGCTCAGCAGCACCAGCACCACCAGCAGCAGCAACAGCAGCAGCAGCTGTGTCCGCGTTAATTTTGATTGATTTTAGCTTGCTCCTCCGGCTAAAACGTGGGGGCGGGGCGAAGGCGCGTCGTCGTCGTCAGTGGCGAAATATCTGTGACAGGATCTCTGATGGTTAGCTGGCAGAGGTTTTTACTCTATTTCCGGGAACGGGAATAAAAAACGAAAATATCGAAATTACATTTATCGGCAATAAGGGCAACCATATTTCTTTTTTATACATACATCATTTACGTATGTTTTCTTATTTTCTACGCACAACTACAAGAGCACGATTGCTTGTGGCGCGCGCTTACATTTATTCGCACATTCGCAAACACACACACACACAGCCTTAACTCTGAGTAGAGATGTGCAATATTTGCGAACCTGTTACTCATCCCTAGTTCTTTTTTTCGAGAGTAGTAAGTCACTTGCATTTGTATTTTAAATGACTAGCACATAAAACGTCAGGTTTATAATATACTAAATACAGATATAGCTACGTTGTTAGCATCAAGTTCCAGATCTGATTTGGGCAAAGTTGCTTTTGTTAGGTATATTGACCAAACACAATTTTTCAAATTTCTCGCGAGTGCGCTGCGTGCTGGTCACCGTCAATCAAAAAGTGCTCATCTCTAACACACACAAATACACACGCACACATATGCCGCTTACACATGCAAAATACAATCAAAGCAGCGCAACGCATCTCGAGACTGCGACGGCATTTCACAAATCTATAATGTGCGCACCGCTTGCGTTTGTTGTACAACACACATTATTTGTCTTGTTAAATTAAACAGACTCCTCTTATGCAGAATTATGCACGTATTTTATGTTTCGCACGCACTTACCAAGTTTTAGAAAAGCGTTGCAACCATCGAATCCGAAGAAGCAGCGTGGAAAACGAAGAGCGCAAAACGAGTGAAAAAGACTACAACGTTTTTTGTCCAGACAGGGAAAAATTTTTTGTTTCAATTTGCGTGGCGCACAAGATTTGTTTCTTGCTTCTGTACCAAAACACATGCACGCTTGGCAATTTTTTAGCGATTTGGCTAACAACGGTTGACGTTGTGACCAATTTGTATGTTTTAAACAAACTTTTTCGCAGTACTTTTCTTCTCCTTCTGTGGTGAAAACCAGGGATGGATCACAAGCGCGTCATGCGCGGTGCCGGAGCCGTGTACAGTGTATATAAATGGTAGTAACTAAATGTGAGTTGTAGGGAAATTAGCAAATCGCATTTAATGACGTTTGCATCAATTTAAAGCACAAAAACTATTTTTGCCTTTGACAACTCTCTACCGGCACAATTAACAAAACACAGTGTTCCCATATCACAAAAACATTCGGCCCTGACAAAAAACCAGGTTTGCTTTGGCAATTATCGCTTAATGTGTCTTTTTTTCAATGTGTCTTTTTTGTTATCGAAGTTCGAGTGTGGCTCGTGTTAAGTTTTGTACAGAAAATCGATGTTTCTGCGCATTTGAAAATTATCAATCAAGGGCTAATACATAAATATATATAAATTTGCTGCACATTTTTATCCATGATTTTATATGCTATTGGATTTGTTTCCATAACTATTGTGTACGATCAAGTTGGAAAAACATTTGTTCGTGACCGCATTAAATGAATTCAGCATACGGTCATCTCTAATCGTACTCCGAATTAGGTATTGCGACCAGACACCAAACAATAACAAACTCCGACAGACAAAACCCACTTTTATTTGAGATTCGATGTCAATATATTTGCATTGCTTGACAACAAATGGCGGCTTACCCATATTCACCAGAAAAAAAGGCGAATGCGATAATGTAAGTTAATTTTGATTTTATAATAATATAATATATGATGACTGTAATTGCCACTTGTTGCTGCTGCTGCTGCTTTTGTTTCAGCTGCCTTTCTCGACGGTGGCCTCGTTAAATGGTTTTCACATGTTCTTCAAATCGCTGGGAATTCAATTGCAAACGACACATACAGAAGAATGGACCTACATTTGGCGCGACTTTCACAATGCAATCACCTTCATTGTGTGTGGCCGTGGCATGGGTGAACTTCAGCTGCAAAATCTAGCGGAACTTGCCTTTGGGGGAATTGCACTCTTCATAAGTCGCGATGAGTTGGCACACCCCGCTCTTCTCGAGCGTCTGAAGAAGGATGCCAAGAAGTATGTACCAGTTGTGGATGCCGCACTGGAAGCATCCAGTGCTGGCACAACACTTTTGGGCTACACCGACTGTCTGTTGGCAACGGAAAATGTGCATTTGTTGAATCGATTGAATGAGTTTAGTGCCAATTGCGGTTCACTGTTCTGTTGCCTCGTTGTGGGACAGCGTATTGCTGTCGCCACGGAGGGCTGGTGGGATTTGGATACGCTGGACAGAGAGCTTTTGCTGTTCCTGTTGAACTCGTCGAGTATGCTACAGCTGGATGTGCCCGTTTACCTACCCGGCAAGAGTCCAAATATTGCCTTTCGCTTCGTCACCGTTCCCGTAGCGGCCAACAGTGTGCTGTGCGTTCTGTGTGGCGCTGAGCCCGCCTTTCGGGAGCTGCACCTCAATGCTATGAATTCCTATCGCAACGAGGGCAATGTATTATCCAGCGTTGAACGCTGCGTTCCCCGAAGTTTGCCTGAGCAGCTGGAAATTGATGCGCATATATTGGCGATAATCTTGATCAATACGCAGACGCGTAAATCTGTTTTCACACGCAATCTCCAGCAATCGTCGAGTGCTAAGCGCATAGTCGTGGGTGATCTGCAACGTCTGGACATGCTCAAGAAATTTTTTGATCACACGTTGGAGACGATGCATGCGTTGAAAGTGGCTAACGGTGACAACAGCGAGTCGGACACTCCAACAAATTCGTCAACAATGTTAGATCAGTACAGCTGCTCGGATTATCACAAATGTTATGCGCATGCGGATGATCAGAATAATGTTATCTTTCTGCTCTTTGTGGCCGCAGTGCCGACACATGCCATGAGGTGAGTAAAACATTCATTTAATTGTATAGAAAATTGCCTTAATTGTGGTCTTCTCATTTGGCAGATTTCTTGCGAAACAAGTCCACGCTAGCCTCTTGCAAGAGAAGGCCGTCTGCTGGTAACCAACCATCCATCGATTCTATCGCCGATCCCTTAAGACTGAATTTTGCAATCCTTTGCAATGCAATTTATTAAATATTCGAATTTGAGTAGTTCTCGCATCTTATGTGTTCAAAAGTATTAACAACAAGAAAGTAGGAAAGCTCTATTTAGAGTACATATCTTTTATACAATCTAAATTTATAAGTACAGATTACATTCCAGTGAAGAATTCAAACTAGAGCATACTTTTCCTATTAGATTAATGTGCAATTAAATAGGTGCTGGTACTTAAATAAAAATAAGTTTACACGTTTCTATATTAATAATCTAAACGAATATTATTTTTTATAATTTTGTGACCAATATATTCATATGATTGTAACTGCAAAGTCAAAATCTCTGAAATCAGTTTCATTTACTGTTTGATATGATTTTCGACACACAAAAAAACAGAAGTCATTTATGTTTTGTAAACAATTTAATGGTTGATATAAATAGCGTTCCGCCATTCCAAAGCTAATATTAATAATTGGAAATTACGTATTCAAGAGAAGTAACATTAATTTCAATGCTAATCCGAGCATTTCGAACATAGTCACGCTTCTGGGCAATGCTCTTACCTAACCCACAGGCATTGTTTGGCTCGTGTTTACAATTACTATGTACAGATATACATACTAGGCCGAAAAGCTGCTTAGCTGCTCAACTCATCGAAAGATGACAAGTCTGGGAGAATTCAATCTGATGAGCCATATATAATGACAAGCACCCAGCTCTTAATTAATTACAGCACGTTTCATTTAAATGGAAGCCAAAAGGTATCGAAACACAAATAAACAAGTGCCATTAAAATTATGAACGCGTTCGAGATATAAAACTAATAAATAATGCCAAATAAAATGTCAATACTATTTTTTAACAATCAGTGCGTATTCGGCGCGCTTCGAGTGCTGATCGCTGTCGGAAATTTAACTAAAAATTTAACAATAAAAAATTGAATGTAAATTTGTGAAGCGAACAATCCTTACACAATGCTGTTTTTGCGCACTCAAGAGAAACACACTGATCAGGAGCTGTTCAAAATCAAACAATTGCGTCAGCTGGTGGAGAGTAAGAAATTCGATTTTTTCTTTTTGCAAATTCTTCATCCAAATTTGTCCAACTGTGCATTCTATTTCCAGAGTCTAATGAGTTGCAGGTCGGCACGGATGAGATATTTTTAACGAAATTTCTATGCTACACAAACTGGGATACATTTAAGGCCTTTCAGGCCATACACGCCTACTACGATTTTAAGCTAAAACATCCCACCTGGGTGGCACTGCATCCCATTGAGTTTTATGCTCGGCTTTTCTATGCAACACAGTGTCGGTTCGTCATGCCGCATACGGATAAGAATGGACGTGTGCTGGTCATCTTTAAGACAGTGGATGCATTCCAACAGTTTCCAGATTATTTGCAGCATTTAATCGAAATGGATGATCTCATCTTTGAGTCGTTGTTGATGTTGCCGCGCGTGCAACAGAATGGCATAACGGTCATTTGTGATTTACAGGGGTGAGTGGAGTTTTTGAAAATTATTTATTTATTTACTTGTAATCATTGTGATCAAAAATTTTTCTTGGCTTCAGCACCACACGCAACTTTCTGCGTCAGTTCTCGCCCACATTTATGAAGATCGTCAACGAGAAGAATTCGGTTCTGCCTTTTTCGCAGCGAATTGTTCACATCATTCAGCGTGGATTTCTCATGCATGTGACATCGTCACTCTTTCTGCCCTTTATGAATAAAGATTTTAAGGAGCGCGTAAGTACTAATAAAACTAATATCGTATGTATATATACGTAAGATAATCGATTTCCTTCTTAGATTTTCACTCACGATGGTCGGCATTTGAACAAGCTGCGCGATATGATTGGAATGGATTGTTTGCCAGCAGAATATGGCGGGCCAGCAGTTAATGTGCTCGATACGAATTTGATTGTCAATCATTTGAGCCAAAATTCGGATTACTTGGAGAACTTGCAGCACTATAAAAAGCTTAAAGATAATTAAACACAAACAACAAATAGATCTAAAAAATTATTTAAATTTGAGTAGAAGCAATAAATAGCATATATACTTATATGCTATAAACTGAAATCCAAAAAATATTTATATATATGTCTCACGTACTCAATTAAAATTATTATGCAAATTAAATTATTTCGTCTTGGCTCTATTTTCGATTTAATTTACTTTTACAAAAAACGAAGCAGAAACTGCATCAAAATTAAAAAAAACAAACTGCTACTGTTGAACAGCGAAACTGTTAATAGATTCTGTTAATAAAAATCGATTTGCTAAATCGATAGTGCGGTTTACGTTGTATCGCAATGCTCCACAGAACAAAACGATAGTTTAGTTATTTGCAAATTTCGATAGATTTTGTTGTGTTGTGAAATTGCGCCGGTTTCTTAAAGTAAATATATATACAATTTATATCAACTAAATGGCATCTAATAAGGTAAAAGTACACAAGTAATTAATATTTTGACCAAGTAAAGTCTGAAAAATACGTGTGTGGTATTTGCAGGAGTGTCTTATTATTGTGTTGGACGTGCGAAGCTGCGCCGCAGAGGAATTCAAACTAAAGTCTGTGAAATGCATTGCAGAAATACTTAAGGATAAGGTAGATGATTTATTGAATGTGTGAATTCGTATATTCATTTAAAATTTCACAAATTTCATTAGATTGTCTGCGACAGGAAGGATTTTGTGTCATTTGTGCTAGTGGGGTGTGAAGAGAGCGAGAATGAAATACACGCCGAAGACAAAGATGCATGCCAGAATGTGGTGCAATATTCGGCGACACAAGTTTGCAACTGGCAACTGTTGCTGAATTTCTTCAAATTTGTGAATAAGACGCCTTGCGATGAGGGCAACTGGCTGGATGGTCTCCAAGTGGCTGTGGCCCTGCAAGAAACAGCGGCTGGGCTGTAAGTCTGCAACTGCAACTGTTCCCATTACATATATATTTAATCCACTTGCTCATTAATTCCGTACAGATTCAGATTCACTCGAAGGCGTATTTTACTTTTGTATGATTTCAACTTTATGACACAGAAATACGATGACTACAAGACAATCACTGACAGAATGCTTAAGGACGAAATAGAATTGATTGTGGGGTAAGCTATTTTTTATGAGTTAGTTGAGCTAAGTACAAATTGCATATTAATTTCGCACCCTCAGCACACACAACATCGCCTACATCGACAATGCGGCGACTAATCAGCCCCAGGCCATTTTTCAGATGTCGCGCAAGGCGAACCTATTTGAGCAGGAGAATCAGAAATATGCCCTGCAACTTGTCAGCAATTGCAATGCTATGCTGTGCACCTTCAAGGAAGCACTGGCCACGGTATTTAAGATAACAAATAAACGGCCCTGGGTGTGGAATGCCAAGCTGCACATCGGCAAAGTGATTGCGATTCACTTGCAAGGCATCATTGCAATGAAGAACGAGCGTCACATCAAGCTCAAGAAGGTTTGGGGCGAAGCGGAGGAGTTGGTGGATCGCGAGGAGCGGTATTTTATAAAAGGCACCGAGGTGACGCCGCTGCCCGAAGATCTCATCGATGGCTATATGCTGGGCGGCACTCCAGTTCCCTACGATGAAACGATTGTGGAGCGCCCGGCGGCGCATTCGCCGGGTCTGCATTTCGTAGGCTTTGTGAAGCGCAGCAGCATACCCGATGCCTACTTTTGCGGCGAATCTCTGTACATGCTGGTGCACCAGAAGGGAAACGAGACATCGGCACGGAAACTGGACGCATTGGTCCGAGCATTGTTGCAGCGCCAGTGCGTCATACTCTGCTGGAAGATATTCAGTGTGAAGTTCAATACGCCGCGCATTGTGGTGCTGATGCCGCAGGACTCAACGGAGCATCGACCAGCGACATTATATATGCTCGAGTTGTCGTATCATGCCCAGCATCAGTTCTGGGATTTTCCCGCTATCCGCACCGCAAAGACCGAGTGCAGCGCGGATCAGTTGCAGGCAGTCGATAAGCTGATCGATAGCATGGATCTCGAATGTCTGCTGAATGATACCCAGTTGCCCAGGCAGCAGCGACAGGCTGATCTGCTGCCTTTCGATGGGCTGCCCAGCATCTTTGAGCAGAACGTGATGGATGTGTTGGAGCGCAAGGTTGTCTGCCAGACATCGGACGATGGGCCTCTCCTGGAAATGATGCGCGAAAAAAAGTTTGTGGAGATGTATTGGCGTGTGCCCGAACCGATTGAGGAGAAGTCCAAACAGGCGGCGGCGGCACTAAAAAAACTATTCCCATTAGAGCACAGTCACGCCTGGCTAGAGAAGCTCAAAGCCAAGGAGCAGGAGTCGAATGCGCCGCCTACGATAAAACAGGAACGCCCAGACTCGGAAAACACCACACCCATCACCATAGAATGCGTGGGCTTGATGACTCCCGCCGAAGACTACAGGCAGCTGTTGGAGCAAGTGCGCTCCATGGCAAATACAACGCTACGCGACGTCCAATTCCAATCGCTTGCTGCTCAGATGCGCGTAGTTGTTATAACGCTTCTGGAACGCAACAAACTGAATCTGAATCAGTTGAGCGAAATGCTCGCAATGCATCGGGACAGTTGCCTGGAGTTCAATAGCTTTGGGGAATACAATCAATTTGCGGCACAGCTGAAAGCAAAGGCATCCGATAGAAATCTGCATGAGTTTTGGACGAACGTGATCGTGGAGAAACAGTTGGGGCCGCTGGTCCTGGGTGAGCCAACATTGGAAGATGAGCTGCGTTTGATGGCGTACTATACGATTCCGGAGTTTCCAGCGGCAGCTGCTAACGAAGATCAGGAAATGCACCAGGATAAATAAAATATTGTTTCTAAATTGAATTGCTTACTTTAAGTATGCAATGCAAAACTTTTTCCATTATCTAAGAAGAAATAGAAAACGAAATATACGAAGACAAATGACAGATTTTGATTTTGTATTAAAAACGACACTAAGAAATGTTGTATTAAGACATTAATAATTTAATATTGTTGGTTTTTAATGATTTCAATGAATTTACAGCTCACACGAGAATTGTACAGGAGAAACGAATGAACGAACAATCATTTAAAATATTTTGATTTTGTTTTTTTTTTTGTCGTTGATACATTTAATATTATAATTACATATGTAAAATATTTGGAAAACATACAAATAAAAAAGAAATGAGTAGAAAAGCGAAAAGCGCAATAAGAATAAAGCTTTGGGAAGAACAATTTCGAAATCTTGCCAATCTTAATTTAAGTGTACTTAAGAATTTACAAACGGTGCGTTAAATAAGCAATGCCAATTATGCAAATTGTGTGTGTGTGTTGGTGTGCTTGTGTGTGTGTGAATGACAAACATTAAATACGTTATAATTTGTTTTCTTAATTTTGTTGTTTTTAACACATTATGCGTAACGCTTGAAGCAAAATTTTGGCATGGCTTGCACTTTGGCCACCAGACAGCAGCAATGATGCAAGGATGCAACAGATCAAGTTGATGGTCTTTAAACTGGACTTCCACTAGTCAATGTTTAGCGACGACATCAGATCCTCCACACTGTGGCGATTGAAGAGAGAGAAATTATTAATAGAAATATTTAAGCACATATTTTGCAGAAGAGTACGCACGTAATGTCTAGATCCTGAAAGGCCACGCCCAGCCAGGCAACAACGAGGCAATAGTGCTGGAATAACTGCAGCAACAGTTCGCCCTCGTCCAGCATCTCGATGCGCTCGATGCGTTGGCGTTCAGCAGACGAAATACTTTCGTATACTTGAACCATGTCCCAGGCCCGTGCACCGCTCCAGCCGCAGTCCTTGAAGCGGTTCGTTTGTGTCTCCAGCGACTGACACGACTCCACGCCAGCCAAACTGCAGCCTCGACTGCGCAGATTATTTAACATCACGTCCGCAAAGCGATCGTTCATGTTGACCTTTAAAAAAGAAGAGGATTAAGATTGTTAATATATAATATATTTAAGCCTAACCTGTTCATAGTTGACGAAGACGGCAGCTTGAAACTTTAGTGCTATCCATTTGAGCAGATTTCGACAGTTTTGTGCCTCAATATAGACGAGCACACATTCAGCGAGAAATATGGTGGGCAGCGTATAGTCGACTTCGGCTTGCTGCAGCTTATGGTCCACCTCGTCCAGATTACGCAAATCGACGCCCATCAGATGATAGTTGGGCCCATGCAAATCCGTTGGACTGAGACGCACCTCGCCATCCTCGTCGTTAATCTTCGCCAGTAGCGCCTTATTTCGCTTAATTGTATAGCATTTGCGTGCCGTCACTGTCGGAAAGTCCAGCTCGATGAAGTTCTTCACCTGGTGTGCGGTGTCCCGCAGCCGAAAGTAGAGCGTATCGAAGCCACAGCCCAGGTTGATAATCTGACAGTTGCCAGACGTTTTCTGCAATGGTCACGGTCAATTTGTCAATTTTTTCAATTACAAGTTAAATGCAAGGCCAAAGTTTGGGGCGTGACTCGCGCAAGTGCAACACATGCGCAGCAACAGCAACAGCTGCAGCAGCAGCCCATTGGTCCATGCAACAGGATTTCGATACAAATTCAATGCCACAATTCGGGGCATGCACTTGACCTTAACTTGCGTCTCGACCATGCAGCAGATATGCTACTAGAGATGGCATTTTAATTTTATAATTTTTTTATTTAATATTTATATCTATTTTAGTTGATTTGATTTAATACCATTTGTAAATAGTTTGCATTACTTTCATAGTTTAGAAATGTAACCGCCAAGCTAAAAATTATTATTTTCGACAAAAAAAATAGGGGGAATATTTATCGATACTAGTTAACAAAAGATCTTTAAAAATCTCGTAATTAAGTGATCGAGCGAAAGGACTTCTATTCAATCAAAATATATAAATTACTGAGTACATTTATCGATATTTTAAGATAAATTATCGAGCTAAATGTCTGATTTCAAAACAGAACTTTAGCTTTGTATTATATCACCACAAAAGAAAATTATTTGTGTAAACAAACTTAAGATCAAATTAGCTCGTTTCTATTGGTAGATATTAAGAGAAGTGTTCTCACGTAGTAGACACGAGATAGATACCATGACGCGCATGTCCCATTATTTACGCTTACTGTTGCTGTTTGCAACCTTGTGTGGTAGATATATATGTAAAACTAACCTTCAGAAACTTCTCCACGCACATCTCAACGCCCTTGACTCGTGCAAAATAGCCACGATTTATCTCTGGAGCCTTTCGCTCCTGATTGCGCACAAAATACCCAATGTAATCGTCCTTCCAGTAGCCAAGACGCACAGCGCCCCGCTTGCAGTCACTGGCATCATCATTGGTGGCAATCACTGCCTCATCACATGGATGAAACTTGTGTGTACTGTTATTATGGGCAACTCCTCCGACCGTTGACGGCGGCTCCATGTCGAAGCTGATTTTGTTGCTTTTTTGTCCACAACCGCTTGTTGCAAGTTTTGTTATATACGGCCTGCTTTCGGTATGTCCTAGTTGGACTGTAACTGAGCACCTATTACTGGTTTATTGCGGTTATTTATGTGCTTTTTTGTCCACTTTGTGTGTGTTTTCAAGCAAGTTGTGTGAATGCAAATAAGTATTAATAAAAACAGCCTGCGAACAGCTGCAAGTATCGATAACATTGGACAGTGTTGGTAAATGTTTAAAGAGTTGAGCTGACTATTTTTGACGTGTCGTATGTGTGATATCGAAATAGTGAAATACCGCCAAGCTTGAATCTGTAAACCGTTAGATTTAAGCGGATATTTTCAAGATTGCTGGTTGCTTACAAATTGAACTCTCGAAAGCTTTCAATTTAATTCATTTATGAACAAATGCATTTATTCATGTAAGCTGATTAGGAATGCGTGCCACAAACGTATGTCTAGCTTAACTCTTTCATCCATCCAAGTGCTCTAATTGTTTCCCGCATCTTTGACATCGGAAGCGACGGCTGTTATAATTAAAATTGTCAGCTACGCCCAAGCCAGCGAAGAGTCTTCAACTCAATAAGGCGGGGTCAAAATGTGAACTGGCTTTAATTGTTGGTTCGCCTCGCGCTTGCAGTTACGGTGAGTGAGTGAATCACAACCCGCCGCGAACACAAATTACTTTCTTGATAATGATAGAATGGCAGAATTACGCAAAGCGCGACTTTTTGTTATGCAAAAATATCACAGTGTGCCGACAATTGCATTTATGCATGTAACTGAATCATCTACCATGGGGCTTTCTACATCTTCAAGCTAGAGACTGGTGGCCCTTAATTAGGCAGCCGCTATTAATTGAAGACTTTTTGAACTCAGCGATAAGTGTGGTTTGCTACTCTTCTGCCTGAAGTCAAGGGCGTGAACTCTTGTTTTTGTTATCGAAAATTGTAAATACATCACCTAAACTTTGCACTCGACAAATGAGAATGAAATTAAGTAGAACTATCATAAATTCAGTTAATACAAAAATAATAATTATTAATTAATCGATAATACACGCACATAACGAAGTTACAACCGTTACTTATTCCAATCTCTTTAATGAATTGAAATAATAATAATAAGACCTTCATATTTTGCATTTAAATATCTTCAGAAATCGTTTTACAAATTTTTTTAAAGTCTAATATTAAATTTGATTGGACACGGCTAAATATATTAAATTAATATATAATATTATTGAGCAAGTGCATTTCGTTAAATATTTGATTTTACAATCAATGCAATGCATTTGGTTGGAGCTTTATATTGATTTAAATATTTATTTGCACTCGGAAAACAATATTACTCTGAGCCACTCTTTGCTCTCTGACACTCTCCGACGATCTCATTCGCCTTTCTCTCTCTCTCTCTCTCTCACTCTATCACGCTGCTGCGGGTCTGTCACCCGCACTCGCTTGCTCATTAGCTCGTTCGCTCAGCCGAGTGGCAGGCAGGTTAGCGTTGTTAGCTGGCGTTGAAGTCACTTGCCGCTTCAGTTTGGTTGTAGCGTTCGTGAGCGTCGGTTGGACGAGAATAAAAGCTGCGCGCGTCTTCTACAAAATTCACTCAGGTGTGTGAGTCAATGCAACTACAACTGTTGGTAACAAAAGCGTCGCTGCTCACGTAAGCCAGTATGTGTGTGTGTTAACTGTATGTGTTAGTGTAACCATAGTTGCGTTTTGACGTTGTTTACTTGACTTTGTCTCTCTTTCTCTCTCGCTATCTGTGCCGTTGGCTAACAAATACTCAAAACGGTCATTTCGTTTTACGTTTACGTTTTTCTTGCTTTTTTCGTAAACTGGGCTCGTTGCTTTTCGGGGCGTTGGCGCGCATACCCAAAGAAAGTTAATAATTTTATTAAATCAATCATTTTATAAAATAAAATGAATAAGCCAAATTGAGTGCAAATGTGGTTTTTATAGATACAGGTGGTAAAAGAAGGGCTGAGATTAGATAGTGAACAAAGGCCAAGCGCAAAAAAAAAACCACAAAAAACAAAAGCAACAAGCTACGACGTTGGCGTCGGCGCAGGCTGCGACGTCATCATTTGGAGCATAACTGTAAAACAAGTGAGATTAAAGAAGCAGCCACTACAACAACAATAACAAAAATACAACTGCCGCGCAGTGGGCCACACACACCCATATATAAATATACATATATATATATATATATATATATAGAGGCACTCACACATACACGCACACCTGCGAACGCTTCACTTTCAAAATTATCGCTGCGTTTTATTGTTTCTATTTGCTTTGTGATTGCGAAAAACAAAAAAAAATCATTGTGATTCACCAGCTAACACTTATAACAACAACAACAACAGCAAACGAAAAAAAACGTGTAATTTGATATGAAAATTCCCGCAAGTATTTGATTATATTCGGTTTTTTTACCGTTGGCAAACATTTTGAGAGAGGGCGACAGCCCTCAATTTATTTTGTGCAGGTCTTTGCATTTCCGCACTTTTAGCAAGAATAAGCAGAAGCAGAAGCAGCAACAGCAGCGGCAGCGGCAGCGACAATTGCTCAAGTTGCAATAGTAGAAGAGGAGCAAGCGAGCCAGCACACATCGAGGTTAACAGCGTAACCTGAGAGGTGGTAGTTGTGGTGCCGGTGGTGGCGGTGCTGTTGTTGGTGGTGTCGGCAGGTTAATGCACTTTTTATTTTGCATGTCGGAACAGCAACTGCAACTTGTGTGTGTCTGAGTGCTTGTGAGTCCTTGTGCCAGTTAAAATGACGTTGACGTTAACTTTGTCGTTGCAGCGCTCTTTGTGATCAAATGCCAAACGTGCTGCGCACAATTAGTTTATATTACTCAATGTTGTTGTTGTTGTTGCTGTGGCAATTATGAAGCCAATTGCTGAAATTCACCACTTTTAGCTATACTTATTTTTGCCCTAGACTTTGTATATTTAAGAATAAATTAACCAAATCCTTTTGCAACTTGTGGATATTCAGCTTTTTCTTTTTGTTTTTACCAGTTTCATTCATCGTAGTTAGTTTAATTGAATTTATTTAATTAAAACACTATTATTCAATTGGAAATAAATGTACTATTTGTAATAGGCCGGCGAAACATTTATTTATTTGTTTTTAAATTTATTTTTGTTTGGTTTTACATTTTTGTTGTTGTTCATTTTGTTTTTTATTATTTACTTTCCGCCTACAGCAAACAATAAAAGTATTTGGTTGTCCAAAAATAGCAGTCAGAACCCATGCCAATTATTGCTTAACGCCCCCAACTTCAATCGCGAAATTCTGCAAAAGTGTAAAAGTTTTATTAATTGATTAGAAAAGAAGGAGTTGATTTATTGTGTTTAAACTGTCTATAATTGAAATACAAAACTTACAATCAACATTTTAGGAATTAAAGAAAGAAAATAAAATGATTAAATCTTATTTTGCATTAGTGATTGCCACAGGTTTTAACGCTTATTAATTTCTCACATAAAAAAGTTTACCAACAATTTGTACACTTTTCGAGTAACATTTTCTAATAATGCTTTCGCCTGAAGCGTATAATTCTTAGACTATCTCCAGTTCAAGTTTAACTCATTTACTGCAATGACTAACAATTAAACCATTAGCGCCTACAAACAAACAATGGAAATAATCGCAATCGTAATGACTCCATTGCAACAACACCTCCCAGGTGACTCCAATTTGAAAAATACACACAAAGTTGCATTTTATGCTGTAACTTATTTTTAGCTCATTACTATCTTATGTGGAAACGGGTTTCTCGGTCTCTCGACTTTTCTTGCTTCTAACGCAGGTTTCAAACTTGGCCATAAGACATACATACATACATATAACAGATGTACACACCTATACCTTCGAATACATTTGTGTGTGTGTGTTACGCAGCTAACGTAATATGGAAACCAGTTCGGTCACTCTTACTCAGCACCCAGATTTGTTTATTATTGTGTGTATAAACAAAAGAATAAAAAAAAAACACATACAAAAAGTATTAATCAAATTATTGTTATGAACGAATTTTATGACCATGTCTTGAATAGTTCGAGTTTTCCTTTTAAGAAATCCGAGAGAAATCTCTCAGCGTGCTTAACTGTGGTAAACTTATGTTACATCTATTTTACTTTATTTTATAGCTCACTCCTCTCTCTATCTTTCTCTCTTCTCAACTTTCCTTAACCTTAACCTTTACCTTTTGGTCTGTTTGTGTTTTTTTATGGGTTTCCCCAATTTTTGTAATAAATAATGGTCTACTTTTAATTTTAATGCCCATAGATTTATTTATTTGTTATATCTTTAATTCAAATACATAATTTAATTTAAAAGCTGGACTGTTTTTAGTTCACATTAAATAATTAAAAAAAAAATAATGAAATGCACCATCAATATAAATAATATTGATTAAATTTATTTATTCTAAGATATATATAAAAATATATATTAATTAGTTATTTGTTTATTTTCCTTTCAGGCTACAATGTCACAGAAATTTAAATATCGTGACAAATTCGAATGTCTATCGGGCATTTTAATGGTTCTTTTGGTGCTCCAACCGCTGCTGCCTCACATTGATGCACAAACGCGGGATCCGCGATTCTATTCGCGTGTCGGTGTCGACTATCAATGGCCCAATCCCGGCGATCCCGAATATAGGTGAGTATTGCTATGAAATAAATATTATGTGATATCTATTATAAACTTTGATTCACAGGACTTACACGTTCAATGATCGTCGTTATGGCCATTACCAGCCGAATGGCTATGGCGCCAATTATCCTGGCCGGAATCCACCTGGACAATATCCGCAGGGCATGCCCAATGAGGATCGCTTTCGCTTCGATCCGGTATGTTATGTTTCATGGCTGTCATTAGTTGTTTGGTTCACCTACAGAAAGCTTAAACAATTAACTGAGTGACACACAAGTTGACCCCAAAAGATGATGAAAACATTTAGAACGCATCATAAATGAACAATGCGCAAGCATTGAGAGCTGAACAGCGCCGATGAGCTGCTCTGTAATATCAAAGCAATAATCTTAATTAAGTTTTCATGCGACTTGATCAATGACATATGTTTCCCCATCCGCCTACAACAACAGCAACAACAACAATTATAATCTCTATTAAAATTGAATTCACAGAATGATCCAAATGCACGCACCCAATTTCCGGGCGTCTTGGCCGGCTGGCGAGAGGATTTGCAGGGCAAACAGAGACGCGATTCGCTGACATTGGAACGCGATGTATTCGTCACAACGAACTATGGCCAGGTGCAGGGCTTCAAGGTCTATATGTATGATAATCCCGATCCAAAATCGTTCTATCGACCCTACCACTCCACGGTGGATCGCGTAATGGGCGAATGCTCAACATTTTTGGGCATACCCTATGCCCTGCCGCCCACATTCGAGGGACGCTTTAAGCCGCCCCGGCTCCATCGGGGCTGGCAGCTGCTCCAGGCGGTGGATTTTGGACCAGCATGTCCGCAGCCAGTGCGTTATACAGGTGCCACCAAAGGTGTGATGGACATGGACGAGGATTGCCTCTATCTGAATGTATATTCACCCAAGGTGAGTTCACTTATCAAATAAATATGTTTACAAAATACTCACATTTATCAATTGCAGACTGGCGCTGGCGTTGCCCAAAAGTATCCGGTTATGGTTTATCTGCACGGCGGCGAATTTGTGCGTGGCGCCTCCAATTTGTTCCAGGGCCATATCCTGGCCTCATTCTATGATGTGGTCGTGGTTACGCTTAACTATCGACTGGGTGCCTTGGGTTTCCTTTCCACAGCGGATGAGAATTCGCCGGGCAACTATGGCATCTTGGATCAGGCAATGGCACTCAAATGGGTCTACGATAATATTGAGTTCTTCAATGGGGACCGTGAATCCATAACGTTGTTTGGTCCAGGTGCTGGAGCCGCCTCCGCTGGTCTCCTGATGGTCGCGCCACAGACCCGGAACATTGTGAAGCGGGTGATAGCGCAATCGGGATCAGCTTTGGCCGATTGGGCGTTCATCCAGGACAAATATAGAGCGCAGAATACGAGCCGTGTGCTGGGACAAGTGTTGGGCTGCTCCATGGATTCGTCGTGGAAGCTGGTCAACTGTCTGCGCACCGGACGCAGCTTCTATGAGCTGGGCAATGCAGAGTTCTCACCGCAGGTCGGCAGCTTCCCTTGGGGTCCGGTGCTGGATCACAATTTCACGCTGCCCGGCGACGACTGGTACGAGGGCTGGCGGGAGAAGGATTGGCGCTTCCTTACACAAACACCCGAGACTCTGATACGTGCCGGCCGATTTAATCGGAATATTCAGTATATGACGGGCGTCACCACGCAGGAGGCCGCCTTCTTTGTCGCCCAGAACGAATCGCTGGCGCCGTATTATGAGCTGGATGGTCGCTTCTTCGAGCAGAAGGTGCGGGAGCATGTCTTCCGCTACAACTACACCCTCAATCCCAATGGCGTCTACGAGGCCATCAAGTACATGTACACCTTCTGGCCGGATCCCAACAACAATACCATCATACGCGATCAGTACATCAACATGTTGAGCGATCTCTACTATCGGGCGCCAGTTGATCAAATGGTCAAGCTGCTGCTCGAGCAAAAGGTGCCCGTCTTTATGTATGTGCTAAACACAACTGTGGAGGCACTAAATTTGCCCCAGTGGCGCAAATATCCACACGATACGGAGCATTACTTTTTGACTGGTGCCCCCTTTATGGATACGGAATTCTTTCCCAAGAAGGAGCATCTGCAACGCAACATGTGGACGGACAACGATCGCAATATGAGTCACTTCTTTATGCAGACCTATTCAAACTTTGCCAGATACGGGTAAGCTGTGGCTCTATGTTTTAATGCTTAAAGATACATGGTATTTTTATTTTGATATCAAATTAATATTATAGTGTGAGAAGTATTCGAGCTCCAAGCTAAAAGGACCTTACCATCTGTAATGCCTCAGTTATGATCTGGCCATGCCGGTCGAAAAACCCCTAGTGGACACTGCTTAATTAGTATTCATTCAAACAGATTATCAATTCTTAAATTTTGCACACGCTGTCGTGATGAAGAAGAAAAGGAATCGATTAAGCACTTCATCACTTTATCGTAGCTCTCCTCAGTTAATTATTACCCAAGTGGCTTGGGATACGGATGTGTTTCGCTCGCTAGCGACAGCCGACCCAACATAACCTAATATCACAGCAAAAAGGTTTCCATCAACTGCCTCTTAACTAAAAACTCTTTCATTCCTTCCTGCAGCAATCCGACGCCACAGCAAGTACTGGGAATGCATTTCCAGCGTGCCTATCAGGGAGAGATTCGTTACCTGAACATCAATACCACATACAACTCCTCCATATTGCTGAACTATCGGCAAACGGAGAGCGCCTTCTGGACACAATACTTGCCAACAGTTATTGGTGTTCTAGTGCCGACATATCCGCCGACCACAGAGTACTGGTGGGAGCCCAAGGAGCCATTGCAGATTGCCTTCTGGAGCATGTCGGTTGCGTGCTTCTTTCTCATCGTGCTCGTCGTCATCTGTTGCATTATGTGGCGCAATGCGAAGCGGTAACTAAAATAATCTAACGACAACACTCTATCAGAAATTACACTCACAATTATCGCATCAATCACAGGCAATCGGATCGATTCTATGACGAGGATGTTTTCATCAATGGCGAGGGCATGGAACCCGAGCCAGATCCACGTGGAGTGGACAATGCGCACATGGTGACCAATCATCATGCGATGCGCTCGCGGGACAACATCTACGAGTACAGGGACTCGCCATCGACTAAAACGCTGGCCAGCAAAGTACACACGGATACCACATCGCTGCGCTCGCCCAGCTCTCTGGCCATGACTCAAAAGTCGAGCAGTCAGGCCTCCATTAAGTCGGGCATCTCGCTCAAGGAGACCAACGGCAGTCTGGTCAAATCGGAACGTGCCGCAACGCCGCGCTCCCAGGTGAATGGAACGGTGTCGAGCAAAGCACCGCCCGTCGAAGAGAAGCGACTGCTGCAGCCCATCTCGAGTACGCCGGTGGCACAGCTGCAGTCAGAGCCAACGAAGCGAACACCAACCGCCAGCAGTGTGGCGAGCAGCAGTCGGAGCACTACACCAGTACCCTCGGCACGCACCACAACGACGACGGCGACGCTGACAACGCAGCCGGCTGCCCAGCCACGACGCACGCAGCTGGTGGAGGGGGTGCCACAGACGTCTGTCTAAGTAACCGCTCTCTAAGTGCGCGATGCGCTTAGGGAGTGATCCGCATAAGCCTCGGAAATGAACAACAATCATTTAGCCAAGCATTTAAATTGGGGTAAGTTGCACCTCCAAATTGATAACGAATGCCGCCTCATAATGTTTTCTGGCCAACAGCTCCGTTATGCTGGAGGACATCTGCCTTACTTGTTGGCATTCCAGGAGCGCCCGCAACGTTCGGTTCTTTTTAAGTTGTTTAATTTCCCTAGTTTTACATTTAGTATTTATAATTTGTGTCTACACAGATCTAAGAGATCTCTAGAGTCCCTAAGTGTAACTAACTTTATTTGTAAAAAAAAAAAAAAAGAACTTTTTTTTCAATTTTATTTTGTAAGTTTGAAAACCCAACGAATACGAATCCATATCAATGACATTCCATAGAATAGTTTGCGCCTTTTTGGCATTGACACGCCTCTTTTTGAGGCGAGGCCTTTGCGTGTATATATACATATATTAAAATATCTACGTTAAGTTAGTGATTTTAAAATTCAAACTAATTTTTGTATTCTGTAAAAAACGATTTTTAGCCCGCTGACTTTCGATCAACTGATTAGGAAAAGTTATAAAATAATTTTTTATAAATATATATAAATAATGCAAAATAAAAATAATAAAGCTCAATGACCAGCATGGAAAATTCATATATTTCGTGAATTCCGATGAGTTCCGATATCATAACTTTTTCAATAGACACTTTTCACATTCCTCATACTAAATATGCACAAGTGCCTATCATTATATTGATCTAGCCTAGTGATAAGAGTGTGTTTGTACTCATTTATGTATAATATCTAAGTGCCTTCCATACATATAGATATAAAGCTATAATTTATATATTTTATATATATATATATGTGTGTATGTATGTTTTATGTGTCACATATATAGAAATCAACGACCATACAAATCAGTGTAAACCGTCCAATCAATTTTTATGTTTTCATTCATATGTATTTTGTATAAAGTTATTGTTTACATGTGCGAAAACATAAGAAATACATTAACAATTACATTTCATAAGTGTGTAGTTTATGTTTAATTGCGTATAGTTTTATATATATAGGTATACATATATATTTATCAATTCATTTCAATAAAAACCAATTTCGCTTTTGTGAAGTGTCCTCGTTTGTCTTACATTTGTCAACATTTGAACTTTTTATATGTGTAAAATACGTTTTTTTTTTAATAAACATTTCAAGTATAGATTAGGGAATAATGAGGATGTACTATACATATAGATATATATATACTACAGATACAGCGAGGCGGCAAACACAATATCGCGCTTGATCAGTCGGATGCCCTCGGAGAACTTGTTCTCCAGATCCGTATTGCCAATCGTCTTGGATGCCTGGCACAGTTGACGCAGCAGCTCCTCGAGACGACGCATGCAACGAATGATGGAGCCCTCAAAGATGTCGGTCATTTTACAGACGCTCAGGAAAGTGGAGCCCTTGCACCAGGCGAGCACCACGTCCATGAGAAATGGCTTAAATTTCTCCACATAGTTGTCCTCATCCAGATTCAGTTTGCACTCGGTGGACACCTTTGCGATGCGCCGCGCCAGATTCTGCAGGGCGCGAAGTGGTCCCGACAACTCCGTCGCACTCTTTGGCGCCTCGCTGGACTTCTCGTCGCAGACGAAGCAGGAGAGGAGTGCCACAGCCTGTGGTGCTGAGAGCTCATTGAAGACACCATTGAAGATCATTTCGGTAATGAGTAACTCATCCGCTGAGCTCAGCTCGCAGGCGACGCGACCCTTGAACTCGATGACATCGCCGGGCTTGCAGTAGCCCATGCGCCGGAGCACACGCTTCCGATACTTCAACTCGTCCATTTGGAGCAGGCTGCGTGCCGCCTTCAGTTCGGTCTTCAGCGCACTCAGCTCCGATTGTAGCTTCAGCTTGTCCAGGTAGCGTTTGTGTATGCGCTCCAACTCGGGTGATTTGTGCAGTGGATGCTCCTCGAGCAGTCTCTCGAACTGGGCAATGGTATCCACTATCTTACGGAACTCAGCATCCTTGATGTTCATGTCGTCGACGGGATGCAGGACGGGTGGACCGAGCGGAAAGCGTTTCTTTGCCTCCTGAATGGTCTTGAGGACGGCACGACGATTGTCAGCTGTGCGCAGATCACTGGGAAAATAGACGCGTATCGAGCTAATCTGGGTGAGCAGTGTATTGGCGACGGGCACAACCTCCATGCAGCCGCGTTCGTTTAGAGGACAGGGTTCAGTGTCGCCAGTTTTGGCCGCCTCCTCGCTAACGTGCAGCAGCACATCGATGACAACGTTCGGATCACTCTTCAGCGGATTCTTGCGACTCTGATCCTGTTTCTTGAAATTCAACACAATGCCCCAGTCGTATTCCTGCTTGCCAGCCGAGACCTTGACGAGGCGACCCGGCTGCAGGAAGGGCACCAGATATTGTGGCTTCGTCAGCCACTCACGGAACTTGGTGCCGTTGATCTCGAGCTGATCCCGGATGTGATGATACGAGGCAATGTTGTGCTCATCCTTGATGCTCAGCTTCTCCAGCTGTTGCTGCTTCTGCTGCACCTGATCGTGCAGTCCAGGCAATGCAGCCTGATTCTGGAACTGATAGAAACTGCGCTCCAGCATATATTCCGGATTGATTTCCTCCACACGCAGCAGATTCAACACCATGTTGTACGTCAAATGGAAAGCCGAATTTAATGTGTCAGCCTTGCCCTGCACGATCTCACGTCCCACGACGGGCGACACCTTCTCATCGATCATCAGTATGACAATACCCTTGTCATCAAGGCCACGACGTCCAGCACGTCCAGCCATTTGTATATACTCCCCGGAGCTGATCCAGCGAAAGTCCTTGCCATCAAATTTACGTGGTGCCGTAAAGAGTACAGTGCGCGCCGGCATGTTCAGGCCCATGGCGAAGGTTTCCGTGGCGAACAGAGCCTTAATCAATCCCTCTCCGAACAGTATCTCAATGGTCTCCTTAAGGATGGGCAACAGACCGCCATGATGTATGCCAATGCCACGTCGCAGTAGTGGCAACACATTCTCCACCTGCGGCAGACGACGATCCTCCTCAGAGAGCACATCCATCGCATTGTGAAAGACCTCATCGACCAGTTTCTTCTCATCCACGGTATTAAAATCCAGTTTGGCCATTTGCATGGCATACACCTCGCAATCCTTCTTACTGAATGAAAAGATGATGACTGGTGCAAAGTTACGCTCCATGATCATCTTGACAATCTTAAAGATGTTTGTCTGACCAGAATTGTGACCCTTGACGCCACCCTTGCGTCCCTTTTGATCACCTTTGGCCGCCTCGCCTGCAACAAAGAAGAAGAGTTGAAAACAAGATCCAAAAAAGTGAAGATTAGTTACGCACCCGCATTGGCCAGCACCGCCATGGCTGTGGTGAAATTGTCCTCCTTGAACTGACCCTTCTCGTCGACAATCAAATGAATGCCATCGCCGCCAGCTGGAAAGATGTAATGCTGCAACGGTGTGGGCCGATAATCCGTATAGACAACGTGACACGGCTGCTTGTGCAGATGGCAGACCCACTCGGCAAACTGGCGAGCATTGGGTATCGTTGCCGAGAGGAAAACATAGCGCACATTATCCGGCAGCAGGATCAGCGTCTCCTCCCAGACAACGCCACGTTCCTTGTCGCGCATATAGTGAATCTCATCGAAGACGACCCAGCCCACCTCACGCATCACCTCGCTGCCACGATACAGCATATTACGCAGAATCTCTGTGGTCATGATCAGGCAAGAGGCTGATGGATTAATGGTCACATCTCCAGTAACTAAACCAACATCCTGAAATTCATCTGTGAATTCGCGAAACTTTTGATTGGACAACGCCTTAATGGGAGTCGTATAAATCACTCGTTGCTTTGCCGCCAGTGACTTGGCGATGGCATATTCGGCAACCACCGTTTTACCGGCGGATGTGTGCGCCGACACTAGAACACTCTGGGAGTTGTCGATGCAGAGAATGGCCTGCTTCTGAAATGGATCCAACACAAATGGATACTCTTTGGCGGGCACTCCCACAATTGGCTGCAATGGGATGTACTCCTGATCGGGATGGGCAGCCACCTCGTGTGTGCACGACTCCGGCGACACCAATTGGTGGGTCACAATCCTCACGCGCAGCGCCTCCATCGCAAAATCATCTGGCTGCTGAACGTTCTCCTCCTCCTCCTCCTCCTTCTCGTTGCACATTTCCTTGTCATTGTCATCCGATTCATCGCCAACGCCGTCGGCACGCGGGCGCTTTGCGGGCTCCTTCTCCTCTTTGTCCTCTTTCACAGATGCTTCATCTGCTTCTGTCTGTTGATCAGCAACACTGGCGTCTGCCTGACGCTTGTTGGCTTTTTTGGCACTTTTGTTGTCATTGTCCAGAACTTCAACTGCTGTTGCCTTCTTTGATTGCATAGGTAGCGGCGGCACCTGCAGACTTTCGGGTGGCACCTCATTGAAACAATCAAATAGCTCGTCGATGTCCATTTTGTCTAGTTTTTCGCAAGCAACGCGCTTTCGTTTTTCTTCTTTCGGCTTTGATGCACGCCGCGTTGAAGCAAAACATGTGTTTCTCCCTCTGTTAACTTAACACTTTGCATCAATGTTATTAACAGCAGGCTGCAATTGAACAGCGCTTTTTAAAGTTTTTAAAACAATTCGATCCAATAACTTTTAGTTATTTATTAAAAAATAAGTTTTGTAAGCCATTGTATGGTTTGACTAAAAATGTGAACACATTTTATAAATAAATGATTGAACTGCTCCTTCATATCTGTTAATATTTAACAGCCCTAACAGTTAACGTGAAATTACGAGTACGCTACATACAACATGTTGTATGAAGTGTGAACTAAACAATAAAATTTTAGCAAACAATATTTTTCCAATGTTAATTAATTCTCAAAAGATAAGCGTACAATAAGTCAAAGTAATTTTACATGAAAATAAGCACTGCCTATGAATATATGCCGCTGCAAAGATATATTTTTGTTGTTTAAATTTAAAACTAAAAGGAAAACTTAAAATAAAATAAGCTTAATTTACAAAATTTGAATTTTGACATCAATACATTTATAAATTCACAAATAACATTTGATTATTATTACTTAATTTAATCTTTGCGCCAATTGCAATGATGTAAACAACTGTGAACAGCAGAATGCTTTTCGATAACATTTGCGCAATGATATTTAACATAGCGGAATAGCCATAACATCTTTCGCCTTCCTATCGATTGGGCAAAAATAATTAATCGAAAAATCAGCAACAACTGCAGCGACGCAGCGAAAGAAAAAGAAAAAAGAAACAAAAATATATTTACCAAATAAAATTGCATTTCTTAACACAAAATGGACAATGATGAAGTGAAGCGAGGTCGTGGACGTGGTCGCGGCTCTCGGGCACGAGGCCGCGGACGTGGACGTGGCCGAGGACGCGGTAAAAAAATTGATGACACTGGCATTGCCCTGGAAACATATGAAAATAGTGTTGGCAATGTTTTAGCCGCCGCCGCCGTCACCGGCGCCACCTCAAACAATGTCAGCGGATTGGAGGACAGTCCAAGCAGCCTAGAGCACACAGAGGATGTGGCAATGCAAGACCTGGACAAGGAAAACGAAATAGATGTGGCTTCCACAGCGAACGACGAGCAATTGACACCCATTCAGGATATGACGCCGCCACAAACATTGCCGCCGCCGCCGCCACTTCAACAGCAACAGCAGCAGGTAGTGCTGCCAGTGTTACCAAAGCCAAGTAAGAACTTTATAAGCTACAGTGAACGCTCGTTAAATAATACTAATTAAAATATTAATGGTTACAACCGAAATAAATTAATTTCTTGTACGTCCAATTGTGAAATACGGATCTTGTGTGTGGTATCCTCAATATCTGATTTCAAATCTGTGATATATCTCTATACACCGATAGACTGCTCTTCACTTCTCTATCCAACTAATCGTCTTGTTCTGTTTATAGTTAAATAACTAAATGGTTAAATCGATTCCACTGCTCTGATGAGTATTAAATTAAAAACATAACAAAAAATTTCGGTTTCATGTTCTTTCCACTTTCTCTTAATTCCTTGCATGAGCCGTTTCGCATCATCCATTCAGAGTCCTCTATTTCTATCATTAAGAACTCAATTTTAAAGGTCTTGTCTCGTGAATAACATTTTCGCATGCATAATATTAAGTATTTTTTAAAATTAATTTTGGCCTGATTGAATTTTTTGCAAAAATTCCATTTAACTAGAAATCTTATAAATATTTCTTATGTTTAAAATTACAAAAAGAAAAATTATTTAATGGTAATCTCTGATTATTGTAGTTGATATGGAGGCGGATATCTCACAGCTGGAGGCGCCCACGTTTACAACGTTGTCCCGCGGGCCACCGGAGCCAATGCTGCGCCTCAAGTGGAACCACAAGGTGAGCCTGATTGGCGAAAAAGTGCTCAATCCGATGATCCACTGCTGTGACCGGTGCGACAAACCGATTCTCGTCTACGGCCGCATGATACCCTGCAAGCATGTGTTCTGCTTGAAATGCGCCCGCGCCGAGCCCATCAAGTGTTGTCCCCGCTGCAACGACAAGGTGCTGCGCGTGGAGCAATCCGGTTTGGGCACCGTCTTCATGTGCACCCATGGAGGGAGTCGCTACGGCAGCACTGGGTGTCGTCGCACATATTTGTCGCAGCGTGATCTGCAGGCGCACATCAATCATCGGCATGTGGCGATGTTGGCACCGCCCTTGACAACGGCCACTGGGTCGGGCGTCGTCGTTGAGCCCAAGCTGATGACGGAATTGAGCGGCCTGGAGTTGCATAAGCAGCGCAAGGCGAGTAGTTGCTATGGCTCCTAACAATGCTCTCTCCCTGTCTAATGCTTGCACTTGCAGCTATCCGAATCCTCTGTCGCCTCATCCGCTGCTGCTGCAGCTGTTGCTCATCTGCAGCAACGGTCATCGGTGCGTGGTCCAGTCGGTGGCATTGGATCGATACCACCACCGGGTTCATCCGATCGCATTGCCGTCCACTCGCACTCAACGCTCACGCTGGCAAATTTGGCGCGCATCAACAATGCTAATGCGCAGGATTGCCATCAGGGCAAGGCGTCACTGCATCAGACCCTTAAGAAGGGCGTCGGCGGCACCCATCAGTCCGAATCGGTAGCCGATGCCTCCTACTACAGCAGTGTGTTGGCCTCCTTTGGCAGTGCTGGCGGCGGCACGGGTCCAGGTGCATCCGGCAGCAGCCAGGTGACTGGTTCAAGTGGTGCGGTGGGCGGAGTTGGAGTCGGTACATCTGGTGTCGGTGTAGCTGCGGCAGCTGGCGGCAATGTGATCGGGGATCGAAATCCCGCCCAGCTGGCAAACGGCTACGAGTCGGGCAATGTGGCAGGCAGCTCTACTGGTAGCAACTGGCAGCAAGCGCAATATTACAGATGAGAGAAACCATTCGACAGATGAGCTGCACTCATTTTATGCATGAAATCAAACACTTAATTATTGTACAAATAAAATGTTGTATATGGAGAAAAAACTATCGTCTAGATAATAAGTCAAAATTGTTTGCAGACATTTTTACTCAGTTTACGTTGTAGTAATAAACTTAACTATTTTTATTGAGCATTACATCTGTGTTTAATTCGAATAATTGTTTCCAAACTAGTCCTCTGCCAAGTTATCGATAACAATCACTTGTAGTCAGCTGCAGCAGTAGCTCACATAGGCAAAATCATAAACAATTTAAAAATGTAACAAAATAACCAAAAATAATAAACTTCAGCAATTGTACAAATCATTTTTATTCTGTGTTTAATTCAAATAATTGTTTTACACTAGTCTGCTGCTTAGTTATCGATAGCGATAACGATATTCTTATCGTCGGCTGTAGTCGCAGCAACAGCAGCTCAAAAAGGCCGAATTGGAAACTCTGAATAAAACTACCATAAGTAATAAACTTAGCTATTTGTAATATACGTTTTTAATTTTTTTTAAACTAAATGTTTTACAGCGTACTAGACTTTGGCGCTGCTTTCAAACTAGCCCGTGCCAAGCTATCGTTATCGATAATGATATCTTTATTATCGTCAGCTGCAGCAGCAGTCGCAGCTCAAAAGGCCAAATTGTAAACAATTTCAAATAAAAGAAAAGCTCTGAATAAAATGACCATAAGTACAATGGAATAATTTTACTAAAAATGACTTTGACCCCGAGTTACAAATAAATCAACGTTCCACAATTAACGACGACAGCGCAACAGCATTGCGGGCGCAGTTAAAAGAGAAAGTTTTTAGCTAGAAATATGAAAAAAATATTACTGATTAGTGGTAAGCGTAAATGCGGCAAAGATTTCATATCAGAAAGATTGCAAAGAAGGTGAGCATTAGATTGAGTCTAATTTGCGGTAAACAATTGACTATTATTTATGTAGATTGTCAGATCGGTCGCTAATCGTTCGCATCTCGGAGCCCATCAAGCGGGAATGGGCGCGCAAGCTGCAACTGGATATGGGAGCAATGCTCAGCGATGGTCCCTACAAGGAGCAATATCGTCGCGACATGATCATCTGGAGTGATGAGGTGCGTCAACGTGATTATGGCTTCTTTTGTCGTGCGGCAATGGAGGCATCCGCCGTGCAGCAAGCGGACTATGTCATCGTTAGCGATATTCGACGCAAGAATGACATCAAATGGTTTCGGGAGAATTATGGTCAAGACATGGTCAAAACACTACGCCTCACATCGACGGAGCAGCGACGCAAGGCGAGGGGCTGGCAATTTACGGCTGGCGTGGATGATGTGCCCTCCGAATGTGATTTGGATGACAGCAGCTTTGACTACGTCTTTGCCAATGATGAGGATGGGGATGGGAATGCGCAGGATGAGAAGCAGCTAATTGATAGATTACTCGCCTTGCTGCAACTTAGCTAATGTGGCCTTAACTCGAATGATGAATCTATTTTTGATAGCACAAATCTTATTTTTGCAAATATACAAATATATTTTTATGGATCAGATGATAAATGATTAATTGATGTGATGATTTTTAAGGCAATTAATTTACTAAGCAAAAAAGAGGGGGCACGCTTAGGGCTCCAAGCGATTCTCGCTTGCCAACAGCCGACGCAGGCTGGGCACATTCAGGCGCTCGCCGGGATTGAGCTGATCGTCGAAGCTTTGCAGCGGCAACTGCAACGATGGCTTCACCAAATCCTTCTCCACGGAACGCGAACGCAAATGAACGCGATTCCTGTTCACGCTGCTGAGCGGAGTGCGCTGCGAGGAGCGCTGTGCCGGATTGGGAGTGCTGCTCTTGGGTGTACTGCTCTTGGGTGTGCTGCTCGTGTGCGAGTCCAAGGCGTCCACATAGATGCGGGTTTTGTTGGCACGCGCTGGTTTTCGAGGCGCCACGCGACGCTTGTTGCCCAAGCGGACGCGTTCCAAGTGCTTGTTGGCTGGACGAGATTGTGACAGTGACTGGGCAGGCTGCAACTGCAGCTCATCCTGTGTCAGTTCTGCGGAGGCACTGACAAAGGAGGCCATGCTGCTCTCCGCGCTGAGATTGAGCGTCAGCGTCTCCAGTATCTCCTCGAGCATTTGGGTATCGCGCTCCTCAGCCTCGTCGGCATCATCACAGAAAATAATGGGCGTCCGCTCAACACCAACGCTGGGCGAGCGTGGATCATAGCATGGGGCTGGGACGGATGCTGGCTCTGGCGTCTGCTGCACTAGCATGTCGCAGCAGGGCATCGTCTCATCCTCCTCGTAGGTCAGGGAAACAATCTCCACGGACTCATTTGCGGGCTGCTGGTCTCCGGCAGATGGGATCGCTGGTTGTGGTGCACGCGTCTCCACAAACAGGTCGGCAAAGGTGTCGTCCATATTCAGTGTACGATCGATAGCCGCATCCAGCACCAATGGTGTCCGATTCAATTGCGGAGAACGTGGATCCTGCAGCGAGAATCCCCGCAAGAGCCGCTTGCGCAGTTGCGCAAAGGTGTTTTCCGTCGGAGCAGCAACTGCAGCAGTTGCAAGTGGCATCAACGGTGGCAACTGTGGCAAAATCATATGTTAATCCTATAAAATAAAATTCATTTAAATACTCACATTTAATGGCGTTCGGCAGCCATTTGGTGAGCGTGGATCGAGTAAAATTTCATTATTCTCTCGACAAGGACTCAACGAGAGTTCAATTGGTGCTGCTGCTCTGTTTATCTTTGGTATATTCGGCACATAGTTTGCATCCATTTTTGTTGCTTTTGCGCCCATTACAATTGTTTAGTTTACAATTCAACTACAATTTTTACAATCTGCGTTGTTGCTTTTGAACTGAAAAATGCGGGAGACGTTGCTAGCGTCGATATACAAATCTATCGATTACACGAACAATGTGACCATATTATTTTTATGATATCTGGCAGTGCCATTGCCGTTCCGTTTTTAATCGACATTAACATTGGTGATGCGCACAACTCAAAACGATATCTCATACATTTTTCGATTGAACAAAACTACACGGATGGATTAAAAAAAGAAAAAAACAATAAAAGCATAGTGTGCATTTTATAAATTATATATCAAACTGTTGGAGAAACTCAATTCGAAATATCAAAAAGCAGTATTCGTAAAAAGAAATGTGCGCGTGTGTGCAGAGTATGTGAAAAGTATTTGATGAAAGCGGCGAAAGCTTGAATGGCGATTGCAAAACACCGAATGTAAGTTGAATGGGATTGCATAGAAAAAAAATGTAAATGTTTTTGAAATGAAAAAAAAATGCTTGGATTGTGACAATTAGGCCTCAAGGAAAATTATTTCGGCCATTTTTACGCAGTAAGCAAAAAAATACGTTTTTGTATCAATGTGTGCGTGCGTGTAAGTGTGCGTGTGTGCATGTGTCAGTGTGTGTCTGTGTAGCCCCTGCAAAGGCGCACCGCAAGCAGCAGTAAATTTCGTTTCGTGTGTACACACAACATATATATATATGTATGTATGCGTCGGTTTTTTTTTCCTTTACACACACACACACCATTGCATTTAACATGCGTCGTTCGACGCGGAGACTTCTGCTGTGTGAAGCAGCGTGTAAAAGAAAACTAGTTTGTGGCGTTGCCAACTACTTGTCCTAGGCAGCCACATTTTGTCTTACATTAATGTAGGTTAGTGCGCGGCAGAGGGGCGTCACCTGCATTCATTGTTGGAATTAATTTTTTTTTTTTGCTTGGAAATGTTTTATTTTTTTTTTTGTATTTCGCTTCTTTTTTTTTAAAGTATAGCACTGTATGCTTAAAGCCGGCGAGCGAAAAGTAAACAATTTGTATACGCAGTTGGCAACGCGTACGCTGACCGCAGTATTGTAGACTTTCTCTCTCTCTCTGTCTTGCTTCAAATGTAGACACGTGTGTGTGTGTGTGTGACTGTATTATCTGAAAACAACGAAATTTCATTCATTGCTCTTTTCGAGTAAAAAATACACGCTGTGTGTAAAACAGCCGCCATCTGCAATTACAAAAACAGACGTGCATATATCTGTGTATGTGTGTGTGTGTGTGTCTATGCAAGCAAAATATCTAATTGTGCAACATGTTATAATTAATGTAATAATGTGCGTTTAATAAACGTTAACAGAGGAAACAGTCAAGCCTCAAGTAACAGACGAAGGGGAAGACACAGCTGCCGTTGGCAGGGTGTGACTCTCCGCTTGCGCGTGTCAGGTGCAAAGACGACGACAACGTTGTCGTAAAAGTCTCCACGCGAGACGAGAAGATACTTGGACATTCCAGAATTTAACATAGCATAGACGACGAAGGCAGAAGGCAGCGAGCGTCGTTTGATTGCCGTTGCCGTCATTGGCCGCGTTTTTTCACACATTCCACGCGCTGCCGTCATACATACACACACTTACATAGGCATGCATACATACATAAACACACTTGTACGGCGACTATTGATTTCAATCAACTTTGTCCGCTCTCTCACTTCACTCTCTTCTTTTTTTTTGCTCTCGCTCTCTTGTGCCCATTTGTCAATTAAGCAGCACGTCCGCTTGTCGGCTCATCAACAACATTTGCGGCCGTATGTGTGTGTGAGTAAATTCCATTTCCTGTTTATAGTAGGTATGCTGCACACATACAAACACACAACCCTCCCTCCTCCCCGCATGCTCTTACGTCGTCTTCTTGGCTTGCCACCACCACCACCAACCACAGCGTCGGTCGTTGCCGTCTGTTTTTTTTCTCACTCCCTAGTCTGAATCCCTCGGTAGCAGCAGGCAGCAGCAGCGGAGCGCTGTGTACAGTACGTGCCACTTCCTTTACATTCAGAAAAATAAAAAATGTTCACACAAACATACATATATGCATGCATACACACATTCAAACGTACATACATACATACGGGCGGGCCAAAACGACACACAAACAGTTGGACAGACAGACGGACAGCACACGGGGAGCGTTCGTTTGGCGTCTGCGCCGTGTGTTTTTTTTTTTAATTTTTTTTTTGTGTTCTTGTACAGTTGCAAAGACACAATCATCATATATACAAGAAGAAGACGTACGGACGAAAACGAGTTTTCTGTCTCGGCCGATGTGGCAACGCTGTCGATCCATTCGCCGCGCTCTCTCTCCCCCTACTCGTTTGCTTATTAGAAAGAAGAAAAATGCCGCTGCTGATGTTGTTGTTGGTGGTCTTTACGTAAGAAGGCCGTCGAACTCTACACTGCGAGTAGAAGCATGCAAATAATGCGAAATGCGAGAGAGCATCAACTATGTGTGTGTGTGTGTGTGTGCGCTCGTCTAATGATTACCGTTACAATTTGCATTGGCTGGCCGTCTAGTCAGACAGACAGCCGTCTCGCGACCCAGACTAGACGACCCAGCCCCAATCTCAAATTGGCAACATTTCATTTTTTTTCACATGACCTTTTATCGTGCTTGATTGCTAGACTGTATATGTGTGTGTATATGGCGCTTAATAAGCTTCCAGCATTATTTTTATTGATTTTTTGTAGTTAGTGTAAATTGTTGTTTCAACTGAGCTGCGTTGTGATGCGCAGCGTGCTGCATTCGTTTGTTGTTTTGTCTGTCTCAGGTTCAATGTCCTAACTGCACACAACAAGTGCAACAACAATAATAACAACTAGTAAGCAATGCAGTTCTTAAGCGGGAAGCGACTCTGGCAATGGAAATAAGACCGGAGAAATCCGAGAAATATTTTCAGATATTTATGTAACTTAAATTAGTAGACACGATTTGTATTATTTTATTTGGTTTAATAAATAAATGTAATTATCATAATTTGTATATATTTTGATTTTGGAAAACTTTGAAATTTGAAATAATTATTATGTATTTCAAATTAGTTTCTTATTTTATATACCACAATATTAATAATAATAATCATAAATAAAATCATAAATCAGAGTAGATTTTTCAAAATTTTAATATTTGAAATATATATGATAAATTTCAATTCGAATTTGAATCACCTTGATTTTATCACATCTATGCTTAACTCATGAAACTTTGCGCAGTTGCGTCTCGTGCCGTAAAATGCAGATTTGAATTTTTTGTTTTAGTTGATTTAGTATTCTTGATGGCCCACTTCTAACCGCATTTCTATCGAGTTTGAAGCTAGAGGTCGTTATTTGCGTTTTGCGAAATAATTGTGCCTATCTGGCAACGCAATCATCCTTGGCGCGCGCGTAAATGCCTCGTTTTATTTTTTGGCGCGCACAAAAAAAAAAAAATATATCTATATATATGTATAAAAAATGAGACCAAGACCAGACTCAGACCCATTGCAATGCCTCGAGGAATGTTGTTTACGTGCGCGCCTGCGCATCGAGAAGATTTCCACGAATTCACCAAAACAAGCTCCCCAAGAAGAAAATGTCGTTCGAGTTCGAGTCTGGGTCTTCAGACTCAGTCTCCGTCTCCGTCCCAGCCTCTCATCCGCTCATCCTGTTCGTCCCGTTTGCTGTCTACCTGCTTTTTTTTTTACCGCCTCGCTGCGTCGCTTCTTGTTTGTGTGCTTTTTGCTCCTACGAACTTAATGCAGCCTGGCAGCGACGGTGGCGGCGTAGGCTGCTTGTCAACATGTTGATCCTACTATATAGCGTGCGAAACATTCTGGCAACACCAAACAACAAAAACAACAACAAGCCGCCTCAAGCCCCTTATTGTTGTTGTTATTTATGTTATTTTTGCCGCATTTTTGCCTTGTGCGCTCAACGCCGCCAACACTAAAACAACATGCATACACAACATACATACACACACACATGTATGTGTACGGAGAGGAAAAGAAAACGGCGTTGGCGTCTATACATTGTCAGCAGTCTGGCCACGCTCTGCTCTTGCTCTTTGCTTTCGTTTGCTACGTTTTGTGTGCAGTTGTCTTTCGTAGTGTTTGCGGTGCGGTCGTGTTTTCTGATGCTGCTGCGGCTGCTATTGCTGTTGGCGGCGGCGTCGGCGTCATGCCAAGTGGTTTTGTCTTTTATAATTCTCTCGTAGAATTATTTGTTGGTCATCAATGGGAACTACTAAAAAAAAATAAAAGAAAAGAATTTGTGTGAATTAAAGTGATGCTCTGTTTTTCATAAGATTTTTTAAAACGAACGGTTAACGCCTACACGCGTCTCTTTTTCGTTGGTTTTGCGTCTGAGTGCATAATTGGAAAATTTAAATTTTTTTAATCAAACTTTTTGTTTTTAATCATCGATAATAATGTGTTTGACATGTTCTACTCGTTTTGATATTCCCCGTGAGCCCCGCTCGCTTGGGTAAAATTCTTAGAATTCTTGCCAACATTCCCGCGCACACACACATATATACATACGCACACAGGCAACGAGAAGCTAAAAAAAATGTATATATATATATATACTCCCTGCGCGACGAAGTGTAGACATAAACACACACACAAGCACATGCACTTGAACTCTCACGCATGCACACCGATACCGATACCACCGATACTTACACGAATCTACACCCTATCCAACACACCTCGAAATTTGGTTCGAGTCTCCACTAAGTCGAGTGGAGACACTAGCTGTCTCTTTTGTGCGCATGCAGCAACAACAACAAAACTAGTAGGACTTGTTTTTTGCGCGATGTTTTTACGCAAAAAAAAACCGGTAAACTTTTAAAGCGGCAGCAAATGTGATTGTGTATGTGTGCTTGGATGCGGTGTGTTGTTGGTGTATTGGTGTCGTCGCGTTGTGGTAGAATTGTGCCTTAACCCATAGTTTTCACACAGTCCGCTTTTCTTACAGTTTTCTAAACACACACCAACAACACACACACACACATGCACGCACTCAAATACTAGTGCACAACGAGCAACGAACTCCTCGTGCAGCAGCAGCAGCGACGCCCAAGAATGAAACAGCATAAGGCAACATAAAACTACAGCAACAACAATTAACAGCAGCAGAAGCAGCATAAAAACAGAGAGGCGCATATCGAAAGCAAAAGAGGGCGAGAGAGAGCATTTAAGAGAGCGCAGCAGTTAAACGGCAACGACCCAAGCAGCAGTATTAGCGCGTGTTATTGTTGTTGTTGGTGATGTGTTTTCTCTGCCAATTGTCATGTATGTATGCACACTTTTCTTGTTGTTGTAGCTGTTGCTGTTGTTGCTGTTAAGGTAATGTTGATGATTTTTTATGTTATGCACGACGTATGTAGAGTGATTTATGCTCTCTTTTGCCTTTTTGCTACTCATACTTACCCGCCCTAACAGTTGGCCTAGCGTTGCCACCTGGCACTGATGCCGATCATCGAACTTGTTTTGCTGTTGATTGACACCGCTGTTGCTGTTATTAGTGATAGCAGAAAAACAGAACAAATACATAAATGAAAAAAAAAAAAAATACTGTGCTGCTGATCTTGACCTACGCGGCGCGCAAGATCAATCGCAATTCAGATGGTTATTCAACTTTTACTTTGTGCGGCTTCCTTCTACTTCCTCTCGCACACACTTACGCATACACACATGCATGCGCGCTTGCGTCTGCTTCATTTTTTAACGGACACTGCGATTGTCAATCAAGCGCATCAGACAGACACATACGACAAACAGTTCGAATTTTTTTTTTTTGTGCTCTCATGTTGATGTATTAATTTTATTTTGTTATCACAAAATTGGCGACAAATTGACGGCGTTTTGTGTCGGCGCCACAATTAATGTTTATATATAATAATATATATATAAACAAGATATACTTATGTACATTTTGATGATGTGCGCGCCAAGTACCATTTTTTTTGTTGATATATATGTTTGATTATGTGCATTGATTATTTATTGTTAATGTTAATGTCGGTGTGCCAGTAAACGCTCGTCATATTTAATATTCATTCGAGTGTGTGTGTAAATAATTGCCCTAAATGCGTACGCTAAATTTGCTTTCATTCATTTGGAATAATTCACAAAAGCGTAAAGAAAAATTCATTCACTGTACTGCGTCTTCTTCATCCTTGATTGTCATCATAGTTCGTAGTTGTTATCGTCATCGTCATCGACCTCAATGTTAGCAATTAACATTATTGTAATAGATGTGTGTGACTTTTATTTATGCTGGTATTTCCTTTTATTTTATTATTTATATAAAAATAAATAGAACAAAATTCGAGCTGTGTTGTGAGAGGAGAGAAGTGGGGCAAGGAGACAAGAGAGAGAGAGCGAGCGAGAGAGAGAGAGCGAGCGAGAGCGAGCGAGAGAGAGAGAGCGAGCGAGAGAGAGTGAGTGAGTGAGAGAGTGAGAGAGAGAGAGAGAATTGTGTCCTTCTTCAAAGTGGTTGTGAAATGTTTGCCTTTTTATGCCTACTCATATCACAGCCAGCTTTGAGGAGCGACACGATGCTCAACACAAAAAAAAAAAGATTGAAAATATCACAAAAAAACAAATCAACTTTAAATTGAAATCAATACATATTTTTGCACCACAGCGCACGTGTTTATTCATTTAAGTGTTTCCTCATACCATTAATCATTGAACAAAATTGATAAACCACCCACCCAGCCAACCACCCCTCCTATATATCTATATCTATCTGAACATTTATCGTTATTTTTCAAGCATATCTAAGATTGGCACATTCATGCTGCGCTCTCAAAGTGGTTGTGAAATGCATTTTTGAAAGCTTTGCGCGCATATCACAGCCAGCTTTGATGAGCTTAGCGTAATGTAAACTACATCAAATAATCGAATCGAATCAATCAATCAATCGAATCAATCATAATGTAATTTCTTCTTGCACCCACATTTCCCGCAGTTTACACAGCGACGCCAGGAATTGGAATTGGAAACACAAATCATAATCAAAAAAAAACTATATATTTATATATATATATAAGTATGAAAAACAACTGATTGACATCAAATATATACTTTTGATGTTGCTTATCTAAGCCTCATCAAGTGGTTGTGATATGGATACCCGACGCATATCACAGCCAGCTTTGATGAGCTAGGATAATCAACGGAGAACAACATGAAAATTTGATTACAAAATAATAAAAAAATATATATATATATATCAAAATCAACGGTTCAGTGAATTGGTGTCATCTAAAATGTGCATTAATTGTATTCTAATTTAGTGTAATATCATTTAGGTTGTATATCGAACTAGTTTAATAATATTGAACTCATTTTGATTTATATGCATTTTTTAAAATAATTTCTCTTTGATGACTAATGTGTGCTTGTGTCTTTTTCACAGATACGCCGTCGTTCCACACACACACACACACATTCAACACACACATATACACACACACACATTACACACACACTCCTCAGATATACTCGCTGATATATAAATGTAAAACAATCTCAGACCACAATAATCCAAAGAGCCTTTGACGACGCCTCGCTGTGTGCAGAGCCGAACTTCTTGTTATACTAATTTTGTGATAGTTTTACTTTTTTATGTTTAATATAGTTGATTTAAGATTTTTAAGAGAACGAACGAAACAAAGAGTCGCAAGCAAACCAAATAACAATAGCAACAACAACAACAAAATGCATTCCACAAGCGCAGCAACATCATTATCGGCCACAGTGTCGGCGTGCAACAGGTGCAAAATGGGTGTTATGCTGCTCCTGTTGATGGTCAGCTTTCTCGGCTGTCCGGCTCTAATTGAGGCCTGCTCCAGCCGCAATGTGCCCAAGCCACGTCCATCGATCTCATCCTCTTCATCGTCCATGTCGGGCATGGCACTGCCACCCACCCAGTCACCCCTAAGCCCAACAACAACAATGCGAACAACAACGACGACAACAACAACTCCCCGGCCAAATATAACATTCCCCACATACAAATGCCCCGATAACTTTGATGCCTGGTATTGCCTGAATGATGCCCATTGCTTTGCTGTGAAGATTGCGGAGCTGCCTGTCTACAGCTGTGAGTGCGCCATCGGATTTATGGGTCAGCGGTGTGAGTACAAGGAAATCGATGGCTCCTATCTGCCCAAACGACCGCGACCCATGCTAGAGAAGGCGAGCATCGCCAGCGGTGCCATGTGTGCCTTGGTCTTCATGCTCTTCGTCTGTCTCGCCTTCTATTTGCGCTTCGAGCAGCGGGCGGCCAAAAAGGCATACGAACTGGAGCGTGAACTGCACCATCAGGACGAGGACGCTGATGAGGATTATGATGAGGCCAGCAGTGATCGAGAGCAGTGTGAATGCTGCCGTGCCCAGTGCTGTGCCGGCGGCGATGAGCCACTGGTTGTGCTGCTCGAGCGCAAAATGGTGCCCTATCATATGCGGCTGGAGCACGCCTTGATGTCCTTTGCCATCAGGCGCAGCACAAAGCTATAAATTATATATAACTATATTTATATGTAAATGCTGACAAATATCTGAACAATTTGCCTTGCCCCGATGCATGTTATTATTATGTATCGAAAGTCTTAAAATGCGATCACGAATTTCTATGTGCTTTAGTCGTAGTTTTTAAATGTTTTCAATTATGTATTTGTCCCAACTACTCCTACTACTACTACTATTTATACATGTTAAGTGTAACGTTTGTATTCCAAAAACAAAAATAACGCTTTAGTATTTTTTGATTTGAGATTTGAGATATATACTCCATATATGTATTACTACACTCCAAATCCACATTCAATTTTTTAACGCTCGTGCGTGCTCGAATATGTATTTTTATACCTTATGCTAGAGCCTATATATATTTATTTTACTCTTAAGAGTCTTAAAACCATCTACAACAACAATTATCGAATGAAAAACACGCAAAGTATTATTTATCGCACCTAGATACTACATACGAGAACATTTTTTTAAAATAAAGATTCAACTGCACTTGCATACTATTTATGTCGAAAGAGCATTTCCCAAAATGTAATGTCTTATATTTTTGATATTAAAAGTGGGACGATCTTTGGGGGTCACAAAGTTGAGCGAAAGAATGGTGAAAGTCGAATGATTCCATTTTAATAGATCGTTTTATAAAATCAGATTATCTGTTTGGTTCTCAAGTCCGTTGTTCGTATGAGCAGTAAAAAATGTTGCATACTTTCGGGCGGGGCGCGAAACTGCAATAATTTTAATTCAAGTCAATTCTGAAGAGTGACGAGTTTCATTTGGCCAAAACATTAAAATTATCCAGGGGCAAGTTTTGTGTAAAAGCAGGTTTGTATTGGAGTTGTGGTGGAGGTAATATGTGTGAGTCATCCAGGAAACATTTATTAATTTGTCATTTGTCGATAAAGCTTTTCCATCCGATATATAATTTTAATCCCATCCTTGCTTTCAAAATCGTTTTAATAAAGCATCACAAAGTCTATTCTCAAAATAAAAAACTTATTAGTGTCATATTTCAATAACGAATTTAGCGGTAGAGGTAATATTAAAGGCATGTAAGAAAAACATTCACGAGTTAAATTTATACATTGTAGTACATAGTACAGTGATTACAGCATCTTTAAAGCGAAAAAAAAAATATATATATATTATGTACAGATGTCGAAATATATTGCGGTCTAATCTAAAAACACTAAAACTAAACGCTCATGCTTGACTTTAATAGAAGCTCGCTTATCGAAATTGAGTCTTATATTTAATTAAATTTAGGTTGTCAACATAGTGTTTCTTAAAGATAGGTGAGTTCCACAGTTATCAGTGGAGCACAGTGGAAAGCCCTCTGGATTCCGTCAGAGCTTACAAGTCATTCATTCTGACTTGTTCATGAGTACAGTAAACACTTCATTTATGGATCAAACATACAGTCATACTTAAAGCTATGGCGAAAGCATCTTATTTATAGCTGCTTTGAAATAGTTTTCACTCGAATATAGAGTGATTTCAGGGGGCCAAAGCTGGAAAGGAGCAATGAGATGAGTGTTAAACACTTCATCAAGACTTGGAGATCCGCTTCGGCACGGTTCGTAAAATAACCCGTCTGGTAACCGTAATACTGGGTGACCAATGCAACAACAAAGCAGGCGACTCCCAGGAAATTGTGGAATGCTTTGTTTAGCAGGGGCGTGATCAGTTTTTTAACCCGCATCGAACAGAGAGCAGCCAAACCGGAACTCATGGCCAAGAGGCAGAGTATGAAGGCAGTCAAGCCTGCAGCGGGAGGGAATAACAAATTTATTTGATTATTTACAAATGTGTCTAAATTCTAGGGGGATGATTTCTGTGTGCGTACATTGAAGATTTTCTTACATTATGCCATTATTATTAATGATGGCCATTTGTATAACTTAATGTGAAAGAGAGAGCATTTTTTTCTGAGTGTACTACTACTACTGCTTCTACAACTCACCCAATATGCCATGCGTGGATTTGAGCAGAAACCCATTTTGAATCATTTTGATTAGAGCCCCGGCGGCGCCACAGCCACCGCCCAGGATCATGAGTATCCAATGGATTGTTGTTTTTGTGGAACGCTTGTAACTGTTGGTTAGCACATTGCCGCCATAGTGGACCATAACACCCTCGGCCATGAAGAAGGAGAACTGCCACAGACACATCCTTAATATTAATAGAAATAATCAACTCCTGCTAGAGGATTCAACCTACTCCAATGGTGACCAGCCAGACATGCAATCCGGTGCCCTCGAGGCCCGTGCGCAGTGTCAGATACGATATACAGATGGTTATGAATCCGATGCACATCTGATTCAACACATTCAAAACGCGTTCCAATTGCTGCAACGGCTCCAACGGGGATTCCTCATGCACTGAACTCTGCGACATTCTCGCAAGAGCGAAGCTTGATCTAAAATGTGCATAAATTGAATTCTAATTTAGCGTAATATTATTTGGGTTGTATATCGAACTAGTTGAGTAATATTTAACTCATTCTGATTTATATAACGAAGGTATTCCGAGTATATTGGTTTTGTGCAATGTCTGTCAATGTCCTTAAAGCTTGAGCCTTGAAACTTGGAACATAAACTGGTCTGTGCACGCGTCAGACAAAGTGTCAAAATTAGAGGAAGGTAGAAAATCGAAATGGGAAAGTTAAGCTATTTAATTTCTATAGATCGTTCAATAAATATGAAATTTTCTGTTTGATTGTGGGACGTGAGGTCCACGGTTGGTGCACATTTTGAAAAATCATGGCATATTTTTAGGCTGAAAGCTAAAACGAAATAATTTAAATTCCTGTCAATGCTGAAGAGTGCCAAGTATCAAAATTGGAGTGCTACGTTCACTAGGAAGGTAGGAAATCGAAATGGGAAAGTTAACCGATTTAATTTCTATAAATCGTTCAATAAATATGAAATTTTCTGTTTGGTTGTGGGACTTGAGGTCCACGGTTGGTGCACATTTTGAAAAATCATGGCATATTTTTAGGCTGAAAGCTACAACGAAATAATTTAAATTCCTGTCAATGCTGAAGAGTGCCAAGTATCAAAATTGGGGTGCTACGTTCACTAGGAGGGGAGGAAATCGAAATGGAAAAGTTAACCGATTTAATTTCTATAGATCGTTCAATAAATATGAAATTTTCTGTTTGGTTGTGGGACTTGAGGTCCACGGTTGGTGCACATAGTGAAAAATATTGCATACTTTTAGGCAGTCATCTAAAATGAAATAATTTAAATTCCTGTCAATGCTGAAGAGTGCCAAGTTTCATGCCTATCATTTGGCTAAAATATACAAATAATCCAGGGATGTAGGAGGTAGGGTTTGGTGTGAGTCATACAGGAAACATTTATTCATTTTTTCATTTATTGTAAATGTAAGTAAAGTTATTCCGTCTGCTAAATAATTTTAATCCCATCCTTTCTTGATGTATAGAGAGCATCTTTCAAAATCGTTTAAATAAAACATTAAACAAAGTATTTTCAAATAAAACTCTTATTTATTCCATATTTAGTTCAAGAATTAAATGTTCATATAAGTATTTCATATAAAACATTTTTAAATACATTAAGGCCTAATCTAAAAACACTAAAACTAAACGCTCATTTTTGACTTTAATAGAAGCTCGCTTATCGAAAATGACTCTTGTTATTTTTAATTAAATCGACAAATTTAGATTGTCGAGTACTTTTTTTTCTTAAAGACAAAGGCGTGTTCTACAGACATCAGTGGAGCTATATGGGTTTCATCAGAACTTCCAGGTCATCCATAATTACAACAGAAAGATCACCAAATCGAGTATACTCTTCAACATATTGAAGCCGATTTAAATAAGCTGTGATTTGCTTAGAATATAGTTTTATATGATATAGTTATCTAATGCTCATCATTATCCATCTTCAATGGAGTCAAATATTGACGTTAGTAAGTTATTTGCATTGAAACAAACAGACAAAATTAAAATGACTTCCATAAATCAAAATTCATTACATTTTTATTATTATCATTTTGATTACCATATTTCGATACGACTCATTTAGTTAAAAACTTCACATGTGGATCAAAATTTTGATGTTACAATTATCTATTGACCTACCTGATAGTGTCAAATGCGAATCAGTATTATAATTCATATGACATGTACGTGACGAATTCTTATCTATAATTTCGCTCTGACTATGCGAAAACGATGGGAAAAATTCAAAGGCATTTTTTATGTGGGGGATTCCGAAATGCGGTTTTGTTTTATTGGGGTTTTCACAACATTTAAAATTATTTAGGAGCGTATTAAATATAACACTCGAGTAGAGTGATAAGGTGAGCTCAGCAGACAATCACTTAATACCTTATCCATTTGTATTATTTATACATATTTACAGCTAAAGCGAAAGCATCTTATTTATAGCTGCTTTGAAATAGTTTTCACTCGAACGTAGAGTGATTTCAGTGGACCAATGCTGGAAAGGAGCAATGAGATGAGTGTTAAACACTTCATCAAGACTTGGAGATCCGCTTCGGCACGTTTCGTAAAATAACCCGTCTGGTATCCGTAATACTGGGTGACCAATGCAACAACAAAGCAGGCGACTCCCAGGAAATTGTGGAATGCTTTGTTTAGCAGGGGCGTGATCAGTTTTTTAACCCGCATCGAACAGAGAGCAGCCAAACCGGAACTCATGGCCAAGAGGCAGAGTATGAAGGCAGTCAAGCCTGCAGCGGGAGGGAATATCAAATTAATTTGATTATTTACATATGTATGTAGCATGTGAAGTACACTCAGAGAAAGATAATAACACTGAATTTCATTATTTGTTTCTGAATTCTAAAACTTTTTAATAGTAGAAAATATTTAGAAAAAATTTAAAATAAAATACTTTACTTTTGGAATTGTCAATTTAGGGCAGATGTTTCTTATTCTTAGAAAAATATTTTCTTATATGTAGGCGTGTTTATAGATTTTTATATTTTCTAAATTTGAGAGCGATTTTTTTTCTGAGTGTACTACTACTACTGCTTCTACAACTCACCTAATTTGCCATGCGTGGACTTGAGTAGAAATCCCTTTTGAATCATTTTTATGAGAGCCCCGGCGGCGCCACAGCCACCGCCCAGGATCATGAGTATCCAATGGATTGTTGTTTTTGTGGAACGCTTGTAACTGTTGGTTAGCACATTGCCGCCATAGTGGACCATAACACCCTCGGCCATGAAGAAGGAGAACTGCCAACACACCAATTGATTACATCAAATGCAAATGGTAATACATTTCTAGAGGAGATTGAACCTACACCAATGGTAACTAGCCAGGCGTGCAGTCCGGTGCCCGCGAGGCCCGTGCGCAGTGTCAGATACGATATATAGATGGTTATGAAACCAATGCACATCTGGTTTAACACATTCAAAAAGAATTCCAATCGCTGCAACGGTTCCGACTGGGAATCCCCATGCACTGAATTGTGCGACATTCTCGCATAAAATGGAGACTCGTTGACGAACACAAACGAGGCTGTACGCTGTGCGGGATCCGGAGAGGGGTATGCTCTTGAAACCGCTCTCGTCGTCGTGCTGCCGTAGTCGACGACTCTCTGCTGGCTACTGCTGACCGACGGCAGATGCTCTGTCATCGTACCGAACAACTTACACGCTTCGCGGCGTTTATCAGCTCACTTTGTGCGTGTGTGTGTGTGAGTGCTTGTGTGAGTGTGTGTGTGTGTGTGTGGCAGTAATGTTCTTTTCGTGTTTAATTTATAACAATACGTTTTCTTGGCCGACTGATAATTGCGCTTATTAGCTGTTAACTATTGTCTGGTAGTTTTTACTATCAATTTATTGGCATACTATTAGTAACTACATCGTATTCACTGTAGTATAAATTCCAATCTATATATGTATATATATATATATATATGTTTTAAAAAGTGTGATTTGTTGAAACGCCCATTGACTGTTTGGGATGCCGACAGTAATTAAACTAATCTCAATAAACAACACTTACGGGGAACAAAGCGTTAAATGTGCATTTGGAAGTGTACACTGAGCAAAAGGGAACAAAAGGAGTAAATCTGAGTGTATTCAAATGTAAAATGGTCCAATATTTATAATAAGTAGAAGTTTAGTAAGATAATTTTACCACAGTTAAACATGCTCAATAAAATAAAAACCGAAACTACTTCATATGAAAACAAGTACATCAAACAATATAAATTTATAGTTTTAAAGCATTCATTTGCAAATTTCTACTTTGCTATAAGTACCAAACATTATTATTCTTATTAACGATTAATAAACTAGGCCTTGGACTCCAAAACCAGTTTACTGGGCTCAAATTGATAAACAAAAATTGTTTTGTGAGCTATTTGATGATAGTTTTTAAATGTTTGCTTATATATCTTACTATTTAAATATTTGTAAATAATTCAGTACTTAAATTTGCTGAGATGCTTGAAATTTCAGAGTACGTACTTAAATTGTACTTGAAATAATATATTCCAGAATGGGTACCCACCGCCTCCTCCCACTTACAGTCCCATCATTATATAGATGATTAGATTTTATATTCGAATCTCAGAAGAATAACATGTGGTATACTTGATTATTTCTTTCAGTGTACGCTTACAAGTATGTGTATTGCATGCATCTGGCATTGCCAACCACAAACCGCAAAATAAAAACTAATATTTCTGTACATATATACAGCTACATACATAAGTATATAACTATGCATCTTTATTGCTTGGCATATTATATTCCTCAGGGGAAGCTGTGCAAATACAGAGCCAGCATTATAGAGCAATAGCTGAAAAATACTGGTATTTTTTCGATTTGCATTGCAAATATTAACGTTATTATTTGGCCTTTATATGAAGGTCGCAGAAGGGACACCAAAAAAAGTATATATTTGCTTGTCCCTAAATTAAAAGAAAAGTTTTTATGGTGTGAAAAATTAAATACACCAGCCCACAATTAATAAATGATATAAAAAGCTTATGGAACTTTATTGGGTATTGAGAAAATAATAGAAAATGTGTACACACTGAAATGTTTGCGCATTTTTTCTTCCTGGAAAAACTGGCATTACTCGATTTCCAGCTTGGCAAATTGTTTGCAGCATATTAGCGAAAACAAGTTAAGAGAGCATCCAGTTTTGGTCAAAAGCAGCAAATGAGAACAAAGTAAAGTTATAAGCAAACTTTAAATGGAGTTGTTAGCGCTCTTTTCTTAATTCTCTGGCGAGAATCCGGTCTGGAATCTCAGGACAGAAGTGGACGCAGGGGAAAGCAGATGGAGGCAGGGGTGGAGGCTGCAGCTGCCACCCAGCACATCTCAACTTTAAATTACAAATCGGATACTCATTTTGCCATCAGCCAATTTATAAATAATTTAAGATCTTTTTGATAATAATTTTATGTCAATAATTTCGATTTTATTTGATTTATAACTAGCATTTATTTGATTTTTAACTAGCTTAAATGAATCTTAAATATAAATAGGAACTGAACGATTTTTGTGCACTGCTTTAACCGCAGAAACTAATACATTTTTGATATAGCGACTTGATCGGTGCGATGCTGGTTAAGACCATGGCCAGCAGGGTGGCAACTTGCATGAGTATAACAAAATCTGCTCCTTGACCGCGGAATATCTTGGTCTGTGTGTAACCGTAATACTGTGCCAGCGAGGCAATCACATACGTGGCCAGGCTGAGTAGGACGTGAAACGTTTTGTTGGCCAGCGGGGAGAACAGCTTCGATAGACTCCTTGCCAGCACAGCGACAATGCCACTCAGCAGTGAGATGAGGCACAGAACAAACGCTGCGAATCCCAAACGTGAATGGATCGTTACGCCAATTGACCAGTCATCCCGTATTAGCTGGACAAGGCACCCGGCCACACCCATGCCGCCCCCGACGATCTGGAGCACCACATGGATGGCCGTCTTCTGCTTGCGAGTGTAGCGCAGCGTTAGCCAGTTGCCATCGTAGAAGCACATCGAAGCCTCGGCCATGACGAATATGAATCCAAAGGAGACCAACCAGACGTGCAGACTAATCTGACTCAGACCCGTCCTTAGGCAGCTCCAGCTGATCCAAAACGTGACGAAGCCGATGCACAGCTGATTCAGCACATTCAAACCGGCCTCAATATGCTGGAGAGGACTCGTCGTCTGGGGTTTCTTTGATGTCATTGTGATTTTATTTTATATTTATATTTTATACGTTTGTATTATATTTATTTATTCGAGCACTTCTTTTTATGCATTTGTCTACTGAATTATTGAATTATTTTAATATGTTTAATGTTGAACTGATCCTTGTTCAGTTATTAAAGTTTTTCTTTAATTTATTGAGTGAGGTTCGTATGGACTGCTTTGCTTTTCACAGGATGTTATTTTAGAGGTCCTTTAACTTTATATTCAATTACACTTTTTATTATTTATTCGTCGAGGATGCAATTTGGGAGGTCCTTTTAACTTTGTTAACTGCTTTTACTATCTGATTGAGAACAGCTACTACGTGCAAGAAACAGACAACTAATTTGATGACACTTTATGCACTGCCAAACGTATTTATAGTGTGTACCCATTAAAAATGATTAGCAAAGGGTTATTGCAATTTGAGGTTGCATATGTATATAAACGAGTACAATTTTTACCTTTCTGCATTTTTATAAAGTTTGTAAATTTGTAAAATAAGATTTTCCTATAATGTAGCAAGTCCTTATCTGCAGTTAAGACAAGTGAACTAGTTTTGTATGTTGTTCCTATTTTCATTATATTTTATATTAATATACTATTTTAAATTATTTTCAACTTATAAGAAATTTATTGAAATAAATTGTTTCCTAAAGAGTACAAAATATTTCCGGTGTACATCTTAGAAACATTTTCTGCTCTTAAATGTTGTCTGTTGAAATAAATTATTGACAGAAAAAATATATATTTGTGATGTTAACTTAAGGGCTAATTTAAAAAAATAAAAATCAAATGATTCTAGTTTTAATTCATGGATTATTTTATACCTCAAATAAATTAATTGAAAGAGATTATATAAAAAAAATATAAAAATTATTTCTAGTGTTAATTTAAGGACTGCTTTCTTATCCACAATGAATAGTTTTTCTTTTATTGAAGCTGTGTAGAGGGTAGTACTTAGTCAAGCACTCATATCTATGGGTTCGACTATCAGTAAAATGGAGCTTACAAATCGATTGCATGGGTCTCAGAGGATTACAATTTGTATAATTATATTATCGCGAACGTATACAATACGTTTGGAATGTTTGGTCAGTAGAAATGTATTTGCTGAAATCTTTAATTGCATCACTCGAGGAAACCTATCCATTTTGTGTCCGTTAGCACGTTGGCTCTTCTGGGTCTAAGTGCATTGAGTTTTTGTTCCGGTTGTTGTTTCGATTAGAAAGCCACATCGTCATCGACAGCTATCAGGGACTTGTTCAACTGCGAGCACTTACTTTTTAATATTAATGCTATTTTTGGTCAAATAGTTCAGAGTGTTAAAACCTTATCAATTTGCAAAACTGCACGTACTATGATAATGAACGTGTTAGCCAAGTCATCGGGTACTTATTCTGTATTAGACCCAAATACCCAACTGTGTCCAATTTTACTACTGCAAAATGATATGAATGAATACGCTGAAGGAAACCAGTGACATCCACGTACTTCTCACCATTTTCAATTCTCAGAAATACATAGAACATAAGACGTGTTTCTGATAATGCTAAATGTGATATTTTTTTTTGATAAGAAAATATTATTATTTTTTACATACATATCTAAATCCGATTTGGATTTTTTTAAGGCAAAATACTCTTGTGGAGTTCTTTTTGGAAATCCAAGAAAATCTTCCTGAATTTCCGACAAATATTTATATTTTTTGATCGGGCTGTTGTTTAAAACATACAAAAATAGTTTTTATAATTTTAATGTTTATTCGTATTTCTATTCTCACAATTACAACGTTCAGCAGAATAGAATATAATCTCCACAAGAACAATTTTTTTTAATTGATCTGCGGGTTCTTAACTGGAATAATAATATTGGATTACCCACTCACCGTAGAAGACGTTTACTAATAATTCTTTTTTCTCGTTCTGATCTTAGATCCGTACTGTGTTTAATCTTTTAACACAAATAAATAGGTGGTCAAATAAAATATTTTAATTGTAATTTAATCTGTCAATTTAGTTTTGCAGTTCCGATCAGGAGTGCTAAGAATTTTCTACCTTATTCCCTTCAACACTTGTATTACAAAACTATGCTGTCCATAATCAAATCAAATCGTATTCTATAATAATATTTTCCCCATAATAAGTAGTGCAATTTTTAGTGCAAAAATTTTCTCGTTCTTAGAAATAATTGAAGTTATAAAAGAAAGGCTTGCCTTCAACGCCAAAAATATGGCCATTATTTATATATATTTTTTTAAATATTTTCAATTATAATGAAAGGCATATTTTTGTATAAAATTTAGAAAAATTAAACAATGCAAATCACACAAAAAAACTTGGAGTGCTACGTCCACTAAGAGGCTAGGAAATCGATACAAATCGATAGTCGCAAATCGATAAAGCCACATGTCTTCCACAATTGAAGACTGCAGTTATTAAATTCGGTTGGATATAGGCGAAGAGAGCAGCTTTTAGGGATACATCAATTTTACATTAAATAATCACAAAAGTTAATTTTTTTTTATTTCGTTTGCATATATAAGCATATAGAACTATTTAAGATTGGATCCTGCTCTCAGCACTTTGGACAATCGGAGCCTTCACAAATGTCGCACAGCTTGGACTCGATTTGGTAATATTCGGTGGCCTTCTTGTTCGTATCGTAGTAATCGTAAAGGACAATCGGGGCAGGCTTCTGATTGGCAACGGAATGGGTCTTCAAGGCCTCGATGGGCAGACAGGTGACTTCGCCCTTGGCCAGGCTCTCAAAGTAGATGACCACCATAGAGTCATCATTTTTGGTCTCAACCAGCTGAAAGCAATCATGAAAGAGGGAGCCGGATTAGCTGAGCTCGAAGAGAAGTAACTGTAGTTGTGGACCTACCCGGACGCCCTTAACTGCTTGAATTTCCTTGAAGCTGTCCTCGTCGACCGTGAAACCGGATGGCAAGGACACCTCCAATATGGCCATATTGGATGCCTTGGCCTTGCCCTCCTCGACATACTCAACGCACACGCTCAACTCCAGTTTGGATGGCGGCGATTCTGGCTTGATGATCGTTTCAATCCTGAAGCTCGGCTTTGGATCCTTCTCAATTATATTGTACTGGTAGGCGATCTGCAGCAGAGCGGCACCAGTACCCTTGGCCTCATACGACAGCGACTTGGTGCCCTGCGGGAATTCGACGGTTTGCAGCAGCAAATCATTGTCAGCGTTCAGTTGAAGTTTTTCCGTTTTCTCGCGCAGACCCTGATTGGAGATGGACACTTCCCATCTGGCCGGCTCATAGCCGGACTTTTTAGCGAACTTAATGAGTGCCCGGAGGCCAGCAATGGTGTCCTGTGTGGAGGAGAAGCCACCATAACTATTCCGTTGCGCCACCAGCCAGCGTATCGAATTCAGCACCGAGGCTGGCGTCTCTTGCTCCGTTTCGAGCAGTGCGAGCAGGGCATATGAGGTGATCTCGATGTCGCGACTGAAAATCCAGTAACACCAGCGGTCACATTTGCCGAAACGCACCTTTTGATCATCCTCGGCCCACCAGGTGCGATCGTCCTCGGTCTTGGCCAGTGCCTTCAGTGTGGCCACATGCTTGCCAGCATCGGCAGCCTTCACCTTCTGCAGGGCATACGTGGCAATTGCCCGGGGCAATAGTTCCTCCTTCGTATTCACCGCATTTGTCTCGGCACTCAGATAGGCTACAGCCTTATCGATGGCTGTCTGATTAGGTTTCGGTTGCTCCATCAAAGCCAATAGCACATTGGCCGTCATGGACAACCTGGAACTCTGCGAGGTATAGAAATACTCGCCATTCTCAAAGAAGCTGCCATTCTCCGCCTGATGATTGATGAGGAATTGATAGCTGCTGTCCAGTTGGTTGTCGTCCACCTTGATGATATTCTTCATCTGGGCAAAGGAGCTCAGCACATACGCTGTCAGCCAGGTGGAGCCATTGCGTTCCGGATCCTCCTCGCGCCACTTGCCAGGACCAAAGGAACTGTAGCTGCCATCGTCATGACGATAGTGGAACATACGCTGATAGCCCTGCTCCAAATTGCGCTTGATGCGTTTCTCCAGTTCGGGCGTTAGCTTATTCAGGCTGTTCAGATAGTCATGGACTAGATAGTTGGGCACCATTGCGGACATTGTCTGTTCACCGCAGCCGCTAGGCAAACGGAGCAAATGTTCCATATTCTTGACGACCGGACCGAGCAGATCGCCAACGAAACCGAATTCAACATGCTGCGAATCGGGCACAATATCATCGGGCAAGTCCAGCTCGATGGTGTCCTTATGCTCGTGCACATCCTTCAGATTGACGAAGAAGGCACGATTCCGATACTCGGTGACGCCCTCGGGCACTACCTTGAGCGTCTTGTGGATAGCATCGCCGGCCAGCGGTGAAATTGCCGTAAACTTCAACAGTATGCTGCCAATGATCTTTGGACGCAGCAGGAAATTTACACCGGCTGCCGAATTGGCTTCCACACGCACCGTTTGGGAACGCTTCTGTTCGCCAATCACCTCGTTTGAGATATCCACAAAATCGTATTCGTTGTCCTCGTTGTCCAGCGAGACCTCCACATCAAGGTTCTTGGGCAGATAGTTGAAGACGAGAGCGGGCACATTGATTACCTCGCCACGTTTCACAGAATACGGCAGACGGACGGACACAAAGAACGGCTGGAACGTTTTGATTTTAAGCTGATCGTCGGTGACGGCCAAACCCTTCTCCGGATGCACGGCAAATGCTGTCACCACCCAGCTTGTAATTGTATCCGGTATTTTCTTCACCCATTTGAAGATTTCTGTCTTGGTATTCTCGATATCGTCGAATATCCAGGTCTCCACAAAGTTCTTGCGCACGACAGGAGCATTAGCAGCAGTACCAGCACTACCAACACCAACACCTGACTCAGCGAAATGAGCTGCAGGTGCAGCACCAAAAGCCGCAGCGGTTGTTTGCAGACCATCACTCGCTACCATTGCTGTCTTGCGATGGGCGATTGACTGAAAGCCTGCAAATTTAATAGAAATAGCATTAATGAATCAAATGGCTAAAAGTAAATCAATGAGGGAGTAGTTGGCATATTTCATAGTATATGTTGTAGGCCATTAGGACAGAGGAGTTCTAAGGATATTGCGACGCATCTTTGTTGTCCGATTGTAAGCAATTCTCTGATCATTTTTAAGCCGACAGGTCTGAATACTGTATTCACTATATGTAAGGAATTCTCTGATCTTAATACAAATTTGTAACTTTATGTATTCCACGTCAAATCTATTTTAAAAAATGAATACTTATGTGGTCTCCTCAGTATGACTGAGGAATTCTGTGATCCTTTTTAACCTGACAGATCCATTCTATAATACGAATACAGTAGGTAATCTCTTCACTATATCTAAGGAAGTCTCTGATCCCAATAACACTTAACGTTTTCGTCGGCAAATCTATTTAAGATCTACATTGTTTTTAATCTTATGTTTCTTATGAACATCATCGGAACGCCTGAAATCATTCTCTTCCTTTCTAAAAACAGACTTCCTTCCTTCTGTGTCGGATTAGTTGCGATCTTCTATTTCTATTGAAAAATCCAGTACTTTGGGTAGGCCTATGAGTATCCATTCATATTCCATCTAACTAGACATTTCCAACTAGATCTTCAACCCCATAATCGTTTCATAGGATTTTTTGCTGTAGATCATCCTATTGATTCTCTCTCGCTCTCTTAACTGTTTTTTACTTACCTATACCATATTTGGGTGGAGTGCGATCATAGAAGAAGTTGGCATTGGTCATGGTGACAACGCCGCTGCGTTCGCCCGGATAGTAAGAATAGCCACCCTGCCAGGCTGTATAGGTACTGTAGCGACTGAGGCGCCATGAAAATGAATTTTTGCTGATATCATTGTTGCTGCCCAAGAGCAGAACACTCTGATCGACGGCCATTAGGCCAACGAATGACATTGGTGCTGTCCTAATCTCCAGCTCAACCTCGGCGCCGGGCTTAACCTCGGCGGGTGCGGTGATATTAATTTGATTCTGCAACTTGACAATCACATGGAATGTTGTCTCGGCATAACGAAATTCGCCAGTGTCATCCACATAGTAGACATACATCTTGCCATAGGGTGTCGTATAGAATGACGGCGTCATACTAATATTATACACGGTTTTTGGTTCACTGAGCACAACGCGTTCTGTGTGCAGAACATTGCCACGTCCGATGATGTTGTACACAAAGTATTTGAGCGGACGACTCGAGTTGAGGGTCACCTGATATTCCTGACCGATTGTGAGACTGCAAATGTGTGGATAATTGAGATAGAAATCATTTTGGATTGGGAAAACACAAACACAGCTACATACCCCCAAATGTCCTTGTTGGGACGTTGTACGTCGAGGTTGAACCATTCACTTGCCTTCTCGATTTCGTCGGGAGTTTTCTCAACCTTCTTGGGCTCCCTATACGGATAGGTTGTGTACAATTGACGCTGTTCGTCCTCAAACTCTAGCTGGATGGTGTAGTAACGGGTGTAGTTCTCCATGTCCGGCAGATCGGGCAGCACCAAATTAAAGACAGCTAGACTGGACTCATTTAGATGGCTCTCGAATTCCAGGGTTTTATTCTCAATTTTTGGCAATTCCGATTCGTCACCGTAATGGCTGCGACGAATGCCCTCTGTGAACTTGACCTATGCAATTGGATTAAATGATTAGCTAGTTATACGTGAATTGAATGTGTGCCTAATGTCTGCCTCACCTTCACCGGCGTCTTAGTGTCCTGGAGCAGTGTGCCATCCACTAGGCTTATCTTAAAGATCATCTGGTGCTCCTGGTCCGGCTTAAAGGAGTAGCAGCTCTGATAGTCCGCACAGTACATTTCATAGCGATAGGGGAATATTTGCGTGCCAGACGTTTCATTGAGCTGAACACCCGTAAATTCCTCCTCAACGGTGGCCAGGATCTGGGCATATGTCGATGATGTCTTGTGCGGCAAATAGCTGGCAAATTCCTTAACATTAATATCAAACTTGGCCTTGCCATTGACCATGTCAGCGGAACGAATAATTGCATGTCCCGGTGTGTCTGTGCGCACAGTTTTGCCATCCACATTGCTCCAAGTGCTCGACTCATCCGTGTGCAGATTGAGCACAACTTTCCCATTAACCGGTTTGCCGTATGTATAACTGTGACCAGACAGACCAGACAGATAAAGATACAATTTCTATTTGGGCGGAGGAGAAAGTCAGTGTCCTACTTACTTGGCCTTGATTACCACCTGCATGTCGCCATCCCGGACAGACACCTGCTGTGTGGCATCCATTTTCACGATGTACTTAGGCAGCACATATTTCTCCACATTGAAGTAGGCGCGCTCATTCTCAAAGGGATTCCCGTTCTGAGTGGTCAGTGTCCACGAGCCCAATGTGGCGAAATCGGACAATTCAAATTTGCCCGTATAGACACCGGTGCGGGTCTTGATGTGCTTCAGTTCCTTAATGCGATTTTTTTTTGAATCCTCGAACCATACAACAACTTCATCATCGGCATCCGTCGGCCTCAGATTCTCGTCCAGGAAGAGGACGCGATAATTGATTATATCGCCAGGTTTATATTTGCCCTTGTCCGTTTGCAGTGTCACATACGGCCGGAATTTCTCCCAGTTGAGTTTCGTGGAGTTTTTAAAATCCAGCCCGGACACACCCTCGGCGGTTAGGTTATAGTCACCCGACACCAACGGGGGCAGCTTAAAGGTGATCTGCTTGGGCTCATCAGCGTTGGCCAACTCAACCGTTTGGGTGTCATTGTACGACGGACCCGTAATCCCAACCTTCAACGTAACCGGCTCCTTGGTATGGTGCACAGCCACAGCAACATTGTAGTCGCGATTCGAGTGTATGGTTCCCGGGCCAACAATGGTGTATTGACTGCACCAAAAAACAAAACACAAAAAAAAATAGTTTGTTACTTAATTAAAAATAATCAGCATAGGTCGACATTGATTTCATTATCTATATAGACATATATATTTAAATACTGGGTCAATCATTAGCATTTGTTTTTCTATTTGTTTAACCTTTGACTTTTAATATTTCACAGAGGTGGGCTCTGTTTAATCTACATACCTCATTATTTATTAAAAATATATATTTTTGTTGCTGGCTGCTTTATCAGTTCGTCTTAATTTTAGATTTTGGTGTTGCCCAAGGCTCCATACCTAATTAAACTTATTTATTTCATTATTTTTTTGTTGGTATTCAATTTGCTAAGGTAAATATTCCCAGAACCTGATTCTGTCGAAACCGGCTCAGAGTTGCGAGAGAGTTATGTAAAAAGGCAACAAAAATGCAAACCGATGAAGACATTTTTTTTGTATTTTGGCTCATTCGAAGCGAGGTTCAAAGCACTTTGACTGGCTTCTATTTGACCAAGAGAAATAAACTACAAAGGTTTATTCAATACACAAAAATAGTATGCATATATAGAATAGCTGATCTTGCTAGAAAAGGTTGGATTAGGTTTAGAAATTCCAAAACTCTCACAGCCTTAAAAAGTAACTAATTGCTATTGGCAATGGAAAATAATTTAACAACTCAAAATTACCTAGAAATTGTATAAGCAAATAATAATAAATAATAAACGGGTTTGTTCAGGGTAGAAACACTTAAAAAAAATTGATAAACATGCAAAAGTACTTAAGAAGCGATAAATGTGAATTTTTTATTAAAAATAACACTCGAAAAAATAATGTTAACTAAACGAAAATATATGTATAAAAAAGAGACATTTAAAAAGTAAAAAAAGGGTTGTAATGAGATAAGCAAATATGCATAGCAAATAAGCGTTAAGTAAACTCAAAATCTGAGCTATATTATATAGAGATACGCTTTAACAAAGGCGACTTTTATATAAGATCTCGTTTCTATTTGTTTTCCTTGACAACGAACTGAATAATGCAGTTCTAGTATACATTTAATGGAATATAACGGAGATATAAGTAATTAACTTTGTATCGATTATTTGAGAACTAAAATTAATGAATTTAATTGAATTTAATAAAATGAATTATTATTTTTGACAATAGCCCCGACATATTTATGAGTTTAAACTAAAGGTCACTAGCCGAGGCAGTTGAATGTATATTTTGGCATTTTATATATTTATATAACTATATGTGTATTTAAAATTGTAGTGAATTTGTGTACTTACCCTTCGCATTTGACTGGTTCGGCCATTTGTAATAGGAGCACCAGAACCGCACTAGCGATGACACCAAAAGCGTCTAAGCGTCGCATTTTGTTTTTTGGTTTTAGTTAACGGGGAGTAAACGAGAAAATAGCAAAAACTTGTAATTGAATAGCGACTTGTGAACAAATATAAAATGCGGTTGGGGGAAAAGCTCAAGCAAGCGATGCCACACAACCTACCGGGCTCAGAGCTGAGCTGCGACTGGTTGAGCCGGTGACACACGGGATTTGTTTATAAGTATCCCTGTGTGTATGTGTGCGTCGGCTAGACCAGTCTAAACGTTCGCTTCGACGCCGACTGCGACGCCGGCAATATGTATATGTGTATTTGTGCATGTACAATAAGAATAATAAAAAAAAAATACTCGATGATAATTAAATTGAACAAGAAATTGAAGAAGACTACGTGGATGACCAGATTTATGGATTTCATGAATGTGAGTGTGTGTGTGTGTGTGTGCAAATAGGTGTGTGTTATTTTAACAAACTAATTAAGCAGACGGAAAAAACACACTATTAAAAACATGCTATTAAAAACACACTATAGTTGCCGGAAATCTTATCGCCAATTTAATGTACTTATTATGAAATGACAACTTACTAGGAGGTCTGATTTTTATAAGCTATGTTAAAAAATAATAAGCTGCTCTAGAGCAAATAATCTTTTAATTAATTAGACTTGTAAATTTCGCAACTTTTTAATAAAGTAAATAAAAATAGTAAAATATATTGATTAAGGTTGCCTCAAAAGAGCATCAAATCAATAATAATAAAATGCACGCTATTTAATAAATAATAATCGTAAATAAATATGTGAATATCTTTGTATGAATATTTCTTAAAAATTCACAGAATATTCGATTTTTTGTACTTATATAGTCAGCTTTTAATTAGTTTCATCATATTTTCACAAAAAACATGATAAATGATTTCGCTTGACATATCTGATGTTTTTTTTAACTCTTATTTTTAGATCAAGATAAGTATGGCTACATTATGTAATAATGTGAGTCAAAACAAATTAATTCAATGCATGTCATAAGCTAAAATCGCAATGAACATATTGTTCCAAATGGCTAATTATATTTTTAAATTCGATGCCGAATAATCATATTGTACCAAGTGGCTAATTATATTTTCTAATTCAATGCGGGTTTTTTTTGCTGCTTTTGTTTGTTTACTCTGATACCGAATGTATCCAGGGCATATTGGTTTTGTCATGCTGTCTGTCCGTCCGTGCGACAGTATGAAAGATAGACACTTGTCTTAAAGATAGACTTCTAACTTGGAACAAATACTAGTCTGTGCCCGCGTCAGACAAACTGCCGTGCTACGTCCACTAGGTAACTAGGAAATCAATAAAAACAATAATCGAAAATCGATAATGCCACATATCTTCTACTATTGGAAGACTACACTCTCCAAATTTGGTTGGTATGTTTTCGTTCAAAGATCGGCATATGACACGCCCACCTCCGACGCCCCCAGGCCCCCGGCCATACAAGTCGGAAACGACTATATTTTCCCCTCAGTTTTTGAGTTAGAGCCATCAAATTTGCTAAGTATATTACTGGAAACCGTCTTAAGGAACCCACAAGATATATGGACACGCCCACGATATTACTCCCACAATTTTAAAGATAGAGTCACCAAACTAAGAAGATAGCTTGCTGGTAGCTTCCTTCAAATATCGGCATATACATTTTTAGACCCAGCCCACACTCGCCGCACCCAGGAACTTTGGCATTACACATCTGAAATGCGCATATCTTCACAATTTGTAAGATGAAGTCGCCAAAAGGTAAACTTGGAGAATACATTACTAGGAGCCTCCCTTAAGTATTTGCACCTGTTAACAGATTACATATTGGTACCAGAGTATTTCGCAGTCGGTTAAGCACGGCAACGTTCTCGCTCTGTTTTTTTTGTTGCTGCTGATAAGTTGAATCAGTGCTTAGCACTTTAATTGTGAAATGTTTAGTGTTCATTAAAGATTTTATTTTTATCACATGCGAATAAAATTAAATATGGTACATTGATTTATCAAGTTTTTCCTGTTTTCCAATTGGCCATGACGTATTCTATACACATACACACACACAGGCACGCACACACATACATACATATATATATATATGTATATGTATATAGATTTTCCTAGATAATAATTGGCGAAGTATTGGTGACTGGGAAATTCCGAAAATGATTTTCTTGGAACCGCGAAATCTGTGTCGCTTTATGGTGTTTGTTCGTGCAATGTTTACAAATTTATTTGTTTATTTTTATTTTTTTCTTACTTGCAGCTCTTTGTTGTGGAGTTGAAAATGCTTTTTGTTTTATTTATGAGACACTCAAGTTAAGTGAGCGCTTTGATCGGGAGTGCCAATTGAACAGAGCCGGCGAACGATATGAATGACAGCTGTTAACTGAACGGTGAACGCTGTTCTCTCCGTCACTCTTTGCTTACCACCACCTACTCTCTTTCGCGTGTGTACGCGTATGGTTTACGTGCGTTTGCCTTAGTGTTGTTTTTATCTTGCTATTTTTATGTACAAGGGAATTTTTCACTCAAATGACGTCATTTGTTGAACAGTTTCTGTGTTTTGTATTTCACATTGTCATGCAAGAAACGAAATTGCGTCGTCTTTGCTAGATATGTAAATCCCCTTTTGGATTTTCCAGTGAGAGTATATGCGCTAAGAAAGTCAATTGGATTGCGCGGGTCAGTTATCGAATAATAATGGTATTATTATTAATGTAATAAGAAATAGTAATTAATTAAATTACAAAAATTATTATATTAAGTCTAAAAAAAATAGTTTTACTTAAAAAATGAAAAATTGTATAGAAAATGTATTTTTCTGTTTCTATATATTTACAACAAAACAAACTGATAACCAAAATTCACTCCTATTAAACACTTAACTACCCTAAAAGAGATCAGCATCTGGCGTAACTTTTAGCTTTTTGACGTTCGCTTTCGGCTGTGCCTTTATCGACCTGTTGCTTTGCGCTGTTATTTCATAACATTTAATGATATGACTCATAACGCAAAACGCTCTTGTTCTTAGTCAGCTGACTGCTGCCAGTCGGAATGCACGACTAATTAAAGAGAACCGGTTTCGAATGCGCCGAAAATAACATGATGAATGCATATGTATATATTTATGAGTGTGTGTGTGCAAGTGAAAGATTACCAATGCCGCGATTGGCGATCAGCTGCCGCCTTTTACGCCCCAAGGTGAAGCACGTGTAAAACCGCTGAGTCATGCTCCATTTGTTTTGAAAGTTTTTTGTTTTTGCACACACACATAAACATAACATGAAGTTCTCCCTTTTGAACAGCTTCAAATGCTCTCTGGCATCCAAAGCGCGCAGTTGCATGTAGAATTAACGGCTCCTGAAACTTATCTGCCTGCTGAATGTGCACGTTTTTCGTAGATAAAAAAAAATCAATAACTGTAATAAAGTAGAACAAAAAGATGGCGACGAGTGTGCTACAGGGTTGCAGTTCTTCGGCTTTGCGCGATGTTTGCGAGAGCACAAATCTGCTGGACTATGTGGAATCCGTTGTGGATCGTATCAAAAGCACTAATTCATCCATTGGCACAAAAACTCGTCTACTTGTGGATCCCTCCGCGGCAATGATTTATTTTGGCTTTTGCGCGGTAATTTCGCACATTTTGCTCGCTGGCATCACTGTGATCATTGTGCGCAAATGTTTAGCCCTGAAAATGGTGCATACAGCGGGACATGCCTTCTACTGCACAGTGGCTGTAAGTTGTGTGCAAGCAGCCTAAAATTTATTTCTTATTTTGTCAATTTTTTATTTTGCACAGTTTGTCTTCTGCCTGGGCGAGGCGCTTTTGGTGCGTCACAGTCGAGTCCTGGAATTGTGGCTGGGCATTTTTAATTTGGATTTGCTCCACAGTGCTTTTGGCCTGCTCGCATTTGGCATTGGTGTTGGCGGTGTCGCCATTAAAACGTTACAAAAGCTGGAACGCAAGCGCGAAGAACCAACGGCAACTGTAAAACACTTTCGCAGTAATCATGGATTCTTTGGTGAGAGAGTGAGAAGTGAACTCGACACATACAGTTTATTTACATATCTTCTCTCATACATAGGCATTGTTGGTTGTGTGCTGCTGCTGGGCAGTGTTCTTAGCGGTTTGCCGCTCTATTTCTACACATTCAAATGGCTGCAGCTGGTGCATCGCTTCTGCTCTCTCGGCAGTTTTGCAACACTGATGGCATCACAGATGTTTAGCTATAATACGGGTTTTGCACAACGTCAGTGGAAAGCCCGCCACGTTCGGCTGTTCAAACTGTTTACATTTATTGTTACCATTACGACAATTAATTACGAATTTAGGAGATTCACTCGCGAAATTGTCGCGTTAATTGCCAGACAATTCGGCGATTGATATAAACAGTTTTATTTTTACTTTTTTTCTTGTCTAATTGGGCTGTTGTCGATATTTCAATTTTCATTTTTATTGTTTTATGTTTAATGCACGATATACCATTGAATAATATAGTTTTGAATATTTAAGGCTTATACATTCTTTAGATTATACATAGATAATTATTCATGTATCTTTCGCTCGGTAAAATAAATGGAATCAATTCATCAAGAATAAAAAACGATTTAATTTTGATTATAATTGTTTTTATTGTTTTTTTTTTTTGGTTTAATACACCAGTGGATAATATAGTTTTGAATAATTACGGTTTATACATACATAGATACATATATTTTAGATTAAACATAGATATATATTCACGTATCTTTCGTTCGGTAAAATAATTGGAAACAATTCACCAAGAGTAAAACAAACATATAAGAAACAACTTGGCATAATTATGCCTAAGGCTGCTAATATAGAATATTGTGAATATTAAAGTTAACTAAATGATAGATATACGACAACAAGGATCAATTGCGACCACTTTGCGATGTGTGCATTATGTCCAATGCAGCTGGTATGTTGCCCTCCACAGACTCCAACAGCTGCGTCAGCCAGGCGCCTTCATTGCTGAAACCCATCGCCATCATTGCGTGTACGGCGGCATTAATGCGTTCATCTACGGAAAAAATGGGAATGTTAAAAAAATGTTACAAGCCATTTTACACAATTAATGTAAGAGGCTACTAGTGGCGTAAAATCATGATGAACTATATAAGGCGGCGATTATGCGTCTCCTTTTAACATATGCCTGTTAAGCAGTCGCAGTGCAGTTTGGTTTCTTCTCTTTATATATATTTGCATTGAAGTAATTAAATATTGAAGAAATTAAATTAATTTGACTAGAGCCATCCATAATACTAACAAAAACAAAAACCTAATAAGGATACGGTTCATTGCAACTATGATTTCAACTGACGCTAAGAACTATGAGACCTGTTAAACTTAACAGCTGTTAAATCTAGTATCTCAACATAACTTATATCGCCACCTTGTACAGCGACACCATGAACAGGCCACTAGTAATGTAACAGGTTAACATCAGTCACATAGCTTTGCAAGTTAACATACGATATCGATATCGTTATCGATCGCTATCGATGCTATTAGCAGCTTGAACAAGATAAGTTTGAATTTTCAAGAACTATTTTAATTTAGCTTTGTATGCTATTTGATGTTGCTCAGTGCTACTCACCGTGATGGTAGACGAGCACTGAACGCCACTCCTCGGCAACAGCTGTGGGGGGAGGATTAGCTGCTGTTGGGGCTACCCCATCCATTGTTGAAGTCGAGGTGCTCACCGTATTCACCTGCGATGTTTGAGTGTGAGCCGTGCTCTGCTCGCGCTGCTGTTGTTGTTGCTGTTGATGTAGCAGCTGCTGCTCTTCCTCGTTGACATGTTGGCGCAGCATCTCACCCAACTGGACATAGTCGTGAGTTGGTGAAACAATATCCGCAGCAACTGCTGCCGGTGCTGTTGTTGTAATGGTGCTGTTGTCGTTATTGTTCAAATTGATCAACACATCCGCGCTGGAAACGTTGTCAGTTAGCGTTGCCGTGTTGTCAATCATTTGCCAATCCTGACCCAAGCTCTCTGATCGGCTGCGCTGCTTCTCGGCATCGTCATTTGAAGTTGGAGTCGGGATAGCTGGAGTTGGATCTGTAACTGCAACTGGAGTTGGAACTGTAATTGGAGTCGGTACTGCAACTAGAGTTGGAATTGCAACTGGAACTGGAACAGGAACAGGAGCTGGAACAGCAACTGGAGCTGCAACCGACACTGAAGCTGCAACCGACACTGGAGCTGCAACTGTAACTGGAGCTGAAGAAGTTTCAGCTGCTGCTGCTGTGGTCTCTGCGCCAGCTTCTGTCTTTTGCGAAGCTGTTGAGCCACTGGATGTGGAGGATGCCATCGATGTTTCTGCACAACCAAAGGCAGCTGCCTCGCTAGGATCAATCATTTTTGCAAACATTTCGCTAAAGTTGTTCAAGATCTCGATGCCGGCCCGCACATACTCGGGATTGACCATCTGGGCCAAGTTCTCCAGGCTAATGACGGGTGTGGTTGGTGTGCTGCTACCAGCAGCTTGAGTGGGAGCAGCAGCGGCGGGAGCTGGAGCAGATGTTGCCTGTAGTTTGGGTTCCTCCTTGGGGCTGCGCGGAGCAGCGACGGGTTCCTCGGTAACGGTTTCATCCTGAACAACAAATGCCTCCTCTTTTGCATTTTGTGATTTAGTCTCAGCAGTTGTCTGCTCAACTGGCTGCTCCTTCGGAGGAGCTGTAGCTGTGGCTGGTGCAGCCGCCGACGTCGTTGGAGTTGTGTTGCTCTCCGGCAAATTCATCATCATTTCCATAAATTGGGAGAAGACGCCGCCACTGCCACTGCCAGCGCCATGGCGACGTGCATGTCTGCGATCGCGACGACTCTCCTTGGGCCCATTAGCAGCTGGAGCAGCACCTGGAGATGAGCCAGTTGGCGTCTCAGCGTCAGCATCCACAGTCAAATCCGAAAAGGGGCATTGACCCCGGAAGCGACGATGCGAGCGACGATGATGCGAACCTGGGCCACACATCCAGGCATCGATGACACTGGGTCCATTGTTGTTGGGCATGCGGACCATCATATGATTGGGATGCTTGTGTGCTCGCTCGCAGCTCTGGCACAGATCAAAATTGGGACACTGCACGCACTTGTAGCGGAAACCAATGATTGGCGCTAAATTGCACGAATCGCACTCGACCCCGTCGTGTATGATGAAATTGGTGGGATCATCAACATTTTCGGGAGTAGCTTGAGCTATCTTCGGCTCGGCGGAATCCGACGAGGAGCATATCTCGGACGCAACTTGAATACGCATATTGTCCGCACATTTCTCCTTGAAAATAATATAGTCAGACATGTTGGCGATCTCGATTTCATCACCATCGTTATCTAAATTGCGAAATGGAAAATAATAATATATTATTCATATATACATAAATATATAATGAATTTTGTAGGTTTTCTTTCTTTCTTCGTCGAGCAAAAAGACTACAAATAGAACCAGTTTCTATCTAGTATACAGTTGCGTAAGAAATAATAAGACCACTCGAATATTTTTAAGTTATTAATGAAAAACAAATTTGCAATTTTTTCAAGTGCTGATTTTCTATATATATTGTTTTTGGTATTCCACCTAACAAATTAGTGGAATTCCTCCTGGCATTCTTTTCTTTTCTCATTTGAAAAAGTAGCAAAAAAATAATAACACCTTTTACGGAATTTTATAGAACTCGTTTATTTATAATTTGCACATATCAAAAGTGGTGATATTATTCTTCGTTTATTTTCTAGCTTTTTCTTCTCCTTCTTTTTTTAAGAATTTGCGTTTGCTTCCTAAAACGTTTTTATAAGTTCTTTAAATTTATAAATTTAAAAGGTACACTTTTGAAAATGTTAATATTATTATTTTCGCAACTGTGTAAATTAGACAAATGAGTTTTTCTATATGTGGTGAAGCTTGTAACGCATTGATAAAGAGACTTGACAGATACCCCATAACGTATATGCATATATATAAATATGTCTGATCAGTAAATATAGAGGCATGTATATATATATATATAGTCTGTTTACTTATATTAGAACTTGTTGCTCGATATTAAAGTTATCTTCATGGTTCTTATATATTTATAATATATCTATTTTAATTTCATCATATTATATATAGTTTTTATAAGTCGAAAGTTGAGTTCTTTTGTTAAGTTATATATAAATATAAAACTGGTTGATTTACGTTATCAGCAGTATACAAACATAATTAAATATGTGTGTGGTATATCGAGTGAATCATTCATTTGATGGATTTTCTTTTTTGGCATATAGTTTTTGTTATCGATTCTGATTCTATTCAAAATGATACGCATTAATATTGTGAATCACAATGGGCAAATGGAGGAGCCCATTATATATACATGTGTATATATATGAGTGTATGCATTCACAATAGTTAACAGTTGCAAAATTTACTTCGCACACACAGATATATTTGCAGATAGACGCCTTTGTCTATGCCAATTGATGCACATATAAACAACACTCAGGCACACACACATATATATATATTTGCACACTTGCACCTGCATTGATTTCATGTTCTGATTTGACCATTATATCATCAAACACTATAAATTTATGTATATTTACTTACCTATCCAATATGTCCTGAACTTGAACTCAGGCAGTTTGCTATCCTCGAACAGGAAACTTTTAATTGCCTCTTGGACATCTATTTGAAATTCCGGCAATAGAATGTATGTATTCAGCTTCCGCGTTGCGCCCGCTGCTCCTGCATCCACAATGTTATAGGTGATTTTCAGAAATTTCTCCGACATATTGCAAATTTTCAGCTCTTTACACTTTGTAGAAATTATTTACTTTTTGTGTAATTTTGTTTCAATTGAAAATATTCTATTTTTATTTCGCAATTTGTGTGTTGCGTTTGTCTACTGCGTCGTATTCGTTTGCAGTTCGTGTACAAGCGCAATATGGCCGCAGGTTCGGCTTTTATATAAATTGTGCCTGGCACACGAAGGTTCTTGAATATTCTCCGAAAATATTGTCAAATCACTGTCGGTCGCACCAGTGGATTGTTTCTGAATGATAAGTAAAAAAAATACATGAAAAGTAATGCCAAGCTGGTCTTCACTATTAACCGATTAATCGAAATCGGTAGTTTTAGAGCTGCCCCGACAGTGTTGGTAAATGACGGTCTGCTTGACAATTATCGTGTGTCAGCCCTGGTAGCCACAAAAATTCAATTAAGTTGGCGCTATTTTTCAAAAATTTATTTGCCATGAAAAATTACAAGTTAAATGTATGCGTGAAATGAATTATATCTCAAATTAAATATGCTGTCAATTGTACGTGCGTCGCAATTTTTGCAGCAGCTGGAACATATGCAATTTATTGCTGCAAAAATAAAAGTAATTATTATATATTTGACTGATGCTTTAGCTATAATTTATATAGATATATATATATACCGAGGTGAATTGAGCAGTTCATCATTGTCCTGTTGTCGGCTCTCGATATCCTTTTTGGGTGCTGGTATACTTATAACGTGTGCCGTTGCCGCATCCGTTGCATTATTTTCTGTTACATTATTTTGCGATGCATTATTTTCAGTCAACATTTGAAAGCTTCTGGCTGGCTTTCGAGTCGTTGACTTAACTGCCAGTGCATAATCTAAAAGGTAATAGTCGTATCTATATATTGTAATTGTTTTAAATGTTGATTTTGCGTGCTTACCTAAATATTCCGCGCCAAGTATTTCCATCCATGACGAACCCTCACTGTTGGGCAAACTGATGACGAAGTCGTCGAGTGACACCTTCCAATTCTGGTTACCCTGTTGCCGCTGATCGTAGTACCGCTCATCCACCTGATAGCCATCATCGTCATAGTCGTCATCGTAGAGCTTCCCAACAAAATCGGTGGCAAGGCTGCGCGTATTCAACGGCTTCGGCACTGCCTGGCCAACAACATGCAACAGCAGCAAGACGAACAAATGATTCGTGAATTTGCACATTCTTCGTTTCGTGTTCTACGAGTTTTTTCTATTTTCGTTTTTTTCGCTTCTTATTGGCGTTCAACAGGACCCGACCGTTGCCGTCGGACAGCGGGCAACGAATGAACCCGCTGCCATTCTGGGCAACAGAACACCACTAGATGAGCCTTTCCCCATCAGCCAAGATGAAACAAAAAACAAAACCCGATTTATGTGAATAGAATGGAATAGATATAGATACAGCAGAGTGCAGTTCAATGGCCGAAAGACTTCCGCATTGTGATGCGCATCAAGATTCATCTGAGAGCTGCCATTGACCACAACCTGTAATGAAGCAATGCACATCCACTATGCGGTCTGCAACTGAGCTCATCTTGAGTTCGTCCATGATACCAAAATATATATAAAAAAATAGATATATGTATATATACTCATTTTAACCCGATTTATGTGAATAGAATGGAACAGATATGCATATAGCAGAGTGCAGTTCAATGGCCAAAAGTCTTCCGCATTGTGATACGCATCAAAAGTCATCTGAGAGCAACCTGTAATGAAGCAATGCAAATCAACTGAAACTAAGCCTATCTTGAGTTCGTCCATGATACCATTATATATATAAAAAAAAATATATATATAAAGTAAAGATAATTTTGATACAACTGCAAAAATTTTTAATAATATTTCAGATATGATTGATAAGAGTTAGACAAATATTTATATTTTACATGTAACACAAAAAACTACATTTTTCAATTAGAAAAAGTTTTTTTTTTAATATTTAAAATATAGTTAAGAGTAAGGAAAAATTAAAAAAAGGAACCTAAACATAAGATAAGCGATAGATAAAAAATTGGACCTGATAATATTGTCTTAGGATTCTAATATATGTAGAATCACTAATACATTTTTACGGCTTTTAAGGCCTAATTAAAAGCGTACCTTATTTAGGTCCATCGCAAAGCGCAATTGTAATGCTTCCCTGTCAGAACTATGGTAATTATTCAAGCGTGTTCGCTAGAAATATACCGGTTGAAATATTTTAAAGATTTACGATAAAGATAAGCGATAGATAAACATCAAAATGTTATATGTACCTTCATAATTGAATCTGATTACTATATTCAAATTATAATATATCATCACCACATGCAATAATTTCTTAGGTCCACCCTAAAGATAAGCTCCAATGCTTCCCTGGCAGAATTATGGAAACTATTCAAGAAATGTGTCGAGTAAGTCGCACTTGAATTGATGCTTAATTATATGTGCAAACTTGCTTAGCCCATTAACCCAAAATTTAGTTGGAGAAAAAAACTGAGAAAAAATACGTGTCATTGTTGGAGACGTTCTAATTACTGGGCTCGTAATACGCTCCGAACTTGGCATGTTGTTGTTGTTGTTACTGCTGCTGTTATTATTGTTATTGTTTATTGTAAGTATTAACGGCGTCTCGCCGTTTGTTTTGTGAGTTGTGTGTTGAGTTTTTCAGTTGTTCAGCAATTGGTGGCCAGGGTCAATGACCAAGGCCAGCGATCAGCTAAGAGGAATGCGCCTATTCCCACAGGAAGATGGTGCTGCTACTATCAGAAACTTTAAATTCCATTTCCAAACCACAATATTTTTTTTCCCTCTATCTTTTATCGTGTAGTGATTAAAAAAAACTGGTTTGCAATTGAAAATTGCAACGTAGCAAATTTAATGGTGACTGGCCTTAGTCAAAGCAATTGTAAATGTTATTTTCTTCCCCCTTACACCCGCCCCCCCATTAATTTAGACTTGATTTATCCTTCAGCGCATCATCACAGATTTAGCTGCTTCTCTCTCCCGCTATTTCCCTGTATACTTGACCTGTCCTTCAGCGCATCAAATCCATTATACAAAAACACATACATTTAGCTCTCTCTCTCTCTCTCTCTCTCTCTCTCTCTCTCTCTCTGTCTCTCTCTTTCTCTCTCTCTCTTACTCCAACCTTAGTCAAAGCATTTGCAACTGTTTTCTTTCCTATATTTTTCGCCCACTTGATCTCGCCTGTGCTTATCCTTCAAATGTAATTCCTCTCCCTCCCTCTCTCTCTCTCTCTTTCGCTCTGGCTTCCGCTTGCCCATCAACAAATTCCCCTCCGATTGGTCTGTTCAATTTCCCATTAATATGCAAATGCTTTGTCGGCCCAATTTGAATTAATCAAAAGTTATATGTAGATTTTTATTGTGTAAATCTTAAATCGAAATGCATTGCGATTAAAAAGAGTAGTATTTGTTATGATGAAGTAGCCTAAAATCGAATGGATTCAAAAATGATGCTCAGTCTCAGTAGCCCGCGATCTGGCGACAGGCGCCATAGCTATCTCGTCGCTGCCCGGGCGCACAGCGGGCCAATCCATCCCGGAGCAGAGTCTTCGATTCGGCCAAAGCATCGCCGAGCAGCTCAAAGCTGAGGACTTCCGCATCCAGCTGATCGGCTCGGGGCATTAGGATCGGTGTCGGCTCCTCATCCAGATGCCAGTTGCGCGACTCTGCCTCCTTTACAATATAGCCGGGCACATCGATCGGCGGATAGAGAACATTGCTGTGCTGCACTGCATCACTCCGATACAGGGGCACACTGATCGATCGGGCATTGGAAGTGGATGTGGAACCCAAGGAATCGCTGCCAGCTAGTTGATTATTATCTACGAAACTGTTGCCCAGCAGCGATCGCGAATTGCGATAATATTGCGCGGCAGCAGCCGGATTGGCGGAGGAGGAGGAGGAGGAGCTGCTTCCACTATTGTTCACCCCACCGGATGCTGGTGGCAGTGCCTGTATTAGTTCCGGTTCCGCCTCCAGATGATACGGTCTGATCAACTGCGGCATGGGAACCAGTTGTGGCGGCAACACATCCACCTGCTGCCGCTGCAAACGTGGCTGCAACTGCAACTCCTCGTTGGCCGACGAGATGTCCACATGGTAGGGGGTGCGTCCCTCAATGAAATCCGGCAGAGCCGATGGAGAGATTGGCTGATGCTGGAGTTGTTGTTGCTGTTGCAGTTGCTGGTGCTCATAGAAGGATTTCAGTGCCGCGGCCTGGGCATGTTGACGCTTGTTGCTGGTCCTGCTGCGGCTGCTGCTGCCGCCGCTACCGCTTCTAGTTTTGTCAGCGCCATGCAACGTGGATGTGGCCAGCATTTCGAGTAGACTGTAGCCCTCCTTCACACCAGATGGTATTAACACAATCATAAAGTTATCGAGATCGGCGCGTATATTGTATTGTCCCTCCTGCCGTTGATCGTAGGTAATCACGCGGCGACGCACTACATCCTGCATTTCTGGCTTCACTGTAGCCACTGTAACAGCTTCTGTTGCCTCATTATTCGCAATCGAGTTCGAATTCCCATTCGCAATCGAGTTCGAATGCCCATTCGCAATCGAATTTGAATTCCCATTCGCAAACGAATTCAAATTCGCATTAGCAATCGAATTCAAATTCGAATTCGAAATCGAACTCGAACTTTGACTGAAGCCGTGCATCGCTTCCGTTTGGGGCGCTGGCTTTGACGCTGACGCCAATTGCAGCAGCAGCAGCAGCAATAGCGTCGGCAGCGTGAAAGTCTGCGTAAGCATTTTCCAAAAAAAAGTACCAACAACAACCGCTCGATTTAGTTCTATGTTCTTAACGCACGCGCTTCTCGCTTGCAACTGATTTGAGGTGAGCAACGCCAGCCTTAAAATTGACGTCGACGCCAGCGCATGCGCAACTTTCATATTCTGCTGCGTCGCTGCTTTGTTGCTTTCTTTTGATTCTCATTCTGGTTTTTGGCCGTTGTTGTTGTTGTTGCTGTCCTTTGTGTTGCTTTTATTTATTCGTTTGCTGTGCCCATTTCGGTTGCGTGGCTTGCCTACGTCGACGTCGCTGCCACCCGCGCTACTGCTTAACTGTTATTATAGAAAAAAAATAATATTGCTGCGCAACTTTTGGGTTCTCGCTGCGCACAGTGGAACGTGAATTAGATTTTCACACCAATTAGGCAATGAGGAAGCATTTTATTGCGTAGACACAAGCTAATCGATGGAGCACGTATTCAGATTGATCGATGATTGCATTTGTTGACAGCTGTGCAAACCCTGATGACTGTCGTGTGATCCCTATTAGATATCCGGTGTCATTTATATGTGCATTTTTAATCTAACCTTACTCCAAATATATAATCTAATCGAATTGGGCGCAGCAAGCAAACGGGTATTATCAATAAGATCGGCTGATAATCATTTTGGGAAGGCTTTCAATCTAGTTGCTAATTATTGAATTTATGGCGTATTTTTTATTTTGAAAATAAAATGTAGAAAACTAGTTCAAAAAGTTAAAATTTAAGTTACAAAAAAGAAATAATCAATCAAATACAAACTTAAATATTTAACATTAAAAAAAGGAATTAATCAATTTTAATAAATATAATTTTGTCTTCAAAAATCTTTGAATTCTAGCAGAAAATTAATGAATTTATGGAGTATTTTTTTATTTTTAAATTAAAATTTAGTTAACGAGCTTATAAAATAAAAAATCCAAATTTAAGTAACAAACATTGAAAACGAATTAATAAATTTTAATTCGAAAAACTACAAATTTCAATTTAAATTACAAATTTAAAATTAAGAAAGGGAATTAATAAATTTCAACTTCATTAAAATGTTTCGGTCCGAATCCGTAATTGTGATAAGAAACACGTTTTGGGCAGCGGACTCATTAAAAAGTTATTTTAAAAAAACGGTTAGCTCCGATTGTAATTTGCATTTCTGAAAATATAATTTATTATTCAAAATTGTTGTCTTTTGCTGTTGATGTTGTTGTCTTTTTTTGCACAACTTGAGGGATGGAGGGGGAAGCGACATTCACAGTTATCCATGTACAATAACTAAGCATATAACAATAAGTAGTAAAGTAAACATTTATGTGTTGCATTAAGTTGTTTTGTAAATAATAATTACACAGTATGCGTTTAAATAATAAGAGGTCTTGGCGGTTATCTTAGTTAAACACGTGTCACCATTGAAGTTTCTTTTCATTTTGAGTTTTTTTCTTCTTTTTCTAAAATAGAACATTTTAAAAATAATACAAATAAATTAAGCACATCTAAAGTATGCTATTATCATACATATATATATATATATATATACATAAATACATATATATCTAGCATCATTGAAAAATTACGACACATGAACACTAAAAACACTGGCATTGAATACGGACTATAACTAAATTGATTATATAATAGAGTAGAGGAAGCGAGCGTCTTTTTCTTTTTTTTTGGGCTAAATCAAGTCTTTAAAAAATGTGTGTATGATCTAAAATGGAAGGAAAGATTTTAAAGTGAAATGAAGTCAATGATTTATATATTTCACTGGATGATATATATATATAGAGAGAGGTCCAAAATTGTCATGGAAACAAACATTCGAATAATTCAGATTAAATACCCAAACAATTTGCAAAGTTTTGTTTTCAAAAATTATAGCTACAACTAATTTAAATATGTAAAAATACTCTTCGGATAGTTTGCTTGTATGTGTGTGTGTGTGTGTGTTGCCTTAAGGATGATGATCCTTGCTACCTGAGCGATTTGTTTGAAATGAAGCGCTAGCCTTTAAGCAAACTAATATCTGACAAACGACAAACCCCAAAGATGAACAAAACAAACTAAGAGAAACAAAAATTGCCTAATCCAGTTTGCGTGATGTTTGCGGCTCCTCCTTGCGTTCCTGCTGGTTCGCCGGGCTTTTAATGTCCAGTGTCGGCATCCGCTTGTGGACGGTGAAGCAGACACGGTTGAAGTGTTCACACATCTGATTCACCACGCTGGCGCCATAATGCCAGTGCGTCAGCGTCGTCACAATCAGCAGCATGTAGACCACTGGACGCTCCAGCACCGGCAGCCAGAAGCTGGCCAGAATCGACAACGCAAACATGGGCGTCTGCCAGTGCCAGGCCTCGCAACGTGTCACCGACATTTGGGAGACGATCAATCGGCACTGCAAGTAATGCAAACGTTATTAAATTAGTTTCAAATGCTGGCTATATTATGTATAAATGATTATATATATATAAATGATTCTCACACCACTTAAGATTCATATATAATATATAAATTAAATTTGTATATTAATTTTATTATAATTTGTTTTGTACTTTGTGTTATTTTTTTATCTTGCCTGATATTGGTCGACATTAAAAATACGAATATATAAAAATATTTAATTCATTTTTAACTAAGTAATAAGAATAAGCAATATTTTTTTAATACAATATAAGTAAAATCGCTTTTGCTTATAGCAGTTAAAAATTTCCTTATTCTTTATTGTTAAATTGCTTCTTTTATTGTGTAATATTTTCTAGACAATGATTTCGATTAAATTTTTTGAAACGAACTCAGAAAATTGTTGTTAGTATTTCTAGGAATTTGAGTTAAGTTGAAAAATCTAGTAATTTAATTCAGAGCAATTGTTGCATGACTATTATTTTGAGCAGGTTTCCTCCGGTGATTCAGATAACTTGCCACAAACTGCTCCTAGTCATTTAACGACCTATCCACTTGGAGGCTTGAATTACTTTAATCAGTGGATCACCTTCACGTGGAAAGACGAAGATGCCGCGATCCTTTTTCAAATAGCGATAGGCCCGATGCTGATACCAGCCATAGATTTGATTCTCAGTCATTGGCTGCGCTGTGGCATGCTTGGGCACATATCTCTTGGGCGCATCCCCTTCTGTGGTGGCATCCTCAGCTGCTCCCTTCTTATCGAGCACTTCACGCATACGACGTACATCCTCATCCGTGCAATTAAAATACGGCCAATCGTGTCGGGCATAGAACTTGAGTGTCAGCGGATACTCGGCACTCGACACTGTTATTGGTGAGGATGCAGTTGTTCCCGTTTGCTCATCTTCCAATCCACCATCGACCTCCTGTCTACGGCGTATATCGGCGGCACAACGTCTTCCGCCACAGCAAAATGGTGGCATTATTGAAGAATGTGTTTGGTTTTTGCACTTTTGGAAATGTGTTTTCTACTTTTGAAGTGTCTGTCGAAACGAATAAATCGAATGAGACTTCGAAATGATGGGCAGAAAAATACTTTCATAGCTTTCTTGTCTGTCGATTGCCATGAAATGCAAAGCCTTTGTCGAGTTTATTTGAATTTTGTTTTGAAATTTGCAGGAGTATAAATCAGTGGGTCATGCCGGAATTGGAATCGAAAATGCACGTTAACCGATTGAAAGTCAGAATCGGAATTAGAAACCGAATTCAACATTTATGAAAAACCAAAATAAACGAATTGATATTTCGAGTAGAAGGACTAGTTTCATACTCGTTAAGATGCATCTGCTTAGTACTTATTGCTAGGTCATAAATTTGTAAAATAAAATCAAATATTAATCGAACAGATCGTATCGGAACTTAAAAAAAAATATTGGAAAAAATACCGAATTATTTACATTTTGTATACTCTTCGCACCATAATCAAAATCAGAACCTAAATTCATTTTGGTTTAAATTGTTTAGCTGGCCAAATGAAATATAATTATAACAAAAGAATATTGCGTTGAAAAGCTTTCCGTCTTCAAATTTAGTTTAAAACACAGACCAACGTGTGATTATATATTATCGGCATCGACCTTGCCCCAAGCAAAGCGGATTTCTGAGAACGCTATCTATTTTTTTGGCACATTTCTAATATTAGTATACGACACTTCTTATACACGCGTTATCTGTTAGGCCTGCCGCTTTGAAATATGTTGTTTATTAGCCAAACAATACGCATACATATAATTGCTCTCTTAAGTGACTAATAAAACTTGACACTTCATATCTAGAGTGAGTCATGAGCCGATAGCAAATTGAATTGTACTACAGGAAGGTGGGTAAGGTAAATTGAGATTGTAATGATAATAATGATAATGATAGCTCAATGGCAAATCGAGAATAAATTGCAAGAATTAAATAGAAAAGTTCCCCTGATTTTTTGGCGTTGAGAAACTTACGCTGACATTGGAGAAGATGGTGCCGCTTAACATGAACATGGCGCGCGGATCCCTTTCCATGATGTCATTGGGCGAGAGCAGGGGCCAGGTGAGCAGCAGCACAAAGTATGCCACAAAGGGCCACATCGGCCGTATCGCCTCCGTAAATGATAACAAACGCCCCGTGCGCTGAGCATACGAACTGTAATCATCAAAATAAGTATAATTAGTATGTTGGGTGTGGAGAATATTTTGGAGCGACTTACTTGTAGACATTGATAACAACCAGGGGCAGATTGGCCATGGCACTGATATGCAGCACCGCCTCCATCACATTGCCCAGGGGCAGCGAACCCCAGCTGCCCAGCGGCAATTCAAATTTCCAACTTTCGAAGCCCATCCACCAGGTGACCAAGTACATGGCAGTGCTGCCCCACATGCTGAGATCATAGCCCCAGGGTAAATACAATACGCCCGTATTGTATTTCTCCCAGTGCGATACGAAGAAATTGAAATAGACCGTCATGCAGACATAATACATGCGCATCGGACGCACCGAATACACATTGCTCCGCCCGAAGATGCTGTACAGACACGTGGGTATCAGCATTGCCGTGTACGAGTCCAAACCATGATCGAACAGTTCGCCCAATGGCCCCGATAGCCCAATACGACGCGCCTGCTTCCCATCGATCCCATCCAGGGTATACGCAATGAATATATTAAATGCACAGCTGAGCCAAACCCATTTGGGTATAGGTGTTGTGCCCACCTCACCCGAACTGGCCTTGAAATTCCAATCGTAATAGGAGAGAAACACTAGATTCATCACACTAAACAGGAAGCCAAGGAAGGTCATCAGATTGGGCGCAAACCAGCGCGGGAAGAACTAAAGTGCATTTATCAATTTCAAATTATTTATTATTATTGATTTTCGAACAACAACAACAAAACACTCACCTTAACCAGCCAATTCCAAAATGGATGCATTACATATTGGCTAAGAGGCGAGGTGTCTATCGCACTATACTGCATGTGTGTAAGATAGAGAGAGAGAGAGACACAGAGTAAAAGAGAGAGAACGATTGTTTTGTGTTTTATTTATGAACAACACTTTTTAATATGCACAACAAACGTTTCGCTTACCTTGTAATTGTCAAAGCCATTGATTTGCTCCCTTCTCAGGTATTTGTAGTCCAGCAATTCTCGTACACGTTGCATTTTCATCTTTTCTTCTTTGATGTGGCGTGTTTAACGCACGTGCTTCCTTTATTCTTAGTATATGAAATATAATTTATTACAAGTGTGGAGTGAGGGGGAAAATAACAGTCGACTTCTTGTTGCTCAATTGACAATTGATAGCGGCCTTTACGTTAATTGCCAGTGCTAGTTAATTACTTTTATGTTGTTGTGAGTTGGCCACTTTTGCGAACAACACGTATTAATTGACAACAACTTTGAAGCGTGCACAGTTTGCTGTTATTTTCCAATGCAAAACTAACTTTGCCGGCTGTTTTTTTTCTCGATTCAGCCAAACAGACACACACAACACACGCACACTTACACATGGACACACTCAGCTGGGCTGCAATTGGGGGTTGTTTTGCAACACACATTCACCTTTTTCTGTTTTGCTTTAACGATTGTATCCTTGGGTTGGTTTTTTTTAATACATTAATTTAATTTTAGCTGCATAAAATTCACGAGTTAATTAATGGCTTTTGCGTGTTAAAGCCCAATTAAGTGTCTCGACCAATGTTAACACTTATTTGCAACAGGGCTGCCATCTCGACTGAAATGCGCCACAGCTAACAGTGCTGAAAAACACGAAGGAATTATGTATTGTATCCAATAGTTTGGCGGTTTAATTGAAATTCTTGATGGGCTTTATTATTATTATTGTAGGACGTTTGGAAATTCGTGTTATGTGTATAGTTAACAAATCACATTGCGTACAAAAAAACTTATATACTCGTATAAAGTGTAACAAAATAGAATTCGTAAATAATGCTGGCATTAACCAAGTCGCGTAACAAAGGAGGAATATAACAAAAATTCATTTAAATTATGCTAGCAAATAGCATATATAGTTGATGATTATTTGATGACTCTAGGCAGCTTTCAACTACGTAATTTTGTATTGTATTCGTTTTATTATTTCTTCAAGTTGCGTTTACGTATATTGCCTGGACAGCCGCCAGCGGCCAACAGATGCATTTTCCAGCCACCATCCAAGGGCAGATGCACATCATCATGGCACAGCGGACAACGAGCGGCGCCCGTTTTGAGTTCTGAGAGAATTGAATAAATAAATTGTGCTTTATTATAGGAGAGAGTTATTGGGCATACCACGACAAAAGTCTTCCATTTGATGGAGTTCGTAGAGCTGCTTGTGCACTGACTCCGTGCAGCGGGCGCACATCACATAGCTATCCTTTGCCTCGCATTCCGCTAGAGAAATCAACGCAAATTGTAATAATTCACATGCATATGAATATAAATGAAAGTCTTACTCGTTAAATGATAGTTGAGGGCGGCTACTTCGAGCACCTGGCTGCATTGTGGGCACTTGGTGAGAAACGGGCACGTTTTCCAATAATGCCGATCCAATTGGCTGGCATCCCCGCCAGCACAACACCAGCCACAAAACGGACAATTGCTATCAGAATAAATGGAATTACGAATGGGCAAATGACTGAGTTAAGCGTCTGACATACATTTTGGGCGTTGTCTCCTCCGTTGACTCCGAGTTGGAGGCGGATCCTTTGCGCGAATTTGAGGCGGAGAGCATGGAACGCTTCAGTTGCTCATTGTACTGCTGTTTGCCATTGCAGCTGACGAATCCATTGTCGCCGGCAGTGCCACTTTTGCTGCTGCTGCTGCTCGTTGTGGGCTGTAGAAAATCGGTGCCATTGCTGCAGGAACTGTGTGCGGCGCCATCCGTATATTTGTTGACCTCCAGCAGTTCCTGTTTGCGCTCCAAATCGAGCTTATCGAACTCCGTGAACAACTGACGATAGAGCAGATTGCGGCGCGTAATATCATCATCCGGTGGCAACTGTTTGCGCACCAGACGCGGATTCACCTTGTAGACCAGCACCAAAATGCGTTCGGCCACCTTGCGCACCGGTTCCGCCGGATGATGGATGCCCGAGCAGCCGCAATCGGACAGTGCTCGACACGTCAGCCCACTGTGCTTATCGGTGCTAATGCCCTGCGTGTGCACCAGCTGCTCCAGCATCTGCAGACGACTCATCGCCAGCCGTTGATGGGTGCCGGAGCCGACGCTGCGCGAGAGTGCCGGCGCGACGAGATGCTGTTCTGCGACCTGCGGACAGGCGGCAATGCTGAGTATGGTGTGCTGGGCGAGCGTATGCAGCCGGGCCGATGGATCACCCGATTTGGCCAACAGTTCGGGCAACAGACGATCCACACAACGGGCCACCTCGCTGGGCGACACACGGCCCGGCACATATTCAAGGAACAGGACACGCACCGCCTCCGTCGCCTGACTAAACACCGAGTAGACGGCATCGCGTACAGCACGATGCAGCAGCAAGGCGGCGCTGCGTGCCACCTTATTGGGACTGGCCGCATGCTCATTGCTGGGCAGCTCCGCAAGGCCGTCCTGCTCCTTGAGAAAGTTGCGCAGACGCATGAGGCCATCCTCGCGATCCTGAAATTGACGCGAGTAGAATTGCTCAACCTGAACAGGGAGAGGGAGCGTAAGATAATTAATTTAGATTTCAAGGAGTGAAAGTGGGAGTTGGAGCGCAGCTTACCATCTCACTGCCAAAGACCAGGATGGGCAGCGCTGCCTGGCGACGCTCGCGATCATTGAGACGCGAGCGGCTGCGATTTGGGTCCGCTTCGAGCAGTGCATTGCCCTGGCACTCCCTTAAAAATTCATTAGTATTTGAGCTAATACAGTTTTTGTTTTTGAACGGAACAACGGACAACGTTTACATACGCCGTATATAGAGAGAAATGAAATGAAATATAAAATGTATGCATCAAAAATACAACGACGACGACAAATTAACGGTTAGTGTTTTGGGTTTTAAGAAAAAACAATCGATTATATTTTATGTTGTGTTATCGTGTCATTTATCGCTGTCATATCCATCATGCGGCATCATGCTCAATGTATGTTAGTACTATTCGACGACAACATCGTAGCTACACATTTGATTGCACTTAGAGATGGGCGCGTGTCGTGTCACGAATTCAAAAGGCTTAGCACGAAATGTGTGTATTAAAAATAACTTAGAATTTTAAATACATAAATGAAAATAAAAAACCAAAATCATTTAAACGACTAATTAAATTAAAAACAATTATGTACAATAAAATCCTGTTTACAAAATAAATAAGTAACTATAATTAACACATCATAAAAATAGCGTAAAACTAGTCGCGAAATTTGTCTTATTTTTGTAACTTTAAGTCCAATTTATGAATCAAAAAACACTCTCGATAATGAAAAACTCTATATCAAAATAACTGTGTCAAACAGGTTGCGAAATATTTCGCTGCGGAATTCTGACGACCGCAAAACTAAAATCCACAATGTTAACTCACTGTTGACCTTTGTGGATTCTGTGAACAGCTGTTCGAGACGCTATCGGGATAATGAAATTTGATTTATTCTAAACGACAATTATCTGCGTCATAGTAGTAGTAGTAAATTATCAAAGAAAAAAGTATTTTTAAAAAATTATTTAATGAAAAAGTCTAATTATACAGCCGTAAAAAAAATCAATTAATCTTTAGACTCTCGGCAGACATTTATATTTTTAGGTTCCACAAACAAAATATATTCCAATTCCGTCACAGACATTTTGCTTACTTCTAAGCAGGCCTTAAATTAGAATGCAACAAAATGTATTGAAAAAGAAAAAACTATTAAACGACTAATAAATATAAATATAGAATATAGTAAAGAAAATAATGTTTTGAGTCAACTTTTTCGTGCTTCAATCAGACACGAGCCCATCTCTATTCCACTATGCATATTGACAAAACTTACTGCCTTAGCGTGGGAATCGCTCGCTCCTCGTAATCCTCGTAGGAGTTGCGTGGCGCGCTCTTGTTGCGTCGCCTCAGCGATCCCTGACGACTGGACATGGGCGAACTGTGACGCGATGCCATCGGCAGACGCGGAGATTGTGGCAACTCATCGTGTGACTTGGCATGCAAATGCAGTGCAGCAGTTGAGGCGACAACGCCAGCGACCGCGTCATTGCCAACTGTCTCCATGGGTAACTTGTCCACCGGAGTACGCTTTGGACTGTTGTCGACCGCCTCGGCGAGAGCATGAGCCACATCCTGTAGACTGGGTGCGAGGGGCAGATTAGGTTTGCCACCGGCATAGATCTCACAGCTCTGATCGTTCTGGCTGAGCGGACCCTCCGCCTCGAGCAGCTGCTGCACCTGTAGCTGCTTCAGCACACACGTGCGATACATTTCGATCTGCTCCTTGCGCAAGCGGGCTGCACTGAAATCCTCCTGTTGGACAGCCTGTCGCTTGGCTAGGGCATATCGACCCAGACGCTCGCCCGCCGTTCGCAGTGCCGTCATGCAAAGCTTCAGCTTGCGGGCATACTCAAAGCGTTCCGAGCTCACAGCCAGCAGCTTGCGCTGCTCCAGCTCACGAATGTGCTGCACAATCGACTCCTCGACATACATGGAGAAGAGGAGATCATCACATATGGAGGCGAGTGCCAGTTCACCGGTCGCCGTATCAATTGGCGGTGTAATCTCGCTGCCCGTTGCCAGTTGCTCCTCGCCATTGTTGAGGGCCGCCGGTTCCAGTTCCTCCCCGAGCACATTCACGGCCATCAGTGAAATCTGTTCGCTGCCCTTGCTGTGCTCATTACAATGGGCGCCTATCAGACGCAGCTTGAGATGTGTGCCACGCCGGGGATTCACCGTAACGCTCTGCAGTTCACGGGATTTGTGATTGGTGTTTGCATTATCGGCGAGCGCGACAAAGCCAAGAAAATCAAAGTACTGCGAGGACGGTGTGCTGGGCATGGACTTGGGCGAATAGTGCAGCCAGAGCTCCACTTTCTCGGCTGCAAACGAATGATGAATGAGCTGATATTCATTGGAAAAGAGCGAAACTTACGTATCAGATACTGGTGGGCCAGGAGTTGGATGCGATAGATACGAGCCGGTTGTTGGAAACGCAAGATTATGTCATGTGTGCCCAATCCACTATCCACAGCACTGCGCCAGCCATGCACCGTTGGTCCATGTGTATTTAGCTCGCTGGCCGGGAAGCTGGCGTCTTCATCTGCAAAATTACAAAATAACAAAAATTAACCAGTTGCCGGCTGATTGCAAACAGTGTTGGTAAGCGGTGTGCTCAACACATAAACAAAAATCAAGTGCGGCATCAGATGTTCAATGAAGCAGTAACAAAAACAAAACAGAGACGAATTAGAATTAGAGAAATAACGATTACGTGGCCGCTCTCTCTCTCTCTCTCTCCCTTTGTATATTAAATAGGCTACCGACGCAAAACAAGTTTAGTCGAAATTTGTAACTGTAGCGCAACGAAGCACGGTTAAATTCTAATTATTTGTTGAATTAGTCACATAGCACATAGCTTGCTAAAGATGCCGCAAGATAAGAGCTCAACAGCTTCACCGCCATCGGCCTGGCTGCAAATCCAGAGCATATTGAACAGCATAAATCATATACTGATCTTTTTGGTAGCCGCATTCTTCTTTGTGCTCGCTCGTAGCTTGGACTTTCAGGATACGGCGATGCATATGTTTATGACGGGCATTGGTGTAAGTAACGAATAACTCAATTCATATCTGTGTGTCAGTGTATGTTTGTATATGCACGTAATTGTATGCATGTATGTGCGTAGGTACAAATGTACACTTTGCAAATAACTCTCATTGATATATGTACACAAAATTATTCGAATATTAATGAATAAGCAAACAATTCACGTAAATAATGAAGTCTGTCATTCATTAAATTTTCTAATTATGATTATAATTATTGTTGCTAGTTCAAATTTGAAGTTTAACAAAGTTAAAAGCCAGTTAAAAAATAATAACCACATCATCGTTATCATATCTCATTGTGAAATAACGAATAAACTGTGATAATTAAATATGTCACCATTTAAAATCAATATATAAATATTGATTCAAATTAAACTTTCCATTTCTGCTAGCTGAAATTTTAAGTTTCCTAGACTTCCATTTAAGCACTCGTTAAAGCTGATTAAGAAAGACCACATCATCGTTATCATATCGCAATGTTAAATAACGAATTTGTTGTTATCTTTGATGTGAAAATTATAATGCAATAATGTACCTAAATACACAAATTATTGATTCAAATTACACTTTTCGTTTGTGCTTCAATTTCAATTTCCCAGAGTTCCATTTAAGCACTCTTTAAAACTATTTGAAAAACAAATTAAAGAAAACCACATCATCGCACTGTTAACTTGTTATCGTTGCTGTGCTGACCTTAATCTATTAAAAAAAAAACCTTTAAAAACTGCTAACACAAATTACTAGTAGAGTTCAAATAAAGACCGTTGTCATCGTTATCATATCACGCTGTTAAATATGGAATTTGTTGTTATCATTGCTGACCTTTACACCTATATTTTATTTTTTGTTGCTTTTTTTGATTTACAGTATCATGTGCTAATTGCCCAGGCATTGATGTCGCACTACAAACTGAATCCGTTGACACGTTGGATATCGCACAAGAACAAATCCCGTTACCATGGCGTGCTGCAGTTGGTCGGCGGCTCGATGGTGTTGCTGGGTGCCTTGGGCAAGTTCTCGCAGAAGGACGTACACCTGGACACCTGGCATGGGAGATTTGGTGCGTGTGCGCATAAATTATACGCTTCACTGGGCAATGTCATAACAATAATAATTTGTTTTGACTTGCAGGTGTGGCTGCTGCTTTTGGCTGTGCTGCTAGCGTTGTTGGTGGCTTGGTGAACTTTTTCCAACCCAACTTGGTGGTGAAGGTGATGCCGCCCTCGGAGCTGCGCTATCGTCACAATTTCTATGGGATCCTCACCTTTACGCTGGGCATGAGCGCCATTTTTCTAGGCTACAGTTCGAGATTTTTTACCCGCTTTGTGGATAATGAATTCATTCCAGCCATGATGTTGACCACCGTATTGGTCTACTTGCTGACCATTATTGGACCCGTCACTTCGCTGCTAACAAAACTCAAATACAGACGACAAAAACGCAATTCCACGTAAAAAAAGTAGGGTATCGTTTCAAAAATGGTGGAGGTTTAGAGGCTACAATAGACTGTCACCGAGTAGGGGTACAATAAAAAAAATGCAGAAGAAACTTTGTAAAGCGGAACGAAAAAGTAATTTAAACCGTAAATTTGCTGCGCTTGGCTGGATGCCAAAATAAATACTCGTTGTCTGAATATTTAATTGGATATTTGTGCAGACGCCAGAGTTATAAAAAGCATCAATCTGTCCTTAGAATAATGATGAATGCTGCAGAGATTTTGAGGTAATGATAAACATTCAGGTAGAAAGACAATTTTTATGATTATCTTCTTAAGGTAAATATAATGCAGGAAAACCATTGACTAGATTTATGTAATATTAATGTATATAGTGAAGTGATTAAATTAATTGCCATGCATTTACAGTCGGTCGCAACTCAAGTTTACTTTGTGTGTACAAATGTTGTTTAATTTAGCGTCGCACTGGGCGTATGCGTATTCTTATCGATTTCTCAAGTGCACATCAAATAGCGCGCGTTGCTCGGCGCTCAACTAAACACCAGCGATAACGGTAACTAAAAAACAAAATTAAGACAAAAAGAAAAATTCAAATAAATATCGTTAAACAAAAACGAAAGAAGTAAAGTAATAAATGGTCGTCTGTCTGCGTCTGGTTTGGCTGCGTTTGTTTACCTGATGCAAATACCACATTAAATGGTATTTTCTTGGCCATTGCGAGGAGGCACACTACCACACAACTTAACGAGTACACAACAATTATATTTCTTGTTGCCGTTGGCAGCCTCAAATGCTTGATGCACAAACTAAAAAACTAACCCGATTTAATAAGCGGCCCACGCCGTAAACGCGTTTGCACAGTTGCAGCGATTGCATTCAATTGTTATCGATATCGAGTAACAGCTGCTTGATAAACGGTGCTGGGCAACATCCCCCCAAACGATTATCGAGCGAGCTGAATGAACTGGACTACTTGTTCGCTGTTCAATCGAACAAGTCGACGATATCGAGAAACAGCTGTTTTAAATTTGGTGTTGGGCAACACCCCACAAACGATTATTGAGCGAACTGAATGAGCTAGTCTGCCGGTTCGCTGTTCGATCCAACAGTTCGATGCAACTCTCAGTGGAATAAGCAAAACAAAATGCCAACAAATAGCCATAAATACAGCATTTTGCTGCCCACATACAATGAAAAGGACAATTTGCCAATTATCATCTGGCTAATTGTGAAATACATGAAAGCCAGGTGAGTTTTGTCACTAGTCACGCTATTCGTGCAATTGATAGTTGAAACTTGCTCTTTTTTTAGTGGCTACAATTACGAGGTGATTGTCATCGATGACGGCAGTCCTGATGGCACATTGGACGTGGCCAAGGATCTGCAGCGGATATATGGCGAGGAGCGAATCGTTTTGCGGCCACGCGCTGCCAAACTGGGCCTGGGCACCGCCTATGTGCATGGCATTAAGCATGCCACCGGTGACTTTATCATTATCATCGATGCCGACTTGAGTCATCATGTGAGCATTGATTTCTGACGTGCCCAATGATTGAATGATTGATATACTTGATTGATATATTTTCGTATAGCCTAAGTTCATACCCGAGTTCATTGAGCTGCAGCAGAAGGGTGATTATGATATAGTTTCGGGCACACGATATGCCGGCAATGGTGGCGTTTATGGCTGGGATTTCAAGCGCAAGCTCATCTCACGCGGTGCCAACTATCTGACCCAGGTGCTGTTGCGACCCAATGCCAGTGATTTGACTGGGTCATTTCGGCTGTACAAGAAACAGGTGCTGGAGCAGTGCATCGCAAGCTGTGTGTCCAAGGGCTATGTCTTCCAAATGGAGATGCTTATCCGTGCTCGCCAGCACAATTTCAGTATTGCCGAGGTGCCCATCACGTTTGTGGATCGCATTTATGGCACCTCCAAGCTGGGCGGCACCGAAATCGTTCAGTTTGCCAAGAATCTACTATATCTATTTGCCACCACCTAAACGATTATAGACAACATCCAACAAACAGACAGCAATAAATCTAAATGACTTAATGAATTTTTAATTTGTAAAGATTGTTTTTTTGTTTTGTGTGTTTGTTTAGCATTTTGTACATCTGGTAAGTGTTTTAAAGAATAATACGTCTAATGAATTTATGCATGAGAAGTTCTTGCTTTTGTTCTTGTGATATTTTTAGTATACTATAATTCAGAATTATAATTGGGTTTTTTTTTTGGTATTTTGGTTTTTGGTTTTGTCATTTATCATAAGTGTATGTTTTAATTTGAATAATGATATCTAAAGTTAATTGATTCATTCCATTTAATTACTCAAGTTGAAGACTTTGTGCTGGTTGTCGGGATTGCCGTACAAGGTGCCGCAGTCATCCTCCAAGGCGTTGGCACTGTTGCCGGCATAGTTCTTCAGCGCCAGCGTCAACAGATCATTGCGATCCTTGAGAGCGAGCACAGCAAACGCACCACTTGGCAGTATCTCGCAGGTGCTGATCTGTGCCGGTGGCTTGAAAACGGCCAGCGATTTGGCTGATTTGGCAAAAACAAACGAAATTGAGTGAAAATGCCACTTGGATTTTTTGTGGGTTTCTGCTTACCTGTGCTCAACTCCCACATGCGTATGGCTGTGTCGCGCCCTTCCTTGTCATACGACATCAGCACCTTGCCCAACGGATCCAACTTCAAGAAGGTGACTGGTGCATTGTGGCCAATGAGTGTGCATTTGCAATTGCCGGTGACTAGATCCCATATCATAATCTTGGCATCCTCCAGACCGGCAATGACGCACGCATTCAATTGGGATATGGCCAGGGCAACCGTGTTGCAGGTGGGCTTCCATTTCTTGAAGAGAGTGCCGCTCTGCAGATCGTAGACAACAATGAAATTTGGCGTACTCGGCTCGTTCAGCTCCTTGGCCACCACGCACACGTAGGAGCCCTCGTGTGTGATCGCCGATAGCGATGTGACGAAATCATGATGCGGAATTCGCAGATCGTAGAGCAGCTTCCGTTGCGATAAATGCCAGACGAGCAACGGGAACGGCTTCTGTGTCTCATCGCCGCAAACGAGAATGCTGCAAAATTGATGACCAATAATTAGAAATAAGAAATCGATCTTCTTCACAGATGGCTCAAATCTAAACAGCCAAATAGACGCAGGCGTTTTCTCTGAGCAATTAAATATATACAGATATATTTTAGTCTTCCGAAGCAATGACGTATATATCAATCGGAAGTGATATTAAGCTATTATTTCTGATTGAAATCGAGGGATTGACTTGCCTAAAGAGCTCCAAATTCAACGATGCCGTGCAATGTCAATATATGTATATAAATAGCCAAGCTGCTACCAAATCGATTAGCGATTAGATATCAAATCTCTAAACGAGTTGACAAAGCAGCTTTTAATTAACCTGATGTGGGTGCCTTATCAGCTGCAGGATATAGACTACTCTACCCCTCCTCCCAGATAAGGTAGGTCTATGTATACGCCTGGCTACCTGTAATCTACTTATAAAGAGCAGCAAATTTAACGCCAAACCTGTCCCAAGATAAATACGAAACATAGTAGAAGAGAGAACTGTGTAATCTCTGTTGCACAAAGGGAAATCTCCTGAACACTTCTTGTGCTCCTCTCCGGCACTTGCCAGGCAGAGATTAAGCAACGTTTCTAACCAATCTACATATATTCTATCTATATATATATATATATATTTATTCTGATCAATCTAGCGCAGTTAGCAGAATTATCGTTTTTGTTTCAGTCTGTCAATCGTCAACAAAACTAACCTAGGGAAACCCCTAAGATATATGCTACTTTAATCTGTAATACTCTAATGTAAACCTAAATAAATTCAGTATACTCACCGTCCATCGCCCGAGACGAGCAGCGAGTTGAGGAAACGATCCTCGCCCGCCTTGAAGGTGGTCACACAATCGCCCGACTCCAGATTCATGAGATTGACATACATGCGATTGCGCGACAGACAAACCAAGTGATTCTGATCGTGCAGACCAAAGTAGGGCATCTTCTGGTTCATTACGCCCTTCAGTGTGACCTGTGCCATAAATCGATAGGTAATATTGATATGTCCTTTAGTAGTCTAGTTGAGAGCCTCACCTTGAACTTGCCCTCGTCCAGATTAATGACACGTATTTCGCGACGACAGAGCACAGCTGCCTCATAGTTACCCACTGGACACATGGCCGTCGGCTGCTGTATGCCCTGGAGTTCACGGATGCGACAACAGTTCTTCACATCCCAGATGCAAATCTCCGCACGTTCCGTGCACAATGATGCCACATAGCAGCCCGGCTGCGGCAGATTCATCAGCACATCATAGCCTCGGACCAATGGTTTGCCATTGTCATCAGTAGCATTAGTAGCAGTGTCAGTGTCGGTGGCATCCAGATCGGCGTTGAGTATCTCGAGGAAGGCGAATTCCAGTTCATTGGTGTGCTCCCACCACGATCGTATCTTCTCATCATCCTTGAGCGTTGAAGCGTCCTTGAAGCGCGACTTCAGATAGTACTTCATAAGCGTATAGAATTGCTGGCCATCGTAGCTCAGCTCGTGCAGATAACGCACAAGGAAGTGCTTTAGAAAATTGATATGCACATAGCCATTGGATCCATTGAGGCCCGCCAACCATTCGGCATGGAGGATGTCGTGCATTAGATGCTCCGGTCCCGTTGCATGCACCTTGTTCGCTATCCACTGCAGATCCGTAAAATAGAAGCAATTGAAGAGTATGTCGATTTTGTGCGGCGCCGGCTTATCCTCGATAACAGCACAGAAATGATGATAAGGCAGTTTTAAGTACTTCTGGTAGTTGTAGCTAAAAAAATAGAGGCAAGGATTAGGATGGAAGCTGGAATGATGGGCTTGGACTTACGTTTTGGCCGTCGCGCTACCCTTGAACTCGCTGTCCTGCCGGTCGAAGTAGTCGCGCAGCGCTTCATGTACCAGCCACTGCTTCTGCGCATACCTCGCCAGGACGGCGCGTCCGAAGCTTCTGTCCGCTATCCTAATATTCTTAAGACCTAAAAGCATTGGTCCCATCAGCCAGCAGAACTTGGACCAGATCTTGAAGACGACCTGCGCCTCCAGTTGTGTGATCTTTTGAAATACGCCCAGGCAATCGCTCTCACGGATGCCCCACGGCGACAACCGCACGATGAGTAGCAACAGTTCCACTTGATCCGCCGCAAATTTACTCTCCAGCACCTGCAGTATCTTGCTGGAGATGTCACCAATCTCGCTTATCGGCTGTGCCACATGCCCCAACCAGGCCAGCCACCACAGCGACTTGGCATGATAGGGTGTCTTGCCATGCAGCGATTTCCAATCGTCGGGCAGCTTGAGGGCACCATTGGCCGCATAGAAATCACCGCCACCGGAGCTGAGTATATCGTGCCACTGGCGTTCGGTGAATTGGCGCAGCCGCAGGAAGCAGCGTGGTGGAATGCCCAGCTGCGCCAGCGCGGCTAGCATATCAAAGGATTCGTCACCGTCAGCGCCGGCGTTGGCGGCATCCTCATCCTCCATCTCGCTGACTGTCAAAATCAGCTTGCCGCAGCTGCCCAGCTGCAGTGGCAGCCAATCCAGTGCCGCATCCCGCTGCAGCTCATCCAATCCGTCAATGATCAGCACAAAGAAGCGCTGCTGCCTGCCCAAGATCTCCCGTATGACGCCAGCATAAGCTTCCAGTGTCTATACGAGATTTAAGTTAGACTTGTAGTACATCAATCCATATAATCAGGCTACTTACGTGGAGCACATGGCACTGTTGGCCTGTTTCCAGCACCGACATCTGATTGGCAATGGAACCCAGCAGCGATGTCAAGTCCGAGGAGCGTGCGCTCAAATTGGCATATCTATACAAATAAAAACGAAAAATTTCATTTAGGAATTATCATTTTAGAACTTATTTTTACTATTAATTTTCTATTTATATTTTAGCAGTACTTTAAACTGGTTAACTTTCTCTCTAATCAAATAAATTGGATTAAAATGTTCTGTTCTTGAATTTTTCTTAAAGGATTACTTCAAAGAAGTTTACATCTCTTCTGTTATGGATTAGTACTTATCCTTTTCATTACGATATAATTATATTTAATTGGAAGTTTCTTTCAAAATTAGAAATTTCTAATTTCACAAAGTTAGCAAAACTATATTTTACTCTTTACAAATTTCTTAGACTATATATTTAAGCATTACGAGTAAGACTTCATTTATTTGACCAAAACAATTTTTATAACAATAGATATGGCATATCCAAAGGATACAATTTAAATAGAAGTATAGAATATTAAAAAATTAAATAAACTAAAAATAATTGGTTTACAATTAAAATCAACAATTAATCTTTAAAATGTAAAAACTAATATGACATGTAAAATATAAATAATAAAAAAATGGAGTTATTAATATGTAAACTGATCCCAACACATAAAAATCCCACTCAGGACCTAGAAAATATTTAAGTTTAACAATTCCAAATATTTAATTAAAGTCCCACAGCTCAAAATATTAATTATTATTAATACCTTTAAAATATTTAAATATTTCTACTATTATATTTAAATTAAAATAATTACATAATATTTAAATATATTCTAGTGAAATTAATGGAAATGATGATGATTATTGATAATGATGATAATTATAATGAAAATTTCGAATTTCTGATTTCCTTTCTTATATTTAAATTAAAATAATAATTTTATGATATTTAAATATATTTCATTGGACTTATTGGAAATAATGATAATGATAATGGAAATGTTGAATTGACGATTTCGTTTCTGCTCTAAAAGTCTGAGTAATCGCTACTCACCTGAGTACCAGTTGAGCCTCTGGCTTCCATCGATGCACGTTCTCCATGATCTTGGAGACGAGCACACTCTTGCCACACCCCCTTGCACCAGAGACAATCAGTGGCTGAGTGGTGGCATCTCGAATATAGCGCTTCACATCGTTCATGATGTCGAAATTGGCCGAGTTTTGGGCGAGCAGCTTGGAATAGTGTCCAATCAGTTGGAGCTCCTCGAGCAGCACACGATCCACGCCCAGCGTGTTGTTGGGTATGCTCTTCTGCTGATGCTCCTCAAAGATGCCCGCCAGCGATTTGTCCAGCAGACTCTCAATCACCGCGGACAGTTCATCGTCCAGGATGTTCATGGTGGGCAACATGCGAATCAGATTCTTCTCGCACAGCTGACTCTTGAGCTCGGCATAGATGCGTGTGATGCGACGCAACACCTCCAGCTCCAGCTGGGTGGCATTGTCCGGTGCCCGGGAGTAATGCGCACCGGTCTGTATCCAAATGCAACGTTTGGCCAGCTCCTGACTCATGAGGACCGTATTGTTAATCTCCTGCTCGACAACAGTGGTCAGATACGAGTCCTTGACATCATCCGAGAATAAACGCAACAGCACGGCAAGCAGTTCATTTAACTCCCCATTGACCTGGGTGGAATACGGATCGATCTGCTGGGTGTAGAGACGATGGCACATCGGCTGATACGAATTATCGATGGTATACCATTTCTCCAGCAACAGTTTCTCGGCATCACTGGCCGCACTCAGCACCGAGGTAAAGTCCTGACTCTCGATCGTCAGCGGCAACATGGGTGTGCCCAGTGTGGAGCCAAGGAAGAGCACCGGTATGATATAGGCGGAGGCAACGTGGCGCGTTATCTCGCACAGACAATTGGCTGCCTCCTCGTGGCCACCCTGTGCCTCGAGCGGTGTTTGCGTCCAGCGCTTAACCTCCTGCAGCCGAGAGAAATCCTTCTTGGCATTGCCATTCGTTTGCTCCAGCAACGCCGATGCCGCTGATGTTGCATCCTTTGCCAACGTATCGCTGTCATGCACATCAGCAATGATGAAATCGAATCCCTTGCTTTGGCACTTGCTCTTGAAATGTTTGTACAGACTGTAGATGACACGCTTGTGCTTCTTGTACTCGGTGCTGTTGTCCGCCAGTATATAGATGACAATCTTCTTGTCCCGTTCAATCTTACGGCCGGGCGGCGGTTTGCCCTGCAGCATGCACAGATTACCCAGTGCCGGACTAGAAGTTGACACATCGCTAGGCGCCTGCGCCCCCTGCGGTGTGGTGCTGTTGGAGTCTGCAATATGGTTACGGAATATGGATTAATCTCAGTTCAAGAACTCTCGCTCTCTTTAAATGCTCACCCTTCTCCAGTGCATTGGACTTGGACTGTGTTGTCTGATTTAGTTGTGACTGCTGCTGCTGCTGCTGCTGTTGCTGCTGTTGGCCATTTGTGTCACTCAGCTGGGTTGTGTCCGGCAGCGCCTCCACATCGGCCAGCGGTGCTCGCTTCTCATTGATGTCATTAGCCTTGGTGCTGCTGGGAAGCAGTGTGTCCTTCTTATCGCCACTGGCCTCCTCATAAGGTGGGGAACTATGCATTGAGTTTTAAATATAGTTTTTTTGTTTTTATGCGATTTTTGAGGGGTTTTTCGACTTACTCATCTGATTTCTCGGAACCGCTGTCCTTGTCCTTTTTCTTCTTTTGCCCGGAGCTGCACACGTTGCCCATTTTTAATTTTATTTTTCTTTTTTAATTAAAGTTTAGTGGTTTTGGTTCAAGTTTTGTTAACTTCAAATTGACGTCTAGTGTCCTGAAATGAAGAAAATTAATAAACTGAATAAGTTTTGTGCATGAATTATAAAAATGTCCGTTTTAGTTAATGTTTTTAGTTTATTTTCATTGATTTTTACTTTTAGTACTTTTGATATTAGCTAACATTAAATAAATAATTAAAAGTCCTTAGAGTTATTAAGAATGTTTTTTCCCTGTAGACCAATGCTGATTTTATCTAACATTTTCCAGTTTACACAATTAAAAGCTGATGGGAACTAGAAAATTATAGATAAAATCGCAATATAAGCAAATAAAATACTAACTTGCAAATTGTTTAGACAATAAGAGAGGTTTTTTGTATAGTTAAAGAAGCAACAAAGTTGTAATTGCATTTGAAATTCTTATTTTCTTAAAGGCAAACATTTATCAGTTAGGCACGTCGGCTCGACTAGTAGATACCCTGCACACAGCTGTAAAATACACATTAGACTTGTTCATAGTAGTTTCTTCAATATGAAAATAAGTTTATGTTAACAAAATCTGCGTTTCTTAAGCGACTTTTAGTGAAATATTCACATTTGAGCGAAGTTTGTATATATTATTATTATATATAATATTGGTAGTATATTTCTGATAAATTAGAATGCTATATACATTAGAATGATGCATTTATCGTTAAAATTAAATAAACTGGAGTATCGCATGATACATGAGTACTTCCATACCAATCTGTAAGACTCTGGCTTTTATAGTCTCAGAGATCGACTTGATCTTGGATTTGGATTCCTTATCTCTTACCGCTGCCTGTTACATACTGTTTTACCCAAATATATTTTAGCCAGGCAGATGAGATGCTTAAGAGATTTTACCAAGTAGTTGGAGAGAAAACAGCAACGTCGAGTGGCACTTTAAGTGAATGCTAAGCTTGCCGAGGCAAGCAACCAAAAAGTCTGCCGCAGTAGATGATGTTCAAGGAAATGCCAAATGTAGGCTGTGCTGTGGAATAACCTTGGTGTTAAGCGTCTGCTTCATATGCAGAGTGTATCTCTCTTGTATATTATGTTTGCTTGGGGCACTTGGAGTGCCCCCATATCGATTAACTGCTGGCTGTGCACGGAAATTGCCTAGGCTTGAATTTTACGCCAGGTACACATAAAAACACACACAGACAGACACACACACACACACACTCGAAAGTGGAGGTGGCTCTCAATTCCAGTAGTTAATTCGTTAATATTAAGAACAACAACAACAACAAAAAACACTTACAAATTTGACAAGCAGAAACAAGTCTATTTAAATATTAAACATGTACTTGGAATATTTGTGTCACATTTGCTTCGGAATACATTTGAATCCACAACAGGTCAATGACAAAAACAAAATGAGAAAATGCTCGTCCTGTTTGAAAAGTGAGGGAGGGAGAGGGAGAGCGTCAGAGAGAGAGATAGAGTGCAGAGAGAGAGAGAGAGAGCGAGTAAAAGCTCGCTGAACGCATGCTCTCTGGTGAACTTTTATAGAGATTTTCCTGCGTTTGAATTGGCATTGGCGTTAATCAAGTGGCCGCCTCGGTGGGTGGTTGGTTTGTTGGTCTGTTCTGGTCTTGGCTTTCTGGATTTTTGTGTACACGCTTGAAAATTGTTGACGCGCAAACGGCTGCTGTCCCCCACCTCCCCTCCAATCTCCTCACCCTTTCTCTATACACCCCAGTCGAATGCAAAGGTCTCAAACATCTTATTCCATTTCGTTATTTTTTTTTATTTTTTGTTAAATATTTATTGGATATCAAAATATTTTCAATCGCGCTACGCTTTTTTTTTGGTTTTGGTTCTGTTGTTGCTTTTTTCGTTTTGCTCTATAAATAAACTCAATTATACATACATATGTATCTACATCATGTACATACATACATACATACAGCTGCATATATAATATATGTATGTATTTTGAATTTATTTATTTCTTTTTTTTTTGATTTCATTTGGTTCGACATATTGTCGCGCATTTGTCGCACATTTTTTCGCTGCTTTCGAAATTTCTCAATAGCAATTAATGTGTCAAAGCATTCCTTTAATAATAATGTTTCTATTTTTTTTCTTCTTTTTTTTTTGCGCATATGCCACTTACACTGCTCGCATTTATGTGTGTGTGTGTGCTCGATTATGTGTGTGTGTGGGGGGGGGGGGGGGGTGTACTTGTGTGTGTGTGTATGCATCGCTTAGTTGGTTATTTGATTTATTTTAATACACAAATTCTGACACTTACTTTTCTTTACGCGCTTTTCGCACGCGTGCCCCGCACACACCCCTTGCACCGTTCGCTGCCCGCTGCCCGCTAACCGCTAACCGCTGCCACCCGAACCGAACCCAAAGCGACGAACGAATTTAAAACATTTCCACCCACTGCACTTGCACTTGCCGTTATTTGTTGTTGTTTTGTCTTTTCTTTTCTTTTCTTGGCTTTTTTTTTATGCACAGCCAACAGCAGCAGCCGCAACACACTCAATTAATTGCTTAATCAAAACGTTTTACTTTAACACATTTGCACCAAGACATTTTCGTCTACAATAAAAAACAAAAAAATATTGTGTACGTTATTTTTTTATTTTTTGCTGCCTTTTTTTTGTGTGTGTGTCTGTCTATTTTTTTCTTTTCGTTTTGGCTTGTGCGCGTTTTTCGGATAGTTTTTCCCGTATTGTGCGTTGGGCTCCGTGCCGTGCGTCGTTCTGCCTGCGAGAGTTGGAAAATTTCACGACAACAACGCAGCGTTTGGCGAAAGCTTCAAGCGAAAGCTTTCATGCTCTCCCAAGTTCTTGGCGAGGGCTGCACGCCGCTGAGGAAAACTGTAGTAGAAAGTAAAAGAAAAAACCAACAACACTTTCGAATGCGACCGTTAAAAATGGCAGAAAATTACCATTTTATTTGTTATTAAGGAACTGCCAGAACACATAGAAAACTTACTTAGCCAAATAAAATCAATTAAAATTGTTGCTATATTTTTGCATTCCCTTAAAAAAAACCTTTTGGGATATTTGTACGCATTTAGCGTGGACACAACCCCGCTGAGAAGCATCCAATCGCATCCTGTGCCTGTCAAAATGCGTGATGCTGAGCTCTCGTTCTCTCTCTCACTCTCTCTCTCTCTGTATCTCTGCAATGGTAACTGTCACAAGCAAGAGCAAGAGCAAGATGAGCAAAAGGACCAAAAATTCCAGCAGCTGGATTGCATTTCGTGTTGTTCCGCCAAAGCGTGCAGTTTGCAAATACCCAACTCCGTCTCAAAAAATTCGCAAAAGCAGAAGCAAAAAAATAAAAAATATATACAAAAAAGAATTAGTAAAAATACAAAATACAAAATGCTACAGATGTAAAGCTAATACAAATAATAAAGCAAACCCAACTGGACAAACAACAATTTTGAAATACACTGCACTCAAAATGAATCGACTGCTGCTGCAGTTTCTGGTGACGACAATACTCGTCTACAAAGGTGATTGAGTGCAAGCAAAGCATTTTAATAATTGCATGCATAGTTGTTACTTAATTTTGTTTAAGTCAGTTGTGGCTAAAAAAAATCAAACAATGAAAATCTTGTTTGCAAAACTGAAAAATGTATATATGCTGGCTGGTGTTATATAAGCAACTGATCAACTGCGCAGGCTCCAAATGCTGCATGGACAGCAAACGACCAACTGACTGACTGACTAACTGACTGACTCTGAGTGGATTGGCTGGCTGGCTGGCTGGCTGGCATGTGGAGCAGACGTCAACACAAATGGGTCAATGTTTTTGTGTGTGAGTCGAGCAGCCCCCATCCAACCCCCCACCCCACCAACAACTGTTTGAGTGTGCGAAGCGAGAATCAAAACAAATGTGCAAATAATGGCAAATGAAGTTGGGTGTGGGAGGAGGGACTCTGGCTGGCTTTGGGATGACAGCTGATTACACTTAGAAAAAAAATTCCTTTAGAATTTTGTAAAGAAAATAGCTTAGTTTAGTTATCAAGGACAGCTCAGCATCTTTTTCAGTTAATGCATTTCTAAAAAACATTTTTCTATTTCTCTATAAAATGGAAAATATTTAAGTCATTTCCGTGCCCACGGTCACCACCGTGTCCAGTGCGTCATCGAGCACCACAGAGATACCGCAACAGGATGATGATGATGATGATTGGGATGAGGGCGATGAATCATTAGAGTCCGATGATGATGGGCGTGTCTATAAGAATCCACGCAATTCACCCTCAACGGAGTGTCCACGGGATGAGGAGCAGGCCACGTTGCTGGGCCAGAAGTGTTTGCGCAAATGCTCCTCCGATGAGGATTGCAAGAGTAAGAAGAAGAAATGCCTATGCGATGGCGTCTGTGGCAATTCCTGCATCAAGCCGGGTAAGCATTCAACTAACCCCCATCCATTTAGCTATTTGAATTCTCAATTGTTCTCGGGCATAGATCGCGAATGCCCGGAACTTGCCCAGCCCAGTCTGGGTCAGGTGACTGTAGCCGGACGGCACTTTGGCGCTCGGGCTTCGTACGCCTGTCCGCACGGCTATCATGTGGTTGGACTCCAGAGTCGACTCTGCCAGGCTGATGGCAACTGGGCCGGCGCCGAGCCCGCCTGCAAGCAGAACAGTAAGTTTGCCTCTATCTCTGGCCAATATATATAGTTATCCGATGGATTTTGCTCCATTGCAGTCTACTGCCTGAAGCCGCCGCAGATTGAGCATGCCCGCAATTCGGCTTTGCCGGAACAGGAAACCTTCGATTTGGACTCCACGGTGCAGTATCATTGCCACACAGGTTATGTGACCAATGGGTTTCCGCGTGCCAAGTGCCTGGCCATCGATAACCAGGCCAGCTGGTACGGACCGGATATACAATGTGAACGTAAGTGTAATGGAAACCGTAATGGAAAGTCCACTCACGATCACTGTTAGCCCCGGAAATTTATCCAAAAATTAATAAAAATGTTTTGAACTTGTTTATTTTTTAATTTCAATTCCATAAGCATAAATATAATTATTAATTAATTTAAATGATTTAAAATTGTTTTTTAAATGTGCATTGCATAAATACTCGATTTTATTTTGATTTTTTCCCCATTTAAATTCAAAAGACATCAGTATTAAATTAAGTTTAATGTAATTTATTTTTATTTTAAGTATTTGTAGCAGACGACAATAAATAAAGACCTAAATATCGAAGCTTTCTATTTATTATTTAATTTGTTTTTGCCATGCTTTTAATTATAATTCATATCAATTATAAATATGATTTTTAATTAAATAACTGCCAAGTAATTATTTAATTAATTTTATTAAAAACAAAATGTTGCTAACATTTTATATCAATTGCTTAAAGAATGCTCTCAAAATGAGTTACATTTATATTGACTAAAATATAAAATATTAATATTAAGTATATTATTTAGAAATATTGATCATAGATTATATATAGTGCAGATGATAGAAGTCTAATGAAGATTACATATTTGCTATGTAATCTTGACTAAAAACAGAGCACAAATTTAAGAAAAATATAAATTAAAACAACAAATTTAATTAAAATTAAAATTGCAAACTAAACGGTAGAAAATTGAAAATAAAAAATAAGAGCACTCGAATTTGATTTATTTAATATTATTTAATTAATTTATATCAACGTTTTGAAATACAAACATCAAATGACAATTAAGAGAATGATTAATTTATTGATTGATTTCCTCTTTTTATAATTAAATTCGTATCTTTTATATCATTTATATTGACTCAAGCATTGACAATAAATTCTTGCTTTAAGAACACTGCATTAAATAGTTAACATATGTTTTTAAAACATACTTTGATTATTAAAAGAGATTATCAAACATTAAATTATTTATTTATTTATTCACTTAAAAGGTTAGTTGCAAGTGAGTTAAATAAAATTAAGATGCAAATAGAAGTGAAAGCATAAATATTATTTTAAAAAAATGTTATTATTTTTGCTTAAACATAATAAATGCAAAACTTAAAATTCTCAATATTATGTAGTTAGTTTAATATACATTTTGTGAACTTAGTTTTTAAATAAATATTTATAGCCAAACTTTTGTAAACTTTTCTCAGCTCGCTCCTGCGGTCAGCCTCCCGATCCGGCATATGGCTGGCATGCCGGAGAATGCTACACCTATGGTTGCAAGATCACCTACAATTGTGGCACTGGTTACGAGCTGGTTGGCAAACATGAGCGCTACTGTCAATCGGATGGCTCCTGGACGCCCAAGGAGCTGCCCACTTGTGTTTGTGAGTATAATTGCAATCGATTGTAGAGCTTAGTATTTATGTGCTTATTATGTGTCTTTATAATTTATCCAATCCCAAAGCGGATAGCGCAAATGTAACTACCACCCAAGCATCGTTGTCTTAAAGCGAGCCAAATTTTGAATTTCCGTTGCAACAAAAACCAAACCAAACCAAACTAAACTAAACTAAACTAACCGTTCCGAGCTCAAGTTTGCTCAATGATCCTAACTCCACAATTGTTAATATTGTTCTGCATTCCAAAACAAAATAAAACCAATTGTTCAAATTTTATGCAAAAGTTGTTGTTGGCCATATTACCACTAAATGTTTATTGAATAAATAAAAGTTACCACAAATCTTAAGAAAAAAATAAAACAAAAACAAAAACCAAAACTAAAAGTTGTTTTATTTGTTTGGCGGTGCTCCTCCTGAATGAAAGTCGTTTTCTTAAAGATTTGTGGTAGCTTTCCAACTACCCCCCAAACCACCCCTAATCACCTCACCTCCCCTTAACGTATCTCTTCTTTAGTGGTCACCTCCGTCGTGTGTCCCACACCCGAGAATCCCAAGAATGGCAAAGCCACCTACACCACTCTGGCCTACAACTCGGTGGTCAGCTACGAGTGTCGCTACGGCTACACCCTGGTCGGCGAGAGCTCCAGCCGCTGTGGTGCGAGCGCCAAGTGGAGCGGCACTGTGCCCAGCTGCAAGGGTAAGTCATAAATATGTGCTAGCATTTAGAAAATTGCCAGCAGCAGGTGATTCACTAAAAAATAATTGAAGGAGACGTCTCCAACCCCAATTAAAAAATATATATGTATATATATTCCCGATCAGCATCACCAGCCGAGTCGGTATAGCTTTGTCCGACTTTCTGTCAGTTTCAATGCGAATTAGTGACTCAGTTTTAAGCTACTTTGATAACAGTTTACTTATTGTTCTGCTGCAGGTTGTTCAGATGTCGAACTCTGCCAGATTGGATGATTAAAGCATATAGATACCATAGGAACGATTGGTCGAGGAAGAGTTATTGTGTGAATAACTTTTTTTGGAGCGATATACGACTTATAATTGCGTATTATAATGTTGCTCACATTTTTATTAAATCATTTAATCAGTAAAATCAGTCTAATATATCATATAGCTGTCATAGGAACAATCGAGCGAAAGATGACTAAAATTTGCATTTATTAAACAAAACTATGAAATCGCATCACTATATCAAATAACTATAATTTGTAGAAGGATAAGAGTACTATATCATATAGACTACTATATCAATCGTTCAATTTATGTTGAAAGTTAGATGACGCCACTTTAATTTCAGTCTGTAAAATGCTAGCTATTCTTTCTTGATATTTTATATACTTTAACAATTACCAGTTCGACTTTTAACATAATTAGAGTTTCAAAAACCATTTTGGAAATTAAATTGATTATTTGCCTAGTTTGAAAACGTTTGGAAAGAGGTTTTCCAAATGCAATCAACTACAATTTGTGGCAACTTGAAATATTTTACGAAAATTGTAGAAAATCGTTATTAAAAAATTATTTACTAGAACCAACGATTATTATGTTTACTTTATAAAACAGCAGTTAAATTTGTTTTATAATAAGAAATTAAATTATTATTGGTTAGTTCAGACAGGTTTGTAAACAGATTCTGAAAATCGTGTTGGAAATCAGGCTACTTTGTACTTTGTAATATTTTAAGCAATACTGGGAATTGACATAAGATTTAATTTGCAGAAATCAACTGTGGACATCCCGGAGTGCTTTATAATGGCTGGATTGAGAATATCGAGGCGGGCACAGGCCTGGGTGCCAGCATCATCTTCCGCTGTCAGCCGGAAATGTTGATCAACGGGCTGGGCTCGAGTGTCTGCCAGATCGATGGCAGGTGGCGCAATGCGCTGCCGGAGTGTTTAGCACCATGTGTGGTGCCCACCATATCGCAGGGCTTTGTCATACCCATTGAGATTAGTGTCGATGAGAATGGCACCACAATTGTCACGGCGACAAGCACAACCACTACGCAATCGCCCACCCAAATCGTGGGCGGAGTGGAGAAGGTTAAGCACGGCACAGCGCTGGAGGTGAAGTGCGATGAGAACTATGAGTTCCCAGTGTCCCTACTGAGTCCGCCGACCTGTAATAATGGCACCTGGAGCATCATACCCCGTTGTGTGCCCGCCCGTTGCAAGAGTATGCCGCGGCCACCGAAGCATGGCATGGTGATGGCACCGAAGACCGAGCACGGCATGAAGGCGAGATTCAAGTGCAAGGATGGCTTCAAGCTGGTCAGTCCCGAGGGCAAGGATGTCACAGATCCACATGATTATGTGCTCACCTGCTCGTTTGGCAATTGGACGGGTGAAACACCCAAATGTGATGAGGTCTTCTGCTCCTTCCCCGGCTACATACCCAACGGGAAGGTACTCCTCGTGGGCAACATGGGACTCTACGACTACAGGCCGTATGTGAAGAAGATTGTCAACAACAAGCAGATCATGTACGACTGCGACAAGGGCTACGTCCTGGAGGTAATCAACTCATTCAACTCTTTCTCTCTCACTCAAATTATCAAGAATTATTTTATTTTTCAGAAAGTATTTATGAAAACCAATTTTTTTCCTTTTCTAAATTTCAATGAACATTTTTTTTAAATTTAAGATTTTCTAAAATATTCGGTGTGTTTTTTTTCATAAGTTTTACATAAGTAACTTTAACATTGGCTTCTTTGTTACTTATATTATTATTATTATAAGCATTGGTTCTTTAATACTTCATAAAAACATTTGAGATTTTATTTGAAAAAACTTACTTAAAGTGTAATATAAAAACAGAGAAAGTAAATTTCATTACTGGTTTCTGAATTTTATAAAGTTTTTTTTTATGTCTTTTAAGATTTATGATTTGCATTTTTAAATATTTATATAAAAATGCCTTTATAATCATTAGAAGTTTGTTTGCTTTTATTTAAAATTTATTATCATAAAGAAGGAAAACTTTCCAGTTTTTTAGGATAATTTTTAAAAGTTCAGTTCGATTTTTTTTCCGAGTGTGGTTATCAGTTTTGGTTGCTTTGTAGGTGGGTCCGCCAGGCGCCACCTGTGTGGGTGGCAAGTGGCGTCCATTGGATCTGCCACAATGTCTCCTCGGTCAACATCCTCGTCTGCGCTGGAATCGTCGCCGACGTCGCTCCTTGCAACTGCGGCAACTGCGCTCCATTTATCTGCTGCGACGTCAACGGGAACTTCAACGACAGTTGTCGGAGCACAAGGAATTCGCACAAGCGGGTGAGTTGCCAGCGAAAGTACAGTCTTGGTTGCCTATGTGAAACATCCTGTAATTTCTAAGTCTGCAGAGTAAAATTGTATTAAATGCAATTCTTTATTTATAACTCAAATTCCATTTTGGCATAGCTGGAAACAGACTTAAATTTAAACATTTAAAGATCTATAAAAATTGACAAAATTTGTACTTGACTTAAGAAAAGAATTCTTTATATTTTTATGCTGAGCTTGTATTTTTTTAACAGCTGGGAAATTGGATCACGAGCGTGTCAAGCGCAGCGCCAATCTCAACCTGAGTCCGTCCGATCTGGACTTGGCCTACTCGAAGTACTATCAGAATATCAAGGAGCGCTATCAGCGCTATGTGCGCAAGATGCTGGGTCAAAAGCGACGCTACAAGCAGATCAATGTGTCGGAAGGACGCAGGTACATTCAGCCCAACAACCCGGAGCCGATAAGACGGCACTTAGCTGACTTGGATGATGAGCAACGTGGTAATGCCTTGGTCCTGCCCCATCTGAAGCAGAAGTCACATGCGCATAGTCGTGGCCAGTTGGAGCAGAGATTCGGTGGGTCAGCAGCGTCACGTGATCTCATCGAGCAGCTGCAATCGCAGATTATGCGACGTCGTCGCAAACGCAGCTCCAGCATCGTTTCCGGCGGAGATGCGGACGTGGACAGCAGCGATGGCGGCGATGCTGGCAAGGCGGCAGCGGGTAACGGCAAACGATTGCGCGGACCCTGTGAAGATCTCGACTGGGATTCGTTTGCCAACATAACTACAATACGGCCGGGCAAGGCGCCGGGCCGCAACTCTGTGGGCATTATGCTCCAACTGGAATGCAATGCGGGCTTCAAGCTCAACATCAAGGGCGAGAATGCGACGGCACGTTGCATCCGTGGCATCTGGAAGCCGGATGTACCCAAGTGTATGTCGGCACCGTGTCTGGTGCCAGCCGTCGAGCACGGCCAGTATTACAAGGTGGAGCCGCATACCAAGCAGCTGAGCGACAAACCCTCCTTGACGCCACTCTCCACCTACGAGGAGGTCCAATCCAATGAGTTTATCACACTGGAATGCGAGGATGGCTTCAACGCCCAGGTGAGTTTGCTGAGTTGGCTCTAAACTGCTGCCCCTAATCTGTCATCCTGTTTACCATCATCCAATCCAGGGATCTGCTCAGTTGCGTTGCGCACATGGCTCCTGGTCGGTTAACGCCTTCTCGGAATGCACCTCGGTACCATGCACCCTGCCAAACATTCCGGGCATCATCTACGATGTAAGTCGGCCTTTCACAGTCATCGCTCGATAATGATTTCAATTTCCTTTAATATTTATTTATAGTAGTTATTTTCAGGTTCTATTTTGATGAAACTTACACAATTAAAAGTTTTTATACATTAAATACGAGATATTATAATAATTTACCTAGTTATCTCTCGAAGGATTCTTTATTAAATCAAATACAATTTTTCAGATATATTTTTCTGTAAGGCTAAAATCCTTGAGGCAATGATTATTTCTTTAGGGAAAATATGTAATACGTATATCAAACTTAGGAATGATTTTATTTCAAAAATTATGCATAACACATTCATCCTTTTGAAAAATGTATTGTGGAAGAATATTTTTCCAAATATTTTAAATATTTGCGATTATATTCCCCTTTGGGAATCAGACTTTTCCATTTTTGGAAGTTTATTTATGTATATAATTTGTAAAAGGTTTTCTTAAAGTCCGAATATGATTTCTAGCTATTGTAATACTTAATCTAATCTAATTCCAATACTTCTCGAACAGCTTAGAGAATCAGAGATTTTCAATTTGTTGACCGCTAAATTGTACACTTTGAATCACTCCATTCGCAGGGCGGTTATCGAGCTGGTCTGACCATTGGACATGGAAGCACGGTGAACGTGCGCTGTGAGCTCTCCACGAATGCGAATCCCATTGAGATGTCCTGCCACAAAGGCAACCTGACGCCACCCAGCATACCCTGCGAGTCGGGTTTGCGCAAGTCGCGCCAGGAGCTGGAGCATGCCACGCCCACACCCACGCCCACAACCAGCGTACGGAGCAGGCTCGAACACAATGAGCTGGACGAGCATCATCAGCATCATGACAACGGCACCGATGAGCATGGCGACGATCTGAAGATGTGCGGTCATCCCAGCCTGACAGACGGTGCCTTGGTTTACAAGTGAGTGTCTCATCTGAGAGATTAGCAAGTCATCTTTTAAGCGGAACGTTACTCTCCAGGAATCCCGATCATGCGGAAATTGATGGCGCCTACGACAGCGGCACAGAGATCTTCTTCAATTGCATTCCCAATGCGGCCGGCGATCGCCAAACCTGGCGCATCATCTGCGACAATGGACAGTGGATTGGACGCTCCTACAATTGCGGTAGGATTGGATTATCCAATATAATACTAGATATCAGACCTTGATCAAAAATTGAACTGATTTTAGTGAAAAATTTAATTTAATTGGAATTCTATTATTATTTACCAAAAGTCGCCTAAAAAAATAACCATTATTTTAAAAAATATGGAAAATATTTGCAAAAACTATTCTATGAAATCATTTTGTTTTTTAAAGCGTGATATTTTTCTTCGATTGGCTTAATCAATTAGTGAAACAAGACGCTTCTAGAATCGCGGTTGAATGGGTTTATCTATATTATTATTATTATAATTTATAAAACTTAACCGATATCAGTTATATTTCGGAGAATTACACACAAAACTAGGGAAAATATTTGGAAAACTTAATCCCTAAGTTGCACTTTAGATTTTTGTCCAATTGAGTTTCAAGTATCAAGTAATTAATCAGTGAAATGAGAGACAGTGCTTATCCAGTATATTAATATAGATCAGATAATTATCATGATTTTAGCAGTGATTTTTTTAATCGAAACTAATCTATTTAGGTGGATTTTTTATTTTTCCAAGTTAGATTTTATTTGGTTTGGTTTCAAATAACTTTCTCATATTTCACCTAGATTATATCAAACCTAAGCTGTAAATCAGAGAAGCAAAAAGCAAACAAAAGAGAAACTATTACCCGAGCATAGCCGTTTAATATTTATTAGTCCCATATAAGTCTTGTTAAAATTAATATTCTAAAATATTTCATAGAAAATGGCACCTGTTTATTCAAGAACAACGAACCGAATGTGGTCAGCTTTTACAATGATCTGGAAATACGAGAGGATATTGTGGAATTTCCGCCCGGCGCAACAATCATATCCAGGTGAATGAGAATCTTATATATGGGCGTTCTCTCCAATCCCCCACAAAACCCTAAACTCTTCCAGATGCGTCGACATTGGCAAGTTCTCGATGACTGGCAGTCATGATCGGACCTGCATCCACTCGGAGTGGACGAACACGAAGCCCGTGTGCTCGGGACTCAATCAGGAGAATGACTATGCGAGTAGGTACAATGTGATGTACCCGTTCCAATCCTAATGTCTTTCCTCTAACTTCATCCAACCCATCATCGCAGTGGAGAAGGCGCCCACAATTCTGTTTCGACACCAGAACGGACCTATTGCCCAGAGCAATAATGGCAAACTGATTGTCTATCCGGGCACCACGGTGCACATGGAATGCCTGTGGATGCGACGCTTCGGCAATCCCAAGTGGAATGTTAGCCATTCCTACAAGTGGGTAACACCAATACAAACACAGTCCCAATTTGCTATAGTAAACAACGGGATTACACACAGAAAAAAACTCAATCTGAATTTTAGCATTTGGCCAAGTGTTAATCACCTTTCGATTCAGAAAGTAAATTATGGCTAAAAAACACGGTTTGCATTTCTTAATTACAGTGATGAAAATATATCCAATTTCTAATGTGATTCTTTCTAAATAGATTTTTTACATTTTAAGTTTTCACATTTACAAATATTTTACACAATCTATAAATTCATATAAATATATTTTAGCTAAATTCTAATATAGCTGTTTCGACAGCAAATTTCATTATTATTTTCTGATTTTTTCGAAGAATCAGGGTTTGCAATTCTAATGTTTAGAAATGCATTTCCTAATAATAAAAAAGTTCTATGCGATTAGGGTTCGTCGATTTAGAGTAAACCTTATTTATTATAAGGAAAATATATTTTTTTTATTTAAAAACTATTTCAAACGATCAAAAAACCTTTCTAATATTCGGGGCGATTTTCTAAATTGAAGTTGGTTTTTTTTCCAAGTGCAGAAAGCCTTGTTTAAACGTAAATGTTCACTATAGCAAAGTACGACTATACCCAAAACTAATGCCAATTTCTAATACATATTTACATGAATCGTCAATGGAACGACAGAAACTATACGGAGGGCTGGGTAACCGAGGCGGATGAGGGACGCGATTCAACATTGGAATATCGCCTGAGTGTATTCGATGCTGTTGCCGAGGATTCCGGCTCGTATTCGTGCATGACACCGGCTCGGCATGAGCATGCCGTTGAAGTAGTGGTGAAGGCAATCAACTGTCCCGAAATACCGATAAGACGGGGCCTGATTGTCAACACCAACGATACGAAGCTGAGCACACGCGTGCTGTTGTCCTGTTCGAATGGCAACTCGTTGATTGGCGCATCGGAGCTGTTTTGCTTGCCCAGTGGCAATTGGAGCGCACTGTTGCCGGTTTGCGAGAGCGTGGAGTGCGGCGATATACCGCTGATGGCGAACAATGTGAGCTCGCCGCGCGTCTCGGTGCTGTCGCGTGAGGTGGGCGGACGAGCGGCATTCTCCTGCTCCACGGGTTACGGATTGCGCGGACCAACGGAGGCGATCTGTTTGCCTACGGGCGAATGGGCGACACCGTTTCCCACCTGTGTCGAAGTGCAATGCGATAATCCGGGCGCACCGCAAAACGGTTACGCCCAGGGCTCGGCACCGTATCGTGCCGGCGATGTGGTCCAATTCAATTGCAACCCGGAATACATGATGCAAGGTCAGCCAATAATTGCCTGTCAGGATAACGGACGCTGGTCGGGCGGTTTGCCCAAGTGTGTGCAGGCCTGCTCGTATCCCGGCACCGCCATCAGCGGTCGCATGTCCTCCGTTAAATTCTACTATGCCATCGGTGAAAGCATCACCTTCACCTGCGACGCCGGCCTAGATCTGCGCGGCTCCAAGGTCCTCAAGTGCATGAAGAACGGCAAATGGTCGAGTGCCATTCCAACTTGTGTCACTAATGATGCACCCGCCGGCGGCGTCAATACTAACAAACATCTGGGCACCATGGGTTGATTGCGTTGGCCCCACACATTTTTTTAAGTTTGAATTTAAAATCAAAGTGATACTAATACATATGTACTACGAACTAATGCACATTCAACAAACAGACAGACACACACGTATACTACTACTAATACTACTGACATTCTTGCGATTCAATAATAATTGTAATTGTCGTCATTTTACTATTAATAAATGTTCAATCAAATATTAAAAACAAACTGCAACATCATTTGGCGCCAAAAATAAGTCAGTTGCGCATCGATATATCGATTTTATTTGAATGCTTAACTTTAGCTGCTGAGCCATTTTGAGTATAACAGCAATTTAACATTTTTTCGGTTGAAGAACGTTTAACATGTTACTTACATTGAATTCTTACACTAAAATATGAACACAATTATAAAATAATTGACAATTTTATTTGCAAAATTTTATCATTTGAAATATATTTCGTATATTCAAAATGAATATTAAAATTTTGAATTTAAATATTTAAATTTTAAAAAAATATTAATACACATGAATATAAGCAATATCAACCAAATTGATGGTAAAATTCAAATATACCGCCCACTTTTTAAATAGGAAAACATTGCGTTTATTATTGATATTACATGTATGCGTACAATGACAAACCTGTTTTCGTCACACACACACACACACACACAAAATATTATTATTGTTTGTCGTTCGTTCAGCGCAACTAGTTCAGTTTGGAACGGAACCGCTCTCCGATTAAAGAGACGCGAGCGGACTTGCGTTCATTTGTTTTTCCACGTTCGAGAGTGTGGCACGTCGTGTGGGTGGTGTGCGCGTGAAAGACGACGACGACGGGAACCTTTCGTTTTTCGCGTTTTGTTTTTGTATATATATGTATATATATATTTCGTACAAAATACGTCTATAATTGTGTACATAGTGTTCTTAATTTACATTCATTAATTAATTTTTATAAATTGCAACAAAGCTGACCCAATGTCATGTAACAGCCAAAAACCAATAATAAAAACACAACAACAACAAAATCACTCATTATAAAACGTGCAAAAAACGTGCATCAGTGTGTGAGTGTGAGTGTCGTGTAAGTGTGTGTGAGTGTGTGAACGTGTGTATGTGTGTGTGTTTGTGTCCCGCCTGCTCTGGACGAATTTACATAGCTAAACAATTAAATTTAAGGTAAGTACTTAAAGAAGTAAATTAAAATTGCACAAAAAAAGAACAGCTGACGCATACCCAACTACAACGACAACAACAACAATAATAAACGACGACACAAGGCAAAGAGAAAAAAATAACATTACCTTGCCCAAGCCCCTTACACAGGCCCCGGCCCCTTTTGGCAGCAGCCAGCAAACGATTCAAGGGCGATGAACTACAACAACAACAAATAACAGCAGCAATATAACGACAAAGAGGAAGAACGAAATGAAAAGCTTTTGTGTTGTTTTGCACTGTTTTTCCTCTCCATATTGTTATTGTTAGTGCTGTTCAAGATTTTTAATTTGTGGGCGTCAATGACGATGTGATAACGATACCGATACCTTGCTCATGGTGTGAAAAGGAAATCAGTGATAGGCATGTTGTTCTCCTTGCTGCTGCTGATACTGTTGCTGTTCTGTTATTACTAGTCAATGCCAGTGTGTTGACTACCCCCCGCCTCCACGCACACGTAACAGTTTTTTCTGGCGCGCTGCTCTTACTCTGTTACTGCATATGTATGTCTGTGAAGCACGCAGGCCCCGACACGCGCGCAACAGTGGCGTTTGGCGTTGGCGTCGGCGTCGCCAACATAAATGTCAGTGTGTTAGTGGGGGCCGCTTTTCTGTTGTTCATTTTTTTGCTTTTGCTTTTATTGCTGGTTTTTGCTGCTGTTGTTGTTGGTTTCTGCTCGCCTGTTTATCTCACTCAATAGCAATACTTTTGTTTTTGCTCTTTGCGTGCGCCTTAAAGTGAATTGTTGTTGTTACATTTAAATTGGGTCAATGTTGCCTGCTGAACCTAAAAAAGACAACAACAACACAAAACAATGTCTAATTGTTTTACTTGTCGCGGCATCGACAGCCGACGGAATTGGAGATAAAAAATCGCAACACTGTGTGAGAGCAAATAAGACTTCGTGCTAAATTAATCTGTTTATTTTTTTAAAATTATTTTGTACTTATTTTATTCCACGCTCAGGCGATATTGCTTTATTATAATGTTATTGCTGCTAAGGCGGATTGTTTTTTATAGTTTGGGGTGCGATATTGCTTATGGAAACCAACTAAAAATAAATATTAAAACCATTTTTATATGCCCCTTTCCAGACTACCGTTTGAGATAATCCATAGATTGTGCTGACGATAGCAAATCGATCACACAATTGGGGAATGGTGCAAAACGCAAAGTGAAAGATAGAGAGAGGCAGAGGGGGAGAGATTGCGTGCGTGCTAGAGATCATTAATTTACAGCAGAGCGCACTGACTTTTGCGCTGCGTCTACATCTTCGCGTTCATTATTTGGCTTGACACATCTTTTGTTCTCTTTTTTCTTTGGCTGCGCTTTGTTTATTGTTCGGTCGTACGGCAGCTGGCGTGGGGCCAATGCACTGTGCTTAACAGCTGTTAATATAAACACAATTGTGTTTGACATGCCTGCATGCATGTTGTTTGTTAATTGACTGTGTGCGTGCGTATCTGGTATGTTATCGATAACAGTTTGCATGCAGTGCGCATTTCCTGCTCACTCACTCGGCCCACGCATTTAATATTATTCATTTGGCAAATAGACAAAAGATGCGCCGACTCATTGTCGCCGTCATGTCTACGGCTTTGTTCGTGCTACCTGCATTTAACTCGAAATATTCAGCTCGAATATCGCAGCTCATATTTATGACCTGTCTCAACAACGGTTTGAAGACCCCTCTTAATGCTTATGTAATCGGCATTTAATGAACATTCTTGGAATTTTTTTAAAAGACCGCAATGTTTTATCTATGGTTACGGGTTATCTACGACCCGTTTGTTTTTGCATCAAATACAGTAGATAATAACAGCAATTTGTTATTGAAGAAACTACAAATTAAAATGGAAAATTAGTTAGTGTCGCTACACTTAACTTTATATAAATTGATGGACTTGCCAAATTGTTAACTATCTGCTGCTATTTTTACTGTTCTTTTTTTAAGTGACAAAAAAAAGACAAGCATTTAACTAAATTCAATTTCCACACAACACATGCGACAGCTGTCAAAATGTAAACAGACCGCCAATCAGCTGTTCATTGAAAATTGACATTCAGAAAAACTAGAAACAAAAACAAAATATATTTCATGGACAGCTCCTTGACCAGATCTTATCAGCATTTTATCTAATTGTTGTCTGTCTGTTATACAAAAATTGTGTTGCTTGATTGTGACAGCATTAGCTAACAAATAAACAAAAAACAAAACAGTTTCCTTATCAGCAATAAGCAACAAGTATAATGCCCACATCCCAATCGAGCAATTGAGCACAACAGCAAATAATAACAATAACAAAATTCGTCATTGCCATTTCGTAAGGTTGACTTTCGATAATTGTTTGTATTGTATTTATTGTTCGCTCAAATTACCGTTGCATTGGACACAACACAACACATCTGTTGCAATTCTCAGTAGTTTAAACTATTACTACATGATTTATAGCTACCCCAGTGTTAGACATATACAATAATAAATATTTAATGAAAGTACTATAAATATGCAACGATTATCGATTTTCGATGAGCGAGCATGAGAAATGAGCGAAGGATACAAAAAATTTCAAAGTCAATAACAGTCGCTTGATGTCAAATGTAAAGAAAACAAAAAACAAAACAATTATCGATTTCCGCCAGTTAAGTTTTAAGAGCAGGGTTATACTGTTTATTGAGCATAACAGTTGTTTCATTCTGTTTTTGTGTGTTATATTTGCTTGTAAGTGACTTGAATGTTAAACAATTCATATAATTGAGCACTGCTCCAAAAGATCATTCTGGACACAATCGAGTCTCAACTGGCACAACAACAACAATAATATAGATGTCATGTTTGATTGCATATAAAATATGTATATAAGTGAAGCATTCGTAATTGTTGTCAATACATTTCAATTTGTGGTTCCCAATTGAATTGAAATTTGTAATATTGCTTTGAGGCAACACAAAAAAAAAAAAACAAAACAAACAAAAAATTGCTGTTTAATATAACTGTACAGGAAACGACCTTCAAACTTCGGTGGGGCCAACAAACGAGCTGATTGCGTCGTTCTCAATTCCATAAAAATATTCCACACACTCGATAAATACACACACATATTTATATATACATACATATTTATTCAACGATCTGTGAAAAAAATAAGAAAAAAACACAGAAATAACTTTTCAATACAAGTATATAATAAATTTCAATCAATTTAAGGAAAATCCCCACCATCTCAACTATGTGTGCTAAATAACCTTTTAAATTTTCGCACTTTTCTTTTGCCCTTAATGATCTTTAGATTTTTTCGTACAGCTCACAAAAAATTCCCCACAATTCTTTTGTTTTGTTTTTCAACCATAGATAATGACGTCATGAGATCCAATCTGAAATAGGTTTTTCATCATTCATTTAGCGACAAGCAACGGCGCAAAAAAAAACACAGAAAATATATATTTACACACACTTACAAAAATTCTGCGAAGTGGGGAAAATAAATGTGTCTCTCCCTCTCTCTTACTCGAATGATCCTCGCTGTGAATGATGAGTCATTGCTTTATTGCTGTGAGAAAATAGTACGCTTTGCTCACACAGCTGCATAGAGTGTTGGTGGCGGGGATTGGGTTAGTGATAGTGTGGTTCGACGATAGGAGTAGGATTGCATTGCAATGAATGGCAACGCCCTTATTTTTTTCGTTGATAGTTTTGCAGACTGCTAATCGAATTGAATTTTGTACCGTTTATCAACAGCTGTGCGACGGTTTTGTCGATGACGATTGCCGATTCTATGGTCGAGAAATTGTACTAATGACGGAACATGTTCGAGCATTTAGCATGCAATTATTTTGGTCTAAAAACCGAGATTAAAAGCCACGAAAAATGCGTCACACACACACATATTATATATAAACATTTCTTCATATACTTGATCCCAAATATAGAAAAGCTATGCGTATGGAACATTTCCTGCTTTATCTCTTTCTTGGAATGCCGCCAACCCTCTCTCGCTCTCTCCCCCGTTCACTTTTGTTTCTTGCATGTTTCAATACACATACAAGATGCACACAACACACACACATAGAATAGAGATTCTCTCGCCGAAAAAAATTAAACGTCGTAAATATCTCAATTAGAAACAACAGCAAAGAACTTAATGATCAATACAGAACAAAGCACAAATAACAAGAACAACAACAAAATCACAAAATTGTTCTCTCTTTCTCTCTCTCTTTTCACATTCTTCTTCTTCTTACAGACCATGCATAAGGAAAAAGTAATAAGTACACAAAATGCAAATAAAGCAAACAGCAAAGAGCATAAATTAAATGGAACAACAACAAAAGAAAATAGTGATAAAACAGGTCAGTAAACCAAAAATTATTGAACGATATATAAGAGCCAAATGAGCTTGCCTGTACATGTCTGCCATCAATTTGTGTAGTACAATTTGTTATACTGATTGATGGGACACATAACCTTAATCAATCACAACAGCAAATGAAAAACTATTTGCTGTTAAGCCCATTAAATCAATGCTCAATGTCACTATAGAACAGTAGCACAGTAGCAGCGTAGTACAGTTAAATCATTTGCAGTAAGTGCATTTTGAGTACAGTCACGCTCGTAATTAGCAGAAAATACCTATAGCCGAATGCGCTTGACTGGTTAAATAAATAAATATAAAAACAATGGCTAATCGATTCCACTTACTCATTGTGTCATCTGATTTGTGAAACTAACTAACAAACTAAATGAATTACAATCCATGCTTCCTTCTTCAATACAATTATCTTTGATTGTCCATATCACAATTAACAGAAACAACAACAACAAACAGTAAAATAATAAACAGGCCCCGCAACGTTGACGTAGATAGCCAGCCGTTCAAGCTGTGACACGTTTTGCCGGCTATCAGTTATTCACATTTGGCTGCAGACACCTCCGTTTAGTGTGTGCGTGGAGCAAAGGGTGAAAGTATCGGCGATAAGAAACATACAAAGTTATATGCATTATATTCTAAATTTAGACTCCGATATAGTAGACCCCAAAAGACGCTGCTGTGCATACTTTAAATATAAATAATCAGCTGACTGCTCATAAGCATTTGCCAAACACTTGAGGTGTTATTACCTTCAACTTAATCTCGTCACACATGTCAAACAGGCCATGGGAATTACAAAGTTTCTGTTGCTGTTTTAGTTGCTGTTGACGTTATCACAATAATAATCTCGGTTTTTTTTTTTTTGCAAACTTTATTTATCAGAATTGAAAATCGCATACCGATATTTGCAATTCATTGGGTGTCATTGCGAAACTGTACACTGTGGCCATGTATAAATACCCTAGATTTTGGCTGTCTGCTTGACAACTTCTCCAAGTAGTCTTAATTTTGAATTTATGTGTACAAATACAAAATCCCAAAAATTCGTTCGCTTTACGAAAGTTCTTCGCTATATTATTATGTATCAGGTTATCAAATTTAGGTTTTTCCGATTCTCATACAAATTCCGTTTAATATTTCGGTATTTTTCCAAACTTTCTTTTATTATATTTGATTACGTATTTGTTATCTTAATTTTTGCGTTACGCTACTGGCATTTATTTATTGATATACAGCAAAATGCAAAATATAGCAAATACGTTAAATAAAAAGTAAAATAAAATAGAATATTTAAATATTAATTAGGAAAATAATAAATATTTGCAAGATTTCGAGGGGTACTTTGTGTCATGAATTGCGGAAATTCCAATTTTGAACAAATATTTGTGAACGTTTGACTTGCGAATATTCTGATAACATTTGAGAAAACAAATCTATATTTGACAAATATATCCACATGGCTCGGTTCTCGGTTCTTTGAACGTATAATGAAACTGAAGTTTCAGCAAGTTTTCTTGTTTCCCCCTCTTCTTCCAGAAAAGATTGATACATCTCCGGCTCCCTTCTTGATCTAGGATCAGCAGCTAGTCGATCTAATGATCTGCCTCTCTCCCCTCTCGGAGACTTCAAATTGGGAGTACAAGTTCTCGTATATCCGCTTGAATCCAGATACATTCACATCTAATGTTCCGCTACGATGGTTTGTTTCCGATTCGCTCTTAGCGTGACAATTAACATCAGTTCCGCCATTTGGGTCGAAAAACCAATTTTAAATTTTGATTATGTTGCCGATTCCGATGCTGAATTTCAATCGGTTAATATTCGGTTCCGATTCGTATTCGTATTCTGCTGTGATACCCTGTTATAAACACAAATTTCTGCATCGAAAACAATTATAGCCAACACTATATTAATAATATTATTGTAAAAATAATAATAAAAAAAATAATACTCAAAATGTTGATCGCTGATGATCTCACCAAGACCATGAAACCAAAATAATTAAAATGAACAACGGCAATTTTGCACATTTTTTTTAGTGCTGCTCGCAGTTGTCAGCTGCTTTGAGAATGAATTATTAATAGTTAGTTAGTTGATTTTTTCACCTGAGTAATAAAATGTTCTACTCTTGTTATATTATCTATTGTCAACGCAGTTAGCCTGCTGAATAAGAATAAGGAGGATAGCAGCGAATATGATCTGGTGCCGCCTGATGGCGGCTGGGGTTGGTTAGTCCTGTTTGGTGCCTGCCTGACGAACATACTCATCCCCGGCACCATAAAGAGTTTCGGTGTGCTCTTCATTGAGTTCCTGCAGGCGTTCGAGACGACACAGACGCAGGCCTCCTGGATACCGGCATTATGTTACTTCCTCTACAGTTCACTGGGTAAGTGGGGAGTGCCCCTGAAATATCCATTATGAAATCATTTACATTATTTTCCGTTTTAGGACCTATTTCGAGTATTCTGTCCGTTAAGTATTCCTACCGTACGGTAACATTGATCGGCGCCCTCTCCGCCTCCTTGGGCATGATCCTATCCTATTGGGCCTCATCCGTTGGCTATTTGTACATCAGGTAATCAACACCCCATTATTAGTCAGTATTGTTTTATTTGTCAGCTAATTAATAATTAAGCACAGTTCAGTTCGAGTTCAAAAAGATAAACAAAACAGTTGATTGTTTAACCAGTTAGCTAGAAACCCGTTTTCACTCTGACATTTACAACCGATTTAATCAAAAAAATAAACATCGAAAATATTTGTTATAAATGTTTTGAGTTCAAATACATATATAATTTATGCGTTATTCAGCGACTAAATTATTTACAATCCTAAAAGGTTTTATTTATTTACTTAATATCAATTAATATCAATCGACACAAAAAACAAATATTAGTTGAACTCGATTAAATTTAATCTTTATGCTAATATCATAAAATAAAATTTATTTAAATTAAATGACAAAAATCAAATTTAATAAATCTGCTTTTTAAATGTAAATTGGAAAAATAAATAAAAATATATAGAATTCAAAGTAAATTTTAACGAAGTTTTTTTTTAGATACATATATATTTGTCTATATATCCTATATATATATATATATATATATATTAGTTTCGCAGCCATATATAAAAGTAGAAATTATAATTTTTTATTTTATGACAAAGAAAAATAAAATTTCGAATTGATTACATTTGAAAACATTTGCGTTTTTAGAACATTTCTACATCTATTCATTATGTTGCATCTTGACGTGATCCAAAATATTTCAGATATATCGGATATTATACAAAATAAATACCATATTTAAATTAAATTGTTTTAATCAAAAAATAACAATAAATAATAACGAACTTCAGTGTTTGTTTTGTAATGCAATTGAAAATTATTCCAAATTGAAGTAAATTCTGCTTGAATTAATATTTAAAGGTAAATTATTAAGAGCTTGAAGTCTCAAAATGTTTGTACTGAGAATTTTGTATGAAATATAATTTAGCTGCAAAGGTTATATTTTATATATTTAAAGTCGCTTAATATCAATCGACCTAGAGAAATACATAAAGTAAAAAATAGATTAAAGTAAATTCACAATTTAAATTGAAATGCAAAATTGATGCAGCATTTGTGCATGTATTTGGGAAATCAGAGAAATTGCCAAACTAAGAAACTATATATTTAACAGATGTGTTCAGGTATCTCCCAGTCCCAGTCTTTCTCGACTTTTAAGATTGAAATCACAGCTTACAATAGATTTTTATTAAGACCGCTTTTGTCTCTCTCATTTGCAGCTATGGCGTTCTGGTTGGCATTGGAGCTGGCCTCTCCTTTCCGCCGACGGTGTACATTGTCACGTCGTACTTTGTGAAGCTGCGTGGCCTGGCCAATGGGCTGTGCATCTCGGGCAGTGCCATCGGCTCGATTATATTGCCGCCGGTGTTGCGCTGGCTGCTGGAGATGTATGGCTATCGTGGCTCGTGCCTGATTATGGGCGGCGTCACGTTGAATGTGCTGGTGGGTGCGCTGTTCTATGAGCCAGTGGAGCAGCATATGGTGCGTGTGCCGCGTGCACGTCAAGCTTTGGAGGATATACCCGAGGAGGAGGACATTGGCATTGTGATGAAGTTTGAGAATGTCGATGAGACCGCCGAGCAGACGGCGGGTGGTAAACAGATGCTTGCCTACAATTCGCCACCATCGCCGTTGTATCTGCCGGACGACGATGATGACAAGCAGCAGTTTGTACGCAGCGCGTCCGCTGCTGTTGTCCAGAGCTATGCGAAGCCGGGCGATGAATTTCAGCCGCGTGCTCGCAAGATTAGCACACCGGTCCGATTGCCACAACGCAATCAGACCTTTACGCCGGGCCAGCTGAATTCGCAGTCATCGCTGTATGCGGTGCCCGAGGGCCGGTCCAGTTCCAATAAGCTGGCCATGCGGAATAGCTCGCGGAATCGTCTGTCCAAGCGTTCGCCATCAACCAGCAGTTTCCTGTATATCAGCACACCGTATCACGGCAGCACGCTCTCCTTCCAGCCCAAAGAGTTCTCGTCGCATTTATCGTTGCGTTCCGCCGGCACAACTGCAGCCGGTGCCGGCGGCGGCAATGAGTCCGGTGCCCTGGATGGTGGCGCCACGGATGAAACGAAGGGCGGCAAGGCACTGCCGCGAGAGCGTAGTAAATTCTTTGATCTGAGCCTGTTCAAGGATCCCATGTATTTGGTCATACTCATCTCGAACTCCACGAATGCCATCAGCTATACGAATTTCATCATTTTGCTGCCCGCATTTGGATTAGCTCGAGACTTTGACAAATCGCTGTCTGCGTATCTGTTGTCCGTCGTCTCCACCACGGATCTAATTGGACGCATTGGCGGCTCGGCACTCTCCGACATGGGTTTCATACCAAAGACATGGTATTTTGTCGGTGGTCTATCTGTATCGGGCATATCGCTGGCGCTGCTACCCTTCGCTTATAGCTATGGTGGCGTCTGCTTTTGGTGCGCCCTCTTCGGACTCGCTTCGGGCATTTATGTGGGCATCACCGCTGTCATTATGGCCGATATGCTGGGCACTGAGCGTCTCACCTCATCCTATGGCATCAGTCTGTTTATCAACGGCATATTGCAGCTGGTGGGTCCACCGCTGTGCAATTATTGGACGGAGGCGGTCAACGATTATAATCCGCTGTTTCATGCGCTCGGCTTGACACTGCTCGCCGGCTCCAGTCTGTGGGCATTTATGCCCTGGATTATCCGACGCAAAGCCAAAGAGGAGGAGAAATTGGAAGCCCAACTCGACGAGGAAGCCGTCGATGGCTATTAAAGTCAAATCATAACAAATTAAAATCAAGCCGGCTTTCGAATGCTTCACAACACACCACGTACAATTACAATTAGTTGTTAGGCTTTAAATGCGTACAAACAGAGACGGTGGACGAGTAGTAGATATATATACATATATATATATTTATATATAGAAGATTGAGATATGAATTGAATGTCGGGGGATTATGGGGGGATAAATCAGTTTGGCGAGATGGAGACAGTTGACGCGTTGTAGAAAAGTGGACATAAAATGGCATTGGAAAATTTTTTTGGAAATTGTTAATTTGTTTCTTCCATTAGCTATTTTTCTTTTGTGTCTAACTGTTAAGTCTTAATTATTACATTGTATACTTATTACAATTATTGTTTACTTAAAATCAATTTATAGCTTAAGCCCAATAACAAAAATGAAAAATGTGTGTAGCAGTGAAAAAACAAAAAACATAAGAAATGAAAATATTTTTTCTATAAATATGCTGAAGAAAAAAAAAATCTAAACAAAAAAAGCAGTAAAAACTGAAATTGAAAAAAAAAACTGAACCTTTTTATTTGCAAAACTGGTTGGGAAATTTCAAAAACTGGGCAATCCTTTTTCCAAGTGCTGTAAAAAAAAAATTATGTTTGGCAAATAGTTAAATTTATTATGAATTGCCATTTAATTAAGAAAGTCACAACTTTCTTTGATTTAGTGTCTAACAAAACTATATTCAAATTACTATTGGCTTGAGGCAATTCTGATGGATTACTATATCATATAGCTCACACTGGACTACCAACATGAAAATATTTCTTTTATTTCTTGTATTAAACATTCTTTTCGTTTAAGTTAACGCAGCTTCAGATTTTTCTATGTATCCAACATATTGGCAAATTTAATATCCATTGGGCTAAATTTAAAGCCATCATTCGACTAAAAATAGGAAAATATTTTGTTTTGTTTAAATAAACTCAGCTTCAGATTTTTCTATTTCTAAAATTTTAACAAAGCTGATTAATATTGCGATAAAACTATAACATAAAGCAATCGAAATGCTGTTTTTGGAAATATATATACATTATATACAGAACATTTCTGCTTCAAGCAATTTAACTATATCAACGCCGATATTTCTTTAAGATCTAAGTAAAACATTACTATAATGTTATCAGATGACTGGCAAAACATATTTGATTACCTAGCAACAATATACTTACACAGAATAAATGATATGGCATAATCGTATTTTATATAGAACACGTGATTCGAATATTATTTCGATTATAATGTATGTATTATCAAGCACAAATCTTTCGAGTCGTTTCCAATACCGAGTTGTCTAATCTAATACAGTATATATATATATAGGTAATAATTGTGGGGGTTAAATAATATATAATTGATATGCGTTCGTGATATAGAGCACTAGCTGCTTTTAATTTTTGGTTTGAGGAATCCCCTGGCGCGCAGTGTGCGGACAATAAATGGTGTCGAGCCCAGCGTGATGCTAATCCGGAGTGGAGCAAATACTTTGTGAACAGCATAGGCGGTGACAAAGGTGCTGCCCACAGCGATTTTTTCGGCGAATGCCGACGCCTCAATGCCAAGGAACTCCATAACGGGCATCATGTCTATGCCGCTGCAAAAATCAAAGCAAATGCATTAGTCTAATTATCAAACAGTAATTATTAATTAATTGTAGCCATTAGTAAATGGATGTAAATTCGAATAAGCGCATGTATTGGGTTAGCTTGTCCTACCTGGAGATGAGCACGTAGAAGCCACCCAGCGACAGCAGTGAGATGCCCACATGAAATACGATAATGGTGGCGCCATACTCCTTAAAGGCCCGCTTCAATTGCTCCTTCTTGCTCAAGTTCTCGGAGGTTGGAGGAGGAGTAGGAGGTGATGCTGTCGCTGTTGCTGTGTCTTGGGTTGATGGCTTTGCTTGTGTGCTGTAGCAACGACGCCAGCCTGCGTATGATATACTATATATGTATATGTATATACACTATGAGTGTGGCATGCGTGTTAAGGCCCATGCGCATACGCCGGGCATGCAACAAGTGCACGGTTAGCAATGCAACAAACAAAACAACAGCTCACCTTGGCCAGTGCCAGCAGTGATTGTGGCATTCTGATCGTAGGTCACCCAATCGGTCCGTGTACTGTCGCGCAGCGCCCGATAATGGGAGCTCTGCATATTCTGTGAGGTGAACTTGTACTCCTGCGACCACTGACCGCCGGGCATGTTCAGATGCGTGAATTTGTGCATGCCGCCGAACGGTGTCGGCACATTGCTCTGCATCACAGCGTTTAGGCTGACGGCGCCCAAGCAATCATATGACTGCACATGTGGATCCGCGGCCACAGAGGAGTCAACAAAGGCAGCAGCACTCTGGCTATTATCCGTGGTGATGTCAATCATGGAGATGGGTGCATGCGACAATGCCATTATATTGTCGGACATGTCGCGGGCGCGTTGCGGAGAGAAGCGTGTCGTCTCAGCGGCATCCACATTATGGGGCAGGGGCAGAGCGGGCGCCGAGGCTACGTAGTTCAAGGCGTTGGTGCTTGTGTGAAACGGTTGAATGGCTACATGAGATGAGAATAGAATTAATTTATATATTCGCAAAGCAAATATAATGCGCAGATGAATTGGGTGCAAATTCCATTCTATATATAAATATATTTAAAGCAATACATATGTGCCCTATATACGGCACAGTGTGGCAGACAATTGCTTATTGCGTGTAAATTGAATTCAATTACGTTATTCTTTGCGCTTGGTTATGTTATCTGCAGACATATCGCCAGTCAGCAGTAAACTGATTTTAATCAATTTAAACTTGCTGACCTTCAATAACCCGGCAATTTGTTCGAATTTACCTGCGTAATTCTTGAGGTACTGCATACCACCGGGTAGACGCACAGCTGCACGCAGCAAAGACGCTTTGCTTGTATTAATAAACATGTTTTCAATACACAAAATACAATTTCGACTGTGAAGCAACGCAACAATAATTCAATTGACAACCTCACCGCGACAGTGCAAAATAATATAAACAGTGGCTGGGGTTTTGTTACAACTGCGTGGTTGTTTTTAGTATGTCATCAGCTGTCGACAAAGGCAGGGTTGCGTATCGCTTACAAAAAATATCGATATGTTTAGTTATAAAGCGACTGCTGCATATCAAGTAATCAGCTGTCTGCAAGTGCAGATCTGTTCATCGCATCGAAAACATCGATATAGTTAGACCGCAAAAATATCGATAGTGCAACATCGTAAATACAACTCTACTCATTCAGTTTTTGGGAGTGAAAATGCGAATTTATTTACAAAATTTGCCAATACGAGAAAAAGAAGGCGACGCGTAATAAAGGAGTGCTCAACACTTTGTCATCAACAACACGAACAAGCAGATGTCGTTGTTATTGTTGTTGTTATTGTGAGCTTGTACAATGCACGCGCTGAACAACACACAGAGGGGAAGAGCGCGGTGCTGCTGTTTTTGTGGTCAAGATATGATTTGGCCAAAACAATAAAAAAAAACCCGCGACTAGGCTAATTTTAGCGTGTGTGTGTGTGTGTGTGCGTGCAAGTGTGTGCATGTGTGTGCAACTAGAACAATAACATAGCATCAACACCCAAACGGGAGACAATCAACAGCAGCAACAACAACAACAATATCAACAACTCAAAGCGCGCGTCTGTGTGTGTGTGTGAGACTGAGTGAGTCTGCGTGCGTGTGTGTGTGCGTGTGTAGAAAGTGCGCACGTCAGGCGTTGGCTGTCTGTTGTCGCAATCGCAGTCACAGTCGCAACCATGTCCAGAAATACGTTGACCACGTTAACACACATCGGCAACCAAACAACATCGGTGACCAACAGCAGCAACAGGAGCAGCAACAACAACAGCAGCAACAACGACACACGCACCGGAACCCTGACGCACCTCATGGAGGAGCACCATCAACAGCAGTCACATCCGGGCGCCGCTGGTCGTGCCGGCCTCATCTCCGATGGCGCGGAACGTTTGCGACGACAGGGCAGCCGTCTGCAAACCTCGAGATTTGCTTGCATGCGCTGCTGCGGCAATTTTCTGACACATCTGGTGCGGCTGCGCAGTACGCCCGAGGAGCTGGAGCAACGCTACAAATCCAAAGAGATCGATCGCTTCTTGGAGAAGGAGAAGCACACGTTTCGACGGCAGGTAAGCAAAGCTTTAGCTTCTCTTTTTTTTATCATTTGTGGTTGGGGGCAGCAACAGTCACATTCCGTTTAATTAAGTAATTAGTATTAATTTGCTTGGAGAGCGAGATAGAGAGAGAGAGAGAGAGCAACACACACACTCACACAGCACACGCACAACATTCATCCGGTTGTTTGTGGCCCGCATGGGCCGCCCAGGCAAACAAATGAAACATCAGACGAATTTTCACTTTTCGTTATTGTTGCTTTTGTTGTTATTGGGCTTGGCGCTGGCTATGGCTCTGGCTCTGGGTTTTTATTGTTGCATCATTTAGGCAATCATTGCAACAACAGCAGCAACAAATACAAGAAAGATCAGCAAGCCGAAAATTGCATACACTTGCAGTAGAGAGTAAAACTGGCCTAAATAAATATATATTTAGTTAGTTAATCCACACAAATAAACAGGTAGGCAGACAGTTTATCGTGACTCGGTTGATAAAAAAAATAGTCTTATATATACAAATGGTTATTATACCTTCGACAGTTTATCTTGACTCGAATACATCAATATTTAATGTGAAATCGAAAGTTTATCTGATGAAAAATATGTCCTTACAGAACAGCTTAAACCTGGCGCACAAAAAATATTTATTTTGTTACTCATTTTAAAAGCTAAAAAGTACCCACAGAAGCAAACAGATAAACAGACAGAAAGACATGACTAACTCGTCGCGGCTCCCAAAAAAATATATATTTTATATCTATATTTATTTATTTAATGTCGACTAATATTTGAGAAATACAAAAAATAAAAATGAATTTAATTCAATTACAAATAAAATAAAATATTCAAATTTACATAAAAAAAATCATAAGAAATAAAATAAGATTTGTGGGTGTATTTAAATGAAAAATAGTTCAAAATTTGTTGCATGAATTCCGCAAAACTCAGAGAAAAAAACCAAAAAGACAACAAAAAAATAGAAAATGTTATTCACGAGATAAAACTTTTAAAATTAAGACTTTAATTAAAAGAATTCGAAATAGATGACTCTGAATTAGTTATATGACAAAGTCTATTGTAATCATAACAGAGCACTTGAAAGGCTTCTTGCATATGGATATAAGTATAAATATAGCATCGACTGATGGTTAATATGGCTTCGAAGAAATATCCACTTGAAGTGTGATTAACACATTTCACGCCCAAATTATAATAGCCACTTGAAGGGCATACAAAAATCTTGTTCACACAAAAAGGCATTCAATTAACAGCGTCTTTGTTGCAGTTGTTTCTTGTGCGTTGCGTGTGTTTTTTTTTTATTTTTATTATTATTTTTGTTGGTCTTTGTCGGTCAAGGTTTCAATTTCGCACGTACTTAATGCAATACTCTTTGATGATACATTCACACACTCACCAATTGTCTGACTCAATAGGTGAAACTGTTGCTCCTGGGCGCTGGCGAGTCGGGCAAGTCAACGTTCCTCAAACAGATGCGCATCATACACGGCGTCAATTTCGATCCGGAACTGCAGCGCGAGTACCAATATGTGATATACCAAAATGTTATACGAGGTATGTAATAAACCATATAAATATATATGTAGATAACGCAACTAATGCAATTTCTATGCAGGTATGCAAGTCCTCCTCGATGCACGCGAAAAGTTGGACATCTCGTGGGGCAACGATGGACGCGAACAGGATGCCAACGATGCCAAATTAATGGAATGCAATGCAATAGAGGCAACCAGATTCGTTGAATATGCCCCGCTCATTAGGCGACTGTGGCAGGATCGGGGCATAAGGCGCGCCTACGAGCGACGACGCGAATTTCAAATTGTAAGCATAGCAAAATTTGTATAATTTAACAGAATTATTGAAAGTATTGAATTTGTGATTTATTGTGCCAAATTGTTGGACAATATTATTCGAATCAAAGTAATTGTTGTTTAAAAAGATTATAGCTTAAGCTAGAAGCTATTGAACCATATAGAAAAGTCTTTTTTTATATATCTATGGAAAAGTTTTCTATACGTTTATTTTTGTATATTGAGTACAAATGTAAATGTAAATTTACATATAAAAGTATCTGCATATCTTGTTACTAATGTACTCTTTTGACTAAAAGAAGTGTATATTTACAGCTTTTCGATTTATATATATTTTGATGCATACCCCTTATCACATTTGTTTACTTTACACCTTACAGAGCGATTCGGTCAGCTATTTTCTAGATGAAATCGAGCGGCTGGCGAAACCGGATTATGTGCCCACACACAAAGATATACTGCACTGTCGGCGAGCAACCAAAGGTGTCTACGAGTTTTGTGTCAAAGTACAGGTAAGTTTCTGCCATGGAGATACAATTAAAATTGTGCATATTAATTGAGTTGCATACTTTGATTTTGTAACAGAACATTCCATTTGTGTTTGTCGATGTGGGCGGTCAGCGCACACAGCGCCAAAAGTGGACCAGATGCTTTGATACCTCAGTCACATCGATTATATTCCTAGTGTCCAGCTCGGAGTTTGATCAGGTGCTTGCCGAAGATAGGTGAGTATTTTAATAACAAACTATATACTATGTATGTATGATATTGATTAATGCTTTTTAATTTCAAGGAAAACGAATCGTCTGGAGGAGTCCAAGAATATTTTTGATACCATTGTGAACAACAATACCTTCAGAGGCATTTCGATAATATTGTTCTTGAACAAGACCGATTTGCTCGAACAGAAAGTACACAATCCAGAGACTGATATACGCTGGTACTATCCACAATTCAGTGGCAATCCGCACTTGCTGCTCGACGTCCAGAACTTCATGCTGCAAATGTTTATGAGTGTGCGACGCACGAGCAGCACCAGCCGGATCTATCATCACTTTACCACTGCCATAGACACGCGCAACATCAACGTGGTGTTCAATTCGGTGAAGGATACGATACTGCAGCGCAATTTAAATGCTCTGATGCTGCAGTAGCCGCATCCCCAGTAGCCATCATCATCCTGATCACAATCCACAAACACACACGAATCTCGCGCCAGCTCTGGCAAACACTGTCTACCATACAAATATTTACATGAATATATATATACCATATATATATATGAACAAAACGAAAGTGCCAGGCTGTCAGGAATGTTAAATTTTGTGAAGGGCCGACCCCAAATTTGTTGTTAACTTTTTAAAATGGTTTAATTATTCATAAATTTTGTATTAAATGAAATTATTATATATATACAAGCATATATATATATATTAATTTTTAGCATTTACATGTATTATTATGTATTTTATTTATGCATAAATGTATATAATTTATTGTGTATGTGTTCGTGTGTGGCCCGCTAACAACAGACTTTAATGCTACCCAAAAAAAAACTAACAGCAGCTACATATTTTCATATCATTATTATTAATATTATTATTATTATACTTATGCCCTTTTGCTACTATGACACTATACAAGGATATTTACAATATATATATACCTATATATATCTAGCCAATACATGCACATACATATCTATTTATATATACACACAATATATATATATACACCTATATATTTTTTTAGAGTTGAATGTCGAAAGCATATACATATTGTAGTTTATACAAAATGAAAAGAGAGCTTAATATTAAGCATGAAATTTTCTCCTAGAGAAAAGTCAGCAAACGACAAATGTACCAATTAAAGGATACCAATATTTAATAAATGAAAAAAAACAAATAAAATAAACAAAAAACATTTATACTATATTTATTGTTTAAATAATAGAATAATTGTTCACTCTGGCCCATTCCCAAAAATAGAACAGCTTTTGCCTGAGTCAGTTTCACATTCACATTTAAAACTTTATTTAATTCATTTAATTACAAAGTGAGTTATTTTTATCTTTGACGTTATCTCATATTCAACTACATATGTGTTTAATTTTTGGAATGTCATAAAATCGCCTTAATAAAGTAAGTATTGCTCAAAAAATTATAATAAATACGCATTTGTAAAAATATATATATATGTATATATATAAATGCATTTAAAAATATACAATTAATACATAAAAATGTGCATTAAATTAAAGCATAAACTTGTGATGCTCGCATTGCATATCCCGATCCAGTTACAGATCAATAACAGATAATACTAAATAAGAAAATCATGAGGCGTACTAAGAACTACACATCCAATGGAGTTTTTTTTTAACACAAATCTTTAGCATCCTTTTAGTCAATCAGTTGCATATCAGCTGCCAGTTGTCCCTGTTTCCCCGTGTGTGTCATCGCTCAGCCGGCTTGACTAGTGTTGGGATTAGTGTTGCTGCTGCTGCTGCCCCCGCAGCAATTGCTCTGCGCTGCTTTGGCACTAAAGCTGCCCAGGCCAATGGAGCCGCTACCCTCGGACTGACGCTGTGCAGCCGCCGCTGCAGCAGCACTGCTCCCATCCTTGCTGCGCGCCTGACCAATCAGCTCGGCGGCAATCTCATAGAACAATCGTTCCACGTTCTCAGCCTCTTTGGCGGACGTTTCCAGGAAGTACATATCATGTTGTTTGGCAAACTCCTCACCGATTTGGGTGGGTATTTCACGATCATCACGATCCGTCTTGTTGCCGACCAGTATCTTGAGGACCTTTGAGTTCGCATACTCCTGGATCTCACGCAGCCAGTCGGGCAAACAATCGAACGTGGGCTGGCAGCTAATGTCATAGACAAGGATCAGCGCATGGGCCGATCTGTAGTAACTTTGTGTGATCGAACGGAAACGCTCCTGTCCGGCAGTATCCCAAATTTGCAGCTTTATCTTCTCGCCCTCGACCTCAACGGTCTTGATCATGAAATCGACACCAATTGTGGCACCCTGGCCGGGTGGAAACAAGCCCTGAGTGAAGCGACGCACGAGGCATGTTTTGCCAACGCCCGCATTGCCAACGAGCACAATTTTGAATAGGAATTTATAGTCCTCCATTTGAAGCGAGTGAGAGACTCGTCAGCCTGTGTGGAAAAATTACACTTTAGTATACATCGTTTTTTTTTATAGCTAGTTAATTTCGACACACCTTAGTCAGCGACGCGTAGCGTAAGCGAATTGTATGTGTGTGTGTGTGTAATGGGGGATGGTTTTGTGGAGTCTAGACCCGAGAGTGGGGAAGTTTCACCCGCAGATGCAGCTTAAGCCACACACAAACACAAGCAAACACACACACACAGCACGCAATTAAATATAGTTTACGCAATTGCCCCCTCCCCTACCCTCACCTGTAGCACACACGCAAGCTACGTATGCGGTCTAACGGTAAACGTTACCGTTGCCGTCGCCTCCGAGGCTGCTGCAGCACTTGGTCTTTTGCTTACTTGTCGAGACGCTGCTGTTATTGGTGATGATGACTCAACAATTAGATTTGCCAGCAATGTTTGCTTCGAATTAGCTCGTCTTGTTTATTCCTTAGCGCCATTCAATCAATTTTACGGCACACGTTACGAATTATGAATTTAATACGTCAATTGCATGCCAACGACAACAAAAAAAATCGCAAAAGCCAAAATTTCGCTGCGTATATGTAAATATAAACAAATCGATTAATCTGGCAACGATCTGGCAACGCCATTGAAGTGAGCCAGCATGCAAGCTGTGCAAATATTGAGCAAATATTGAAACGGCAATAATATTGATTCAAGTGTGAAATAAATTGTATATACGATATTTAAATGTGTATGTATGTATTTATATGCGGTACATTATTTATTTGCCCTTTATTTTGGTTTAATGTGAGCTTAGAAGTATCGATACTTGTGTGAGTATCGATGTACGATAATTATCAACCCTGCAGCAACACAATATAGTCGGCCACGCTGTGGAAAAAATCTCAACAAAAAAAATTAAGGAAAATTGTATTTGCCAAACAAAAAGAATTGAAAAGAAAGTTCGTAAGTGAGCCATCGAGTTGTGCTGTGTGCATACCAACAACAACAACAACAATTTTGGTTTCTTCAAACCGTGCTAGACAAAACTAGACTAAGGGCGACACTTCCCCCTTCCCCCCGCTGTTCCAACAACAATTCAACATGGCCGAGGACTTTGATGTCGAAGCAATGCTGGAAGCGCCGTATCAAAAAAACGTAAGTGCATCAAATTTGATTGCATATAATTTAAGAGCAAACGGTTTGTACAAAACAATAAGTTATCATTGTAACAACGGTATATTTATTATTTATATGAATGTTTGTATACTTCTCTTCTAAATAGACACCCACAAGCGCGCCGTGTGTATTATGTACGTACGTATTTATGTATGTATGTATTTTTTTTTAAAGTCTGCAGACACAAGCATACACACAAACACATGCACGTACACACATTGGTCACCTTTGTGTGTGTAGGTGCGTGTGTGTGTGTGAGCACTGCATGCAAAGTGGCTGTCTCGAATCGATTTTTAACCCAATTTCCCATGCAATGCAATCGACTATCGACAAACGCATAGGGCAAAAGTCGGCCGGTGTTTCTTAAACACCTCTGTTTTTTTTTTATACTAGACGCCACCCATCTGTGTGTGTGTGTGTGAGACATGAGACATTTTTTTTGTATAGTTTATTCCGGCAAATCAAATGGGGCTCGTTACTTAAACGTTTCAGTTTATCTAATCTTTTCAAAGTGTAAGAGATAAACAATGTTTAAATAGGTTTAAAATTAAATTAAAGTATTTAACAGTAAATATGATGGAAGATGTATGTGTGTGTCTGTAAGTATGTGTGTGTGTGTGTATTGAAATTGATTTGCAGTTGATGGAAGAGCATATTGAATTTCAAATGCACTTGGGAACATTATTCAAGCTTTGCCTCACTTTGTAAAAATTTGTTCTCTAAATGGAAAATGACATTTGATATGGTTGCTCTCCTTTCCGTCTATCTCTCTTTCTCTGTCTCTTTCTATGCAAAATGTGCAAATGAATAAAAAATATATTTAAAAAAATATCACACTACCAAAAAAAAAAAAAAACAACGCAAATAATTCAAAGAAAAAAGCGAGAATAATTCTTAAGGGTGAAATGTCTTTGCAGAAATCGTATAAGCTCAATATTGTTGCTAGTGATTGTTTTGGTCATTCTAAACACAAAAAGCTGGAGACCATTTGGTAAGTTTTGAATGTGCCAGAAACTGCGTAAAAAAAAGAAACTAAAAACAAAAAAAATAAAACCAAAACATATCTAGGCATTTATTGTTTTCTGTATGATTTGTTTCTGTTTTTTTCTCCATACCAAAAAATAAAAAAAAAATCAATCAATGAAAACTGAACGTGCACTAAATTTCAGATAAACTCTTCTACCTATTGTCTGGGGCAGCAGGCAGCACAACTACTACTCTCACTACTCACAGACAGACAAGAATGAAAGAAAGAAAGTCTCACAAGTCCACTTCACTGCTCTTTCAGGAGTCGAGTCTGAAAAAACCAAAAAGCAAAAAAAAATGCCCAAATATAAAAATGAATACAAAAACCACTTATCAAATTCAAAAAAACGTAATAAGCAAAACTTTAAACTATTTCTCACTACACAACAATTATATATATAACTCTAACTTATATCTATATGTATATGTATATATGTCCATATATAGACGAGAGAGCGCCTGCGATCTGAGGTGTCCGCAAAATAGTCAAACCAAAACCAAAAACAAAAAAGAAAGAAAAAGGCCAAACCAAAAGAGCAACCAACCCAACCAAACTAGCCAATAACTATACCCAAAAAAAAAAAAAAACGAAAGGAAGAGAATAATTGCATAATTTGAGTATGGAGACATTTCGCCGTGAACTGCTTACAACTGTTCTTACTTTGTGTGTGGTACAGCCAACTACTCCTATCCAGTATAGGTACTATATATAATATATCATTTATATATATATATATATATATATATATATATATATATATATATGAGTGTACTACAACTACTATATAGGTCTACTAATCGCATATGTATCACTTTTATATTACTACTACTGCTCTATTGCTATAAATTGGCAATGATCTGTAAGACGATCATTGTTGACTTAAGCATTTCTATTTTATATACTTGCAGATACCAAAAAATTTAACTAATTTACTTTGATTTGCTTTCTCTTATTCAAAAAAAAAAAAAACAAATACCCCCCAAAAAAAATATGAAAATCAAAAAATATCTAAACAAATTTGTAAAATGAATACAACAACAACTACAACAACAACCAACCAACAACAACAACCGACAACGACAACATCAATGAAAAACAACCGTTAACCGTAACGTGTGCGAATCCAACAACGAAAAACCAAACGCTCTGTTTGTGTGCGTGTGTGTCTCTCTCTCTCTCTCTCTCTATCACTTTCTATCTATATCTCTGTGTGTGTGTGTTTGTCTGTGTGTCACTCTCAATGTTCACAAATTGAAATCCAAAAATTCTATATATATGTACAACATATTATTGCTTGCGAATTCCAAAACTCTCCCATGTCCACAACCCAAAAACAAAATCAACCACAACCAACCAAAATACCAAAAAACCACACACCCTGTATCTGTAGAACGTCAGTGCGGGCAGCACGGGACGTGGAGGACGCGGTCGCAGCAGCGGCGGCAGTGAGAGCGCCGGACACGATGACAACGATGAAGATGAACAACGCTATGCGAATAGGGAAAACGGTACTCGCTCCTCGAATGGCAGCAAAAAGCGCAGTCACCGATCACGGTAAGTCCATTTCACTCCTCAAATTAATCGGTCAAAAGTTTCCAGTTTCATTAACAACCCAGCAGCGAAAGACAGAATGCAATTCGTAGTGCGTACTATTCACAGTTTTCATATGCACAATGTGATGGGTCGGAATCTACACTCCTGGACATTAAAATAGGTGTAAAAAAAATATAAGAAATATCATGTTCAATATACAATATATTAATTTTCAATTGGTAGCTGAAATTGTTTCTCCATGAATGTCAGGAGTCTCTGGCTAATTTCTTTGTTAAAAGTTCAAATTGAGCTGGCCAGTGAATGAGGCGCGAGCGGCATAAAATTAAGAAAACTTTCATTTTTCTATTGATTTTTTTTTGCTAAGGGTAATATTTGCATATACTCAGTAAATAAACGCTTAACTGAGCTATCGAAAAATATTAAATGAGTCAAGAACATCACTACAGCGCCAAGGATAGAAGATGAAGCGTCATATCTATTTTACTGTCCAGATGTGTATATTCGAAATGTAGTTCTATATATTCAAAATATGTAACGTTTACAATATATACAATTTGCTGACTTATTTTTGGACTTTCAATATGAACATAAATATACATTTTATATAGCAAAAAAAAAAAAAGAAGCAAAGTTGCGCTTGCGCAATAATTAAAAGAGATAATGAAACCGATAAGAAATCAACACATATAAGAAATATGTAATAAGACAAGATTGTGTCGCAGCATAAAAGAGCATTAGTTGGTAGTCAATTACATTGTATGCATTCTGTAATAAGAACTAATTCAGTAGTTCGCTGCTGGGAAATTAACGAAAATAGCTTTTAAAAAAAATACGTTTTACAACATTCTTTCCATTTTACAATACACACAGCAGTCGCAGCGGATCGCGTGATGCTAAACACAGACGCTCCAAGGATCGGGAACGCGAAAAGGAGCGCAGTAACTATCGCGACAAGGACAGGGACAGGGGGGACAAGGACAGGGATAGGGAACGGGAACAGCGCGAACATCGCTATAACCATCGCGATGGCAAACGCAGCAGTCGCTCGCGCGACGAACACCGTCCCAGCGATGAGAGCAGCAGCAGACGCGCCAGCGGACGCAGCGAATCGCATCGGGATCATCCCTCACGAGATCGTCGCGGCAGCAGCAAGACAAGCAACCTGGAACGCAAACGCAGTCGTTCCCGGGACAGACGTCGACGCAGTCGCTCTCGCGACACGCAGCGCAAGCCACGCATCAGTCCAATACGCGAACGTCGACGCAGTCACTCGCGTTCCAGAGACACCAAGTAAGTGAAGATATTGAGAATTTGAATACCCTGTAAACCCATTGAAAATTTTACAATATTATAATGGTTTTTTGCAAATGTATGTAAGAGACAGACGGAAGCAGCTCCGTCCACATAAATTATATATATCTTCTTGATCAGCATCAACAACCGAGTTCATATAGGTATTTCCATCAGTTCGTCCTTCTGTCCGAGGCTGTAAGAACTTGGAATCTGGAATATAGTTTGTCGTCTATAATTTATCGATAACAGCTTTCGTTTCTCCAATATCGACATATATTTTCGACTCGGATATATATTTTGACATAATTTTAAAGGCTTCTAATTTATATATTTATAATGGCATTTTATTGATCAACTTGATCAATTGCCTATATGTCTTTATGATCGGCTGAGTAGCATCCAAATTATAGTGGAAAATGTGATTTCAGTTCGGACTTGTTTTAATACGATTTTTTTTTACTCTTCATTTCCTTGTCGGCTTTAAAAAATTAGAGCAGAGCAGAGGGAAATTTGTCAATAAAACTAGAAAATATATTTAGCACCTGGGTGCAGGGTATTTCGTAGTCGACTACAGGTTAATCTTGTAATAATCGTTTTTATTTTTATCATCTGCAGCAGTCGCCGTCGCACCAGCTACTCACCGCGATCATATGGCGGACGTGGACGTGGCGGTGGCGGTGGTAATGGTGGCGGTGGAGGTGGTGGCACTGGCAGTGGCAGATCACCGCCGAATGGCGTCGGGGATCGTACACCGCCCACCGAGCTGAGTCCCGAGGAGCGTGATGCACGCACCGTTTTCTGCATTCAACTGTCGCAACGTGTACGCGCCCGCGACCTTGAGGAGTTCTTCTCCAGCGTGGGCAAGGTGCGAGATGTTCGACTGATAACGTGCAACAAGACTAAACGCTTCAAGGGCATCGCCTACATTGAGTTCGAGGATCCCGAATCTGTTGCTCTTGCCCTGGGCTTATCCGGCCAGCGGTTGTTGGGTGTACCGATCATGGTGCAACATACCCAGGCCGAGAAGAATCGTTTGCAGAGTGCACCGCCACCGTTCCAACCCAAGTTGCATACGGGTCCCATGCGCCTCTATGTGGGTTCGCTCCACTTCAACATCACCGAGGACATGTTGCGCGGCATCTTTGAGCCCTTTGGCAAAATCGATGTCATCCAGCTGATCATGGACAATGAGACGGGTCGCTCCAAGGGCTATGGCTTTATAACGGTATGTACGCCATATATGATTATAAATCTATGTATTAAATGTTATATATGTTCTTTGTAGTATCACAATGCTGACGATGCCAAGAAGGCACTGGAACAATTGAATGGTTTTGAGCTCGCCGGTCGTCCCATGAAGGTGGGCAATGTGACCGAACGGCTGGACATGAACACCAGCTCGCTGGACACTGATGAAATGGATCGAAGTGGCATTGATCTCGGCGCTACGGGACGATTGCAGCTCATGTTTAAACTTGCCGAGGGTGCGGGTCTGGCTGTGCCCCAAGCTGCAGCGAATGCGCTGCTGGCGACGGCACCTCAACCGGCGCCGATGCAACATGAACAGCAGACACCATCGATAGCGACACAGTGCTTTATACTGTCCAATATGTTTGATCCGCGCACCGAAACGAATCCCACCTGGGACACTGAGGTGCGCGACGATGTGCTTGAAGAGTGCACTAAACATGGCGGCGTGTTGCACATACACGTGGACACCGTCTCGGCAACGGGCACCGTTTACGTTAAGTGTCCTAGCACGGCGACGGCTGTGTTGGCTGTGAACTCGCTTCACGGACGTTGGTTTGCCGGACGTGTCATAACGGCGGCGTATGTGCCCCTCATCAACTATCACTCCATGTTTCCGGATGCAATCAGTGCCGTCGACTTGATTGCATCCACGCGCAAGAACACCGACGATTAATGGAGCTCATAGTTGGTGGATGGATGATTGATGCGATATCGAGCATCAGCATCAAAATATATATTGTTATTATTCGTTAAACAAAAACAATTTAATTTTGTCATAATTGTAACATTTTTTTGAAAGACTCCGAATTTTATGTAAATGGTCCGCAAGCTGAATGAAAAATGGGGCACATCCAAATACAATTACATTACAATTAAAGATATATATACATATATATCATATAATTAGGCATTCCTAACACGCCAAAAACAAAACAAAAATCATTTGGATTTTAACTCAAAACTATTTGCGAAAAAAACCTCCCAACTTATCAATTTATATATTTTTTCCTTTTTTTAATGCGTAAATAATTTAGACAGCGCTACATATTTACAAATGTAAAATGCTATGTAAACAACAAAAGAAACATATTTTGTAGACAAAAAAAAACATCAAAAATAAAAATCCGATTCAAAAATTTTGATTTTTCAATTACTAGCAGGGCAAGGAATTTTTAATATATCCATAAGAGGCAATGTGCACATATTTGATTAATCTGTGTATTAATATATTAAGAATTTTTAACAAGCAAAATAAATTGAAAGCGCTAAATACTTGAAATATCGGTATATAGTCAATCGATATTTCCCAAAAATCGGAAGTTACCACCAAACAAACCCCGATACATCGATAAAAGTTGTCAGGTGACAATCGCTTGGTTGTCCATCTTCAGTGTGCGCAAGAAGTTGGCTGCAGCTGCAAAAAAGAAAAAACCAATTTATTTGGACGAGCATTTTATTTTCTTTAGTTTTAAATTCGATGTGACTTCACGCACACCCAAACACCAGAAGTATTTTCTTTTTATCTCAACCAAACATATTGCATTTGACAATTGACGCGCGCTCGTGCAAAGTGGAAAAAAGGGCATGTGGTTTTTGTTTCGATTTTATTGTGTGTGTGAAAGCAGCAGCCACAACACATCCAAATAAAATGGCAAACACACATGCACAACTACAACAAAAGTGGGTACCATTCCATCATCAAAAAACAACAACAACATACGGCAAATGAAAATTCAATAATTCGCGCAATCAGTTTAAGGTTAAATTTTCCAAAACAAAAAAAAAACAAACGCGCAGAAAAAGCATTATGAAATATGAGAAACATTCATGCTGATGAATGAGTGCGCGAGTGTTGTTCAGCAAATGATAGTGTTTTATAATCAACCAAACACAACACACACACAGGGATTTACGCACACTAGATTCCTGCGCCCACGCATCTCGTTTTTGACCTCCCCTACGAATCAGCAGCATCCCCCATCTTGCGCCCTTCCCCAACTCCAAGCTAATTCTTGAGCAGCTGATTCATGCAATGCATGCGGAACATATACATATGTATATCAAATAAATTCATTTTATTTGACAAATTACAATGGTGTCGTCTAATGACCCTGCCCCACTGACAACGACGACGTCGGCGTCGCTGCTTATATAAGTGAACGGTAAATACGTTCGTTGTGCGTATGCCAAAAAATTGAGTACATCGTGAAAATAGCCCGAAAAGAAAGGCAAACAACAACAAAAACAAAATGGCAAAACAATTTAAGAACTAAAATCTGACGCCAACAAATGAATGACAAACGAAACTTTAACAAATTTGTTTCCTTTTTGCTTTTGTGTGTGTGCATTTTTTTCTTTTGGCAAGCGTTGCCAACGCTGCTGCTGCCTCTCGTTTTGGCTTCCAAATTTATTTTAGAGCATTATGCCATCCATTCAGTTTCGCGTCGAGCAGCAGGGGTCTGGCAACGCGCGCTTAACAGTGACAGTGGACAGTGGACCGTGAACTGCTGTGAACAGTTGAGGACAGTGGAAAGTGGAGAGTGCGAAACGTAACCAAGCTAGAAAATTAAATGCGAAAATGATTCAAGCACACACACACATTCGCGTGCCCGTCGAGTGAGAGTGTTGTACAATGTAACGAAAATAACAGCGACAAACAGCAAGAAATGTTAATTGCTCATCGCCGCCGGCTTCCATTCACTTTTAGATTTTCTAGTTGTTGTTGTCACTTGTCCTCCTCTGTTACGCAATGCAGATGTGCAGCATTTGGCGGCGATAGCGCAAGGCAATTCACCAATATTCGTGTGCTGTTATCGCAACCGACAATAAAAATAAAACCTTTGTTCTTGATCAAAGCGACGGCCTAACGACGGTCAGGGAATACCTCTGCTTTCACTTGTGGCGGTTTTGGTTTGGTGGAGGGGTGGGCATTGTCGTCACCGTCACATGCTTCCAATTCGCGGCCTTTGTGCGTCAGCGTCGTCAACTTTAGAGTTGCACTTTTTCGTTCAATTCGGTAAAGTAGATCAGCAGTTCTTTTTTTACGCAGCTATTGAAAATATTCTTATTATAATTATATACAGCAATAAACAAATTTGCTACAGTTTTACATTTTATAATCAGTTCAATTGTGCTGTCTGATTATTAGTTCAGTCCAACTTATTCTTAACGATTCAGTTCTACTCCAATCTGATTCAGTGAGGTAGATGAAAATATCACTTTTTTTTTAACAGCGCTAATGAATATATCTTCAAAACATTGGTATAATTATTATGACTACAATTTGCTATACTTTTACATATTATTATAAATAAACTCTACGATAATTAATTGTTACAGTCGGTTCAATTGTTCTGTTAGAACATTAGTTCAATTGAACTTATTCTTAATGATTCAGTTCCACTCCAGTAATTTTCTTGGAAATTCAGTGAGATAGATCAACGGATACCTTTCTTATAACAGCGCTATAAATCGAAAACATTCTTATTATAAACATGCACATCAATAAATAAATTTGCTATAGTTTTCAACTTGTTTTGTTTTCCATATTGCATTTGCTTAACGATTGGTTAGAAATAGAATCAGTTCAATTGAACTGATTCGAAGTGATTCAGTTCAACTTCAGTTTAATTATCTTGGAATCGGCAGTATCACATCGCTTTTCTTTCAATTTCGCATTTGTTTTGTTTATTGTTTAATTACATGTTGTCTTTTGTTTCTCTCTCTTCCTGTCTCTCTCTCTGTCTCTGTCTCCCCTTCGTCGTGCATTATTATCAATTGCGAGCCACACGCGCTTCGCTTACGAGCTGCTGCAGACGTTTACGCCGCATTCGGCACGTAGTCTGTCGTCTGTCTGTTTCTGCGTATGCTTTTGGCCATCTCTTTGGTCTTTCGTGCTCTTAAGTTAATGTACACAAACTTTAAACAGCAACAATTATCACTCAATGCGGAGTTCTCTTTTTTTGAGCGCATGACTCAGCAGCTAATGCTGCTTGCTACGCAGACTCCTCCTCCACTTAACAACAATCGAAAAGCTGGCAAAGAAAAATCAGTTGACGCTTGCGCGACGTGCTGCAAGCAACGCTTTTAATAAAGGTCTTTTTTTACGTGGAAACTAGAAAAGTCGAACTTGATTGAGCATATTGTTGTTATTCACAAAATCATAGAAATTGGTTTTAAAATCTCTACACAATTAATTAAAAATAAAACAAATATCATCAGCATGGATTAACAATAGTAAATATTTTACGCTAGAACGACACTAACGTAATAATCGATTGAAATTGGAAATACAAATTTGGAAAACGTTAGTTGAATGTAATAATATAGTGATAAGAACGGGACAACCCCCCTCCCCCTCTGACTACCCTTACCACTCTATGCGCGAATTTAGTTTTGTGATAAATTAACGCGAAAATCCTTTGACGTTTACCAATATTTATAGTATTAATAATCACCAAGTTGTCGTTGACTTTATCGGCGGGGGCCCAGAGATAAGCGCTTCCATAATAATAATTTGAAAAAAAGCAAACAAAACGAGTAAGCAACTGCTAACTTTAGCTGTTAGCTGCTTGGTGCCAGCTGCTTATTGGTTTCATGTGGGTTCGAGTTTGAGTCAATTAACAAAGCCCCGTTTACGTTTCCATCTATTTGCAGGCAAACAACAAACTAGACACTGTAGCCAGAGCTGGACAGCGCTAATTGAACCAGTATCAACAAACAAAAAAAAAAAATATAATTAAAAACTACAGAAGAATATAGAAAAATACACAAATTAAGAAGTGTTGATGTTATCCGCAACATCTGGGGGCAATGGGGGCGCTTCACCGCTCAGCCTCTCGGCGCGGGAGACGCTCAGGAAATATTTGCCCAAAGAGCAAACAAAGCAAATCATGCAACAAACGACGGTGGCAAGCAGCAAACCGCAAACAGCCGACGCCGGTTGCCTAACGGGTGAGCTACTTGTGGCCCCATATTTATTGTAATTGTTCATATTTAATATACCATATATCGTTTATAGATCTGTGCAGCAGCGAGCACTTGCCCGAGGTGGAGATATTTTCGTTGCTGGAGGAACAGATACCCAAATATAAAGTGCGAAATGATTTTCTCACCGATTTTACGGGCTATGCGAATGAGGATTGGTTTGTGCCGGCGCCAGCGTTGCATATACCCGTCGAGGGTCTCGGATTGACCAAGGAACAGACTAGAGAGTGCCTGAACTATTTTCGTGAGTACCCCTTTCCAACTGTCTACTAGACTAAGTGACCCTTTAAATAGACTAATGACGTCAGTGTTTTTTTTACACAACTTGAGTGATAAGCTTAGTAAATTTATATTCGAATATTGCCCAATAGACATATTGCTCACACATTAATGTGTTAACTTCCTCCCCTTTCTTAATTGCTCAATTATAATTGTGTGCACGTACAAAACAGATGTATGTATATATATATATATATTTATATATATGTATATTAGTAATGTGTATTTCTAAAACAATTGCCTTGGTTATACAATAAGTACTCGTGTGTGTATTCCACAACTTATGACAGAAAAGTATTGAAAAATGTTTGGCATCAACTTGTTCTTTGCATATATTTATATATCTAATTTGTTTTATTCATTTTTAAAGATGTTCGAAAAATTGTTAGAGACATAAAAAACGCAATTTTCTTTTATCTGCGAAACGCAAAAGGCAGATAAAAATACATTCTATATGTATTCTTATTCACACTTTGTGGATCATTCTTCTTGACGCCAATAGACTTGTGACAAAGTATTATTTATGTTTCCTTGCAGTCTTTGCAAAGAACATTTTTTATATTTTTATGAATATGTAGTTTGTTGTCAATTGTCAGCAGCTTGTGAAAGTGACCACTAGTATTTAAGCATATAATATATATACGTATATATATATGTATGTATATACATATTATATTTATATATTCTTAAAAAGTATTATATAAACATTTTTGGATAAAGGAATTTCAAAAGCGCGCCAAATTGGCAGCGCAGTATTTTGTTTCATAATTCAAAACTTGTTGCTCACTCGCATTATTGATAAAACTGGCCACACTGATAGCGGCTGTTTAAATTTAACACAAATTTGGTTTTGGTATGTTGCTTAAAAAGCAATATACAGCAAACGTAAAATATCTTTGTCTGCACAATGAAAGTGCTACTTTATTCAGTCTAGCCAAATTGATTATCAAATATTGTAAATATTCTGTTAACTCCAAACGACTCTGTTAATGTGGCCTAGCTACGGTCACACTGCTGACACAAGACAGCTGCTATTGCCATTCACACAAACAGCTGCGCTGACATTCACACGGCGCACAGCTGTTATATTTTTATTTGAAGCTTTCGTTGCCGGTTGTGTGCGGGAATTGCTATTGGCTATTCTCATTCCGCGTGCGTCGTCGGTCTGCGTGCATTTGAAAGTCTTTGCCGAGCGAAGGCGGCGCGCCGCAACAAACAAATGAATAGTGCCAAAAACAAACGTATATTTAATATGTAAATTATAAATATACACACGTCGACATTGAACCAAAAAAAGTAAAGCAAAGAAATTGTGCGCGTGCCCCACAAAAAAAAAATTAAAAATAATAATTATAAATAAATCATAATTGGCAATATCACACAAAAAAGAAAGAAAAACCAAAGAAATATGTATGGCAAAAATCATAAGCGAAACGCAATCGACGAAAATCATTATTACTTATCCGACTATTATTCATCTGTGCAAAAAAAAAAACAAAACAGCTGAATTTGGAATTTCTCCAAGTGCTTTTTCGCCTGGCGTCATACAACTGAATTTATTTTTAGGACAACTAAACGCACTCACACAGCAACAATAATATATATATATGTATATGTGAGCTTGTATAAATGGGTGTGTTTTTGTGTGTGTTTCTTTTTTGAATTATTAAGAAATAAATTTGTTGCTCGAGTGTGTAAACATTTAATGAATGGGGTCGACACTAATGCATGTGTGTGTGTAGGAGTTGTAACCCATTATAGGGCATGGCCATGGGCAGGGCCAATCGGCTGTCTGTTTGTTTGTCCGTCACTTCTTAGTTTGTTCTTGTTTTCATTCCCATTTATTGCTGCTGCTGTTGCTCTTTACATAATCGTTTTTCCATGTGCCTGTCCGTTGGCTGTTAATTCGCTGTTAGGTCGATGTCTGTCTCTCTCTGTCACACATTCTTCACTGTTATTGATAAGAACGCGTCGTCTTCGTCTTCCATTGGAATTTAGCGTCTGTCCGTTGTTCGATAGACAATTTTAAATATTCCCACAGCTGTTTGTTCGTTTGTTTGCTTTTGCATTTTACTATTTACCGTTGCGCTAGCTGGAAATGCCGCTTATCCAGTTCCAATTCAAGTTCCAGTTCTTGCATACCGGCTATGCTCTGTCCAGTTGTCGTTTATTATCAGCGATTGTTGCGCTGCTCTTCCGTGTACCGCATCAATCAGACGACAATCTCATGTCACCTGCGCGTGTGAGTTTATCTTGAAGCAATAAAAACGCGTTCCGTTCGTTACTCATCAAGCGGAGAATAAACCGCAATACAAATTGTCGTTGTTGTCGTCGTCGTTGTTGTAGGCTATTAGGCACGTCAAATTGCAGATCATTTCCCCCCAGACCCACATTGGTTGATTGGTGTTAAGCTGCTGCCGGCGTACAAAAAACAATGCATAAAATGGCAAACAAAATTTGTGTCATGAGTGTGTCCGCCTGCCTGTATATATATTTGTGTGTTTGTGTGTGTAAACGGATTATGTCCGCGGCCAAAAACACAGACAAACAAAGAAACACAGCAAGTGACATAGTTTAATTACGTCATTTCGCAACACTGCAACGGCTTGTTTGTGTTTGTCTTTTTCTTTCTTTCTTCTTTTCGCACTACGTCTATGTCACTGGCCTATTGATTAGGACATTCACATTGCGGGCCACAATTAGTGCAGCAGAGAAGAATGGAGCGTGAAACGTTTACAAATTGAATATCGTATGCGATTATCCTACAGTGAACTTCCTTAATAGTGTCCAGTGCTGTAATGCAGTTGAAGTTTTTGACCAAATGTAGAAGTATTTAATTGCGCCCAACTACTTTTGCCATAATTAATTCCCCAGTAAGACTACTTTTTTGTGAAAGTTGATGTGAACCAAAAAAAAAAAAAAAAAGGAAAAACAAAAAAAATCAACAAAATAAAACTACAAAATTTGTCTTATTTAGCAGCGGCGTTTTTACCGTTTCCATTTCATTTTCGCGTGTGCGCCATTGATTGGCATTTTTTCTTCCATATTTATTGTTGTTGTTTTGTATATATTTGCTTCTTGCCAGTGTGTGTGTGTGTGTTGCCTTATTTATTTACCTGTCTTATGTAATTATGTACGCCAATAGTTTTTGTCAATCAGTCAATTAGCGATTCTTAACTCTCTCACACATTTTGTCACAAGCTTTATTATCTTAACAGATAGCTGAATTTCTACCAACACTTACCCACTTTTGTTGTGCTGTGCGTGTGTGTGTGTGTGTGCCGATTTATTGCCGATGCTTACCTTTAAAGTCTGACTCATAAAAATGCATACATATGAATATATTATTATTATTATATGAGGGCTCTACGCTTTATGCATGTCGATGAACCTCTCACCAATTTCTGATGTCTTTTGCTTGCCGAGTCGCTGAATTTCTCTATGCCCTTCAAATAAATATTTCATTCCTTATCGAGTACTCTTTTTTAGCTAGCTTTTCTTTAAGAATTCTCGTAACTAGTTTTTTTCAAATGTAAATTTATTTTTAATTTATCACAGCGAAAAATTTTATGTTTTTAAATTTTTGTAGGGTATTTCTAATTGCCTGTAGTTTCGCTTAAACTTTCAACGCACATTAATCAAACTGACTTGTGTTGATTCATTCAAGTTTCTTTCTTAACAGTGGCTGTTGATTATGTACTATATTATTATTGCTTATTGTTTATTATCAAATGTGTTATGCATATAGATATTTTCTACACTCAAACCACAAGCTTATATTATTTAATCAAATTATATACATATATACTTTGTATGATATCATACGTGTTTTAGTCAAAATCGTAAAAATATTGAAATTGCTAAAGGTTAGATCTCATTTTAAGTTTCTTGATTATATAAAGTTAGCTTTACCTGGCGCAATGATTAAGAAATGTTTTCTTGAAACAAGTATTTAATTTCCTTATTCAAATATTTGTCACTTTAGGTTTTTTTTTATAATTTTCCAAGTCAGTTCAGAAAGTTGTTAAAAATACGTTTATTTTAAACATTAAAGCTTGTTAGCACGTGACACAAAAATGTTTTTAAATTAACTTTATCGATTGTTAATGGTTTTTTGCACAGTTGTTTTTTGTATATACCCTGAACGCGTTAAACGTAGGTAAAAAGGCTATAAGATATTAGATATTAGATATTGCAGTCAAATAAGACAGGGTATTTCCTAATTGATCTGTCACGATTAGAGCATTCTAATGGGGGATTTTTTTTTAAAGAAAAGTTTAGGTTGTATTTTATATATTATATATTTCAATTGTCAATTAAATCTTATTCGATGATAAGTTATAATGCGACTGTTGGATCATCAGGGTATCTCCTAGGCCAGCTAGTCTAGTCTTGACTGGAGTCTTCTTAGTTGTTAATTGCGGTCTTATAACGATCTTATGGGATTTTAGTCAGTCTATTTACAGTCCATTATTTGTACGAATTATATCTTGTAAATAGCGCTTGATTTTGCCTTGAATTTTATTGCATTTTATGCTGGTCATCTCTCAACTGATTTGAGCCGTTGATTTGGCACAAGCAGCTAACGGTTATTTATTTCTAGCTCAGCTCAATTTTCTTTCACTCTGTGCCAGAGACCATAAATTATGATCTGATAGTTATTAAGCTCAGCAGAAGAGGCTGAAGCTGAAACTGAAGCTGAAGCTGTTGAAGCAAGCAGCCTTCAGCACTTGCTGTTAACTTAATGTTGCATCATTTCCTCCTTAATTCAACATGCCACACACAAAAGAAAAAGAAAAACCAAACCCAACCCAACCCATGGTCATTTTGACATCCTCTGCTCTCCTCTGTGTTCTACGCAGCCCACACACATAATAGGAAAGAAAAAACAGCTACGTGATCGTCAACATGTATAAATACAAATACAGATTAGAGTGGATGAATGGGTGGAAAGGCGCATCTTATATATATGTATATATATATACAGTTTTGTTATTTGAAGCTGGCTAAAACTATAAACTTGTTTCTTTTGGGCTCGACATTTTCCTAGCATCGCATTTCCAAGTCAGTTGTTTGGTCCACTCTTTTGTGTAAAGTTGTCTAACGTTTTTTTTTCTTTTGCTCTTTTGAAATTTATCTTATATACATGTAAATCTGTTTTTCACATTGCATTGTATGTTAATGTTTGAATTTTTGAAGTGATGTTGTATTTGAAATTAGCAATTAACTATTTGCCATTGTGTTTTTCAAATAGATATATTACTTTTTTTGTTTTCTTTTCGGGTTGCATAAGTCATATGAAATAAAAATAGACCAACGATAAGTGTGACTATAAAGATAATATTTTTGTGTGTGTCATAAAAACATTAATAAGCCGCTAAATGCGCATTAAGTTTACTGGCTGCAGGACAGTTGTGTGCGTGTGTTTGCCAACACTGGCCGTGTCAGTATGCTTTTGACATTCACACTCAAAACTACTTGCAGGCCCGTAAATAAATAAAGTGCAAGAGTAGCGAGTGCAAATCTGGTGATTAACATATAAAACAAACAATGCGCTTGCATCCAAAAACAACAGCAACAAAATGCCACACAATGCACTAAAAAACAATCTACAACAACAACAAAATGTCAAGCTAACAACAATAACAACAACAACAACAAGTCCAGCTACGACAATGCTGCCCATCATCAATGAGCTGCCCGTGGAACCGGAAGACACTGATGATGATTACACACACCATTTTATCGCTGGCGAGGATGCGCTGCACTTGTTGAACAGCACCACGCACAGCATAGCGAACAGTGTAAGCAGCAGTTCCCTCAACTCCCTCATGTCCAACTGCAGCTCCAATTCCACAGCGGACTCGCTGACCACCATCAGCCAGAAGCCGTCGAATGCCAGCAAACACTTTGAGAACACGTACAAACTGCTTGGTCAGCAGCTGGAGAACAATTGCCAGCGGACTGCAGAGAAACTGCAGCAATTGGATAAATCAGTCGATTCGAGTCTGGATAGCAGTTGCTGCTCCTCCATGATGTCGGCGATTGTCCATGGCACGGGACCGGCACCGACACGCCTCGAACTCGAACTGGAGGCCGTTGAGCGCATGCGCATCATTGTGCAGCAGTTGAAGGTGTCGTCCAGCGTGGAGACAACGGCATCGGCACCGCTACTCGCCCTCTTGCATGACTTTGCCGCCAAGGGGCAGCCAGAGTCCCACTCAAATACGGCCACACCTGTGCCAAGTCCCATCACGGGCGCCATTGCGGCGGATGGACCCAATTTTGAGCTGCCCCCAGAGTTGCTGGACAAGGCTAACTCGTGGGAGCTCATGTACTATGCTTCCAAGAATGTCGATGGCCGGAATTGTCTGAAAGTTGTGCGCAGTCTGTTGACCAACAAAGGTAAGCAACACACATTCTGCAACAAATAATTATGAAAAGGTGTGGAAATCAATCATTTATTGCCATTAACTATTAACTGATTTTTGTATCATTTTGTGCAAATAAAAGCGCACAAAAATGTGTTGAAATCTTTAAATTTGCAATTAAAGCTCATTAGGGTCATTGTCATTTATTTTTGAACTGATTTTTCTACAAAAAAACATGTTTATACTTTTCTTGACATGCTTGAATTTTTTAATAATATGCAGTGTTGGAAAACTTAGGTAAATGGGGTAAATAAAATGTATAAACTAATTTTTGGATCAAAAAGGCGTTTATCCTCTTGTCATTTGTGAATATTTTAATAATGACAAACTTCACAAACCAAATACTTCCAATAAATATTCGTAAAATAATTTTTCTACATTGTCATGGAAATAAAAATCATAAAGAAAATATTTCTCCTATTATAGCAAGAACCCATTTTTTGAGAGCTTTTATTTCCCCAAAAATATTTTAAATAAATGAGTGTATTCAAAAACTCAACAAAACAATTACTTTAAATAATGCAAAAATTACATTAAACAGATTTTTCTATATTTTATTGTGCAAGTAAAACCGCATAAAAGTGGGTAATTTTGTTCTTGCTATATATAAATATTTAAACAATCACCGCGATAATAATAAGTGAATAATTTTGTTTAATACTGCTGCAAATTCATTCCACAAAATTAGACACACATTAAAAAGAGAAAAGTTGTTGACTAAAATTCGAAATAGCCACTTAAGAATTAGTGCTTAGCGCATTTGTAGACATACTTTCTAGAGCAGTTTGCCCGAATCGCGTTGATATTTGAGAACACTGCAACAAATTTAACTTTTGTACTTTTTTTGCTGATTCGTTCAACTATTTTGCCGTAAAATTAATGCACTTCACAAAATTGATCTCAATTTTAAAAAATTAGAAAAGCTGAAACTAAATTTTAGCCGCGCTTTGAATTAAATTTTTGAAGCCATTTAATATATATTGCTGAACAATAAAAAGTGGTGGAAATTGAGCGAACTTCTTCAAGAATATTGAATTCAAAAATATTAATAGTAGTTACTATTTTCTAATGTTTATTATTTCTAATGTTTATTAGCTAAACAAACATTCTACATATTTCCATCTATATCACATTCTTTTTAGCGGTAAATATTTATTATAGTTTATAGGTTATAAATATATTTAAAAATTCGTCAAACTGTGATTGCCTTTTTTATACAGTTGAGGTCAAAATAATAGCACTAGTACATGGAAGTTAACATAGACACTTTGACATGTTAATTGTTTTCTTTTTGTTGTATTTATTATTATAAGTGCTTATTATTTATCTTTCGTCCAACTGTGGGAGAATCGAATGTTTCTTGGCAAACTTTTAACTTTTTTTATTTCATTCATTTATTTAATAGTTTTGATTTTCTTGAAATTCGAGCGAGTAATTTTAATAAATTATCCCGACAAATATTTTTGACAATATTAAGATCTTCCATGAGTAATTTTAAACAATTTTTGGTGTGCGAAATGGGATTTTGCTTCGGATTGAAATTGTTTAATATTGCTTTGTCCTTAAAAAGCCTAATTAAATCACCATAAATTGATAAGCTTTTATTTGGAATGCTCTTAAAAAGGCGGATAAGTTATTTTTGTATTATTCTACTCAATGAAATGTAAATAAACTATATAAAGCAATAAAAATTTGAGATACTTAGCTAAAAGAGCCGAAAACAGAAAATATATAAAATGAATAGGTAATCTAAAAAAAAGGTGTGAAAAAATCAAAGAGAATATGAAAAGGGATTATCAATAAATTAGAATTATACAAAGATTCAACATTTAAGATTTTATATTTTATCGAGCAGCAGACGTATTATGTTGACCGCAGCTGTTTTGTTTGTTGTGCCCCACTTGAAGTGAAGTGCAGCAAAACCCCCTAATCTTTCTCCCCCACCATGCCCCCTGTCCCATCCCTTGCCTCGTTGCATTTGCTTGTGCAAAATTTAACATGGACTTGATAAGTTCTAATTTATCTTATCGATTCGATCGGTATTAAATTTACTCAACCAGACGATTATTGTTTTCTCAATAATTTGAAGTTTGTTTTGTTGATTTGTTTGCTTTTCGCTATTTTCTTTGTTATGGTCGACGTGTGAAACAGCACGACATCCATTTTTGCCATTGCTTTTATTTTTTTTCTTCAATTTTATTAATTGTTAAAATTTTCTAGACTTTGTATTTGTTGTTGTTCTGCATTCATTAGATATCGCCGCTAAGTTTTGTTGATATTTGCACAAATCATTATGGATTACTGTTTGAATGGCATATGTATATTCTGTATATATATTCATATATATAAAAATATACTATGCCAACTGTGTTTCACAGCTTTTCGCAAGTTACATTGAAAAAACTATTAAGGGCCCCCCAAGTCACATGATATTTACACAGTGATAGGCATTTATTCCTTAAATTGCATGGCTTGTAATGCATTTTGCTGCGTTTATCTTAGTTGTACTTTTCGACCTTATCGATGCCGTGACTTGCTGATTATTACGACTAATGTTCAAGTACTGCAGCGGTTCATTTAAGATCTATTCGCAATAAAATGCGAAAAACCCTTTGTGTCTGGGAATCAGTTCTATTTGGCGTAAAAAGTAAAAAAAAAGAGTCATTAAATGTGTAGCTTAATGATCGACTATAATTAAGACATTTAACTTGCTATAAATCGACTTTTTTAATTTAGAAAAAAAAAATTGCTGACTTTTTTATGCAGCGGAAAAACTGAGTCAGTATGGGTTCTCAGGGCAATCTGATTTTACAAGAAACTAATGATAATTGCATTTACACAGTTAAAGATTGAACAAATGAAAATAATAAAAAAAAATACAACTGATTAAACATGTTATTACATTATAAAGTAGTCGCAGTAAACGCAGATTTTGACTAATTCCATAGTTTTATTTTGATTTGTTATTAAACAAATTGTTAAGAAATAAAAATATTAAAGTTCATCTGATTGTAAGTAAGAATAAGATTAAGTAAGAATCGCAGGCCTGAACTAATTTCATATAAACGTTTTATTTTTATTTGGGCAAACAAGAATTTAGCAGATTAATTATTTATTTAGCAGGTCAAACGGTCAAAAGAACAAGATCAAATAAAAGTATAAAAGTTCAACTGATTACCATTAAAATTTCATCACAGAATATTCGACTGGACTGTGAGAATTGAAGACATAAACTAATTTTGTTCACAAGAATTTAGCAGAAATATATTATTATATATATTTACCAGATCAAACTGTCAAAAGGCCAAAACGAACTTTAATCTCTCACATTCTGCTCTTCGTTTTCCGGAGCATTTTAAATCTCCCGCGTACATTTAAACTTGAGTCAAACATCTACCTGGATTTTATTTGAAGGACCGCTTCTAGGGAAATTGGTTATCCCTGTTGCCAGACATCCGAATACCCGGAAAAATACCCGCAAAGGTATTAGGTCTTCCATCTTCCTGAACATGAATGGGATTTCTGTTTAGTTTTAGGGACGCTCGTTCCGGTTTTTCTGCTTGCTTTTATATGCATCGTGAAGAAGTAATAAAATGTGAATACGATATGAAAAAATGATATATGGCAGTTAAATAAACAATTAGAGCTTATTTACGCGCTTCGTTAGCATTAGTGTTATAATGCAGTCTCAGATATCTGAAGTAACAACTAAACTTCAGAGTGCCGCACATTGAATACCCCTTTATACCCTTTTATACTCTGCTCTATAATAAAATAAACTTAGTTTGTTGACAGAGATATTTAGCGTATAGCAATACAATTTAATGTGTTTGCATAGAACAAGTCTTAGATATATATAATGACATGTGTAGACTGATCTACTTCATGATAAAATAATAAACAGTCTGTTAGGGTATTGTGAGCGTTCAATTTCTCAATGCTGGCAATGCCGTTTAGTCTCTCACACTGTTAAATGAATACCAATTTAACAGAGCTGCTTCATAACAGAGCAATAACAAGCTCTCTCTTTTGTATGTGGATGCCAACTTTGGTGGTGGATTCCACTACAGCAACAAAAACTGACAGCAAATAAAATTCACTCATCGTTCGTCTTGTATCTGCTGCTAATCTGCAAATTACACAATTTCAGTGCCAATTGTGAATGTGAAATTTAACTCAAAATATATTGTCAAAATGTAAACGAGAATTTAAAACAACTATACTGCTATATATTTTCTAAATACAATACGTACAAAAGCAATTGTGCGCTGTTTCTCAATATCAAATTGCAAGCAAAAAATTATAAAAACCCTCCCGTCCAACAACAGCTACAACTAGTGGTGAGCTGTGTGTATTTTCGTGAGTCTGCAAGTATGTGTGTGTGCGTGTGTGACTGACTACGTTGTTCTGCTCCGTCACGAGTTTGGAGCGCCGTTTGCTGCCCAGCTGACTCTTTTTTTGTGTTTTTACTTTAGAATTGAATTTTTAAATGTTAATGTCTCACAACCTTTGGACTGGCCACAAAACCTTGTGGCATTTGTTTTGATTATTAGCTGTAGTTGTTGCTACTGCCAATAATCAGTGAAGTGAAACGCTCGTCAAAGTTATTTGTGCAGCCAAAATCTGTTTGGATATTTTCGACACGTGAGTTATGCCCATTTGTGCATTTGTACATATATATGTCTATACATATGTAAATGTGTGTATTTGTGGCTTGAATTTCCCGTCGAACCGGCAGCTACAACAAAAAAAAACATTTCTATTGCTCCTTTTCCTTTCACTACTCGCCTTTTACTTTTGCGATGCTGCTGCTGCAGTTTTAGCCTGCAGCCTGCTGCGCTGCTGCTGCTCTGTTGTGTCGACGCCAATCGCGCTGCTGCTGCTGAGCTGCTGTTAATGTTGGTGTCAGTGTGTGTGTGTGCGTCGCGCTTGCAAGAAGTGGCTTTGAAATTGAGATTGAGAGTTTTTATTTAAAGCAGAGCAGAGCAGCGTGGCTCGCTCATGGCTAAAAATATATCGGAAATACTTGTTTAGAAGTTCAAAGCTAGGTTTTTATGCTGGGTCTGTCGCAAAACCAGATCTTTATTGCGCACGCTCAGCACGGCAAAGTGGGTGGCAAATAATCGAGTAAAGGAGAGAGGAAGAGAGAGCGAGAGAGAGAGACGACGCCAATGAGAGCGAAAACAGCAATTGTCATTTCACACTTTTCAGTTGCTCTGCTGAGTTCAGACAATTCGCATTAATTTAGCAATTAATTTAAGTGTTTTGCCGCCTATATATAGTTTTTGTTTCAAATCATTTTTATACAAAGAGTAATGGCAAAACGTAATTATTTTGAAAAAATACAACTCATGTGACACATGTGGAGAGAGAAAACATCAACCACAGACCACAAGGAAAAGCTGCTAATTAAAAAATAACAACCACCAGAGAATAAGTGTTGCACACACCACCAAAATAATGCAAAACAATCCGAGTGCCTTGACAGCGAATTTTACAATGAAATTGTTTATTACATAATACGCTAGCAAATAAGATACTCAAGAACACAAGCAGCAACTACACGCAAACAATTTTCAAATCAATGCGCAAAATGCGAAAAATGCAGCGTGACTAAGGCAAGAGTCAGCAATAAAAGAAACAAATAAAATACGGTAAAACATGACGCACGTAAACAATGCCGAAGGAACAGCAGAGATGGTGAGAGAGAAGGAGAAGGAGAAAGAGGCAATGGAGAGAGAGACGGAGACGGCTGCTGCCGGCAGCAGCAGTCTGCATCGATTTTTAACCACCAAGAAGAGCAGCAGCAGCAGCAGCCGCAGCTCTCATCAAGTGGATGCTGTGGATTCCATTGATGCAGCAACAATAGAAATGGAGGAATGTGCATTTGCTGCATGCCAAACGAAAGCGACGGGCAGTTGGCATGACGACGACTTCTTCTGCATCATAGACGATGAACTTGAATACGAAGATGAACTCGAACTCTCAGCAGCTGCAGCAACAACAGCGGCGTCAACGGCAGCAGCGACGCCAGCGCAACAAGAATTCAGTCTGCTAGCAGCCTTTGGCTTAGCAGGAGAGCGCGAGCAGCAAAATGAGCAATTACTCATGGAAGGTATTCTTAGGGTATTTGCAATTACGTAATGATCGGGCAGCGTTGCCAAACTAAATGAAATGTTGATATTTAAAGCCTGTGAATGGCGCTCCCTTTGCAGCCCGATAAACGATAGACTTCAAATCGATAGTTTAGAGTTGATCTTTATTTATGTGTATTAATTTTAAATTGATTTATTATGTGTATATATTTATTTTAAAGTTCTTTCTTTTTTATCCTTTGCAGTTCTATGTGGTAACCGTGTTAGCCAGATGACTCGCGCCTACGATGACATTGAAGCCGTGACGCGTCTGCTCGAGGAGAAGGAGAAGGACTTGGAGCTGACGGTGCAAATTGGCAAGGAGCTGCTCACCCAAAATAATGCACTCGAGGCGCGTGTCAGTGATCTGGAAACAGATCTCAAATCCTCCAACGATGATCGCTCCCAGCTACTGCACGAGCTGCACAAGAAAAATGAACTGATTTCGGTGCTAACCAACGATGCAGACGATGGCACCGATGGGGGTAAGTCAGCATCAGCTACACTCGGAAAAAAATCAGCTAAATTTGTGTAAATCGCCTTACAAAATGGAAAATTGTTCTTGATTTTAGAAACAATTAATAAATATTAAGAATAGTTTTTAGGCTTTAGAAATAATTTAACGATTTACTAAAATTTAGTACGATTTTTAAACTATATTAACGAACTATAAGCGAATAATAATGATCAACTTCTCGTAACAATTAGATACGCCAACGATGTCCAAGTCGATAACGCTGGATCTGCTGCAGAAGAAGGTCAACTCTCTGCTGGATGAGAACAAATCGCTGAAGTGCGAGGCCACCCAACTGGCCCACCAGACCGATGAGGTGGAGGAGCACGAACGGCGACTGATGGCGGACATCAGTGCGCAGCTGAACGATGCCAATTCACAGTATGACAACATTAGTCTGGAGCTGGAGCGACAACGGGAAGAGAATCGCCTGCAGCACGAACAGATTATCAGTTTGACGGCTCGTCTGGCGGAGGCTGAGATGCGATTGCATCAGTTGACGCAGGACAACGATGAGCATCTGTCGCTGCTGCACGTGACCAAGGAGAATCAGAATGCGCTCGCTCTCGAGCTGGTTGAGTTCAAGCAGCGCTACGAGGAGGTCCTGGCCCTGCTTCACTCCGCTCAGGATCAACTGAAGCAGCAGAGGAAACGCACACAGCCCCAGGCACGCAGCTCCTTCCTCGGCGGTCTGGGCACAAATGGTGCTGCGGCTTGTGTCGCCATCGAATCGTTGCAATCGGAGTTGATGGAGTCATCGCTGTACTCGGAGAACAGCCTCGACTCGGGCATTTCGGGTGATAGCCAACGCTGTGCGGATCGCATTGGACGCATGATGTCCCATCTGCCGCAGCTGCCGGGTGGTGGCAACATGATGGCAGCCAGTAGCATCTATGGTCCGCCGCCATATAAGCGTGCCTTTGACACGGTTCGCTGTGCCACCAAGGGTGGCAACTACATGGACAGTGGCAATGTGTCGATGACCCAACTGGGCGCCATGTCCATGAGCAGTGCCTCCGGTCCGCGCATGGCCTCGATGGCGTATCCAGCTGGCTCGTATTATCGCGGCGCCAGCGGTGGCAGCAGCCAATCCCTGGGCCTCAAGACGCTATCGAATGAGAGTCTGAACTCGGCGCAATCGGACGACGTTTATCCCGCACAGCCATCGGGTGTACCTGGCGCACCAGGTGCGAAGGAGCTGGAGGCGGCACTCAAGCGATTGACGCCCGCCGAGGTCTTGGCCCGCCGTGCCATGCTCTCGTATGCGCCAATCGGCACCTACAACTACGACGAGCCCCAGCAGCAGCACACGCGTGGCTGCGGATTGGGTGCGACAGGTTTGCCGATGGGCGTGCGTACGCCGGATAGCATTATGTCGGTGGGTTCGATGGGCTCCTCGGGTCTGGCAGCGACGACGACGCATCAGTGGCGTCTGCCAGAGAAATTGCAGATCGTGAAACCCATGGAGGGGTCACAGACACTGCACCACTGGTCGCGCCTCGCGACGCCAACGCTCAGCGGCCTGCTCGAGGAGCGACCAGGTGTGACAATACGTGGCGGACGTGGCCTCGACGATCTGGGCATGCAGGTGTACACGCTGTCCGACGTCGAGGAGGATGTCAGCGAGGAACTTGGTCTGGGCAAACAATTCGAAGCGCCCGGCTGCACCTACACCTACACGAACAGCATGGTCATGCATCCCGACGATGGGTTCGTCAACGATCTGTCCTTCCTCTCCCAATCGCAGATGTCCTCACGCATGGCCTCCACATCGACATCAAGACAGCCAAGGTACGTCTGAAATATTATTATATATTTATATTTACAATAAGTTAAGAAGAATTATGTTTATAATAATGAATGAATTCAATTTATTAAATATTTATATTTGTAATTGTAAATTTATGAAATATGTATTTATATTTATAATTATAAATTAATTACATTTATTTATATTAATTAATTAATTAAATATATAATATATATTTATATATATAATTATATGTATATATTTATATTATTTACTAAATATATTATGTATTTATGGTTTATATATAAATAGTTAAGTATATATTATATATTGCATTTATATTTGTAAATATAAATCAATTACGTATTTATTACGGATTATATATTAAATACTTATAATTATGACGTAATTAATTATATTTATATTTATATCATATCAATTAATATTAATCCTAACCTTCTTTCCACAGTTGTCCCGCGACGCCACGCGCTGGAATGTCTCGCAAGAACTCCTGCTCGACGTTCTCGGTGAATCTTGGACTCGCTGGCATGCTGAATGAGCGCGGCATCAAGGCGGTTACGCCCAGTGCTCTGAACACGCCCGCCGGTCCCAACTATTCGCCGACGGTGACGCCCTGCAACAGTCCCGAGGGTTCTCCGCCACGAGGCCAATCCCCCGAGCCACTGTTCGGTCTGCTCTCATCGGGCGCCGATTTGATACGGCGCAAATTGGTCGGACCAAGTGATCAGCAGTTGCAGCGGACGCTGACCAAGCAGCAGCATCAGCAGAAGGTGATGCTGTCACAGCTGGAGCGACGAGCGCTGCGCTCGCTCAACCTGATCGAGAAGGTGGAGAGCATCGGACTGGAGAACATAATCAGTGCACAGCGTGGCCGGGGCGCCGGCATCGCCAATCGGAGCAGTTCGCCCCTGTCCCAGCTGAGCAGCTGTGGCTCCTCATCCGGCGACAGTCTGCAGAGCTTGCACACGAGCAGCAATAGCATCGTGGATGACATTCACTTTGATCGCGCACAAATCAAGGGCGTACTCCATCGTGGCCTCAAATCACCAGCTCCAACAGTGCTGGGTGGAAAGGGAGGAGACGGAGGCGTCGCTGCTGCTGCAGTCAGCAACAGCAGTGCAACAAGCAGCGCATACAACAGCGAGGATAGCGATGATCAGGGCATTGTGATCCAACTCAAGTCGAAGACAACAACGAAAGTGGTGTCCAAGCCCCCAGCTGGAGCAACTGGAGTCAGTGGCTCGACCTCCTCCTCAGCTGCGAATGGTGCGAGTGCGAGTGAAACGCGCTTGAAGCAAATGCAGCGACAAAAGTCGCGACGCAATTTAAAGAATGGCCTCGCCGCACAACGACCCGATCTGGGCACCATTGCTGGTGCTGGTAGCGGAGGATTAGGTGGACGTGTGCGACCCGATCTGGGCAAGGTGGCGACGGACACCGGCAGCAGCTCAACAGCTGCCGGCAGGATGAGCAGCGATAATGAATCAAAGGCGGCAGCGCCGAGCATTACGCAGAGTTTTGTGGGTTCCGTTAGTTCCTTGTTGTTTGGCCGCAAGGGCGGCTGGCTGTAAGCGTAACACACAAACACACACACAACAACACACACCCACACACACCTAGGCGAGAGAACTAGATAAAGATTAGCGCGCGACGCACTCTGATTTCATTGAAGCAAACAAAGCAACGCAAAGCAAAGCAAAGCCGCCAGCAAACAAATCAGCCTTAAGCGATATACTATTTTTTATTTAGTTCTACATTATATATACATATATATATATATATATCATATACACGCTGGAGCAAGTAAAGAAAAGGGGTATTCTTTTGTTAGTCACCGCCTCGCTGCCGTCGCCAATTTGCAACACTTGCTTGTTTTAACGACGATGTTATGCAACACTGGCCCGCCCGCCTGACTTAGTGTTTGTAGCTGTGATTTGTAAATACTTGTAGTAAAACGTTTAAATTTAGTAGTTATTATTAATGAAATTCACTTGGTTTTTTTGGCTTTTGCAACGGCGGCCAATTAGGCCAACAGAACAGTTGTTGTGAGAGAAAAAAAAACAGTTCAAAGGCAGCAGCAGCAGCTATTTTTATTTTTATTTACTCAAATAATGTACTATTATAATTATTTTTGCCAATTTTGTATTTATTTCCATATATATGTGTGTTTACTTAAACGATGCGTAGAGTAATTAATTAATTTTGATTTTTACTTCATTTCAAGGAGGTGCGGAATGTATATAAGATAATTAAACTGAATTGAATGGTGGATTTGCAAAAGGGAACATATATTTTTTTACACATTGTATATATCGTTTAGGTTTTTGCTTTCCACACACTCTTTATACCTACGTACGTATATATATCACAAAATTGAGGAAACTTTCAACTGCTTGCATTATATATTCTAAAACGCTTTTGTGTTCTTTTTTTTCGGTGCTCAGCCATACAAATAGGAGGGAATACTATATCCGAAACTAAACCATTTGTTTCTAGTCTCTACTTACTCGGCTCGGCACTCGTTTGGCTATGCGGCCCATATTTTGTTCAATGCATAGCTCCTAAATAGAGTGCACTGAACCAAATTTAACAAACATTTACTTAGAAGCTATGCTAGTTTTTATTTTATTTCGACAAAAACAACAAAAATCCAACTACCCCATTTACATTTGGATGTTGGTTAGCGGCGCTGTTAACTAACAGAACACAGTTCGCAACACATGTTACCAAATCACCGTTAGCTAACAGCGTCTGCCTTCTGTCAACGTGCTTCTCAAACGAAACGTGCGCAATTAAAAAAGGCAAAAAGAAAAGAAAAAAACGAACAATACATTTGAAATATATTTTGCATTATTAGACATTTTTGACTTTGAAGACACATACATATATCACTATCGAAATGAATATTATAAAATGAAAAGCAACATATATTGACGAAATTGTACACGCTTTGAGAATTTAGGTTTACAGTATGTAATAAGTAATTATGTACACAAAAAACAACAAAAAATAGAAGAAAAAAAACTGGCATCAGTGCTAATCGAGTGTGTGCCCACAACAAATGTAAAAGTTATTAGTTGTAATTATTATCAATACATATATTTATTTACATATGCAACAAATAAAGAGAACATCGTTAAATTCTAATTGATTTCGTAATTTTCAATTTGGCAAAGGCTAACAAAATGGCAAGGAGTATGTTGAAGAAGTCTCCACAATTGTTACTCATAGATACAAAATAATGAGCGGAATCTGCGCTGGTTCCTCGTACAAGATTTGAGTACTCTCCGACTGCAAAGAGCGAGCCTTATCAATGGTGTGGGCATGGGCAATAATTTGGAGACTTGCCATGGGCAGGAATTATTTATTTAGCGACGGGCTTAAAGAGTGGATTTAGTCACTGTGCGTTGGCAGTGCTGATCGGTTATGTTCGCGGCGACTGTTTCCTTTTTCTGAAAATCGTTGGCAGCACTAAATGAATATTTCGTGATTGGGCATTTAATACAAATTTGTTTGATTTTTTATATATCGTTTTTATTTCATTGTAATGACTAACATTTTAAAAAATTACAATTCAATATTGGATAAATTAATTGTAAGCATTTAATTGTTTAATTTCTGCTTTATCCTCACTATAATTTGTTAAATTTGTTATATAAGGTTTGTTTCATTTTGTTTCATGTTCATTTTCTCAATTTTCTTCAGTGTGTTTTTTTTTGTTTGTTCCTATGTTTATACATATATATATATATGTATGTACGTATATATATATATATATATATATATATATATTTGCTGTTTTGTGTTGTATTTGTATTGCAACTGCTGCATATATATTTAATTTAAATGTATGTAGTCATTAATGTAAAAATTTATATGCACTGTAGTTATTGAATAATGTATATATTGTATATGCTTTAATTATAATAATAATAATAATAATTAGATTTATATAAATAGTTATCCAGCTGAGCTTAGTATTTTACAGAGAAATAAGGAAAAACGTATTTATAGGAGCATTACCATTATGCCATCATTTAGAACATAAAAGAAAGTTGGCAATATAAAATCCGAGTAGTTCACAGCAGCAGTAAGCGATGGTAAAAAAAATAACATTAAATCGGTAATTGGTAATCGGCAATCGGCTTAAGATAGTTGCTAGATGTGTTTTTCTTTTGTTTTGTGTTTTATGCATTATTGTTGCTTCCACTCTCCCTCTCTCTTTCTCTAACGATCAATCGGTGAATTAAGGGAAGGGATGCAGCTAATAAAAAAAACTAAACATGCGTTTTAAGTACATTTTACGTTGCTTTACAGCGTTTAGTTATGTAAGAAGATTCTGCACGAGCTCTCTCTCTCTCTCACTCTGTCCGAATGCATAATGTTAAGTTTCTTACAACTCTTATAACATTTACCAACACTGAGTTTAATATGTTATTTTACTTATTGTTTTTGTGTTTGTTTCTCAATTTCTTGTTAATTTTTCTTTTGGCTATATACTTCTTGACAAAGTTTGTTCGGGTAGATAATCTACTATTATTATTATTACTGTTATGCCCAATGCTACAACCATTTTATGGGGTATGCGTGGGGCGGAAGGTGTTTTTTTTTAAATAAAATGTGAATTCTTAATTTTTTTTTTTTTTTTTTTTGAAAATACAAATAAAATAAATTACATTAATTAATACATACAATAAATACAATTGATGCCAAATACGATACGACTGTGAGAATTTTGGTATAAATAATAACTGGGCTACGATTTTGTTTTCTCAACTATAGCTTTTCTTCCAAGTGTTAATTGCAATTGTACAGTTTGTTTTAGTTTTATAGTTTTACAGTTTTGTTAGCTTTGCGTGTTTGGTTGTTTTTGTAGCTTTTTTGTTTTATGTTTTTAGTTTTGTTTTGTTTTTTTTTTTGTTGAAAAAATGAACACTTTTTATCTGGTGGGAATATACATATGGTTTTGGAAATCTATTGCACAGAACATGAATTTTTGTGTAGACTTTTGTGCTTTAGCCGCGCCTTCGGCTTGTATTTCTCCAAAAATGACAGCTGCTTGGCATTGATGGCGCCGCGTCGTTTACTAAATGAACAAATAGAAGAACAAAATGCACATGAGTATAAGAGAGATTGCTGTGTATAAACCACTAAGCATACAAAATACAAATCGAAGAAAAACTAACTGCATAAGAAAACTATATGCGCGCTCAGCTGGGCTTCGTGTGGTGAGAGCGACTGAGACGACCCGAACGCAAAGCGTCGACAATTTTGCAGGCCTCGTGTGCCGAGCTTCGCTTCCAGCAGCAGAGAGAGAGCCGATCACTTTATGATGTTTCTTATAATTCTGTTAACGCACTGTTAAGCTATGTGGATTTTGCGAACAGTTCTTCGAGACGGTGTCAACATAATGAATTTGATATATTTTGAAGCACCATAAATGAAAAAAAAAAGGCGGGAAGTGCATCGAAATGAAAATAATAAAATATGAGAGACAAATTATTTGAATCGTCAAGTACTAAGTGTACTTTTAAAGGCTGCAGAGCCGAGAGAATTAGTTAATTAATTTTTTGGCTCTCAGCAGACCTTTGGATTTTCTAACTTGTGATCTGTTTTGTGATTGCAAATTGCATTTTACTGCTTAATAACACATATTTGTCATTGTTGTATTTATATGCTTAGTGGTTCGGATCTGTTCTGATTTGTACTCACTCTCTAATCATTTCTACAGCCGCTTCATATTTCAAGCCTAATTCGATGAGTGCAAGTGCAACCAAAACGGGGGCACGTCCCAAGCCAGCGACACAGTGTACGGCAACGCAAGCCTCCGGATTCTGTTGATATCTGCGACAAAAGACAGAAAAGACAATATAAAATATATAATACATATAATATGTAGATGGATATGTAGATATCGAGAGAGATATAGATACATATAGATTAAATTGAATACTACTTGTGAATATTTGTTGTACTTAGTAGGCGGGTTTTTTGGGTAGGTAGGTTTACAAAGCATTTTAGTTTTTTGTAATTGGTTTTTTCTTTTTTTGGTTTTTGGTTTTTCTGTTGTCTACGCTTACCGACAAGTTTCATAATCAAGAAATGCAGTATTATTAAAAATAGCAGCTGCCTCGCTTGTTAGGGGCATTGTATCTGTATCTGTTGTTGTTAATGTTGTTGTTGTTGCTGCGGCCGAGAGACTGGCTCGGGTTGTGGCTGCCGCTGCGGCTGCTGTCATTGAAGCCGTTTTTGGTATGTGTCTGAGCGAGAAACGCTTGTGTTTGTTGTTGCTGTTGTTGTTGTAGTAGGATAGTGTGGCGCTTGTGGACTTTCTAAAACTAGCCAGCGTTTATAATTGTTGTTGTTGTTGTTGTTGCACACACAAACGAAGAAACGAAGAGAGGAAGGAAGTAGGTATAAAAAACACACTCATCCGAAATAACAACCAAGTTTTTCTTCAGTGAGGCGAAAGAAAATTACAACAGAAAACTAGGCGAGATCTAGTCAAAAAATAATTAAAAATGGAAAGGGTATAAAATGGAGTGTGTGTGTGTGTGTCTGTGTGTGTGTATGTGCTTATATACAGCAAACTAAATACATGTATATATATTTGGAGTATATACATGGAAAACTGATAAGTACAAATTTAGCAAAAAGCTCAAGCGTGGAGCACTACGGATTGTGATGAGCATAGAATTTGAATGTATCTGTCATATTTTAGGGTTAGGCTTGAAATGTGTTTTGAGGCGCAGCACTTTGAATGTTTGTTAGCAGCTTGGGGGTAAGGATTTGTGTTGTTTTTTTTTCGGCTTTATGTTCGATCTCATTTTGTCTGTGTGCAAAGCAACAAATAATACTGAATAAATTGATCAAAATCAACTTTTGGTATCGCTTATAGATGAATAAAAACTTTACATTTGTGTAAATTTAACCATTTGTTGCCATTATCTAAGCGAATCATTTGATATTTATTATCTATTTGTGCAACTGCAGCTGACATAAATCACATCAATAATAAAGTTTCAAGGTTCTAAAAACGGATTGTATACAATTTTAAAAATATTTCAGGAAGAGAGAACTGGCATTTAACTAATTTTCTAATCAACAATTTAAGAAAACCCATTGATATGAAATAAATTTGTCTTATTGGACCTTAATTACAAACGAAACGGATGCAGTTAGCGATAAAAGCTTGATCTCGAACCTTTTCGATATTTAAGTTCAATCATTAAGTTGAATCTCCCAATATAAATGGTTTTTATTAACATAAGTTAGCAAACAATAAATTTGAATTATTAAAAGAAAACTAATTCTTCTACTTCTTCTGCACAGTCTGGCAACGCTGAGCGATCGATGCTAACGTTCGATAGCTGCCTGCTATGAAACCACCACGCTAGCATTCTTTTTATATTTATTTATTTATCCCAGCGAATTAGATATGCTTTTCTCAAAATAAGTTAAATTTCTTAAATTTATATATATATATATATACAAATAAATTATTCGGTTAGATAGCTTTCACAAATTTGTCAGTAAATCAAAAACTGTAGTAAACAGTTTCAAATAATAAAAAAATATATATAAATATGACTTTGATTGAGTGAATTTGGGAGTGTTTAAAGTAAGGCATATCGAGAGTGGGAGCTAAGGTATATATTACTTACTTATCCTTGAGAACCTCAAACCACTCGTCAACGACCTGTTGCGGAGGAAAGGTGCCGTCGTCGAAGGCCAGATCCTTGACCGTTATGCCCTGAGCCTCCAGCTCATCCGTATTGTAGCTGGGCTCGCAGACACGCACCACAGTGTTAACATTGTTCTTTTTAAGCTCCTATCAATATATAATAGAATTGTTAGTTTGGGACAATTGGCAGATCTCATTTGAGAGCGCAGCACTCACCATTATATAGTGGTTAATTGTTATGTCTGATGGCCGATCGGTGATTAGGAACTTCATGCCCTTATACTCGATAAGGGCTGGAGCTGGGCGCAAATCTTTTTGACGCATTTTGTTGCTTAGCTTAATATTATTATTATTAACTTTACAAATCAGTTAAAATGTACGTTGTAACTTGTATAATTGCTAAATGGATGAATTTCTTTTACAATATTTATATTTATCTTCAGTTTTTTGTATTGTTTTCTTTTGTTTTTTGTTTTTTACAAAATTGATTTGATTTGACTTTTGGGAAGTTACTCGATTTTATTTTTAGTCGAAAAATTCAGCGTTTGTGGTTTAGATGTAGAATTTTCTCTTTTGTTTTTAAAAAATGTAAAAAATATATATAAATATAATTAGATGTTTTGTAGGCTTAAAATGTCTACACCAAAACACACTCACACAGAACTAATCAATGCTATTTAAGTATAAACAAATAAATTTCAATAATTAAGTACAATTTTGTTGTTGTTGTTGGGTATTTTTCCCTCCTAATTCTTATCACACGAAATTTACGAATTTTCTGCGTCTTCTTAGCCCCAAAGAAGTAGAAGACCGTCGCCTATATCAAAAAAAATCCCTGTTACGCGAATCTATCAATTTTTAATTATTTCGAGTGCAGTTGGTGTTTCTCCTCTCCTCTCTCTCTCTAATTACAATTAGCTGGTTTTGATGTTTTTCAACACTGTTTCGTTGTTGCTTCCAATACGTTGAATGTATTCCTTTCGTGATATGAACTCCGTTCATCCAGACCTTTCTCTTTTTTTGCTTTAGCTCCTGACTCCTCGTGATTTCCTCTCCACTCTCCTCTATGTGCTTTCTCTCCTTCTTTTTCTTCTTCTGTCCACTTTTCGAATCTGATTAGAGTCCTGCCTCGACTTCCGGAGAGCTGACAGCTTTGTCTCAGGCTATGCTAGGCCTTTTTCACGGTTTGATTACCTATAAAAATGGAAAATGATTAACGCATGACATTAGCATCAATAACAACAAATGATGATAAATATATATCGATTTATATATACCTGTTTAATTTGTATATCGAAAAACTATCGTCTTCTTTTGGCAAGGTTATTTAAAAAACATATTGCAAACGATATCTTCTTCCTATTCTATTCTATTCTTTTCTGGCACTCAACAATTCAATTCGATCTGTTTAATTAAGCACAATTGATTCAACATTTAAAAAGACTTTATGGCTACGACCAATTTGGTCACTTAGTAGCCAAATTTATTGGTTCGCCCTAATTTATTTCCATTAGGCACAGAGTGAGGAAAAATAACATTTCTCTGCATTACACGCAATGAAAGGTGACATTTGATGTTCTATCAACATTCGACACGACCCTTTAATAGTTTCCATTTAATTAGCTCACCGAAAACAGGCTTGACTGGCATATACCCTAAGCACTAATGTTAAATATGCTGAAGCTTTAAAAACTATTTGTCAACTGTAAGCAGTTAGTTTTGCAAGCGTTTCTAATGCAAACTTTATGAAATTTCTAATGTATACACACCCGATAAGTAAGATATATCTATTTTGCTATCAGTAATCGGTGCTTAAAGACAGTGTCGACAGTCATTACAAGTTATCCATAAAAAGAACTGACTATATACGACTCTTACATATATTCATCAATGCCGATTTGATTCTTCTGTTTGTTTATTATACCCATTCCAAAGGAGGGTATACCAAAGGTGAACACAGTTCATTATGGGCCACCAATGACCTTTGACCACAACTACCCAAAAAGTTATCCGCACGTGTTACACATTCAGTTGGAAATATATGGTAATTTATATATACAGCCTTGACTTGTGTAACTTTTGGCACTCGATTTAATTGCCGTTGTTTGGTTTCTTTATTTTTTTGGTTGATTTGTTGTTTTTGGCTTACTTTTTATTTGTGCTGTGCCTGGCAGTATTCTGCACTGTCTAGATGAAACTCCATAGATGTGGGAACAGGTCTAACCAACTGAAAGCAGAATTTGAGAAAGATACATTTATTAATTAAGTACAGCAATTAACTTGGCAAATATTAATCAACTCTCTTCCTCTCCCTCTCTCTCTTGAGACAAATAATTATGTAAATGATAACATTTTATTTAGGCAAAGGTTCAAAATATATTTCTATATATATATTCTCTAGACAAAAGAATATTTTCATAATTCTCTGTTCTATTTAGAAGAAAAACATATATCATGTCTTCAAATATAGACACGACCAAATATTATTGTATAGTATATAGAAAAAAAACAGCAACACATATTTTTCAGTTAAGTATATATGTATATGTATATGTATATGTATATATGTGTGTGTCTGTCTAATATATGGATAATATCTTGAGCAAATATTTGGTTCTGTTTGAAGGTGTTGGGCTTGTCGGTATTCGACTATTAAATAAAGCGACACAAACAATTCAATTCTGTTGAATTTCTATTCTTTATTTTTTGTTATTGTTTTTTTCGTTTTTGGTTTTGGCATAATGTTGATAAATAAATGGAGGGTGCTGTACACAACAAAACAGTATAAATTTATTACCAGCAACTTTTAGCGTTTAGCTGTAAACGTTTAACAAATTAACAATCGTTTGGAAATTGAATGTATTTTTATTTTTTTACACATATGTTTATAGTACTCAGCAGAGTCAGTCGGGTATGAATAAATGTATATATTTATTTCTGTGAATTGGTTTAGTCACTCTTTTGTTGGATCTATCGCATGAAGGCAAACTTTCACTTTTTTATAGCTCGATCAGAGAATCACGAGAGAATGTTGATGACGATATCAGCTGTTTTACTTGACGATTTCCTCGGGTTTTTACTTGACTTATGCAATGGATTTGATTTTGTTTTACGTCTTTGCAATAACGAGAAACACACACAGCGAAACACAAATATACGTGTATATTATATTAGGAAATATATATTTACATATGGAATATAGAGATTGCCACTCTGATTAAATTGCACAAGTTTTTACACAGTTAACTGTTACTAAGGGGGATCTTAATCGCCTGTAATGCGACGTGATAAAATCTCGATTAGATATCGACAGGTGTCAATTCGAAGACGCTGATCGATTACAACACTGAGCAGACACCAAATGCCGCGTGATGAGCACTCTTTCATCTTTTGCTGTCGACTGAACGAACGTTGCCGCCATGAGCCAACTCACTGCGGGCGGCAGCAAAAAAAAACCATACAAACTCTTACTGTGAGAGCACGCGAGAGAAATGGCGAGAGAGAGAGCGAGAGAGACCGCGACAGAAGTGATGTGACGCAGAACTCGATGGAACGACTGAACGAACGAGTACTCGCTTTATTTGTTTTGTTTACTCTCTCATCTATGACTTCCCGCTCTGCCGCTACGCTCGCTGTGACGCACATTTCTACACTCGCTCAGCGCTAGAATATGGACACAAACACACATATCTATGTGTGTATATACAGCTGCGGTCAAAATAATAGTAGTCATCATAAGAGTTCCAAAAAAAAAAATATTAAATTATGAACATTTTGATTTAACAAACATTAAAAGAAAAAAATATTAAAGTCTTTGGAATTATCACAAATGAGTCTGTCCAAATAATTGTAGGGGAATACTGAACTTTACTTAGATAATTCGACCATTTTCACCAGCATTACTATTATTAGCTGAAAAGTAGAAGCTAAACAAAAGGAATAGTTGAAATATAAAAAATGACTGTTAGGAGATATATGGCAGAGTGAAATGGTCAAAGGAATCAAAGGGATTACGAAAGGAACTATGAAAATATTGAGTGTTTGCATTGTATCATTATTTTGACCGCAACTGTATGTACCGAAGTACAATGCTCCCGTCTCGAAGCAAATTTTAGCGCAATTTGATGGCGCTTATGACATCTGTCTAAGCAGACGAAATGCATCTCATAAATGGATTTAATTGCTGTCACCGTTTATTTGTCAATTACCTTTAAAGTGCCTATCAAATGCAATAAAATAAGGAAGCTGGCGTATTACTTATAGATAAACATGACAGATAATTGGGAAACGAAGCGTAAATGAAAACTGACAATTCAAATATGCAAACTCATTGAAGTGAATGAAGACTCTACAAAGGGAGTGAGAGAGAAAGAGAAAATATCGGAGATCTTTTTATTCAATGACAAGCAAAGAGAAACCAAAAGAGAGACAAAGAGAGAGTGGGAGAGAAAAAGAGAGCGTTTTAGAGACCGGCCTCTGTTTTTGAAATGTTTTTATTTTTGGATATTTTTCATTTTGTGTTGCTACATTTTCCATTAAGAATCTAAAAATGAATTTACATACATGTATGTATGCCTGACATGCGGACAGTTGTTAAAACTAACAAAAATATAAATATATATATATATATATATATTGTACATATTACGTAATATTACAGTTGCTCCATTTCTCAATATCATTAAATCAAGCAGATCTTTAAAAGTTGCCATAAATATAAAACTTAGCGAGCAAGTCGACAAAAAAAAAGTGACTGAAAAGCAACTTTCGAGCCAAGGCCAATTTTTGTTATTTAAGAATAAATAACAAACCAAGTTGCGGCAGTTATATTATATACAATTAATAACTGTGGCGCACACGACAATAAAAATAAACCATCAAGGTCAGTCGGACCGCAAAACAGTTGCAAATGTATCCAATGATGGAAATGGGAATGGGAATAATGGAAATGGAAATGCTGCTCAAATTGAAACCAGTTCAACTTATAACGTATGCAAGGCAAAACTAGATTTGCTTGCTGATTATGTAACAGGTACATCATATACATATATATGTATATGCATATATAAATAATACCTTGCACTTGCAGTGATGAAAACTGTAATTTATAATGTATTATTCCAGTTAGGCGCACACAGGCCTTTAACTCACAGCCACCAACCACCCACCCCATGTCAATAAAAGGCCCCATGCCACGCTTCGCTGCATCTGGTATATCAGAGAAAGGGGCATTATATCTCTTATATTACATATACGTATGCATATTAGATAGGTGCTATATGTGTGTGTGATTATCGTTAATTTTGCGGCTGTGATTTTGACCATAGAAAAAGGGAATGCTGAAATTGTGACTCAGTATGTAACAGGCAGAAGAAATCATAAAAAAAATATTCCTGATCAGCGCCAATAGTCGAGAACAGGCCCATTTCAGATACTCTTTAAGCCAGAGACTTAAAATTTAGCATACAAGTACTTATATAACAATATTCTTATTCTTATTATTATTATTATTGTGGGGCTTCAAGTTTGATCTATTGTGCCTCCTTCTGAGCCTATAGCTCTTACATCAATCCTGATTCATCTAGAATTTTCATTGGACTGAGAATTTCTATTCTTTCCGACAAGTTTAGTTGCTGATTATGCCTAGTTTAGCTAGGTAACCTCTTAGACTCTTCTCAGCCATGCAAATTAGTTGTTTCAATCGTTTCTGCAATCACATTTAGCTGAACCTCTCCTATACCAAAGGCATATCTAATTTATTTCATTTATTATCAATAATTGTAGTTAAAGCCTTCTACTTGCGTATTAAATATAACTTGATATAATATTGGCAAACTATACAAATTTCATCATGATAGTTTGGGAAACTCAAGAGAAAATCGCGTCAAAGAAGTCTGCTTGTGTTCAGGGTATCTCCAGATCGAGCGCTCTCGACTACTACATTCTAACTTGTTAAATATTTAAGTTTACCTGCGAATCGATATTAAAATCAAATATATATATTTATGCGTCAGCTATACCAGGAAAATTTAAATGTATGCGTTTTTTGCAATTGCATTTCACATGTCTATTTTTTATTCCCAGCTTAAACTAATCAGATTTTTGCTTATTCAGTTCACACGCCATGCAATATGTCTGGCCACTGTCTGGGTCTGAGTCTGGGGTTTATTTAAATGTTTTCCCAGTTTATAATGGGCACGTGTAGACATATCAGATGACAGTCGGATTCAAATTTCATCCCAGCCTTGTTCAATTTGTTTATACAGTTTTTTAAGTGATATACAAAAAATGCAGCAGTGGGGTTGATTCCGGCTGTGAATTTTGATATTATTTTTTTTTGTTTGCCAATTTATATACATATAGATATAAAGGTACCTTGAACCCGGCTACTGTTCGTCATTGTTAATATCCAGACATTGAATTCACTTAATGCTTATCCCAGCACATTTATTTTTTATTTTTTAAGTAGACAATATTACCTCCTCGAAATTTTTCTTGGGTTCCTGCTTGACTGTGTTGCCTTTGTCTCTTTGTTGTTGCTGCTTCTGTATGTTTGTGTGTCTATCAGCGACATGTTTCACAATGGCATTGACTTGTCTGGCCCGAGTGCAATCAACTTTGGCTCTGCCCAACCTTATCCACCATTTCTAGTTCAAGCCAAAATTTCTAAACATTTCTGTCCTCTCTATAATCTTCTCAGTGCTCTCCAATTTTAAGTTGTGAACTTCCCTGTTATCGCAATTGGAAATTCAAGTTGCGTTATCGTTGTTCGTAAGGAAATCTGTTGAATGCATAGCCCAATTTTTAATTTGCAGCCAAAAACTTGAATTCCACTGAAACTTTGATATTATTATTTATAACTAAAGATTAGATTAGCTAACGGAATGTGTCCGGGCACAAAATGTGAAGTACCATATAAGGAAACAATTTATTCGTCACAAAACTGACATCTGTCAAGTGCTGGTCTACAACAATAAAATACATATACATATATATAATGTAGCTAATTAGAACTGCTCTGTCAACAAATGTAAACTTTAAAATGCTCTGTAGTCATCAGGTTGAAAGCAGATCTCACTCATAATTTGGAAAAATATGGTATTTTATGGGTGTGCTTACTTATTATTTAAAGTTATTTATTGTTATAGTTTATTGAAATAAATGCTGGCAGCAAAGTAAAAATTAAATACTCCTAAATCAGCAATATATATTCTTGGGGGAATTGGAGATGCTTCCAACTTTCCCGTTACATACTTTGCACAACTTTCATATACGTTTTTGAAGGTATAAAAACACATTAGCGGGTAATTTGCCAAATCAAATATTTCATTATTATTGATAATTGTTTAGAGAGGGAAGCATACAAAAACAAAAGACAAATATAAATATTTAAACAAGCTCCTCCTTGACTTGTCCAATTGGAGTGATGCCATTAAAAAACAATTACAATGCAATTACTAGCTAAAATATGTTTGTTCGCTTAATACACAAACCAAAATTGGCAAACAAAGTTGAGAGTGCAAAAAGCAACAAAAACTATCATTAGCAATGGCATTAATATATAGTAATATTTATTTACTAGTATTTAGAGCACTGAGTAAATGGAACACATAAAACCACAACTAGGACGGTTATTGTGCTAAAAGCTGAACGGCTCTGCTCCAAATTATCGATTTTACGACCATCGCACAGTTGGCCGGAAGGGGATGAGAGGGGAGTAGGTGCAGCAAAGTGGAGCATGGAAATTATTGTTGTGCTTGGGGGGGACGACAACATTTCTGCGACACCCAACAGCGACAGACGAGGGTCGCCCAACAACCATTTCAACTATGTATTTAATTTAACTAACTGTCAATGATTAAATATACTGCACTTGACTTGAGTATCGCATTTGAAGGTGGACTTTATGTTGATTGGCTGTTGGAGACAGCTTTAAATAAACAACCTAATAAAATATTTGCCTGTGCCAAATTATGTTTATCAACACTACAAAGCTCAACACATAAATGTAATATATAATAATAACTAATTTATTTCAAAAATCAAATTAAATATTTGCTTGTGCCAAATTTCGTTTCCACTTGTCGAAACATCCATTTTCAAATTAATTAATTAAATAAAATATTTGTCGTTTCTCTATACTGCTGGGTTTTACACATAAATCAAATGTATATCAAACAACTTTGTTTTATAAGTAATCAATTAATATATTTGACTGTTCTCAACACTGCAAAGTTGTACACATAAATTAAATATATATCAAATAAATGTATTAAAATAATCAAACTATTTCAAATTCCTTTTCTCTATACTGCAACGCTGCTCGCATAAATCAAACTATTTTTTTAAAATCAAATAAAATATTTGCTAGTTCGAAATTTCTTTTCCGTTTCTCAATGCTGCCAAGCTTAACACATAAATAAAACATATATCAAACAAATTCTTCTCAATAATCCAAAAAAATATAATATTTGTCTGTGCCAAATTCAGTTTCTTAATACTGCAATGTGCAACATAAATCAAACAAATTTAAATAAATAATCAAATAAAATATTTGCCTGTTTCCAATTCCGTTTTACACATAAATCAAATATAAATATCAACAACATAATTTGCTTTGCTGTTTAAATATTTTGCTGTCAAATTGTCCATTCTGAATTAGCCGTACTTTAGTAGTTGTCTGGGTTGTTGTTCTGTATTTATGCAACTCTCTTTTTTATTATATTTGAAGTGCCCTTTAAAAATAGTTTCTTGCCTGCTGATTATGTCTTGTTTGTAGCAGGGTTTTTTTTTTTGTTTTGTCGTCAAGCGGCAATAATAACTTCCAATGACGTCTTTTTAAGCCGGCAAATGCGTCAGCTTTATCGCTTTTATCGCAAGGAAGCAAACATTGTACGTGTTTGTGTTTATGTATGTGTGCAAGTGTATGTAAATAAATGTATGTCTGATTGTTTCAATATTGCGTGTGTGTGTATGTGTGTGTGCAGCAAGAAGGTGAGTCAACCGTTATTTGTCTCGAAGACACTGTACAATTATCAATCAAACAATGATTTCCAGTACTGATGCAATGCACATGCACATTCGACTCAGGCCATGCACAGTAAAGAACCCGTTACAAGGTTATCCAGTCAAAAAATTGTCGTCGACGTTGGATGTTGTTATTGCATTGGTGGGCGCCAACCACAACAACATTTGCTCAACTATATTTAGACTTGTCTTGTTTTAGTGCTCTCTTCCCGTCTCTTTCTATTTCTCTCTCTACGGCAACTAACGGTTACCGACTACTGACGGCTGACGTTGTAGGTGTATTGCATGTTTTGGTCGTTTTTGTCCTTTTCTATATTTAGCCATGACAACATGTATATTTTATCCACTGATGAAATTCGCACGCCTTGCGGAAAAGTGACAATAGCAAAAATAAAATACACATGTATGTGTGTGTGGGTGCATGAATTAAACGCAATTGCAATTTATTGAAAAATGTACAATTATCACTATTTCATCAGTAAATGCTCTCAAAAAATATATTTCCGAAATTAATAATGTAAACTGGAATGAGTTAGGTGCTCGCCATTAAATTTTAAGAATATTCCACTAAATTTGCACAATATTTCTTAATCTTATCTGTCAGTGTCACACACACACTTGCATAGATAATTATCTATCTATCTACACACACACACTCACACACAAAGCACACATACCTGCCTCAAGTGACAATTCACAACTACCAAAAACTAAATTAGACAATTTATTCAAACTTAATAAACGGTAAATGTGTGTGTGTGTGAATAACATACCAGAAAATACACACACACAGCTCAACATATGTATGTGTGTATGTAGACATTTTTGTGTTTGTCTAATTTGAAAGTGGCTCAAGGCGCATAACGAAACAAGAAACAAGAGCAACCAAATAGAATAAAACGGTTGATTGGGAACGCTGTTTTATCCCGTGCTTTTCATATATGTACTGTGTCTGTGTCTGTTTATGTCTTCTGTGTTTTTATCAAGAAGTTATATTATATAAACAAAATGAAAAACAACTGAATCTACTGAATACGCCGCACAATATCATTGAACTTGCTCAAGGACAGAGACAGACAGACACAGAACGGAAAGGAAAGTGAAAAAAGACTGTGTTAATGGGCGCAGTTAATTTGAATTAACTTTGCTTTTCTCTATCACAATCCTCCGGCTACAAACTTTTTCAGCTGTTGCGCTCGCTCTCTTAATGTAAGTTAACAGCGCGGAATTAACAAGTATGAATGTTAATGCAGTATATGTTTATATATTATTCATATGCACATTTATATTAATGATGTGTTTTACTGTTATGCATCTGCTGTTAATGTGACTGCTGCTGTTTTGTTTTCTTTTTTCTTTTGTTTGTGTTCGCATTGACGCAAATGACAAGTAAAATATATCGAACATTTTGCGACGAATTCTTAAGTGAGTGTGTGTGTGTGTGTGTGTGCGTCTGTCTGTGTGATGGAGACAAAACAAAAACAAACGAAAATAATATACATATTTATATGCATGTGTTTATAGAGAATAGCGCCACCTACCGGACAAATGTGCTTCTCATAATAATTAATAATAAAAGAAAAAAAATGACAAATTTCTATTAAAACTTTTGCTTTTTGCGTGGAAGATGCGTATCGCGTCAGAATAAAATTCAACTGATTCGATTCTCCTATTTTTTTGTGTCTTTGTGAATCTATTTTGTTTTTCTTTTCTTTTTGCGTCGCGTTTTTTCTGTTTGTGCAATTTTGACGTTGATATGATAAATCTGCTTAAGCATTTAACAGATTAGATATTAGTGAGGAGCTCGAGCTGACGTACACACGTACATCATACATGTTCATGTATGCATGCACACATACTTGCACACCATTGAGAGTAATTAGAGAATGGAGAAGCATTCGCTTTACTTCCATGTTCCAGTTTTGTTTTTTTCTCTCTGTTGCACTACATTTCACCATTACTGTAAACCGGGTCAAAGCAGTGCTGAAATTTACTTTCATCGACGTCACAGTTTTGTATATTTATATAAACACATACATACATATCTATGAGTATATAGGTCATTTAGCTGACACACAGAATGTGCCAAAACAAAATATATACATATGCAATTAAAAGTGAATAAAATTAATTCAAGCATTGCAATCAATTTCACCAAAGAGGACATCTTTTTGAATCATTCCATTGCACACATTCACACAAGCAAATTGGCAGGCTGTGCATCAGAGCGAGATAGACTGATATGTAAGATATGCCAACTGTTAAGTTTTAAGCTAAGCAATTAACAGAATTGCATATGTGTGCATCTTATGGGAATTTAATTTCCAGTAAACACACACACACACACACAGATGCATATAAACTCTATTTCACTATTTATATACACATATTCATATGTATATTTGTCTGTCAATTTAATGATTGAATACTATTTTTCCCTTTTGATTTACTTACCACAATTGCCATACACATTTGAGTATAACTTTGAGACGTTTTTGTTGCTTTTCGTGGTACGAGAAAAGGAATTTCACGCACACACACTCACAAGCACACTCTCACTCACACAGACACACACTTACACGCACGCACACACACACCAATGCAATACAAAAACTCCGCGATTTTAGTTCGATTTTTTGAGCTTTTTTTGCTACTGGCTTTTTTTTTTCTTTGTTGTACTCCTTTTAGGAACGTTTTATATTTAAATCGAAAGGCAATTTATTGGTTGCGGGAGACATTAACGCGAATTTTGGCTTCTTGCTGCCGTGGTCAAAAAATATATTTTAACCTCAAATTTTCTTGCACCCAATTGAGAAATGAGAATGAGACACACAGGGAGAGATACAGCGAAATAAGGCCGAAGTTTACAACTGTTTTTTTAGTTGGTATTATTAAGTACTCGACTGCTTATTACACAATTTACTTTGCGTTTAATTGCATTAATTATATTATAATTGGGCACGAGTGTAAATCCCTCAAACACGAATATTTTTTGTTAATAGCTACCAATGTGAACGTAACTCGCTGATGATAAAAATACTATTCTCCATATTGCACAAAATACTAAAAGCTTTAAGTTTGGACTGGCGTTAGGTGAGGAGCCATTTGTTAATGCAACTAAATTGCATTTCATTTGCACATTTAATAGTGCATTGTTATTGATCATTTACACAAATTAAATAAGTTCATGGATGACACTCATTTCAAAATGCAAGGCAGCACATTTATTAATATCAAAAGTTCAACATTTTAATGTAGAGTTGTGTCTGTTAAGTGAGGAGCAATTCTGTTTAGTAGCAAATAATTTGATTCGTTTCTACATTTTTTAGTGCATTTTCGACATTCGACATTAAAAACGCCCAATATTTCTTCTAATGTGGAGTGATTTCAGGTAAGTGTGGAGCAGTTCTGTTATGCAGCAACTAGTTTGATTCTTTCCATATTTTTTAGGGCATTTTTGTGTTTTATTTTGCACAAATAAGTAAACCTTTTTATTAACGCCCCAAACGGGAAATGCCCAAGCGGAAAGCTGACTCAACAGAAGTAGACAACGAAATGACAAGCAATGCCCAAAAATCCACACCCGAACAGGTAACTTGAGGATAACTGTAAAAGTTAACAATGTTTAATGTTGTAATTGTTATTTTTTTGCAGGCCGAGGGGAAATTGACAATCAGCACGGATAATCCGCTCGCCGAATATATAAAATTAATTGAGACAAAAGTAACTGTTGATCAGATCGTGGATGATGACATTACAAAGGAGAATTTCAAGCAAATAGCGCAAGCGGCCCGTGACGTCATCTGGCAACTCTTGTTCAGCAGTGACGTCAACGCTGAGTCAGAGAAAAAAGCGAGCGATTTGCTTGAGGAATACAAAAGCGATGCCTGCTTCTACGCACCATGGCCATACAACGAATGGATTGTCAAGGTGCGCGATGAACTGCTGAAGCGGGAGCAGCTCAGCTTTTGGCGCGAGACGATTGTGCGCAAACAGTTGGGTCCCTGCTGGTCGCGCGACTCCGATTTGTTTGATTGCGATGATGAGCCACCGTTGGAATTTTATGCACATGCCGGTTGCATTGCTCCGTTTGCCGCCAGCTTGAAGGTGCGCGCTGCTGAGAAGGCAGCCAGCGGGGATGAGGATGCAACAACCAGCAGCGAGGCGGAGAGGGGCACAAGTAATGCAGCTGCTTTGTCGGGAAACTTTGAGGCAAAAATAGGCAAGGAACAGCCGCTAAGCGATTATCGTGAGCTGATGAAGCGCTATGTGCTGACCACGGTGACCGTGCCGGATGACATCCACAAACAGAATGTGGATAAGATTGGGAAAGCGGCACGTGCCGCCATTTGGCAGTTGCTCTTCGAGGGCGAGTCGCCCGAGCAGTCGGATTACGACAAGGCAGCGGAACTGTTACAGGAATACAAAAGCGATTGTGGCTTCTATGGGCCCTGGGAGTACAACGAATGGGTTGTCAAGCTGCGCGACGAGCTCATCCAGCGACAGATGGTCAGCTTTTGGGGCGATTCGATTGTCAAACTGGAATTGGGCCCTTGTTGCTCACGGGACTCGGATTTCTTTGAGGGTGACGAGCCATTGCCCGTGGAATTTTATAATAAAGCTGGCTTCAAGGCACCATTTAACCAACGCGAAAACGAAATCTGAATTTAACTTTATTGTTACCATTTTCAAACACATTTAACCATCGAGTGCTAATTTGTCAATTGTCCAATAGTTTAAGTTTTCTCACATCGAATAAAGTAAAAGATAAAAAATAGTAAGAGAAAAAAAAACAAAAATTAAGAGTTTTTCTTTGTTTATGTTGTGGGTGCAACAGGTGCAACGTGCATCTTAATGAATTGCCATAAATTACGCCCGAGATTAAAACACGCTAAAGATTTATACAATTTTCATCTGAATGCCGCCCACTAAATATAAATTTGTGAAATGCTTTGAACAGCTTGCATGGGGTATACTCATTTTGTTGTGCAGTTTGTAACGCACTGAGAAAGTTGTCTGCAATGCCATTAGGTATATATATTCTTGATCAGCATTGCTCGGCAAGTCGATATAGTCATGAGAGGTAATTCCTCAATTTTGAATTTATTTTTATAAGATTTTTATTTTTTTTTATCTTTTTCTTGTGGGAACAACTTTTTTGTTTTCAAAAATATCCACACTTTTTAAATCTGCGCATTATTTTAATCGTAAGAGTTGGACAAAAAAATAATTATAAATTATAAAATAATGAAATGTTGATTTTTATTTCAGTTTATTTAACGTGGGCGAAAAACAGTCTAAATTTTTGAAAAAAGTGGCGTAAATATTATACTAAAAGCAGGCTACAATTTTTAGGAAAGTTGAAAAAATAGATAAATTTGGATTAAATACGATAAAATAGGGAAATTTAAATTTGTTTATTTATTTATTTAATGTAAAGAAAAGAGACATAATTTTGTACAGGTTGTAAAAATAAAAATTTAAAATTGAATTTCAGATTAATTATTGGCTAACTTTATTTTAAAATATATACAATTTTTTAAAATATGATATTTATTGCTAAAATATTTATTTTACTATTAAGTTGCTTAAACCACAAATCTTACAAAATATTTTCAAAAATACATATATTAAATTAAAAATTAAAATTACATTTAAATTGAATGGCATACAAATAAAAATAGTAATTAAATCAAAATTTAAAATGATAAAAATAAAATAAAGGTTAAAATTTACTGCGAGATTTGATGAAAATTGTTTAGTGTCCGTTCTGCAAGGGTATGCATTATTCGATGTGCCTAAGATCAAAGTGCTCACTTATTTTTCTGCCTCTCTGGAGAAAGTTATTGTTGTTGTTGCTCTCTTGTGTAATATTTGTAATATTCCGCTGTTGGTAATAAATAAAAATGTATTTTTGCGAGCCGGCCAACGTAAAATATGTGTGCTCTTGTGTCCTATCCGATTTTCATGGCAATGGCAATGGCAATACATAGAGTGGCTACGGAGAGTTGTTTGTTGTTGTTGCAACGAACATACTCGAGTCATATTTCATTTTTATTATCTCTCTCTCGCTCTCCACGCAGAGGCATCTGCAACAGCAGCTGCGTCAACAGCAGCATTCAGCAGGCGTGGCAAGCGAAAGTATTTCGAGCCAAGTAACTGTGTGAAAATTCCAAAGTGTAGCTAAAATATTTACCTTTTAAATGTTTTAATATTTTATAATACTGTATCACATAAGAAATATGTGTTTATATATATATAAAATTAAATTAAATTGTAATTATTATTATTTTGTTTTGCATTATTACAAGCCAACTAAGAATAAGATTTTATATAATGCATTTAATTTTAAGATTCTCTTAAATTTGTAAGTATTTTTGTAATTATTTTAAATAAGTCATTGACTTATCTTTTATAGTTCCTTTTTTTTAATTAGCTTACTAGTTATATTTATTATTTTATTTTGCAATATTAGCCAAGTACAAACTGCAACTAATTCTATTTTTCTTAGTTGTTCAAGTATGAAAATGATCAATATTTAAATAACTCATTAACTTGGTTTATTTTACTTGTTGGTTTTTATTTATAAGTTCTAGAATTATAATTAATTCATATTCATAAATAAATTCAGTAGCGAATATAGTTATTAATTGAATTTATTAAGAAACAAATATTATTAAATTCATTTTTTTAAACCAGAAAATCTTATAGCCGCTAAGCTTTAAGTAAACTAACACAACTAACACTATTTTTAAAATATGTAAATAGTTTGAAACGCAATTTGAATTTTTTTTATAAATTATTTTATTTATTATTATTTGTAATTTTTTTTAACACATTTTTGTATTTTTTTTTGTTAAACATCTATAAATAAAAAACAAATAATAATCAGCATTGTCATTCCTGTTTTATTTTATTTATTTATTAATTTGTAGCTCTTATATCTTGTGGACCTTAAATAATAATATAGCAATAAACAAAAATACTTAAAATTATTTGTAAACTTCTTGTCTTAACTATCCAACTAATTTATATAGTTCATTTGAGTCTATAAATATGTGAATTAAAATGCTTATAACTTAGGAGAATTCAATGAAAATTTTAAATAATATTATTTAATGACTTTTGGCATACATTTTCTTAATCATATCTTTATCTTAAAGTTCAGGATGGATTAGATTATTTTCTATATATGCTGTCTGCTTATTTGTGTTAGTCGATATAACAACTATCACACAAATAGTAGACATATATATCTTATAAACTTTATAAGGAAAATTAAATAAATAAACGTAAGTTTCTTATCTGTCTTTCAAAAGACAAGTTTTCACTTTAAATGTTTCATAAATATTTTAAATTAGTCATTTCTATAAAATCTTTCTCTACAATTTGAATGTTTGTAGTATTTAGTATCTTTTTGCGTATAATTACATAAGTAATTTATTTAATTACTTACATGTATGTGTACATCCACAAATGTAATGAAAATATTTATGGACTGAAGTAACTTTTCTTGTACATGGCACATGGTATAAATGGTATTTATTTTTGTATCTATTCGATTTTAATAATAATATTTTTGTGCATTGTATCTTGTATTCATGAAAATTTATATATTTAATCGTTTCTTAAGAGTGTATGCAAATAATTGCCAAGATATTTGTTTAGATAATATATATATTATTTTGTTTGCATATAAATAGATTTGCTTAATAATTAAGTAGAATACATATGTATTTATATAAAGCTTTAAAATTAAAATTGGCTTAACTTAGAAACTTTATTTTATTTGTTTTTTTTTGTTTTCTTGTACAGTCTCTTGTATCGCATAATTTTTTATTAATATAATTCAACATGAAAGAAATTTAAATAAAATAGGCTCAAAAAAAAAGAAATGGGAAACTATGAATTTTTCGTTGCACTGACTAGAAAACATTTTGTGGCAAACAATTAAATGGAACTTGTCTGAACAAAACGACGAATCAATGAATCAATAACGTAAAATTAAGTTAAACAAATAAATGAAAATTGGACGGCAACGCAACAAAACGAAACTAAAAAAATTCGCGTCCAATTTGTTTGAACATTTAACACATTTTTTTTTTAAACTAGTGATCACGCCCCCAAAATTTCACTCGGCATAGAGCAGACGGGAACGGGATTTGCGCAGGATGCGTGAACGTCCCAAGGAGCCATCGATGCATCTGTCGCCGCCATCGCTCTCGCCACAATTCCATGACTTGGTCTTGGCACGAAACAGACGGTATTCCTCATTGTAGGCGGGTGCCAGCATGGGCACATAACTGCTCGGATCACAGAGATCCGTGTAACGGCCATGGAACTCCTTGTAGCCATTGTGGAGCAGATACAGCTCCGGATAGTCCAACGTTGGATAGTTATGCGTATGCACACTGCGATCATTGCCGCGCAGGAAACGCATCATTTTCGGACCACGTTCCGACGAGAATTCACAGTGGAACACATAGATGCGACGATGATCCGCAGCGGATGCTTCCGCCGGAAAGGCAGCCATGATCTGGTCGCGCGTATACAGATTGAGGGCGCCACGTATATGGCCGCCATCGAACTCATACGGATAGCGACAATCGATAATCTGATAATTATTCTCCAACAGCTCGGGGAATTCACCGCGCAACAGGCGAGCAAGTGTATCAGAGGAAATCGTCTTCAGATCACTGTGCCGCATCCCACTGTGTAGGACGGGCAATGTGCACGGCTTGCTGAGATCCCCAATCAATTGCGGCTCATCGTCCAATGCATTGAGTATATCCGCATCGTTCATGGACACCGTCTTCTTTAGTTTGGGCGTGGCATTTAACTCCTCCATGCTGAGACAACGACGCACCGGACTTGTCTTCAGCTGGCCAGTGATCAGTGCATCCAGATCGGAGGGCAACTTATCCAGTGATGATGATGAAGGCGGCAGCGCTTCTTCTTCCAGCTCAAACATCGCCATATATTCATCATCCAATGAGGCACTGGACGCATAACTGGAAGAGATGCTGTTGCTGTACGTGAGCAACTTGCTCGATTTTGGAGTGGCACCGTTGAGGATTGTGTTGCGCATTGTGTGCGATAGTTCGGATATGGGAGAGGCGTGCTGTTGTTGCAGCAACATTGATTTGTAACGCTTAGCGGCATGTGGACTCTGACTGACATGATCCACTTCCAGCAGCTGATCACATTCCAGCAGCTGATCACATTCCAGCAGCAGGCTGAGTCTCTTATTCGCCATGACGGCACCGATTTCGATCAGCTGCACAATTTTCCAATTCTTTAATTAATTCTTATTGATTTGTTTGTTTTTGTTTTTTTCCTTTGATAATTATTATTTTTGGCTGCAATATGCAAACAATTAACAAGTTAACAATGCACGTTTTGGCGATGGCGTTTTCTTTTGTTGGTTTGCTGCTTTTGTCTCTGTGATTTTTGCGCTCTTTCTCCTCTTCTTGTTGGCGCCCTTTTCATTTTCCTCTCATCCCACACACACACACACACACACACACAAGTGCAAGCAAGCGCGTAAACAGATCGAATTAGAGGTGGGCGATAGTTTGATCTTGAACTTTCTGGGCGTTCTGGCTTCTAAATTCACCACACTAAATTGATTTTAGTTGCTTGTAATTTTTTAAGCCTAAGGGAAAGGTTGTTAATAATAGTAATATTTCTAATTTAGTACACATTTGCTTGACAGTGCTGCCGACAAAGAGCCTGCCTAGTTGTGTGATAATTTAGAGTTCAGCAAAATGCAATCCACATATATTTTGGGATATTTTGGTTGTGGAAGCTAAATATTTTCACCATTTGAACATAGCTGTTAAATTGTTAATAAACTGGATTGCAAGAGAAAAAATAAACACATGAAAATTTGTATAATCGTTTCTTGTATTATCTAAATTAAAATCTGTATAGAATATTTTATTGTTACAAGGGGAGCTGGGAGAGAGTCACTATTATTTTATATACTCTTCTTTTTATTGACTTATTAATTTAATGAATTAATTTTTTAAAAAATATTTTTAAATATTTTTGAGTCGTTAGGTTTTTAGCTTGTATTTAATTGAATATTCACATAGTATACTGGGTTAAAAAAAATGAATTTATAATATTTACATACAGTTGCGGTCAAAATAATAGTAGTAAATTCATTTGTTTGGGAAAATTAATAAACAAAAATACTTAAAATATAGTTTAAAAATGATGAACAATTTTATTTGAGCACAAGCTATCAATACTGAAGATTTGCAAAAATCAAAGGAGGGTATACCTATCAAAATAATAAAAAAAAAAAAAAATTAAAGTCTTTAAAATTATCACAAATGAGTCTGTTAAAATAATAGTAGTGGAATAGTAAACACTTAATAATAAATATCAAAAAGGGCTGCGACGAGAAGAGTAAAATGGTCCAAGGAATCAAAGGAATTATGAAAGCAGCCCTGAAAATATTGACTATTTGCATTATGTGAAGCAGCACTACTATAATTTTGACCGCAACTGTAAACGCATGCAAGGGCGGAAAGGGGGCGTGTCCCCCTGCGTACGCCCTTGTATCCATTTATTTCCCTGAATATGTCAATTGTAAGACGAACGTTTAAGTCTGTTAACCAACACTTTGCTTCTTTCCAGCATCGCATCTGAGTTGTAATTTACAGGTTGATTGTCTGTCTGTTTGTCTGTCTGTCTGTTCGACTGTCTGTCTGTCATTTTAATCGGGCACGTTTTAACCTCAACTGTCAGCTGTGTTAAAGCGCCGCTTTTGTCGCCGTTGCCATCGCCTTCGATCTTTAGCTGTGTGTCATTACCAAATTCAACTAAAGTGCTGTCAAAAGATAATTACCGTTTCTGCTTTTGCACAGACAGCCAAACGACACCAACACAACATAGCAACACCAACAACAACAACAAACAACGACAACAACAAACAACTACAACAACAAACAACTACAACAACAAGATTTCAAATTTTGAAACCAGTTTTGTTGTTGTTTTTGTTGTTGTCGTGTTTGGTACATTTTTATTAAAACCACTAAAAATGTTGATTAATTTGCCAGGTTTTGATACAGAAGTTAATTTTGTTTGCCTGCAATAAATAAATAGTTTGCCTTGCTCAAGAGTCTACGACTAGGAGATACCCTGTTTAACCAATTAACCAATATTTTTGGAATTTATTCTTAAAATGTTCACTAATGAAAACATTTATTTTTCAATAAAATTCGAATGCTTAGAAGCAGACAGATGACTATGGATAGACCGATTCTTGATCAGGAATATATATAATTTATGGGATCTGCCTGCTGACTGTTACATTCCCATTATACCCGTCTTACCATAGTTCCAATGGGTTCAGCTTAATCTTTGCGATTTGTGGTTCTTTGCGTTAATTCTGCGGTAAATATTCTTAATAGATGTAGATTGTTATTCCCCGAAATAAGACTTTGGGAAATTATTATTTTCTACATTATATGTACATTATATATGGGTATAAGTCGCTGTGTACTAAGACTGTCAAGTTCGCTTGAAATTTAATTAATTATTTTAATGCAGATAATCATTAGTAATTTCATGTTGTGGTCTCTTTATTTAATGGTGTTTCTAATAAATGATGAGGTTTCTTAACGTATGGCTAATGGCATTGATTTTTTGTTGAACTCTGTTAAAATGGGGAGTACCACGAATTTGGGCATTCGAAAGAGTCTCAACTTGGATCTATTAAGGTACGATAATATACATATATACCTTGCCTGTGCATTTTGAGCACTCCGATTAGTGCCTATAGACATACATACATATAAATATATATGTATATATATATACATACATCGTTCACACTGTTTTGCCTTGATGAATGACTAAGTCGAAGACTGACAATATTAATTAATATCTTAACGTGTTTAACTTTCAAAAGTGCCTGCCAAAATGCCGGTTAAGTAGATTTTGAAATCGAAACTCAAGCATTTCTCTCCAGCAGCGCTTACAACACCAAATTGACAGCTAACTTAAAATATACGTACACACACACACACACACATATACATATATGTAATTGTATATGTATATTTATCTAAGTATGGGGCCAGTTCATGCTTGTCTGCCACGATTAGTGGCAGCAACTGCCAGCTCCTTAAACCAACTTTATTGGCAAATGAGGCGAAGACGTGCATCATTTTATTCCTATACACTTCTTTTCAACACATACACTCGGAGAAAAGCGCTGTTCTTAATGCAATTTTTTATTTGAGAAGTATTTAATTGGAAGAATAACTCTTGAATCATGTCCACATATTTTGTATGTATTTCAGAAGCTATAAATCAATTTTGATTATTCAATTCTATTCAATTATATTAAAATAAAGAACAATTTTTGAATTTTTTGAAGTACAAGCATTTCTGTTCTTCAATCAAGTGCACAATAATTAAGTCAAGAAATTTTGTTCTTCAGTTAAGTAGAAAATGTTTTTCAAAAGCAGTTTTATTCTTGACAAAAGTACTTTATACCATTTTTGTTCTTAAAATAAATGTAAAGTAAAAACTTAAATTCGAGTATATTTTATTTTAAAATATAACAGGTTTAATTATTGAAAGTTAGTACTTAAGTGCACAACTGAAAATCTTACTTCGAGTCGACAAGTTATTAATTTAATCTACAAATGGCAAGATATAGTTTGGGAATATAACTTTTCAAATGCGATAGTAAAAAAAACTTTACAAGAAATTGTATGCTTGAAATATAAGAAAAATAAATTTCATTAAATTATATAAAAATATATTTCTTAATAACAGAAATGGTGTCTAAAAAGATAAATTAAACTCCATTTTCACAGAAAAAAAACTTTCTAAAATGCAGAAAAAAGTAATGAAATTTGCATTCTATTTTGCTATGTTAAATTTTAGAATATAAATCAAAAAACTTGTGTTCTGAAAACACACATATTTTTTCTAAAATTTAGAAAAATGTTGCCTGAAATAAACAAATCTCTTTGTTTTTTTGGAAAGATACAAGCAACGGCTGAATCGGAATAATAAGCTGAGTTGCCTTTGGCTATTTTCTTAAATTCAGTGCGATTAATTTGCTATATTTCTCCAGGTGTATTGATATATATATATACATACAGTCTGCTGTATTTGTATGTGGTGATGTGTACGCGGCGCGTACAATTATTAATTTGATACGATATAATTGACATGTTGGCGATGCCAAAAGGAAGCACTAACATGCATGCCGTCCACAGCCGGAGACGGAGTCGGAGTCCGAGTCAGAGGCAGAGACTGGCCAAGTTGGCTAAGCTAAGCCTGAGCGACGCATATTAACGCCACACGTCTGTTGGCCCCAAAGACCAACCGGGACGGACACTTGGATCTTGGCCACGTCCACAGCCACAGCCACAGACACAGCCACGTCCACGTCGACATTCACATTCACGTCTTCGTCGGGCTGGCAGGCAGGCGTGTAAATTGTTTTTACTTAATCGTTGCAGACACAAACGCACATGTTGTTTGCCACAACGTTTGTTGTTGCAGGCTTGCTTGTTGCCAGTTGCCAGTTGCCTCTTTGGCCGTTTTGGCCGTTTTGGCCGATCTCTGTGCGCTGGCTTCGTGGCTCGCTTTTGGTAATTGCAGTTGGGGCTGTGCTTCTGTGTTACCAACATATAACCGCCAATCGTCAGACGTTTGTAGAAAATGGTTATTGGTAGCTAACTTGTTGCTGTTCGTTGGCCAACTTAGTCGGTCAGACATGCAAATTTCTGTATGTATGCGCTGTGCTTGTTGTCTAATGTTAGTTGTTTGTTATTTTCTATGCAAATTTTCGTGTTGTTTTTCTTGTTTGCCATTTGACAAATTGTCTGCTTGACTTAATGATGGAGTATGTACGAGCAGAGGTTGGAGCGCTTATATGCATAATTGTGTGCCCATCGAGATGGCCAACATGGACAACCTGGTCCAGACAACTGACAATATGATACACATGTTATATGCATCTATGCATCGCCGGAAATCTAATAGCGAAAATGCTGTAAAATGTTAATTTGTTTTTAATTTTCTTTATCGATTTAAGCGTTTCATGTTTTTCACATTTTCAGCTTAGGAAATCGATTGATTTATGCTGAGTATTGTTTATAGTATAGTTTGCTATATGGCAACTGAATATGTCAAATGTAAGTATTATTTACAGTTGGCTTGTAACACTTTTAGTCATATTATTATGCTCTCCAGTCGATCTATGCAAATTATAACCTGAACCGATTAAAAGTGGAAAAAATGTATAATTAAGTTGTGCAAATGCGGAATGAAGCATTTTATGATCCATGTTAATGATCGCATAAGGAACAGCGATTTAGTTACCAAAACCTATTTACATATTGAATATAGTATTATGTGTTAACTAAATATTTAATAGCTGGATTCAGGGCATCTGCAGACCATTCAAACTTGTTCGCATTTATTATTAAAATATTAACGTATCCACAGATAAATATAAATTTATATATATATTTGATTTTATATATATATATGTACATATTTATATATATTTTGTGAGATCGTTGCTGCTTCTTTCTTAGCCATTGAGAATAAAAAGTTGGTTCGTTAAAGATTTTTATTATGTTGTACCACGAAGTA